CTCTCTCTCTCTCTCTCTCTCTCGCTCACTCTCTCAGATAAAAGGCAAGATCAGTTTCACCTCCTCCTCCCTCCCCTCCCCTTCCTAAATCCTTTTCCGCCGTGGCCCTGACGCGCCGTTCTGACCTCTCGTCAAATTGCCCTCTTTTTCCGGGCTTTTCCGGGCTAAACGGACTCGAAAGACCCCAAAAGGTCTTTTGTGCTTTGTCTGGCGTTAAAAAGGTAAGTAAGCAGAAATCATGGAAGGAATTATTTTCAGGGAGCCCGAGACAGGCCAAAAAGGCGGATTTTCATGCATCTTGTGAAGTCCTAAAAGGTTGTAAGCGATTCGCGGAATTTTCGTGGTTTCGTGAGTAACGCCAAACATTGGATTTAATCCGAGAGCGGCTTAAAAGAGGATGTCGATCAGGAGTTTTGAGGATTTTTCGAACATTTTTCTATTTCTCTCATTGTCTCTCTCTCTCTCTCTCTCAGTCTGTCTCTCGCAATCAATCACTCTCTCGCTCTCTCTCACCCTCTTTCTCTTTCTCGCTCTCTCTCTCTCTCTGTCGCTCTCCCTCACTCGCTCTCACTCTCTATGTCTCGCTATCTATCCCTATTGCTGGCTCAATCTCTTGCTCACTCTCTCGCTCACCCGCACTCTCGCTCTCGCGCTCTCTCTCTATCTCTCGCTATCTCTCGCGCAATCCGACTATCTCTGTCTACAGGGTGGCTGAAAAGTTCCCGCAATTTCTTCTAGCAGGTCAATAGACCGAAATTTCCTAAAATTTGGCTGAGGTAAGGCAACATAAACTTTATTTACTCCGTAATCAACAGATTACAACACAAAAATCCGCAAGTAATGTTCACGAATTCCACCAGTAGCTGAATAGAAGCGCGCAGGCAGCCATGGAAATTGCCGGCCATGGTCGCGCCCTCCCGGTTATCAAGGAGGCGTCAATGTTTTGGCTATAGAATCGAGCCGGAACGGGCAAAATCATCGTAAACTCTTCAAAAACGGTTAATAGAGGAGTCTTGGTCTATCATTCCCGTTTTCCGAGAACTTTGATGATTTGAGTAGGAATCTAGAGCCCCAGCAACCCTTAAACCGTTTTCGTTCAAAAAAATGTAAAAATCGAAGTCACCGGGCATTAATATCAAGCCCTTAGGATTGTTTCAGAGCCATGAATTAAGCAATCTTTTAGTTAAAACGTTTTCACGCTAAATCAAGACTGGACACCAGGTTTTTCGGCCCGTTCAACTATCACCCTCTGGGGAAAGTTGCAATCGGGTTTTTGCGGCTTTGATGTTTGGGCCTCCAACTCAGTGGATTCAATTTTTTTGATCTTTCGGTTTCGACCATTTTGTAGCAAAAGAGCTCAGAAAAACGGTCCACTACAGTGAATCTCCTTAAAACAGCCCTGGAAAGTGCTAGGCCTCGGTTATTGCGGCAGAGGGCGCGACCATGGGAGACAACTTTTCAAGGTGTATGCGCATTTGTATCGAAGCGTCTGGGGGAAGCTGTGAAGATTTATTGTTGATTTTTGTTTCGCAATTTGTTCTTTACGTCTTAATTAAACTATTAGTTACCATAAGTTCTCTCCCTCATAAGAATTTTAGGAATTTCCAGTCGATTTAGCAGTATCAAGAAATTGCGGGAACTTTTCAGCCACCCTGTATGTCTCGCTCTCTATCTCGCTTTCCCTCCCCTCTCTCTCTCCCACTCTCGCTCTCTCTCACTCTCTCTATAGCTCTCAATCTCTCTCGCTCTCTCCCTGTCGATCTCTCTCTCTCTCGCTCTCTCTTCCTCTCTCTCGCTCTCTCTGTCTCTCTCTCGCCACTGTTCCGAGCAAATGCAATGTTTCATCATGTCAGTAGATGTGAGTAGATGTCCATCTTCCGCTCCTTCTACATCTTATTACCCTATCCCCTTGCCCTTTTTTGATCGAGAAGTTGACAGCTTCCAACATATCGTGTCACGTCGGGATTAGTCCCAAGCGCCTACGAACATCATATTCTGCCCTCCCACACCCAAAAAATGACCCTAGATGCGCCCCCAAAAATACTTCTTGCAGAATTAAGCGCAAAAAAAATCGATACTATGCGAGGTTTAACGGGACTGGGAAGTGAAAAAAAATCGACCCCTTCCAGCGACTAGGTCTCGACAACCCCGGACGAAGCTAGAAGGAGCTTAATTCATGGGAGCTTTGTACGCAGCACAGGCGTAACGAGGCTACGACAAGGAGTTTTTAACGAAGCTTTTTAAGGGTACTAGGAAACGCTAGAATCGGCCCTTTCTGTCGACTAGGTCTCGACAACTACGCGCCATACAAACAATTCACCAACTAAGAAGATTCCAACGATTCATTTCGGTGCCAAAGCTTGCTACTCGGCGCTTCGGGTAGCCGTCGAGACCTAGTCCTTCCCAGGGGTCGATTTTCGGCTTTCTGGCCCCTTTAGACCCTTAACAACCGTTCGACTTAAAATCCCTGCTAGCTCGCGTATCTCATTTGGCTAGGAAGCAAAATTCCAAAGAATCACTGCAAGTTGCTTGACAAGATGAAAATCAGAAGAAGCGTGTCATTTGGCACCTAGCGTAGCTGACTAGACCTAGTCGAATGCAGGGGTCGAATACGACGTCTTCGGGTTGTTTTAGAGGCGTTTTTGCGTTGACCTAATATTTATAAAGTGCTCTAGCGGTGATGTTGCCAGACACGTTCCCTAGCTCTTCTTCTGCTGCTTTTTCTTTCCGCCATGTTTACTCGTGGATGGAATGTGATTTCCGGTTGGCGGCCAGAGAAGTCCAGCCCGGTCCGTCTTTTTCAATCCACCCACGCATTTTAATTTTGATTTATTCTGACCATTTAGCACCCGACTTTTGGAGAGCGAGAGAGAGAGCGAGCGCGAGCGCGAGAGAGAGCGAGAGAGAGCGCGAGAGAGAGAGCGAGTGAGAAGCAGGGAGAGAGAGAGAGAGAGAGAGAGAGAGAGAGAGAGTAAGAGAGAGTAAGAGAGAGAGAGAGCGAGAGAGAGAGAAAGAAAAAGAGGGGAGGGAGAGAGATAGAGGGAGCGAGAGAGATAGAGTAAGAGAGAGGATAAGAGATACAGAGAGAGAGAGATAGGGAGAGAGAGAGAGAGATAGAGTAAGAGAGCGCGCGAGAGAGAGAAAGAAAAAGAGGGTAGAGAGCGCGAGAGAGAGAGAGGGAGAGAGCGAATGAGACCTCATGCTCTTTATTCTACGATCGTTCCTAACATTCAAAAAGCAAAAAAAATAGATCACAAATTTTTGCATTGTAGATTTTCAGATCAATTTAAATTATTTTTATTCATTATTTTTATGTAGCTAAAGCATCGTTTATGATTTATTTTTAGTTTTATCAGTCGATTTATAGACTAAAATATTTTTTTATGACTTTTTACATCCTAAGTGCACCGGATTTTTCTCCGGGATTCCGAACGGTGCCCCTAATTGCGACAATTTGGCAATAACTGGCTAACATAAATTCCGGGTTTTTTTCCTGGCGCTCGACTACGAGACAATCCACTTTACGGCCGCCAAAAAAAAAAAGAATTTTTTATGACAAAATTGGCAATTTTCTGGCGGCACCGAGGTACAAAATACGGCCCATATAAATTTTATGCAAATTGCCCTTGAAAACGGGGGAATTTTTAAGAGAATCGCAAGTTCTTAAAATTCTTAAAATATTAAAATTCAAATTCTTAAAATATGTTTAAAATACATTTTAGACTGTGGACATCCCTTACTTTAATCGAAAATTCGCTGGAAATTTTTGCAAAATTTCTTTAATTTTTTAATTTTCTAAAAATTCCTATTTTTCACTTTTGTAAAATTGTTATTTTAATACAGAAAATGCATCAAGTTCATTGATGAAAAATCCCCGTTTTCTACATTTTTTGTTTGGAGCTATTTTTTTCGTTGATTTTGAACTTTTGCTTAGAAAGCCTTATTACTTGATTACATTTGTGTTAACTTTGAAAACCTATAAACTCTAGCATAGTAAACTTTTTGCTGCGTTCTTTATGCTGTGCGTTGCCGTTTGACCGCTTTTGGTTCGGACCAAAGATTCGGGGGGTGGCGCCAATTTTACACACACCACCGTCGAAAATGGCCACCCGCAAATTTTCTAAAAGGTGGACATTTTTTGAGGTGCTCTCCAAATGCCCTCAGGGGCATAATAATAGAAAGAATGGGGCCTCTCTCCTCTCTCTCTCCTTCTATCTCTCCCACTCTCTCACTCTCCTCTCTCTCTTTCTATCTCTCTCGCTCTCACTCTCCTCTCTCTCCCACTGTCTCTCTCTCACTATCTCTCACTCCCTCTCGCTCTCTCACTCTCTCTCCCGTCTCTCTCTCTCTCCGCTCTCGCTCTTTCTCGCTCTCTCTCTCTTTATCTCTCTCTCTCTCTCTCTCTCTCTCTCTCTCTCTCTCTCTCTCTCCCTCTCTCTCTCTCCATCCATTCCCCATAATTGCCCTCCACCCTCCTTCCATAGACCCAAAAAGGCAAGAGGGCATATTCTGATGATGATGACTCCCAAATGGGATATGGAAATGGAGCAAAAAAAGACGCCTGGAAACTCATATTTTCCCGGGTGCGGCGTCAGTAGAGTTTGCACGTTTTAAAGGGACCCTGCCAGCGGTGCTGGACTGTTAGCGGGGGGGCTAGCGGGTTTTAGACTATCACCGTCTCTTTAAACCGCACAAACCCGGATTTGCGAATTTTTTGACTTTTCTGGATTTTGCCAGTTTATTTGCTAACCCATCATTTTCTGCTGTCACCTTCCCTTTAAAAACCTGGAACCCAAAATTTTCCGTTTTTTCGGATGTTCTACATATTTTTGCGCTTAATCTTTCGTATGTAATTTTTTTATCTTTCTTTTACAGTCTCAAAATTTCCCATTTTTGCAGCTGGGGCATCGTGTGCGACCGTCGGGACCTTTGAACGGCGGTGGAGTGTGGTGTAGTGGTGGTGCTGTGGATTGGCCCTCCCAAATAGGGCCCATCCCCATATGCACCTCAACGCACTCGATGGCGACGACGACCTCAGGTATTTCTTGCCTTCATTGGCCCTTTAAAAGCTCAAAAAATTCGCATTAACAGGTTGTAGATCTTGAAAATTTGGGGAAATCCATAGCGAAAAAAATGCGTTTTTTTCAGGATCCACAACGTCTCCATCCTTCCATCGGATCAATGCGCGACAGAGGATCAGCGGGCGGCGAAATGTTGCTGTGGCACCGGGTTCTTCTTCGATTTCCCGAACAAACGATGCGAGGTGCGCAAAATGGGCCGTTTAAAGGCGCTGTGAAGCCCGTAAATCGGCTCCTGGAGAGACTAGTTCTCGACAGATACGCGAAGCTCCAAAATACGCAAAGGCGACAACGGAAATTGCAAAAAATCTGTCTGGCTCCTCTTTTTTTGAAGGCTTTTCGTAGCTGTCGACACCAAGGCGAGCTTAGAAATCGACCCCTCCGGCCGACTGGGTCTAGACAATTACGCAAAAGGCCTTACGCAGCGCTTTCAGGCGTTTTCCAGTCATGGATCCAATTGCGCGAAAAATCATCTTTTCTATGCTTTTTTTAATGTGTTTATAGCTGTCGAGACCTAGTTCGCGGATGGGTCGATTTTGTGCCTTCCTAGTCCCTTTAAAGTGTTTTAAAGCTCCAAAACACCGCGTTTAAGCAGGTTGCAGCTGGGGATCCATAAATGCGAGAAAAATCGTTCTCACGCGTGTTTCTCAAGGTTGTGATAGCCGTCTAGACCTAGTGGATCCGCGGGGTCGATTTTCACGCTTGCAACACCTTTAACCTGGGTTTGGAATGAGGTTATGATCGTTTTGTTTTTCCAGGTCTCCGCCAACGTCGGTTTCATGTTCGGCCGGTTGAACAACGGCTGGAGCCATATGGTAAGATTTTGTGTTTTTTTTCTGCAACTATTTTTTAATGTATTGCTATCTTTAAATTTAAATTAAATTAATGACAAATTCATAATATGCGCTTAATTTACGCCATTTCAAAGGAAGTAGTATGATTTTCAAATTTTTCTAAAATCTAAAATTTGTCAAATTATGCACATTTTCTCGTAAATTCCACTAGGTGTCTAAGCGTAGATCATTTGCCTATTTTCAAAAGGATGTAAAGAGTGCAGAGCTCGCTGATGGAATGATGGTGTGTATGCTGCCACTCAAAAGCCATTCACTTGCCAACCCCACTCAATTTTGGGAATAAGTTATGGGGGGCAACGTGAGTATTCGCAGCTCTTTCCCACTTAAACGGGGCATCGAAAAATTAATTCACCTCAAGGTTTTTTAGGGTGCAAAACATAGATGTTTGTTTATAGAAAAATGGTAAATCATATAACATCAAATAAAATAAAATTAAAAATTACTGAAATTTGCAGTTCGTCTACGCGCTGGCCTATCCGGTGCTGCTTTTCTGCCTGATAGCCCCGCTATGCGCCGTGATGTTAGGGATGGGCAAGAGAGAAAAGAGAGAAGGCGACAGACGATATGTGAGTATTTATAGTTTTGGTTTTTTCGGTAAATTATAAAAATGTGGACAAACAAAAATTAGCAAAAACCCCAGAAAAAACTAAAACTTTAAAAATGCCGAGATTTGATTTTGCGCTCTTCTCGAGATTAAAATTATAAACTTAAATTTTGTTATTAATTTCAATTAACAAGTAAATAAACACACTTTAATGCAGAAGTAAAACACAAAAAAATCAAAAATTAGATTTTCAACGTTTAAAATATTAAAATTTATGTAAATGATTTCAAGAAACCCGGAAATCCAAAAATTTACCGAACGATTTTAAACAAAAAGATGTATTTTTTTGTAACAATTGAAATCCATGTACCTACAAGGTAATAAAGCATAAAATAAATCGTGTTTCCGTTCAATCCTTTTTTAAAGATTTCTAAGGATTAATGGTAAAAGTAAAGAAAATTCAATATGACAAAATGAAAGCAGAAATCTCAAAAATGCAGTAAAATAAATTGCCGGCAAACAGTTCCCGTCGCGGCTGATGTACAAGGGTGTTGCATACGTGAGTCCCCCAAAAAATACCCCAAGAAAAATTGGAATGCCCTCCCCCCATGGTTCCTGTGTCATTAATGCGTCAATTACTCGTGTCCAGTGGCCATATCCGTTGATATGGCCATGTCATATATTTTTTTTGCCTTCCATGGCCCTTTAAAATGGATCTTTTCAGCCGAACCCACTCTACCAGATGATCTGGCTGTTGACATTTTGTGGATGGGCATCTGTACTAGCCCCTCTACCATTTACCGTTTGGTATTATATCATCGGGGAGGGGACACGGTATGTTTTTTGGATTTTAAAGGGACTCGGACGGATTTAAAGATTTCAAGGGGCCTTTAAAGGGGCTACGAAATGCCAAAAATTGAGTGACGGCCCGAAAATCGGATCCCTGTACGTGGGAGGCCTCTGTACACCCAGGGGCCCGGGAAGCTCGCAGATTTAGAATAGCCTGTTGTCACCTCGAAATCACGTTCTCGGCTGTTTCTGGGCCAAATTTGATGATTAAAACACCAAAACTATTTAAAATTGAGTGAGGATTTCAGAAATGGGCTCAGAATGCGCGAATTATAGTGTTTTCACAAAGAAACCGGGCAAAAACAACTTCGCGCAAAAATCGCAAGAGTGAGGGCTCTGGTCCCGCAGCGCCCGCTGGCAATTTGCCAGAAATCAAAGAGCCCTCGCAAAAGGGCTTTGATTTGGCAGTTCGGGTTTTGCGAAAAACGCTGATATGACACGTTTGGGTTGCAAGGGACTCCAAAGGCAAAATCCATAAAAAACCCGTTTCGAAAAATCCTTAAACGCAGCTTGCGATTTTAAAGGTGACCTCGCAACTTGAAAAATTCCGGTATGCCACGTTTCAGTTTAAAGGGGCTGGATTGGCAGAATCCGCAGAAAATCCCTTTCGAAACTCTGAAAATTGGTAATTAAAGGGGCCCGCAAGAAATGATCGAATTTTGCCGCGCCGCGAAGAACAGAAGCGCCCGGATTTTCCTCGCTTAATCGAATACGCCACTTTTACGTCGGAAAAATGGCTCCAATTTCGTGTTGCGGCGTAGCCATTTGAGTTTTAAAGAGGCTCGGAAGCAAAATTTAGAGAAAACAGTAGGAAAATAATCAAAATCTAGATTAAAGGGACTGGCAAGGCAAAATCCACAGCTAAATCCTTTCGGAAAGTCGCCAAATCGAGAGTAAAGGGGCTGACAAGGCAGCTTTTTAGAAAAAACGTTTCGAAAAATGCCTCACTAGGGAAGTGCAAATAAAAAACCCAGCAAACCGCTTAGCAAAAATATGGGTCTGATAGAGTCGGCGACGGGGATTCCGAAACTGCAATCAGAATTTGCTAAACGCTTAATACAAAATAGTTATGAGCATTTTAAGTTTTGCGCTACATTCTCCGCCCTCCCTTATGAGCCCCTCCCAAAGATGGGTGTCCGCCTGTCGAGTGGTGTAGTGGCTAACTACCATGCCTCTGGGGCGGAGGGTCTCTGGTTCGACTCCCCGTTCATGCAAAACTTTTTGCTTTTTGGTCAAAGTCAACAACTTTAGACTTTTTCAAAGTTTCGAAGTCCGAAATTTAGATTTTTTAAAATTTTCTTTATTATTGACTGCGTGTAGGCCTGCCTTACGAAAAAATAGAAGTGAATTTTATTAGTGCCCTATCCGCAAGAGTACTGACACTCCCGCCACCACTTTTCAATCAGTTTCATAAATTTAAAAATTAAGAGAACGACCTTTTCGACTTCGAAACTTTGACCAAAAGCAAAAAGTTTTGCATGAACGGGGAGTCGAACCAGAGACCCTCCGCCCCAGAGGCATGGTAGTTAGCCACTACACCACTCGACAGGCGGACACCCATCTTTGGGAGGGGCTCATAAGGGAGGGCGGAGAATGTAGCGCAAAACTTAAAATGCTCATAACTATTTTGTATTAAGCGTTTAGCAAATTCTGATTGCAGTTTCGGAATCCCCGTCGCCGACTCTATCAGACCCATATTTTTGCTAAGCGGTTTGCTGGGTTTTTTATTTGCACTTCCCTAGTCAGATCGAGATTAAAGGTATTAGCAAGGCACAACTATCGATCCTCCATTCGCATGGAGGCTGTAGCCAAGAAAATGCATTTCAAGCCCATTCCTGCGGAATTTTTCTTGTTCAGATCGATGAACCAATCGGTGGCAATGTGCCATCTGTTTCGAACGACAATGGAGACAATACCACACACCATGGACACGATGATGACACTGTTTTCGGTGATGTTGGCCGGGGCAAGGTGAATCCCTTCGCAGGACTAGATTATTTACGATTTCCAGATTTCTGACCCAATACCATCGAAATACGCTGAAATTGCGTACCGTCGAGCGATTCTCGCGTGCCATTTGGGCCATAATATTCGTCTGTTTCACCCTGGGCATTCTTCGATTCTTCGAGCACGACGCCGCTGTTTACCAGTTCTGCATGGGTGAGTTAGCCCCCTTGGAATCCTTGGACTGCAAAAACATTTTCTTTTTGGCCTAGTGAAATTCCGAAAGTTTTGAAATGAAATCCCTAAATGCAGAAGGCGAGAGAAAGGAAGAGAGAGAGAGAACGAGATAGAGAACGAGATAGAGAGAAGGAGAGAGATTCACAATCCAAATAACGTTTCAGACACCGAACCATATCCACAATGGGCCAGCAGATGCATGGTACGCGATGGGGCACTGATGACCGTCGGGAATCGATCGTTTTGGAAGGTAAATCGCAAGGAAATCCTGCTCCGAAGAGACTGAGAAGCCCGATAATCGACCCTCTGCAGACTGGGTCTCGACAGTTACGCCACGCTCCAAATGACGCGCTAGATCTTATCTTTATTTCAAATTACCGCTATAAAAAATTACGCTCACGGATGACTTCTGTATTTTGGAGTGTGACGTAGCTCTCGAGACTTACTGGACGCCAAGGGGTCGATTTTGGCGCTTTCTGAACCGTTTAAAGGGGCGGGCAACCCAAAATTTGACGGACTTTTGTTTGTTTTAATTTTTTGTGTTATACTAGTCAACATAATTTTCAGGTCGCGCTTCCACTCGCCGATTTCGTCGTCCAATTCCTGGTCCCTGGTCTTCTACTCGCCCTCCTTCATATCGGCTTCATTCGAGAGCCCGTCATCGATATGGGAGCAATGACGAGACAGTAGGTTCTGAGAGAGCTAGAGAGAGAGAGAGAGAGAGAGAGAGAGAGAGTGAGAGAGTGAAAGAGAGCGCGGGAAAGAGTGCGAGAGAGACAGAGCGAGAGAGAGAGAGAGTGAAAGAGAGAGCGGGAGAGAGCGAGAGAGAGATCCTAGCCTTTTTCAGCAATCGCTTCGGCCGAACGCCCAGGGACCAAACGCGAATATTAATTACCACCGTGACCGTCTCATTTCTCATCGTACAGGTCGTAAATGGCTGCATTTTGAAATTAATGAAAATTCAGGTTCCCACCGCCTTCATCACGACGTTATCGCTGACGATAAATCATTTTCAGAACAACCAGGCTTGTGGGTTTTCAAGCGCACTCTCGCTCTCTCTCTCTCTCTCTCTCTCTCTCTCTCTCTCTCTCTCTCTCTCTCTATTTCCCCCTCTCGCTCTCTCTCGCTCTCTCTCTCTCTCTCTCTCCCTCTCCAACCACCTACAATACCCCACTCCAATTTCAGTGATGGTCCTAGCCGTCGTGACGGGCCACGTCCAACCCTTCCTCTCAATATCAACGATTGCAGCCAATTGCGCGGCCCTCCTCACTGCTTATTATGTGATTGTTAAGGTATCTCCAGAGTGGTAGCAACTACGCCATGCTCCAAATTACAGGACGACGATGAGGACGTCGGCGGATCGTCCCGGAATTCGATATCTGATACGGATCATGGCCCTCAAGAGATATTACTGCAAAAACACCATCAGCATCGAAGGAATACGAGGTTGGTGTTGTAAAATTAGGTCTAGGTAGCGCTAATTACCCCAAAAACGATTTATGAGGTTGTGGTAACGCTCAAAAAGTGCAAAAAGCCTACGACACTCGGGATTCCCAAGCCGTCTCCGATCCAAGTACTAACCGAGCCCAACGTTGCTTAACTTGGCAGATCGGACGGGATGCCGTGCTTTCAACGTGGTATGGTCGTAGGCGAGGGGAGGGGGGGAAGATGCGGTCAAGAGATTTTGAGGGGTCCCCGGGAAGCCGGAAGGCTTCTTATACCCTTCCCCTGTCCCGCTATTCGCCTACGACCATACCACGTTGAAAGCACGGCATCCCGTCCGATCTGCCAAGTTAAGCAACGTTGGGCTCGGTTAGTACTTGGATCGGAGACGGCTTGGGAATACCGAGTGTCGTAGGCTTTTTGCGGCTTTTCGAGCCCAATGATCTACATTTTTGCGCTCTAAAATTGCTCAATGGTCTCTGCTAGATTGCGCAGGGTCCAAAATTCTGTTTACATTTTTGGCGAGTTTCGTTGGACACATCCAGCTTCGTAAATTTTAATTTTGGTGAAAAACTATCACAAAATTACGGTCTTCAATTTTAGATTGTCCCTGGCTAACTCGGGGTCTGAAATTAACAATTTCAAGCTTGAAAACCAACCAACAAAATTGAAAAATAGAAATGGAGAAGACGAGGCGACCGAATTATTACACTAATTCACCCAAATACCCCCAAATACCACTCGTTCTCAAAATGCAGGAGCAGCAGCACGGCCGGCCGGAAATTGTGCGTAGGCCCCGATTTCTCAGACGGCGATTTTCCGTGTCATTTTTGTGGTTTTTTTTGCTGCCATATTCCTGTGCTTCTCCGGCTTTTTAAGGCATTTCTTAAAGGGGCCTGCGAGTGATGACGGTGGATTTTTTTTGCTGTGGATTTACTCGGGATTTTTCCGCGCCGCGACCAGTGCTCGAACTGACCCCAAAATTGCCCAGGGGGACCACCGCCTGGGCCCCAGTGGCTAGGGTTAAGACCACCGCCGCGGAGCGGCGGCTATTTTTTTGCTACTTTTTTTGGAGCAGGATTAGGAATTAGGAAGGACAGGAACAGGAACCAAAGATTTGGAACAAGACGGGAAAAGGGGAAGACGGCGACTGCTGTAACTCTTGTACCCTTCCTGGCCCCTTTAAAAATAGTGACAGCGAATCGATCTCGTCCAAATTTTTCGCAGAGATACTTCTAAGTATGTAGTTTCCAAATCTCAATTCCAAAAATAATTTACGTTGCAAACAAAATTTTTTCGAGACCACCGCCGCACTGACGGGACATTTTTTCATTACAAATACCCTTCCCGGTCCCTTTAAAAATAATGAACCTGAGCCGATCTTGTCCAAATTTTTTTCAAAGGTACTTCCAAGTATGTAGTTTTTGATTATCGGTTGCAAAAATAAATTACGTCGCAAACAAAAATTTCTCGAGACCACCGCCGTCACGCCAAGCCGTTTTCTATTGAAATTTCAGCGGATACCCTTCAAGAATCTCAAAACTCCACCGATCGGGCTGAAAAGTAGTCCAGATATGCTTCGTCGTATGTAGTTTCCGAATTTGGACAATAAAAGTCATTTACTTAGAAAACAAAAATTTCTCGGGACCACCGCCGTTTTGGGGGGTGCTGGGCAGCGCGGCGATTCGGATTTTTCGACGGCTCCGCAAGCATACCAAATGACGTCCAATGGTCTTGAAACTTTGCAATTCGCTGCCCCCAGGGCTTTACTTACGGGTGTAGAAAAATCAGAATTTTACCTTCTAAACCCGCAAAATCCTGAGACCACCGCCGGTCAAAACTGCTGGGCAGTAAGTTTTGTGCAAACTCGGAAAAGCGCGTTTTTGACGGGAAAATACTTCGGCTCTGTTTCTGTTCTGCCAGTCGTTAAGTAGCCCTTTACAAGGGCTTTCGAATGGCAGGTCAACTTTTTTATTTTCTGCGCTTCTGTGGAAATCTTGAGACCACCGCCACCCTGGGCAGCAAAAATACGCTTCCTGAAATCGATGGCGGTGGTCTCACCAAATTTTTATTTGCGACGTAAATTATTTTTGCAACTGAGATTCAAAAATTAGATACTTGGAAGTACCTCTGAAAAAAATTTGGTCGGGATCGGCTCAGATTCATTATTTTTAAAGGGACCGGGAAGGGTATTTTAGATGAAAAAATCGCCCGTCGGTGCGGCGGTAGTCTCGAGAAATTTTTGTTTGCGAGGTAAATTATTTTTGCAATTCAGATTTGAAAACTACATACTTAGAAGTATCTCTGCGAAAAATTTGGACGAGATCGGTTCGCTGTCACTATTTTTAAAGGGGCCAGGAAGGGTACAAGAGTTACAGCAGTCGCCGTCTCCCCTTTTCCCGTCTTGTTCCAAATACCTGGTCCCCCCGAAAGCTCAAATTTATCCTTCTTTGCAAAGCTTTTCCCCATCAAAACATGTATAAAAATAGGTCAAGGAAAAAAGTGTCAAAAATTTCCTTTGCGAAAATGCCGATTTCTTACCTAGTAAACGATTTTTTTTAGCTCCCGCCTGCCATTTAACAAAAACCAGGGTTGAAAAACCGCTTCGCGGCTTTTCAACCCTGGCCCCGTCCAGGACCTGCGAAAGTCCTCAATTTGCATGCTTCTCCCTAAATTCTAGCAAGAAAAAAAGTGAAAAACAGCTCCTCTGTCCCTTTATATAGGCCCTCCCTACTTCCGGCGCATGCAAATTGACTCCTAACAAAGAGCTTTTTGGAAATCTTTACGAAAACTTATTTTTAATAGCGAAAACAGCCGGTTTTCCTAAATCTTATATGTGTGCACTCATCTCGGGATCCTTACGCACCTAATGACGTATCATACGTACCTTAAAAACCTTCCCTTGAGGCTGTAGGTGCGGTACATACTTACGGAAGTTGCATGCAAATATACACACACACACACACACACACACAGACACTATTTTTTTATATATAGTAGGATAAGATAAAAACAATCGTAGAAAAAAAATGCGTTAACTAGCCCTTAGACCACCGCCGAGGCCTATTTTGGACCACCGCCAGGGCCGGGATTGCCCAACCCCTTCGAGCACTGGCCGCGACACGCAACGCACAGCACGCTTGCCTTACGTAATGGATTACGCTATCTTTTTGCGACTGCCGGAACCGTGCGTGCGCGTTGCGTGTCGCGTCTGCGGCAGAATCCATACGTTCCATAGCCCGGAAAGTCCACAGCCATGACTTGTTAGTCCCTTTAAAACGTTGCTGTACCCAAAAATCTCATTTTTTTCAGGACGTATCTCTCGGTGTCTCACTCGTTCGACACCGGAAGCCTGCGATCATCGCTGTTCTCAAGAAAAGGATCGTCCTACCCTGAAGATGACATTTTGTAGGAGATGCTACGGTATCTAATTTGCATTTTTCGTTTTTGAAGATCTCAATTCGCCCATTTGCTCATGGTTCTTCAAACCCCCCAAAAATCGATTCTCTGCCCGCATTTTTCCGATTCCAATTCGGCTTCATTTTCTTGATTTGATCTGTGATTATGCGGGTTTATTGTTCCTATTCTTTTGTATTTTTTTGAGTGAAAGCCTGTTAAACGGATCTTTAATCTAGATATTAAAGGTATATCGGATTGGGTGCTAATGCAGTTACGGGGGGGGGCAGTCAAAAATTGGAAGTAAGGGGTTACGAGACGCTCCGCTTAAGCTACTTGGTTTTTAGCTTAAGCCTAGGCTTAACTTAGCTTTAACTAAGCTTAGCTTAGGCTTAAGCTTAAGCCCAAGATAAGCTTGACTTGAGCTTTAAATTGCTTTAGGAGGCCAAATTGGGGTCATTTAGGGCTAAGCTTAGAGCTAGACTTAGCTTGGCTCAAGCTAAGCTTAGACTTCGTTTGTATGAAGCTAAGCCTAGGCTGAGGCTTGGCTTAGCTTTTCCAGAGGCTTCGCGTTTAAAAAACGGCATTTGGAGTGTCTTGTAGCCAAAATCCGGACTGCTCCCCCCCAAGTGCATTAGCACCTCGGATTGGTACGTATCGCTACGTAAAAATTGACAGGATTTCTTATCATCTCCCGTTTAATCATTTTCTTGCACACAAATGGTTCGACCGGATTTCTCTACAGAAAATTATTGGCAATGCTAAACATTTCATTGCCATTTTTACTGCCGATTTATTTGGATTACTCTTAATATAAAAATCGCAAAAAATTAAGCATGATGAAAAGATCCCTTTAAAGCCAAAAAGTCAATGTTCCATGGTTTCCCATTTTCTTGCTCGCACAGATTCTCGAATACTGCCTCCAAAATTGTCATCCTCTATCCGTATGCAAAAATAAATATATTTTTTCCACGTGATTTGAGCGTAGTAGAAAATACAGAAAATAAATAAAGAGAGACACCCACGCAGACAGACATAAGCATCAATCGATATTTTCCCCCTTTTTTCGTCTCGCTCAATTTTGTTTATATTTTCCCTTTTCCACGGCCCGCCGGGGCCATTTTCACTCACGCCATTCTCAGCTAGAGGGAAATATCACGAGGCATTGTCCGTTGGTATTCCATTGTTCTTTTTCACATTTATCTAGATTAGAACTGATTTAATGCCTGAAAAGCATACCATTTTTTCGAATGTCAAAACGGTTCAAGTCGGCTTTTGGCTGCCTTAAAAGGCAAAATAACCTATAGATTTTCGTTTTAATTTCGTAGCTCTGATAAATTGTAAAAAAACCTTTGATAGTCGCAATTTCCAACCGTCACCAGCAGGGGCGTACGAGGGGGGGCAACAGGGCAAGTTCCCCCCAAAATCGGTCGAAGGCCGAAAAGTTCATAAGGGGGGACCCTTATGATTTTTTTCAATAAAAATTTTTCTGCCTGCGGCGCTGTTCATTACTGTCTTTAAGACGGTTTTTACTTCTATGAAGCCTATTTTTCCAAAATTTTTTTTGCCTGCGGCGCTGTTTTTCATTAGTGTGTCAACTGTCTATATAAAATTTTCGGATAGGGTACTCAAGGCCAGGATTTCTTATCACGCTCACCCGAGTAATTCAAAAATGTCTCTGTTCTCTGGCCCCGAGACATCTGCTAATATGGAGAAAGAATTCCAGAGTGAATTTTGGACGGGTTCGAGCATTAATGGCGTCGTAGGCTTACTATAGATCCATCGTAAAAATAGTTAATAAGTTGTTTTGTGATTTCTTTTACTATTAAAACTAAAACTAGGCTTGATAGCTCCAACAGAACGTTTGATTTTAAAGATGACGGAATTAAAAATTGTCAAACCAAGACTTAAAAGTTAAGTTACGGAAATATTTTAAGGATTAGTCGGATTGCTTCCACAGTGTGTGTCAAAACGATAGACATTTGAACGCTATTATCTCGGCCCTCGTCGAGTTTGACGTCAAGTCAACTAGCAGGGATTGTAGTGCTCGCAAAGGCGCATTTTTCCATCTACTTGAAGTTTTTTAAAATAGAGCCGTCTAATTTTATAAGCATGAGAACATGAGAACAAAATAGGACCAAAAGCAGTTATTTACGGCTTACAGTTTTTCGTAAGCACATTAAAAATGTAGTTTTACGGCCCATTAGTTATGTCCTTGCGCTATGCAATTTTTATTATCCGAATCACGTTCTAAAATAAATAAATAAAACGTTTTAGCATCATGCAATAAATAGCTTAAATCTAGGTCAAGGGATCTAAACGACGACATTAGTGCTTAAATAGGTTTATCATTAGTGTCCGCGGAGGCTGGGTCTCCATATGAACAGATGTCTAGGCAAGACATCGAGAGGGGTCCCAGGACCTGATAAGAAATCCTGGCCTTGGGTGCCCCGTCCAAAATTTTCGCCTGCGGCGCGTTTTCTGTGATGTTTTTACATGAATTTGAGCGTTTCTAACGCTTTTCCCTAATTTTTTGCGGTCTGCGGCGCTGTTATAGCTGCGATTTTTGAATGTTTTGAAAGTGGTGACGGGGGGTCGACAAAAAATTTTTCGAGTTGCCCCCCCAAAAATCGGGTTCGTGTACGCCCCTGGTCACCAGTATCAAAATCAAAAATAAGCGACCAATTGAACGCGAAAAAGCCGGCCTAAGCCAACTTTCTGGCCCTGAGCAATCCAGCAGATACCATTCAGGAATTTTGAAGGCAAAAATTGGCAGAACTGAACGTTAAAAACCGCAAAAAAACATACTTTACTCCGCTGAAATGGCACCGAAATGTCTAAAAACACTTTTTTAACCCTGAGCAAACTGGCAGAGATCATCCAGGAATTTCAAACGCAAAATTAGCATGATTCAACCCTAAAAAAAGTTACAAAAAGCCTACGACACTCGGGATTCCCAAGCCGTCTCCGATCCAAGTACTAACCGAGCCCAACGTTGCTTAACTTGGCAGATCGGACGGGATGCCGTGCTTTCAACGTGGTATGGTCGTAGGCGTTGGGAGGGAGGAGAGAGAGGGTCAAGAGGGGGTCGGGTCTCGTTCTTATACCCACTCGCCAATTTTCCTCGCATGCCCGTCCTTTTCCAGAAAAAAATATGCAAATCGGAGTGTAGCCTGACCATAAGAAGCGATGAACGCCCTGCTGTGCCTTCGCAAAACGTCGGCCCCTGGCCCTTCAGCCCCAGGTCTACAGCGTCAGAACCGGAAGACGTCACTCGTACGTACGGTGCATGATGTATTCCGCTCGATCGTTTCTACCCAACCGGTGCGTCGTTTGAAAGAAAATTCGCGTACGCATTCATCTTTTATTCAGCCGATGCCGTGCCGAGTTGCCGTCACCGATTTGAATGAAACCACAACACTCCAGATACGCTTCACCGCATTTCAGGGATGTCATAGGTGATTGTAAAAGTTGTGGTTTGTAACGTGTGGTTGCAGTCTGTAGCCCGTAGTTCTTGTTTTCTTGTTTTGCAGCGCGTATCTATTGTTTTTAGCTTGCCTTATAGTTTGTAACTCGTGGTTTTTAGCTTGTAGTATAGTTCATCATGATTTTCCATTCAGATACGCCAGATTCCGGCTTGGCAATGGATCCCAGGCTTACGTTGAGGTGCTTTTCAGTCTTGCCGATGGCGCAACGACAGGTGCGAAGGTTTTACCCCATTTTTTTTGGTTGGCTAACCGTTCGATACTACTGTGCGTGCCAAAATTGGAGGGGAATGACCTGGGAAATTGCGCATTTTGGAACTACTTGAAATCCGTTTACGACGATGTTTAGTGCTGTCAGCCGACGGACGTCACCTAGAAGGCAGCACCCTCCAAGCCCATCTCCGCCCCAACAGCCCGCAACTCATCGACTTCGCCCAAAGAGCTAATTTTGTAAATGTGTGTATTTTAGCAGAGAGAAAGAGACAGACAGAGAGAGAGAGAGAGAGAGAGAGAGATAGAGAGGGATAGAGAGAGAAAGAGCGAGAAAGAGAGAGAGAGAGAGAGAGAGAGAGAGAGAGAGGGGGGAGAGTGAGTGAGGGAGAAATAGAGAGAGCGCAGAGAGATAGAGATAGAGAGGGATAGAGAGAGAGAAAGAGCGAGAGAGATAGAGAGCGAGAGAGCAAGAGAGAGATTAAGAGCGAGAGAGCGAGAGAGAGAGAGAGAGAGAGAGAGAGAGAGAGAGAGAGAGAGAGAGAGGTGATTCCATATTTTCCAGATCTACCTCGACGAATCGTTACTCTGCCGTCTCCGCCTCGATTTGAAAGGCTTGGCCCTCTCTTGTTTGAATGTTTATGGGGACGTGAATGTGGATGAGGTCAGCACAGGTTCGTACAGTAGTAAGCAAAATTTGAAAATTGCGATTTTGAGTTGGATTTCCTCAAAAATTCCATTTTTCCAGTAACCAACCAGCGGGAGCAGATGCAGGCATTGTTTCGAAGTGGCCGCAAAACGTTCGATTAAACCAGTACTGGAGATTTGTATAAAAAATGCTGAATTATTTTGTATTTAAGGTTTTTGCTGGTGTTTAAAACATCAAAAAGAACAAAAATAATTTTTAAACTCATTTGTCACACTGGGATTTGTCCAAATACGTCCAAAATTTGGTTCTTTTGTGGTGCCGTTTAAGAAGTTGAATAAAACCAACATCAATTAAAAATGATAAAAACACAATATTTAAGCAATTCTACAGTAATGAAAAAAATTTTAAATAAAGTTAAAAAATTAAAAAAATTAGGTGCTTTTAGAAATCTAGTAAAAGTCTCTTAGTGACGTGTCAAATTCAGCAAAATAAAGCATTTTTTATCCAGCACCAACACCCGAAAACGTGAATTATTACAGTAGGAAAAGTACAAAAAACGACTAGGATATGCTTGGCACATGGTCATACAACGGCAGATTCTCCTCAATCCTCTCGCGGGCCTGGGCGGGTGTCGGACGCTGCCCGGGCTCCCATTCCCAACACCATTCCATTATGGTCGCCCTGAAAGTGGCATATTATTTTTTAATTATTAAAAAATCCAGTACATTTAACAAGTAACCATTCAAAAAAATCAGATACACAGACTAGTCGAAAGGCCCTGCTGGTTACCAAATTTAACCTTAAAACGAAACTGAATCGCCTGAAAAACCCCTTCAAAACAAATAAAAAGTTTGTTTGGACCTTGAGCAATCTAGCAGAGACCATGTAGGATTTTAGAGCGCAAAAATGAACATAAGTGAGCATCAAAAAGTGCAAAAAGCCTACGACACCCGGGATTCCCAAGCCGTCTCCGATCCAAGTACTAACCGAGCCCAACGTTGCTTAACTTGGCAGATCGGACGGGATGCCGTGCTTTCAACGTGGTATGGTCGTAGGCGAGAGGAGGAGGGGGAGCAGGGGTCAAGACAGTTTGGGATATCCCGAGAGTCGTAGGCTTTTTGCACTTTTTCAGGGTTGAATTCTGCCCATTTTTCCGTCATAGAATTCCTGAATTCTCTCTGCTAGCTGGCTCAAGTGCTAAGTGTATTTTTAAACACATTTTTGAAGTGTTTCAAGTATCTTTGGCTCCAGACTTCCGGTATTTTAACCCGACGAAATCGCGTCTTTCACTTACATAAACGGAGGCGCATCTTTTGGGGGTTCCAGCCGGATGCCCTTCTTCAAATGCTTCAGGATATCTTCAGTCGGGATCGTCGGGAACGGGACCGTGCCATAGGAATACGCCTCCCAAAGCAGCACACCAAATGCCCACCTGAAAATTTGGCTTAAAGGGGCCGTGAAGCGTCAAAATCGACCCCTCAGATTTGACTCGGTGTTGACAAGTCGATGTTCGCACTTCCTACCGCCTTTAAATCGGCATAGTATTTTTCGTATTTGTGCTTTTGCATTATCGTGGGAGGGTTTCCAACCGGATTCCTACTGTTTTCTAAGGGTCCAGTTTTCTAATATCAATATAGAAACTGTTTTTTTTGCTGAAACTTTAGAAATTTGCATTCAAAATACAAAAAAGCAGATTTTTGACGAAAAATGGCCTATTTTTACCACAATTTTTAAATTATCTAGTTTTTTAGATAATTCTTGCGCTTGAAATATGGTTAAATGTTCCTAAAAACACAATTAAAAGATTTGTTATCCCACCTTATATAATTTGGTCGCGTATGTGTGTGTGTGTGTGGATGTCACTTTCGAGGCCCGATTTGAGGGCCTTCCCGTGTCCAAAATGCCCTAATTCTCCGTCACCCGGGGAAATCGACCCTTCTGTTTCCGATGGCGTTTTTAGAATCCCGATAACATACAAGTTTACAAAGTTAAAGCCGGTTTTATTGATTTTTGGGGGTCCCTGAGGGCTAATTTGCATAATGCGAGAAAATACAAATTTCCTCATTCTTGCCAGTTGCACTCGCGCGTTTGGCTGCCTCATTGGAGCTGCCTCCGATTGCCTTTGCTCCCCTTTCCCGGCAGTCACCTCGGGCATACAAGGGGTTTTTGCGCGCGCGCTCTAAAGCATTTCATGGTATAGCGGTTAGAGCGTCGGCCTGCCAATCTTGCTATCGGGGGTTCGATCCCCGGCTTTATGCTCGGAATGCATGTTTCGAAGTGTATTTTCCTGTAGGGAGGCGCTATTCTGAAGTCAGTTGCTCTAAACTGCGTCGCAGGCTAACGAATACAGCTAGGCACTGAAACTAGCGCCGCAGGCTAAAGATTCAGGCTCATCCCTCAAGCTAGCGCCGCAGGCTTTAGAACGAAGCTAGCCGCTCAAGCTAGCGCCGCAGGCTTTAGAACCAAGCTAGCCGCACAAACTAGCGCCGCAGGCTTCAGAACGAAGCTAGCCGCACAAACTAGCGCCGCAGGCTTCAGAACGAAGCTAGCCGCACAAGCTAGCGCCGCAGGCTTCAGAACGAAGCTAGCCGCACAAGCTAGCGCCGCAGGCTTCAGAACGAAGCTAGCCGCACAAACTAGCGCCGCAGGCTTCAGAACGAAGCTAGCCGCACAAGCTAGCGCCGCAGGCTTCAGAACGAAGCTAGCCGCACAAGCTAGCGCCGCAGGCTTCAGAACGAAGCTAGCCGCACAAGCTAGCGCCGCAGGCTTCAGAACGAAGCTAGCCGCACAAACTAGCGCCGCAGGCTTCAGAACGAAGCTAGCCGCACAAGCTAGCGCCGCAGGCTTCAGAACGAAGCTAGCCGCACAAGCTAGCGCCGCAGGCTTCAGAACGAAGCTAGCCGCACAAACTAGCGCCGCAGGCTTCAGAACGAAGCTAGCCGCACAAGCTAGCGCCGCAGGCTTCAGAACGAAGCTAGCCGCACAAGCTAGCGCCGCAGGCTTTCAGAACGAAGCTAGCCGCACAAGCTAGCGCCGCAGGCTTTCAGAACGAAGCTAGCCGCACAAGCTAGCGCCGCAGGCTTCAGAACGAAGCTAGCCGCACAAACTAGCGCCGCAGGCTTCAGAACGAAGCTAGCCGCACAAGCTAGCGCCGCAGGCTTCAGAACGAAGCTAGCCGCACAAGCTAGCGCCGCAGGCTTCAGAACGAAGCTAGCCGCACAAGCTAGCGCCGCAGGCTTCAGAACGAAGCTAGCCGCACAAGCTAGCGCCGCAGGCTTCAGAACGAAGCTAGCCGCACAAACTAGCGCCGCAGGCTTCAGAACGAAGCTAGCCGCACAAGCTAGCGCCGCAGGCTTCAGAACGAAGCTAGCCGCACAAGCTAGCGCCGCAGGCTTCAGAACGAAGCTAGCCGCACAAACTAGCGCCGCAGGCTTCAGAACGAAGCTAGCCGCACAAGCTAGCGCCGCAGGCTTCAGAACGAAGCTAGCCGCACAAGCTAGCGCCGCAGGCTTCAGAACGAAGCTAGCCGCACAAGCTAGCGCCGCAGGCTTCAGAACGAAGCTAGCCGCACAAACTAGCGCCGCAGGCTTCAGAACGAAGCTAGCCGCACAAGCTAGCGCCGCAGGCTTCAGAACGAAGCTAGCCGCACAAGCTAGCGCCGCAGGCTTCAGAACGAAGCTAGCCGCACAAGCTAGCGCCGCAGGCTTCAGAACGAAGCTAGCCGCACAAGCTAGCGCCGCAGGCTTCAGAACGAAGCTAGCCGCACAAACTAGCGCCGCAGGCTTCAGAACGAAGCTAGCCGCACAAGCTAGCGCCGCAGGCTTCAGAACGAAGCTAGCCGCACAAGCTAGCGCCGCAGGCTTTCAGAACGAAGCTAGCCGCACAAGCTAGCGCCGCAGGCTTCAGAACGAAGCTAGCCGCACAAGCTAGCGCCGCAGGCTTCAGAACGAAGCTAGCCGCACAAGCTAGCGCCGCAGGCTTCAGAACGAAGCTAGCCGCACAAGCTAGCGCCGCAGGCTTCAGAACGAAGCTAGCCGCACAAACTAGCGCCGCAGGCTTCAGAACGAAGCTAGCCGCACAAGCTAGCGCCGCAGGCTTCAGAACGAAGCTAGCCGCACAAGCTAGCGCCGCAGGCTTCAGAACGAAGCTAGCCGCACAAACTAGCGCCGCAGGCTTCAGAACGAAGCTAGCCGCACAAGCTAGCGCCGCAGGCTTCAGAACGAAGCTAGCCGCACAAGCTAGCGCCGCAGGCTTCAGAACGAAGCTAGCCGCACAAGCTAGCGCCGCAGGCTTCAGAACGAAGCTAGCCGCACAAACTAGCGCCGCAGGCTTCAGAACGAAGCTAGCCGCACAAGCTAGCGCCGCAAGCTTCGGAACGAAGCTAGCCGCACAAGCTAGCGCCGCAGGCTTCAGAACGAAGCTAGCCGCACAAGCTAGCGCCGCAGGCTTCAGAACGAAGCTAGCCGCACAAGCTAGCGCCGCAGGCTTCAGAACGAAGCTAGCCGCACAAGCTAGCGCCGCAGGCTTCAGAACGAAGCTAGCCGCACAAGCTAGCGCCGCAGGCTTCAGAACGAAGCTAGCCGCACAAGCTAGCGCCGCAAGCTTCGGAACGAAGCTAGCCGCACAAGCTAGCGCCGCAGGCTTCAGAACGAAGCTAGCCGCACAAGCTAGCGCGGCAGGCTAAGGAATAAAGCCAATCATTGAAGCTAGCGCCGCAGGCTTAAAGAAGGAGGTAACCGTTCAAATTGCGCCGCAGGCTTAATCTTGAAGCAAACCGCTCAAGCTGGCGCCACAGGCCAAAAAAGAGGCTAATCCCTCAAGCTTGGGCTGCAAAATAATGTAGCGACCTAGCCGATGAAACATGCGCCGCAGGCCTAATAACGAGACTAGCAGTTCAAGCTTGCGCCGCATGCCAATACAAAGAGGTTTTCATGGGAGATGCGTTTTTCTTTCTTCAAGGTAACTTTATGTGGAAGGGCGCTCGATTAATAGGGCCTAGACGGGATCCAGCGGGGGAGAGTCGCGAAGCGGCTCCTCCCCCGCTGGTTACCTTAATAACTTTTTTAGGCTTTTAGGAAAAATTTAGTTCCTTACCTAGTAAGGTCCAGAGACGAGAATTAGAAATTATAAATCAACGCTGAACAACAGAAATTTAGCTGTCTTTTATCAATATATTTTTTGAAATTAATTATACAAAATCATTAGCTTATAAAAACTGACATATCAGTGCTCGCCGAAAATGCGGCCATTTCGATGGATTCCGGCGCCATCCACCGCAACGGCAATTTCCCTCCTCTCGACGAATACCACATCTCATCGCTGTGGCGGCACAACCCGAAATCCGACAGCTGAAATCCAGAATTTTGCTTCAAAAACCTTTGCTAGCTTGCCTTGGCCACCTTATCGCCAGTCAGAAGAACATTCCTGGCAGCGATATCGCGATGGATGATTTGCTTCTCGGAGAGGTAGGCCTGGAAAAAACGGTTCTTTCGAGTTATCGGGGGGAAGGGGTGTCAGCGTTTTGCCAGGATCTAATTAGCTTAGCTTGAAAAATGATTTTTAAACAATTCTTAAACGTAAAACTTTACAAAATTGAATTAGAGAATACAAAAAAATGGTGATTTTCGATCAAAATGGACCGATTTTTTTAGCAAAATTTCAAATAAAAAATTTATTCTACATTATCTGTGGTTTCCCGTTTTAAATATCGTTTAATTTTACTAAAATCACTGGTAAAATATCTACGATTAATTTTCTTGACATCTCGTCTCGATATAAAAAATCCCCCGCCCGATAATGCAAAAGAATCAGGCAAACTAGTAATTAAAAACCGGCATTAAATAAATTATAAAATTGCGAAAAAATGCATAGAAAATATAATTCGTGGTATTAAAAGGTTAAAATCAGCATACCAGCGCATCACAGACATCCCACGCCACGTCGGCAAGGTCTTGCAACGTCAAGGTTTTACGCTGGCCTTTCTGAAATTTCATTTTTTTTGGGCAAAGAAGGGTTTCAAGGGCCGTTAGAGACGCGACACGCACTCTTCGCGCATTTTATTAATGCGGCTCGCGTCGCGCCGCGCGGCAAAATCCATGGAGAATCCATAGACAAAATCATAGTCCTGGCTTGTAGAGCTCATAGTTGCCTAATCGGCTGTTTTCATGTCGTGATCGAATCCTAGTAGAGAGACGGAGAGAGAGAGAGAGAGAGAGAGAGAGAGAGAAGGAGATAGAGAAAGTGCGAGAGAGATAGAGAGATAAAGAGCGACTAGAGAGAGATAGAGAATGAGAGAGAGAGAGAGAGCGAGAGAGTGAGAGATATAGTGAGGGAGTGAGTGAGAGAAAGAGGGAGAGAGAGAGAGAGAGAGAGAGAGAGAGAGAGAGAGAGTGAGAAAGATACAGAGAAAAATATGGTGAGCGAGAGAGAGAGAGAGAGAGAGAGAGAGAGAGAGAGAGAGAGAGAGAGAGAGAGAGAGCGAGAGCGAGAGCGAGAGAGAGAGACGAGAGCGAGAGCGAGAGAGAGAGAGAGAGAGAGAGAGAGAGAGAGGGAGCGAGAGCGAGAGAGACTCCATCTTCTCACCTCCAAATCGACATCCAAAATCTCGTCATATTGATGCTGATCCTTTTCTTTCTCCTCTTTCTTCTGTTGTTTCTGCATTGCCTTCACGATCGTATGCAAATCACCCATTTCACACAGTTCCAGCAGGATTTGTGGCGTTTTCGGGTCGGTCGAACAGGCCAACATTGACAGGAGATGCGGATGGTAATCCAGTGTTTTCATGAAGGCGATCTCGCGGAAAAATTCGCGCCTAGAAAGTTCAGATTCCATTTTAAAGGGACCTGGAAGGCAGAAATCGACGAAAGCTTCGGTACTGGACTTTTCCCTTTAACCCCCATTTTTCGCTTACCGTTCCGCCGGGGTGATATGCAAATGAGGCGTTTTCACGGCCACCCGATTCTCGCCGTGCGTAAACGGCTGTTCAGATTCCTGAAAATCGTAGGAATTTTTAAGTGTTCTAACAGCTAAGTTCTAAAATTTTTACGGCTTCTGAAATTACCATAACCCAAAAATCTGATAAATGTAAGTTTTTGGCAAAACTCACAAAGAGCTTCGCGTGTATGATGCAAACGTTCGGGAGTCCGGAAAGAGTGGCCAGGTACACAGAGGCATAAGCCCCACTTCCAAGCTTATTATGGGAGACATGGAGGTGGAGGGGATCCACTTCCCATTCGTCATTTACACGCTTGATTCGACCGGCAGAACCGAACATGTTCTCGCCGTCTTCTACCTGAAAAATAGGATCTCTCGCTTACTTTCTCTGGCACTCTCTCTCTCTCTCTCGCCCTCTCTCTCTCGCCTGTTGATCTTTCTCTTTGTTCCACACACAATCTCTCACTCTTTCACTCTCGCTCTCTGTCTGTATGTCTGTCTGTCTCTAACTCGTGCACTCTCTCGATCTCTCTCTACTCTCCGCTCTCGCTCTATTTCTCTCTAGCTCTCTCACTTTCGCTATCTCTCTCGCTCTCTTTCTCTCTCTCTCTCTCTCTCTCTCTCTCTCTCTCTCTCTCTCTCTTTCTTTCTCTCTCTCTCTCGCTCTGCGCTCTCTCTCTCTCTCTCTCCAACTCACATCCAGCCAATTGACCGACAAGTTCAGCTTGGTCTCCAGGAAATCGTGCAGTTGACGAGCAGGTCCATTCAGGATTCTAAATCCGAATTTGAGACCTAATCGGCGAAATTCCAAGTGTCACCGCCTTTTTAAACCCGTGGTAACGGTTTGCCGAGCTGTCACGGTCCCTTTAAAACGGAACACCCGAAATTCCTGACTGTCCGTGCCCCTTTAACACCGTCTACCTCATTTTCTTGATGTCACCGTCCCTTTAAAGGGATTGGCAAGGCATATGTATGGTTTTTTTGGCCATTACCCTCTTTCAAAAGCATACCCAAGCCTGGCCAAGATGGCGCAAGTGATCGCTGTCATCAACGCCGCGCCTCCAACCACAGCCAACGGCACCAACAAGGCCAACTCGGGCCCACTGCTCTGTGTTGGGTCCTCTGAAAAATGCGCCTTCTACCGTATCCCTGGCCGTGTCTTACTGTAATTGGTGCACATCCCGTAGTTCTGCGAGACTTTCGCGTCGTCCGACATCGAGTCAACCGCCTAAAAATCTGATTGTATTGTTATTTTTGTTAGTTGTTTTTTATTTGTAGTTAGTTTATTTTAAGTTCATTTTCATTTAATAGACTTTTTATTTTTTGCTTTTGTCGACTCCCCAATCTTTGAAAATGACCGGTCTTTAATTCTGTCAAATTCTGGAAGCTTGGAAATCGTCGAAAAACGCTAAAAATGGCAAAATTAAACCATTTCAGTTGATTTCGATGCAAATTGGTTTGGCTAAGAGCTTTATCGTTTTTTTTTGGTGCATAAATGGGTAGAACGGGGGTCATTCTCCAATTTTTAAATGGGTTCAAGTTTGCAAAAATTGTAAAAAATGCACTTAAGACGAAATTGACGCATTTCAAAACGCATTTTGCAAGGCTTTAAAACCATGAGTTATAATAAAAATAGCCTATCAAAATTCACAAAAAAAAATTTCAATTTTTTTGGAAAACAGACCCAATCAAAGTATCCCTCAGAGTCCTGTTTCAGTTGCTGTAGAAACGTCTCGGTGCTCGCTTGGATTGACTTGTCCTGGAAAGTCGGATTTATTTTTGTACCGTAAATGTGTTACGCGATTAAATTTAGATTAACTGAATTCATTAATTAGACACCGTGGGAACCAGGTTTAAACGGTAAATTAATTGAAAATTGCTGCACTTTAAGGATTATCCACAGACCCTGGTCCAAACAATGCGAATAATCGTCTTCAACAGCAATTCCTGCTGCAATCGCCATTGCACAAAATTGCCCAACGGTTCCCCGAATTCGTTCAGAACTAAAAAAGACGAATCACGCCATCCAAGAACAGTGGTAAAAGCGGAAAACCGCGAAAAAGCAAAATGTCCGTCCCGGTATTGCTAAAATAACCCACTGAAATCATCGGACGCATCGATGATGACAATCATGGCGTACTGTAGATCGTCATTCTTCCGGACCTGGTCCGATTTGTCAAACATTTGACGCATATCGTCTACGGTAGACAGGCTGGAAAATTAATATTTTACAAAAAACACCATTTTTGAGGAAATACGTTAAGTCTGGAGGCCTGAACGCGTTGCGGCCGCGTTGCGTATCTATTTCTCTGGCCATAACGATACGCAACGCATCCGCAAAGGCGTGGTCTCTCTTCCCAAAAGTTTTAAAGGGACTCAGAAGCTTCAAAATCGACCCTTCCAGCTCCTAGGTGTCGACAACTACGTGATGAGCCAAAACACGCGCGTATTGCATGTATTTTCCGGTTTTTACGACAAAAAATTTAAGGCGTCATTTGCAGCGTAGTCTAGCCGACGAGACCCAGGCCATGAAGGCGGTTGCTTTTTAGGCTTCCTCGGCCCTTTAAACGCGCCCTTTGGTGCGAAAAATTCCTAGAAATTCAGATCTTTTCAGTGCGTAATTTAATCGGGGCTTTTTTACCTATTTACGCCCTAAAATTAAATGATTTTTGGCTTTCGAGTCCCTTTAGTGCAGCTAAAAATCCAAAAATCAGCGCTTACTCTTTGCCAATGACCAGATAATTAAAAACATCGGTCGTGTCATTGTCCGGATACGAGTACAGCTCACTCAAGTTACGCACCACAGGCGTTTGAATGCCTAAAAATCAGTATTTTGGGTTTAAAGGGGCAATGCAGGCAGTTTTGTATGGATTTCTGAAAATTCTGTCGAAAAACATGATTCAGATTTTTTTAGAGAATTTTGAACCTTTAAAAAATCCAACTCACGCCAATCGTAGTCCCCAAAGATCAGGGTGCTGAAAAAAAATCGAAATGCTAAAAAGCGTAAAAATCGTACTTTGGCGCCCCGCCATCCTGTTCAATATCGTAGCAGGGCTTTAGAATTTGCTTCGTCACGTGAAGATTTCTGAAAATTCGCCCATTTGTTCCATTTTTCATAAATTCTCTCTGCTAGTTGCCGATCGTCCAAAACATTATCATGCCTTCCCAGCCCCCTTTAAAACACCCTACCGTATCGCATCTTTTTGACTCGTCTCCTCGAGCATCACAATAATATAGATAAAATACTGCTTTCGGCATTTTGTCTTGTCGACGTTGGTGGCTACTAAATTATCATTTGATTCATTTATCTGTCATCGATCTCTCTCTCGCTCGCTTGCGCGCTCTCTCTCTCTCTCGCTCTCTCTCTCTCGTTCTCTCTCTCCTCGCTCTCTCTCTCTCTCAGTCTCTGTTCTCTCTCCCTCTCGCTCTCTCTCTCTCTCTCTCTCTCTCATCTAACCCAAAAACCTACACGATTTGCAATTCGGCAGCAAATCTGTCCGCAGGTCGGCCAGTAAGAATGGAAAAATTAGGAATAGCAGCCATATTGACATTTTAAGGGCCAAAGAATACAATAAAATTGCCGGCGCACTGTAGCTTCGGCAAAACTTGTAGTTTGTAGTCTACAAAAATCGGCAAAATCGATTGCTTCGGTGGATTTCTACGCAAATCTTCTCAGATAAATACAGAACAGTCGTAGCGTATCGTAGCGTTGCGTGGCGTAAAGTAACGTAAAGTAGCGGAGCGTAGCCGGTCGTAGCGTAGCGTTTCGTAACCTATTACAGCGTATTTTTCGTTGCGTAAGTAGCGTATCGGAGCGTAGCGTGTCAGAATTATGGTCAATTAACGTGGGGCGGCGTAGATACGCTTGGGGTTTCGTATGGTAGGTAGCGTAGCGTAATGTAATAGAAAAGTACGCTACAAAGTATTTGGATTTTCTGATTTCGAAAAGTTGGCGTAAATCGATGTAATTTCGTGTGGGCGTCGCTCCGTTGACGCGCCAGAGCCGGCTTATTTTGTCCGGCTGACTTTTCAGGCCGGATTACGTGATAACGGACCGTTATGGAGCATGACGGAAATATGGCTAGAATGAGCCGGATGGACTTGGTGTTCTCACGTCTTAAGGAAAGCCGATACCGGCAAGAAAATGCCGAAATGTTAAAAAATGCCGACAGGGCCACAAAGCAGGTAAGGATCGGCCTTTACAGATTTTCTGGGTCGGGATTTTGGAATTCTGAAAATATGGGAGCTATCGAGATTTGTCGGCATTCTATATAAAATACCGAAAGTACCTGGAAAATCAAATATTCCAGATTTTAGAGTGAGCGGTTTCGAAAGCCCGAAATTTTGTGTGGTATTTGAATTGTCGAGCTTTGTCGGTATTATTTCTTAAAATTCCGACATCACATGTCGAAATATCATCCCAGAAAGCCTATGTACGTCATTTTGAATCATCGTCTTTTGTCGGCATTATTGCTATGATGCGGCTCCTTCGAAAACCAATGTTTTTCGGAGCTTCATGAGGCGCAATTCTTCGGTATTTTCCGAAGTCGGCATTTAGTCAAAATTCCGAAAATACCCACGAGCGAATTTATGCGAAAAGGAAAAATAAACGCAAATTTAGGTTTTTTATAGCTTTGAAAAACATTTATTTACACGGCAAATTGAGACCAGCACAGCAAATAGGTGGAAAACGGCATAAAAATCACAAAACAATAAATTATAGCCTGAGGCTACCAACGGATATTGTCTCAGGTATCTCTGTGTATTCACCACCGTCTTCATCATCTGGCACTTCCGTTTTTGCAACTCGAGAATAGCCGGGACCCAACATTCCACCGTCGTCACTTCTGGAAATTGGAAAGGTGTCTCTATCTCTCTCTCTCTCTCTCTCTCTCTCTCTCTCTCTTTCTCTCTCACTCTCTCTCGCTCTCGCTCTCTCTCTCTCTGTCGTTCCATAGCTCTATCGCTCTCACTCTCTCGATCTCTCGCACGCCCTCTCTCCCGCCCTCTCTCTCTCTCTCTCTCTCTCTCTCTCTCTATCTTTCTCTCTCTATCTCCTCACTTACCCAAACATTAAATATCCATAACTACCAGCCCCAAGCTCTATTTTACTATAGAAAAGGGCTGATAGTTGCTCGGCCGTCGCTCTTTCGTCCGGATCCATCATCCCACAAGTTTTCATCGCGTCTTGCCTGAAAGATGATTTTTTGGCGGCTTACTGGGGCGCACTTTTAGAATTACAGTACTCCGCCAAAATCTGCGGCATAATGCATTCCTCCAAAAACCGACATAAAATCCGGTGTATTCCTCGGTATCTCGAGTCGATCTCCGGCCTTTAAATATTCCAGGACGTCGTCACTTTCGATCGTTGGATACGGTACAGCTCCCAACGAAAACATTTCGTAGAGTAAAACGCCGAAACTCCAGCTGAAATTTTGCATTTTCTGTCTCTCTCTCTCAATCTCTCGCTCTCTCCCTCTTTCTCTCCGTCTCTTTCTCTCCTTCTCTCTCCACCCACATATCCGTTTTGTCCGAATATTCCGCTTTCTCGATCGATTCCGGTGCCATCCACTTCAACGGCAACTTTGTGGCCTTCGTTTTCGCTTGATACATCATATTCTGGCTCTCACGGCATAGACCGAAGTCGGACAACTGGAAACAAGCTCAAATCATAAACGCTTTGTGTTGAAAGGAAGGAAGTTCGATTATGGTATAAATAAAAACCGCGAAGCGGTTGCAAAATATGTCCGCCACCCGCAACGCATCAGCAGCGCATTCGAAACCCGTCCGCAACGCACCCGCAACAGACCCGCAGCGTGCCAGCAGTGTCCACGCGACGCCCCAACAACAGCCCAATAACGTGCGCGTCGCGGGCCGCTTCCGAAGCGAGCCGCGACGTGCGCGTAAAAGATTCGCGACGCGCCAGCATTGCGTTCGCAACGTACGCGCAGCGTCTAACAATGCACCCTCAACGCAGCAGGAACGTCCGCGCAGCGTGTTCAAGCGGTTCAGCCGCCGCTGCGGTTAAGGGGGCTAGGAACCGCTGAAATCGACCCTTTCCAACAGCTGGGTCTCGACAGCTACGTGACACACCAAGATATGTCTGATGCAAGAGCTCTTTTTAGTACGTCGCCTAGCTATCGAAACCTAGTACGCGCAGGAGGTCGATTTTGAGTGTTTCTGATCTCTTCAAAGGTACGGGAACAGCTAGAATACCGTACCTTAGCCATCTTCGCTTTCGTCACCAAAATATTCCTGGCAGCGACATCTCGATGGATCAACTTCTTCTGCGTCAAATACACCAGAGCATCAGATATTTGCCAGGCTATCACCAGAAAATCTTCAGGCTGTATCGTTGCCGTAGTTGCCTGAAATTTCGGGATCGACCTTCCTAAAAAATTGCCCCTATACGGTAACACTCCCGTCTTAAAAAAAAAATTTAAAAAGGAAGGGTTTTGTTAAATTACAGGATTTTTGTATTTTTGAATCTCCTCCGCCGTAACCCACCGTGGACCGAAATGCGAGTAGTTGTAGATTAGAGAGAAGATCCCCCAATTCGCACAACTCGAATACCATATAGGGAAATAGAGGGTAGGTAGAGCAGCCCAACATTGACAGAATATGAGGGTGGAAATCCAGGCTTTTCATGAAAGCGACTTCTTGCAGGAATTCCCATCTGGAAATGAGGTTTCCCATATTCGTATCCAGTACAGAGTGACCCAATAAAAAACACCCCGCTAACTCAATGCAGAAGTATCGGTTGGAAATGATAGTTTCACCATTCGAAAGCCCTTGAAACGCCGAGTTTGTCACAATCTTCAAAACCATGTTTTTGGTTAAACCTGCGATTTACAAGCTATTTTGTAGAATTTTGCGGTTTTTTGGGGTTGCATACGGGCTATTTTGCCTCAATTTTCCCAAGTAAAATGACCGGAAGTAGCCGTAACTAGGTGTTGACGCCGTTCTTTAATGATTTTAAATTCGTTTTAGAATGGCACGTTTCACAAAAAAATAGTTTTGAAGATTGTTGCCAACTGGCCATTTCAAGGGCTTTCGAATGGTGTAATTAACGTTCCGATCCGATACTTCCGCGTCGAGTTAGAGGGGGGTCTTTGGTTTATTGGAGCACTCTGTACTGTGGTCCCAAACAAGCCCTAAAATTTACTTTTCTTCCGGGCTGGCCGTGTCGTGCGGTCTTTTGACGGCTACCGGATTCTCCAGCTCATTTAAGAGACCGCCGAGCTAAAAATGTGGATCTTTAAAATCAGAGAGAGAGAGAGAGAGAGAGAGAGAGAGAGCGTCGAGCGTGAGAGAGCGTGAGAGAGGGAGCGACCGAGAGAGAGACAGAGAGTGGAAGAGAGAGAGATACAGAGTTGCAAAATCTACATTCAGCTGTGGATATATCTTCGCCACAGGCGGCATCCCCGATAGAATTCCGCTAAAAACAGCTGCAAAAGCGCCACTTCCCAGCTTCTCCGTGCTGATATGCAAATCATGCGGATTCACCTCCCAAGGGTCGGCTTCCCTGAAAAATACGATCGAAAATACGTGACCCGAAATTACGATATTTTTGAGTTATAGTAAAGTACGTTTTTAATCTATTTTTTTACTTACTTTTTCCATTCCTTCACGTATCTCTCGAAGCCATTGTCCGTGTAGTCGGCGTGGAACTAAAAACATTTTTAACAAGAGAAAAAAGTTTTTTAAGAAGGTCACTTGCTACCGTACCCTGACAAGGAACCGTAGCTTGAAGCCCAGCCATCGCTCCAGGCTTGAGTACAACCAATAGGCCGGCCGATTCAGCCAGCTAAAACATGCATAATTTTACAGTAAAGGAGCTTGATTTGGCACTTCTCTGAGCCTGAAACGCAGCTAAAACCCCTACTTTGTTTGGGTGAGCAGTATCCCGAGAATTATCAGCAATACAAATAGTGCAAACAGAAACGATGACACGCCAATGGCCACCGGTATCCAGGGGGTTCTTTTGATTGGAGGGGGAAGGGTCGTTTCTGGAATTAAGGTTAAAGGTGAAGCTGAAGCGAGAGAGTGAGAGAGATAGTAATAGAGTGATAGTGAGAGAGAGGGAGAAAGACAGATGAAAAGCCAGAACGAGAGAGACAGACAGTGAGCGAGAGAGCTTCAGGATGAGCGAGAGAGAGAGTGTGAGAGCGAAAGAGAGAGCGAAAGAGAGCGTGCGAGAGATGGAGTGAGAGAGAGTGAGGGCTAGAGAGAGATAGACAGGGAGCAGAGATGGAGTGAGAGAGAAAGCGAGAGAGAGCGTGAGAGAGAGAGAGAATGATAAAGAGAGAAAGAGAGAGAGAGAGCGATAGAGGGAGCACGCGAGAGATATGTAGAGAGAGAGAGCGAGAAAGGAGAGCGAGAAAGAGCGAGAGAGTGAGAGAGAGAGAGTGAGAGAGAGTGAGAGAGCGCGAGAAATACCCGGCGGTGTCGCGCACATCCCATAATCCATAGCCACCTTGCTGGAATTTGACAAGTCATCGACTATCTAAAATACAGCAAAACTACCGTATTGACAATTCTCCGACTTACATAATCAATATACCCATTCGTCGACCCGCGCGTCGCATTCAAATATTGCGTCACGTTCGCTGGGAGCGTCGTGTTCTATAAAAATTTCTCATTATTCGCGTAAAAAAATTAGTTTTAAAACTGAATGTATATTAGATTTAATTAAATTTGGATTTAATTGTTAAAATTAAAAAAAGCGCTATTACCGTACCGGATGCGTAAAAATTATCCTCAACACAAGATTCCTCTCGACAATCTGCCTAATCCACCTATCCACATAGATGCTGATGCCGAGGAATTTTTGGGATACTGTAAAAGATATGATTTTTTAAGGAAATATAATTTTAATTTTTTTTGGGTATGTCAAGGGCCCTATAATCGTCTTTTTTTGCTACAGTACACCCGAAAAATTATGGCGATTTTGGGATACGGTGAATAATACTGTTTCAAAAAATTATCGGGAACGAGTTTTAGAACACCTATAAAAAAATTTAGCATTTTTATTTATATTTATAATATAAAAAGTATTTGCATTTTTTGTATGAAATTTTTATAACCGATTATTTATAACTTATTTTATAACTTTTTATAAGTATTAGCATAGCTCCTGAAATAATGTCGACTACAGCAGGCCGTAAAAAAATTGAAAGTTTATAAATCACTATTAATTTTAAAAACCAAATTTAGTTTTAATAATAATAATTTTTATCTATTTTATCTAAGTTTAGCTCGTATGAAAATTACCAGTAGGCCCATCCATATTCAAAAAGAACAAAATCACGGGCTGATACGAGGAGTCGTTGCAATATTTCCCCTCCATATCGGTCACCGTTTGCAGGCTGTTGTTCACCCGCTGGTCGTTTAGACCGCTAAAAAATTAACCAAATTAATAGGAATTTTTAAAGGCCTAAAGCGCCAAAAATCGACCCTTTCCAGCCTCTAGGTCTCGACAGCTACGCGCCAATCCAAGTTACACGTCCTAATTGCGCCAAAATTCAGCCTGATTGCGTTTTAGGGCCGCTGTCGAGACCTAGTGGATCGAGATCGATTCTCGCACTTACCAGTCCCTTTAAAGGACCAGTTAAGACAAATTAAGGATTTTTTTGGGCTGTAGATATTTGTCTTGCCCGTCCCTTTAAAGGACCAGGAAGTAAAAAAGTCCGGTACAAACCTCACAAACGTATCAAAATACAGGAAATCGCCGATGGCTGTAAATTGCTGCTCATTCGTAATATTGGCAGCGGTTTGGAATGGGACGTAGCCACACGTAGAGGCCGTACCATTTTTGCCCGTGTCAAAATAGACGAAGCTAAATATGGTCTCGCGCTCTCTATCTCTCTTTCTCTCTCTCCCTTTCAATCGATATCTCTTTTTCACTTGATATCTCTCACTCACTCTCGCTCTGTCCGTCTCTATTTGCCTCGCTCTTTATCTATCTCTATCCCTCTCTCTCTCCCTCCCTCCTCTCGAGAGAGCGAATGAGAGCGAGAAAGAGAGACAGAGAGAGATAGAGACAGAGAGACAGAGAGAGAGAGAGAGTGAGAGAGTGAGAGAGATAAAGAGACAATAATTTCTCAGTATACCTTGAATTCTGCGTCGCCGAATATTTGGGGTCAGTCTCCATTGTGGCGCATGGGGTAAAGATTGGCTTGACCCGTTCGTACAGCTCGAATCCCGACCCGGGTTTGTTGTAGTCCACCCCCAGCAATAGATACAATTTGTACTGATGGCGGCATTGTTGGTTGTAGTTTTGGGTCGAGACTGAAAGCGAGAAAATTGGGACAAAAATAACGACCAAGGCTATTTGGTTTCTGTCGCATCCCGTCCCAAAAGTTAAATTTTTTGGCGTTAACATGATTAGTTTCATAGAATTAAGGAGCAGGAGCTGGGAGCTGGGTGTTGGGAGCTGAGAGCTTTGAGCTAGGAGTTGGGAGTTGACAGCTGGGAGCTGGGAGCTGTGAGGTGAATCCTATGTGCTGACCGCGACGCAAACGCTACCGCATACGGCTCCTTTTTCAGCGAGCTCCAAGCTTCCGGATCGGATCAGCCCAGAGAACCGGGAGCTGGGAGCTGGGAGCAGCCGGTGGGCGGTACAGGCTTGTACGGCTAGTGCAAGCCAGGTGACAGCCGTGAAGCTACTGCGCGCACTCCTAGCTCCCGGCGTTTAACTCCTAGCTCCCGACGTTTAACCCCTAGCTCCCGGCGTTTAACTCCTAGCTCACGGCGTTTAGCTCCTAGCTCCTGGATCCTGCTCCCAACTAGACGACCGTAACAATCGGCAGTTCATATTTTTTTTAGCATTAAGAGTCAGGCTTGGAACAGGAGTTAGGAGCTGAAGCGCAACGCAACCGCGACGCGCTGGCTGTTTGCCAAGATTTTCCTACGCTCCGGAAATGGATCGATATTCCGTGTTTTGTCGACAACTGATTTTGCAAAAGAAAGCTGCTTAAATTCTTCACTTTCCCGGGCGCCTTCTGATTCGTCACCGGAGCCAGGAATAAGCGGATTTTTCGGCTGGCTCCAGGCTGATCGGAGTGACCGGAAATGGGCACCGGAAAGAACAAACAATAGCAATGCCTATACGAAAATAATATTTTTTTTACCCATGATTTTTTTAGATTCGCTTGATTGATTACGCCATGAAAAATATAATTAAATATTTTTTTAAATTAAGAAAATATATTTCTAGCTAAATTTTAATCATTGCGTTCCAGGCAATTCAAAAATTCGAATAAAAATTAAAAAAATCGATTTCTAGCAATAGACCAGCTCTTAGAAAATTTAATCGATTACGTTATGTAAATTCATCATTTAAACTTTTCTCATGCTTTGAAAAACTTTTGAAAAACTTAAAATCAATTTCCTAGGTGTCTATAAAATCCCTCAAATGACCAATTTTCTTGATTTAAGCGAACGGTAATTTTTATAAAAATAAGACAGTATATTAAGCCACTAAAATTTTTTTTTCAGTTGTTACCATTTTAAAAACGAAGATTTGCGCTTGTAAAATAACTTACTGTCCAAGCACTCATATCCAAACGCCGCTCCGAAAATCGCCCCAAAAATCAGGAGCACCCCAGCGGGCATTCCCGGCCAGAAAACCGTCAAATTCCGCTACAGTACGTTATAGTACGCTCCTACTGACGCCAGTGTCCAAGCGGAATTGCCAGACGAACACGCCGCGGTGTAAAAAATCGAAAACCCGTGTATTTTTCGGGTTTAAGGGTGGATTATAGGGTGGAATATACAGAATAAGAGAAAGACAAACTGGCCGAGGGGAAAGAGCGTCTTTTTGCGGAAAAGGGGGCTCTGATACTGATATGAGGGCGACAATAAGCTGGTCCCAAGAAGGGCGGAAAAGTTAGGGGAAGAGGAAGAAGACGTAGGGGACGGCTGGAAACGCTAAAAAGAGAAAAATATTTGTTTCAACGTTTTCGCGTCGTGGTTGCAAAAAAAAACAAAAAATCATAGAGTAAAACCGAAAAGAAGAACCGCATTTTGAGCGGGCGGCGATTACATGTCGTAATGCGTTGTAAGGCACCCAATCTCTCGATCTCGGTCATTCTCTCATCAATTTTCATAATTAAAAAGTCTAGAATCATCAAAATCCTATGAGGATTACAGAAATAACTTCGGAATTTTGAAATTCAAGCGTTTTCACGTCCAATCAAGGGCAAAAGATCATGCAGCTCGGTCGCGTTGCGGTCGCCATGGTTATTTGCCAGGAATCAACGCTGGGGGCCGTGGACCAGATTCCGGAGCCGCTAAATCGATACCGGTAAATCCGACATTTAGATGATCCGCGTAGCGTCGCGTAGCGCGATGTATTGTCTGGACAAAAGACCGCTCCAAAATACACCTATCGTCGTTTTTTAATCCGCGAAAGTACTGCAATTTTCCCACCTTGCTCTTTTAAAGGGGGATCGACCCCTCCACACTAGGGCCCTGGCGATGCCAAACACCTCTCGAAGCCACGATCTATTTCCAGTTTTCTCGGCGACGTCACGCTCCAAATCACAGAAAAATTCTGTTTTACGTCATTTTGCGCGATACGTAGTTGTCGAGACCTAGTCGATGCAGGAAGTCGATTCCCAGCGACTTCTAGTACCTTTAATAAACCAAAATTCCAACATACACTCCATCATTCTAGCATAAATTGGAGTCCATAGTTCTCCACCGTAGCTGTCTAGACCCAGTCTAGGGAGGTCGATTCCCTCGCTTCCAACTCCCTTTAATGCGCACAAAATTTCCTGTCTGTCCATTCTACCATAGATCATACACCCTCCCTGTCAATTCAATTCCAAACACTGTCCGCTTTTGCGGGTAGCCACTTCCTGTTATGTGAGGGGGTATCTCGAGGCGGAGGGTTGGCACGGGTCGAGCAGCAGCTTCTTCTTTACCGCCTCTTTGAGATCAACTCTCAGTTTCAGCCTCTTTTTAATGGGAGGGCGGTGGTATCGCACAATGAATCAAACAAGCCGAAGTCGGGAGGTAGCCTTGAAGAAGAAGGGGGAGAAGAAGAAACTGAACCCAATATTGAGCGCGAGAATTGAGAGGGGGAGGATGACCTCTGTGCCCTCAGGGGAGAGCGAGGGAAAGAGAGAGAGAGAGAGAGAGAGACAGAGAGAAAGAGCGACGGATAGAGAGAGTGTGAGAGATTGCCAATTGACAGTCCATTGCCACCAAACCCGCATCATGCGTCTTCATCAGCCTTGTGGAAGCTTTGGTGAGAGCGCCACTTTTGGAACGCCTCTAGAGATTTTCCCTTTTCTTTTTTTTTGTCATTTAGACTGCCACTTTAAGTTGCTAATTTACGGTCTTTACGGTATTTAAATTGAAAGCCCACGCAACTACCGTAGTCATTTTTGTCTATTGTGACCAGTTAGCAAAAAAACGCTCATTTTACAGTAGCCTTTTACCGTATTCATGGCTGTTGTCGTACTGTACAAAATACAATAGCTCGAATTTGAAAAACAGCTGAATTTTTAATCATCAGTAGAGTGTGTCGTGTTTGAATAATTATTTGAATATATTCGAGCCCGCTCAAATAAATTATTTGAAGGCATCCCGGAAATTATTCAAATAATCGGTCAAATAACGGAACCACCTCCGCTCCGATTCAAATATATTTGAACATATTCAAATAAATCCGAGCTGGACAAGCTAAACGAAATTTGAAAAAATCGCGCCCATGGATTTAAGAAGGGCCTTTGTCGACCTTAGAATAGCACCGCCGACCATTTCGTAGATGTTATAATGCCGAATAGTGAAAAATGACGGTATTTTTCGGTATTTCGGGATTTTTAGGGTTTCCAGTTTTCGGTGGTGGGAATCAGCGGCAGACAACCAAAGTGCCTATCGGCTCACCAAGCACAATATAACAACTGTCAGAATGCCGACTTGAAAATGCCGGCGTGCTAAATGCCGAAACGCGAAAATGCCGACTGTTCTTCTATTTTATTATATACCTTTTCTGTCTATTGTGACTAGTTCGCAAAAAAACGCTCATTTTACAGTAGCCTTTTACCGTATTCATGGCTGTTGTCGTACTGTACAAAATCCAATAGCTCGAATTTTAACAAAAGCTGAATTTTTAATTGTAAGAGAGAGAGAGAGACAGAGAGAAAGAGCGACGGATAGAGAGAGTGTGAGAGATTGCCAATTGACAGTCCATTGCCACCAAACCCGCATCATGCGTCTTCATCAGCCTTGTGGAAGCTTTGGTGAGAGCGCCACTTTTGGAACGCCTCTAGAGATTTTCCCTTTTCTTTTTTTTGTCATTTAGACTGCCACTTTAAGTTGCTAATTTACGGTCTTTACGGTATTTAAATTGAAAACTCACGTAACTACCGTAGTCATTTTTGTCTATTGTGACCAGTTAGCAAAAAAACGCTCATTTTACAGTAGCCTTTTACCGTATTCATGGCTGTTGTCGTACTGTACAAAATCCAATAGCTCGAATTTTAAAAAAAGCTGAATTTTTAATTGTAAGATGGTGGCTTGCTAGTTCCTGGAAATACCCTCAAAAATTACGGTTAGCTCTCTATCTCCCTCTCTCTCTCGCTCTCTCTCGCTCTCTCTCACCCAGTCTCTCTCTCTCGCTCACTCGCTCGCTTTCTCTCTCTTTTTCTCTCGCTCTCTCTCTCACTCACTAACTCACTCACTCTCTCTCTCTCTCCTTCAAGAGGTGATCGCGGTCATTTTTCGAGATTTTTCGAAAATTCGAGATAAGCGTAAGAAATTTGTCAAAAATCGCTGCTAGCATGATTGCATGATCAATCCGAAAATTCTTAAAAAAACGCGCGCTGCAGCTCTTTTTCCAGCCTGAGTCCCTTGAATGTCCCAGGGTAATTCGAAAGGCCGTTTGGTGTTTCTGAAGAATCACTGTTCGTCCCAGGCAAGACCGCAAAATTTCTAAATCGTCTCCGTTGGCTTGCAAGTGGGCCAAAAGACCAAAAACCTCCTTAAAATTGCAGCTAGCCTGCACAGTTTAAAGGGACCCGAAAGGCAACAAAATTACCCGTTCCAAGCTTTTGGCGCATGTCCAAGTCTCTGTAACATGTTCAGCAACCGTCAATTAGCTAATTGGCAGTAGGTGTTCGAGTTTTCTGCTCGACCCCACTTTGACCGATTCCAACGAAACGACACGAGACGACAATTCCCATCTTCACCTCTTTACAGATCGTAGCTTTGAAGCCCCCGACGGCTCCGCCCCCTCTTTTTAGACTTGACTTTCCCCCTGTGAACGAGCCAATTCGGGGGCAATACCAACAAGTTCTGTCATCCCTCCACTTTTTTCACGGCGTCTTGTACGGTAGTGAGGCACAATACTGTCCGTTCCATTCCATTTCCATCCTATGTACAGTCTGGCGAGACTTTTCGGAGCTTCCCGACCCCTTCAAAGCGACAGAGAAGTGCCAGAATCGACCCTTGTGTCGGCAGCTACGAGACGCTTCAAACCACACTTTTCGTCTAATTTCTGGCCCCGGGAAAGTGAGACCCTTCGACTGCTTCCCTCGACTGGGTCTCGACAACCACACCGAGCTTCGAATTATGAGCGATAAAGCGCAGCGAAAATTTGCTACAAAACTCAAAAAAGCTTCCAAAAGGGCTAGACACGTCCTTTGGAGGGTTGCGTCGCTGTTGTAGCCTGATAGATGGAAGCGTTCGATTCTAAGATCATACGTCTCCGTTAGTCGAACAAAGTCACAAGCCGTTTGTACATTCCTTAATTTACTACTTTGAGTTTCTTGCAATTTTACCTGTTTTTTCTCCCTCAAATATGAGGATTTTTCAACAAAAACGAAGGCGAAAATAAGGAAATTCGTTACGTTTTGAGTGACCGTAATAACCTCTAAAAGTGCAAAAAGCCTACGACACCCGGGATTCCCAAGCCGTCTCCGATCCAAGTACTAACCGAGCCCAACGTTGCTTAACTTGGCAGATCGGACGGGATGCCGTGCTTTCAACGTGGTATGGTCGTAGGCGGGGGAAGGAGGGGGAGAGCGGTTCAAAAGAGGTTGGGGCGAGGCAAACTCGACCACAGTCTCTTGTACCATTCTCCTGTCCCTCCCCCCGCCTACGACCATACCACGTTGAAAGCACGGCATCCCGTCCGATCTGCCAAGTTAAGCAACGTTGGGCTCGGTTAGTACTTGGATCGGAGACGGCTTGGGAATCCCGAGTGTCGTAGGCTTTTTGCACTTTTCGCACTTTTTGCCGCTGAATTATGCTAATTTTTGCGTTATAAAATTCCTGCATGGTCTCTGCTAGCTTGGCGGCCATCTTCGCTACTTTTCAGACTTTATTTATGTATTTATATATTTAAATCCGTCTTCTATATAATTTTTAGGATGCGGCTGTACGCCATATTACTTTTCACAGCCCTCCTAGCAGTTGTGGTCGCGGAATCAAGACAGGTTGGCAAAATAAACCAAATTTTATGTTTCTTGTATTTTCAGAAAGCCCGCGCCCAGTCGAGGCCGAGCTGGCGGGGCGCTAAAGGTAGGAAAAATCTACTTTTTTTTAAGCCAATCAGGTTGAAATTGACTTTGTTACTAATTTTTTTTGAACAGTTTTTGTATAATAAACCTTGAAATCGATATTCCAGGAGCCGCCAAGCGCCAATCCTACGACGATTTCACGGCCGGAAATAAATTGCCGGGAGCCGAGACGTTTCCAGCGCCTCAGCCAGCACCACAATCACCAGCCCCTGAAGCTCAACCCCAGAAATATGGGGATGATGACCAAAATTCGTATTCTGACAAGCAACAGCAGCCACAACCGGAAGTGGCTCCGGTAGCGCCGGCATATCCGGAAGATACCACTGATGCACCAGTTCAGGTTGGGAAAGCAGATTTTGAACCGATTTTTCAAGCTTTAGAACTTTTTAAAACTTTTTTGCGTCTCTCTCTCTCTCTCGCTCTCGATTTGCAACGTTATACCCTTAATACCTCATTCTCCAGGTCACCGATGCTCCCTACGAAGAGCCCACCCCCACTCCAGCTCCGGCTTATCCGGAAGAAACGGCTGCCCCGGTAGAAATTCTCCTACTCATCCCTATCGACCTCATTTTAGGCCACCGAAGCTCCTTACGAAGAGCCCGAAACTGCGGCTCCTGCACCGGCTCCAGCTCCAGCCCCTGCTCCAGCTCCAGCTCCAGCTCCCACCTATGAGCCCGAGGCCATCGTGCCGGTTTGTTTTCTAGCGAAATAAGACTTGAGAAAGAGTTTCAGATGACCGAAGAGCCGTACGTGCCGGCCGAAACGACAACTCAGTCCACGACACAACAAACAACACCCTACCAGGAGCCATACGAGGAGACCTATGATGACGAGACGAACGCCCCGGAAACGTGAGTCCACTTCGAAAAAGTATTACTTCTGGCATAGCTTCTGAAAAATCATTAAGAACACCAATCAGCTTGGAAATACGTAATTTTTTTGTAACCTTGCTTATGCGCCGGAGATCGTGTATCAAGTGTAGCACCCTATTTTACCGCTAAAATACTATTTTTTATGTTTGTTTTACTAAAAACCGCGACGTTTTACGCGCATGAATGTAGAAAACACGATCATAAAACGGTTTCAGCCCCGTCGAAAATCTTTTAATTGCCTGCCTAGATAGACATTATTATTTTTAGAGCTGTTTTTCTGCTTTCTATGGTCTATATTTTAATTATTTATTTTTTAGGCCGGCCCCAACGACGGCCGCTCCCGCGAAGCACACCTACGGCCCCAGGCCCAAGCCGACGCCCGCCCCGAAGAAGTACACGAACCACAGGCTGGACTACCCCATCGCGTCGTGCTACACCAATCCTGATGGTAAGTTGTCTTTTTAAATGCTCAAACAAGCCTTCTGTGAAACGTTAAAATAGACAAGAAGCTAGAGGCAAAATAAAAATCGAGAAATCGGACTTTTCGACTCGAAAAAGTAAACAAAATTATTCCTTTTTATTTCGAGGTTTAATTTTTCTATGTTCCTTTCCCTCTAAAGCTAAAAAGCTCAAAATAGACAGATCAAACAGCTGAATTCAATCAAAACTGAGAAATCCAGCATTTTGACCCAGCAAGCTCACGTTTTTTTTTGTCCGCGAAATCGGCTTTGAACTTTCGGAAATTGACGTCCAAACTGTATGGATTTCGTTAATTCTTTAAATTCTAAACGTTTTCCAGGTGTCTGAATAACAAAAACAAGCGCATCGTTAACTGAACGGTGAAGTCTGGAAAACCCCGTCTATTCCGTAAAAACGCTTCAAAATGTCTTCCTTATTTTCAAGCTATCAAAAATCTCGAAACTCGAAAAATCTTTATTACCCTTTTTCCAGGCTTCATGTGCTGCAACAGCACGCTGGAAGAGGTGCTCAAGGACGCGTACCAGCTCCTCGACAAGAAGACCGGCTGGATGAACTGCAACTCGCAGCAAATCTCCAACGCCGTTCAGGTAGCGACACTAACAGATTGGCAGCTTCATTGGTGCTTTTCCAGTATCAGGGGGAGGTGGCGGTTTTCTGCTACCGCTTGAAAACCTAAAAAAAATAAAGATCGAATTAATAGAAAAATTGGAATTCTTTTGTTCATAAATCAAATCGTTCACAGATATTGCGCAAAGCCGCCTTATCTTATAACAACCCGTTTCCAGGAGCGTTGCGAGAAGAAGTTCGGCACGCCCTTCGAGACGATCACCGGCATCGGCGATTTCGCCTCCAAATCCCACTTTTATTCGGATCTGATCTGCAAGATTAAGAGGGAGGGACGGTGAGTTAATCGTACGACATAAAGTAATGGGCAAAAATAGCCAATTCGTCGTTTAAAACGAACTTTTCGGTGTTTTTCGTCAAATTTAGCTACTCTTAAATTGGAAAAACGGATTCTAAAACTCGAAAGATTCTTAAATTTTGACAGTTCTACCCACCCGATAATATTTCAAGCGAAAAACTGTTTGGAAAACTTGGAAAAATGCATTAAAGTTTAAAATTTGGGTGAAGCTACAATTTTTACCTAAAAACGCTATTTTTATTTTGTGTTTTCAATAAGAATTATAACGTTTTTAGGTATAGGATTTAGAATGGAATACAGAAAAGTATAGAAATAGCGCCTTATCGATCACTATAAATTAAAACTTTAAACAAAATCCACTTTCCAGCTTCATCCTGGCGTACGCGACGCCGAATCGACACGAGAAGCCGATCACCAGCCGCCCGTACATCGTGCCCACCGAGACTGAAGCCGCGCAGCCGCCCACCTACTTTGTGCCCAAGGTTTGAATAGCTTTTGACGCCTTAAAACCTAATAAGATCGTTAAGTTACCTATCTAGGCATTAAATCGTCAAAAATGTTAACTTTCTACGTTTCAGGCCCGCCCGCTCGCCCCGGCAGCGCAAGTTCCGGTCGCCCCAGCTGCAAATTATGCCGAGGTTTTTCTAATCGAATAAAAGTAAAAAAGCGAAATTTCAGACAGCCCCGTCCGCCGCGTCGAATCTGCAGCCCGTCTACAACGGCCCACAACAACCCCTTCAACAACCGCAATTCCCGCACCAACAACCGCCACAACAACAGCAACAGTTCCAGCAATTCCAGCCACTCCCGCAGTTCCCGCAGGTCGGTAGATGAACATAACGAATCTTTGATAGCAAAAATTGGTTAAAAATTGCTAAAAACTATAAAAAACAAAAAAGGTTAAAAGTAAAAAAGTAAAAAACACCTTGACATTTTCAATTTTTGCCGGATTATATTTTTAGTGTTTTTAAGTCAAATTTGTGCGGTTTTGACGCTTAAAAAAATAGTAAAAGCAGTTTCACCACTTAACAGCGCTTTTAATAAAAACATAGCTAGATTTCTAGTAAAAGAAAACTGGCCAGGAAAACGGAGAGAATTGCAGAATTTCGAATTTCGGGCAAAAAAATCGATTTTTTTTCCAACGAAAACCAGGTTTTTACGTTCAAAAAAGTGGAAAAACATAGGGTAGAGCCCTGCCGCTACTTGTATATGGGAAAAATGGGCCTAGAAATATACGCTCCCGTTCTGAAAAGACTAAAAACCTCAAGTTTTGAAGGCTACAAAATCACGAAATATACAAAATTACAAAACAAGTTTTCAGACACCAGCTTTTCCGGTGCAAGCCCCCCAACAGTCCTTCAACCAGCCCCCCTTCCAAAGCTACCCCCAGCCATCCCTTCCGACCGGCCAATACGCCCTCATCCAGCAGGGCTAAGCCAAAATTCCGTGATTTCGTGCGTCTATCTATCTGTACAGGGTGTAATTTAATAAATATTTGCCGCAAAAATGAGATCCCAGCTATCACAGAAAAAGTCCAAAAATATCAGTTCGAAAATATTCGAAAAAAAATCATACATATCCGCGTGAAAATTGCATATTACTATCGGCTTTGGTGGGTGTGTGGCTTTGGCGAGACGAAGGTTCATCGGGGGTCATTCGCTCGTCAGCCCGTAGATTGAGCGCACTTTTCTAAAATAACAAAAATTACAAAACATCATGATTTGCTCACTGTTGTACTTCCTTGTCGAGCTCGGCCTCTATCCATGGCTCGCGCATAAACGTGTCGACGATCCGTTGTAATTGGTCGTCGTAGCTGAAAAGCAGCGTTTTGAATGTTCAAAAAAAAACGCAGAAAAAGTTTAAAAGTTTAAAGGAGCCTCAGGTTAGTGCTAAAAACTGGCAAATCAAGGCCTTCAAGAACGGGTTTTCTACGACTCAAAAAGGGTTCTTTCGCGTTATCGGATGCCCTTTTTCTAAGAATCCAATCTTTTTCTGAGATAAATAGACGATGTGCCTCTTACTGTTTTTACAATTACAAGCGTTACAAGCTTTTATCAAAAAAAATACAAAAATATGGATTCACGACCGAAATTTAACTCAAAAAACTTTTCTAGGCTTTTTTTGATTGTTTTTACCACAGAGCATAGAGTTAAATTTTAGTAGAAACGCTATTAAAACATTTACTATTAGTTGGCTAGGCATTTCTCGGTTAATATGAAAAGTTCTTTCCTCGCACCCAATATCGCGAAAGCACCTATACTCAATATAAAAAAGTTTTTCGGCAACAACAGAAAATCCTCATAAAATTTTCTACGTTTTCTACAGCTTTTTGCAGTGAAATATAGCTAAATTTCACCAAAACACCACGAAAACACGTCAGTCGAAATAGCTCCTCTTCTAAAATCCGTGCTACAGTCTTTTTTGACAGGAGACAAAACACCTAAACCTCACTTTTTAATCAACTCCCGCAGTCTCATCCGTATCACTTCTTTATTCGTGTCGTCAGATACGTGCTCCAAATACTTCTCGGCCTCGGCTTTTGCTCTTTCCTAAAAAACCCAATAAATTCACGCGGGAAAATGCGTACCCGAATATCGTCGAATACGCCCTGTTTCTCGATCTTCTCGACGACCTTCTGGCGAATCTCAAAAAAATGAGGATTAGATGTTATTAAAATCGGACAAACCTCATCAAACGTGCCCTTGGCTTTTATAAAAGCGCATACTTCTGCGGCCACCTGGTCCTTTGGGGGAAGGGGCATCTGAAATCGGAAAATTGGCAAATGAAAAAAAGCACGTTTTCGAGCAAAAATTTGAAACGGTTATCGTGAGAGCGGATCTTGAGAGAGCGCTAGGGTTCGCGGGCCTTTTCCTCGCCTAACAGCCGTCACCCTGCTAGTTGCTGTGGTCCAAACGTCCATAAGAGCCCGTGGAAATCGTGAAGCAAGCAAAAGCCCACGGTTCTTAGCGCAGGAACCCCCCTAGAGTGTTCTTGCAATCCATAAACTTTTTTTGCTTAGGGTCGAATTCGGCCATTTCGTTTCCTGGATAACGTTTGACCCTAAAATTAGCCTAAACTTTATCAATACTAGGTAAAAAAAGGTAAAAGACACGCTGAAATTAACGCGGTTTCCGCGCTGCATCAATCTATCTCGAGGAAAAACCTGCAAAAATCAAAACAAACAATAAAATGACAGGGACCACCTACTCTTAGCGGAAATTCTGGGTATTCTAAATCTCTTTACCTTCTTAAAAGCAAAAAAATATTGATTCTATAGCTTATTTTTAGTGCTGAATGAATTTATTTTGAAGCAAAAAAAAACCTTGAAAAACCGGGAGAAACAATAACATAGCAGGGACTACCTAATTCCAGCGGAAATTCTCGTTTTTCTATGCCCCTTTATAGTCCTAAAGCTTAGATATATTAATTCGATAGTATTTTTAGTGCTGAATGAATTTATCTTGAAGAAAAAACGTTAAAAGGTCAGGAGAAACAAGAAAATTCAAAGAACCACCTAATTTTAAATTAAAAAATGGGCCTTCTATGTATCATGATCGTTCTAAAAACAAACTGTACCAATTCCATAGCTTCTTTAGCGAAAAATTTTTAGAAAAGCTCGATAAAAAACATTTTCGAGGATTTCAGTTTCAACAGAAAATCCCGGAATTCCGTTCCAAACGCTCCAAATTACAGATATCGTCCAGAGTCCATAACGGAACGCCGTCAAAAATGGGTTTTTGCGGAAATTTCCACATTCTGCTCGGCTTTTCAACAACCAGCCATGGCATTCCCGAAGAAAAAGGGCTCCGATGACTCAGGTATATTTATTATTATTATATTTTATATTTTTCATATTTAGAGTGAGATTCAGGATACGATGGCTAAATTCTAGCCGAGATTTCGACTTTTCTGCATCAAAATTTCTAGCTTCCGCGCTTTCCTTACTCCAATTTATTGTATTCTTAGTAGTTAGACGACGGCGAGCATTTTGGTGTATTTTAAAGCCATGTAGCTCATAGGGCGGCCGATACACAAAAGTCTGAGTGGACCGGAGAGTAAAATTTTGTGAATAATGTTTGTAAAACAGTAACATGTTGCAAATAAACATAAAAAATAAGTTTTTCCATCTTCTTGTTACAGATTCCGATTCCGATGAGTATGAGCCGCTGGCAAAACGGGCGCCGTTCCCCGAAGTCGAATCGCGCGGCGATGAAATGGAAGTCGAAAGGTTTGGAACGCTTTGGGACGGCGATTATGTTTTTTTTTCAGCAGCGCCAGCCATCCCTGGCAGAAGGTTATCTACGAGCGCGCGCTGGACGACATAAGCGCCGCCGGATTGGATGTAAGATTCATCTTTTTGTCTGCAAAGTTTTATAGGACAACGTTCCTCGAGGCACCGAATCGTTCACCGTCAACCAGCGAGATGTGGGGTTTTTTTTGTTTGAATGAAAAAGCGTTTTTCTTCCATTCGAATGGAGCTCAAATAATGTTTTTTTTTTGAGAATTTGTATAATTAATTGCTTTCAGAAGGCGAAGATCCAAGCGGAGGCGGACTCGATAAACATCCAGGGCTTTGTAAGTTTCAGTTTAGCTTTTCGAACCAATTTTTTAGGACATTGTCACCAACATAAACACGCTGCACGCGGGCCCCTTTGATCTGGTCCCCTATCTGCTCGACATTGAAAAGTTTGGCATATCTCAGGTATGAAGTAGTTTTGAAAGGCGCAAATCGATTGTTCTAGTTCGACGACACGACCCGCCGCTATTTCAAGATGCTCCCGCGCTTCATCGGCGGCAAATACCTGGATCCGCCAAAGCCTCGTAAGGACTTTGCCTCTGCCCCTTTGCCTTTTCTTGTCCTGGATGTCCCAAAAAGCACCCCCATCTAGCGGTCCGGAGGAAGGCCGGATCGGGTGGAACTTTAAACCATTCGAAAGCACTCGAAAAAGCCAGCAAAAAGTTGAATTTTCTAAAAATGTTGACGATTTGCTCGATATTCAGCGTTTTCTTAGAAAAAATATCTAGTTTTTGACGGAACGCTAATTAATAAATACAGAAGGCATGGTTTTGCCATTTTCGCGGCTTTCGATGCTAAAAACCAGAATTAAAAGAAGAACTCTAGAAAACAGAAATCGCTTTTCTTTTTCTCGTCTTTTCGAGAGCTTTCGATAGATACCTACCTATATCGTAAAAATTGGGCCTTCCTCCGAGTCGTTAGAAGGAGGTGTTTTTTTGGACACCTGTAAAATCCCAGTTTTTTCCAGGAACTTGGAACAACAACTACCAGCCTTTCCCGGTACGTTTTCACAGTCATCTTCAGAAAATTTTGTTTTAGAACAAGCTCGAGCACTTCTTGGCCCCCGACTACTCCCTCGAGGCCCTATTGGCCGTTGAATTGGACCTCGATCAATCGGACGAAAATCTGGCCGGCCAGGTTTGACCTTTTTAAAAATATAGTAATTTTTATTTAGATTGCAAAAGCGCTCGGCGAGCCCAAGGTGGAGAGCATCGTCAAGATCATCGGCGCCGTTGGCAGGGACAGGGTAAAAAATTATCATTCTTCCAGAAGATTGAATTTTAGGCACTGCACTATTTCGAGGAGACGCGCCGCATCGAGGCCAACGGCGGCCAGCTGGTCAAGAACAATTCGCGGCGACGAGCCCCCGGCGGCGTCTACATCACGCTTTTCAAGCAGGACCCGGCCATTCCGCAGCAGATTCGGGTATATTTTAGAAGTCGAAAACTATTTCGAAACCGAAAAAAATTTGAATCCGACATTTTCGCCAAAAATTGCCCATATTTGGTCGCAAAATCTATTTTTTTGTGCTGTTTAATATAAATTGCGAACGCTTTCTATGTTTAGGAACAGCAGAAAACATTTTAGAAAGACTTCCGCTGGTTATATTGCAAAAATTTGATCCGGAAAAAAATCGGTTTCTCCGTTAAAAACCATTTAAAAATCAAACTCAAAGCTATTTCCTTTTTTACAGGAGGAAACGCTGCCGTTCGACGCAAACTTTGGCGGACGAGGTCGCGGACGTGGTCGTGGGCGTGGACGCGGACGCGGAGGCGGCGAATTTCATCAGCACTACCAGCCAAACTACCAGCCCTACCAACCGGTGCACGAGCAACAGCCGCATCAACCGTGATCCCGAACTATTTGTGATCGATTTATTTATTGTTTTGTTGCCCCCACATCCCCTCTAATCATTATCTTTTCACCGTTTCGCATTTCCTGTTTTATGTTTTGTTTTTGATAAATTTTCTGCGCTTTAGTGTGGATGGTTCTGGATGAGATGATGAAGTCGTTGCATTTTTTTGGAAAAGTTGTAATTGTTTTGTCTGAATTTTGTGTCAAATGCATGCGGGATTTTGCGCTGATTTTGGGCTGACTTTGCGCTGAAAAGGAAGCTTGAGCTCAAAAAAGTAGTTTTAGGCGATAATCAGGCCGTGCTATGTGCCATAGCTCATGCTCATTCCGCAGAGCATTTCATTTCTGAGCAAGTCCTAGCAGTCAGAAAGCTGTAGAACGATAACGGTCTTCCAGAAAACGTTTCTCAAAAGTTTAAATTTTGTAAAACCGGGCTAAAAATGGTAAAATCGGCCTAGAGCAAATTTTATCCAGTTTCCGTTTCCGTGCAGTGTTTTTGGAATCATGATATTTGTGTCGAACTTCAAGCCCTATCAAATTGGCTATATTACATCGCAAAAATCGGCGCTATTTTGGGTCGACTTTGGTTTTCCGCAGATTTTCCACGGTTTTCTAGGGTACTTTGACGCGCTGAGCTCAAAAACCAACATCCCTGTCGTTGATTCAAAGAATCTGAATCTGAAAGACAATCCCTGATTTATTATAGGTAAAAAATTCGAGCTCAACGCACCAAACTACCCAAAAATCAGCGGAAAACGGTCGATCAAAGTGGATCCGCCTAACGGAACCGTATGTATAGTGGACCCTTGCGCCCGAATTTTCTCGTAAAACTTACCAGATTGTTGCTACTTTATTTAATCCTGAGCGTTACATAATTTATCCTATTTTCAGAATGTCCCTACGACACGCGTGGTCCCGTTCAGCTCATCTACTTGGCCGACGATTATTGTTGAAAGCCACGACGTCTCCCTCCACATTTGCCGCCTCAACACGACAATTGTCCATCAGTCCCAGGTAAGACACTACTTTGCGACCCAAAATCTCCATTTTTTTTAGTCTTTTCGAGGCCGCCGAGCCGTTCAAGCCAACGCCGGAAGGGGAGAAGAAACGGGAAGATCGTAAGAATTTTGTCTGACCTTTTTTACAGATTTTTTAGAACAACGACGACGAAACATTGCCATCGGCGCCTCCCTTTTTATCGTCTGGGTCTCGACGCACGGGCTATTGCTATGGAGGTACGCATTTTATAGTATTAAACTTACTTAATTACTTAAAACTTTTTTAGGAGACGACGCGAGAATCGAACCCTCAATAAAGACCTGCCGCCCATCGACATTGAGGAGTTTGTGACGCGTTATTTGAGCACCGGAAAGGTTTGCGGTGCATTTTATTTTGTATCATTTGCGTAGGTAAACAAGATCGTCTACCAGCCGGCATTCAACGTCGCGAACGTCTACCTGAGCCATCCGGACGAGCCGAGCAAGGCGAAGGCCATGGCTATGGTGAGAATCGGGGTTTTTTCAGTATCGGGGGAACCAGTTTTTTCTTTAGAGAAAATTTTTCTTGTTTAAATCATGGAGCGATTTCTACACCTTTTGTGCTATTCCCGATCGTAAAAACTATAGACTTTTATAAAAATAAAAATACCGATTTTTGACGGAAAATTGACGATTTTCGAGCAAAATTTTTGTGTTTTTAGTTTCCTAAATAGTTTTCCCATTTGAAACATAGATACACTGTTAAAATGTAGCAAAATTGGGAAAATATGATTTTTCGCCCAAAAAATTCAATTTTCCAACATTTTTTAAAGTTTTTGCACTAATTTTTCATTGAAAACAAAGCTAAAATTTATCAAACGCTATTAAATTAACCTAGCGTTGTAGAAAAACACGGATTACCCCTGCCCTGTATAATGAAAAAGCACCTGACCATGAGTTTTGATGAAAATACCTTTTTCAGTTCTCCTACCTGCCCGACCAAATTGCTCGCCCGCCCGACGTGCGCTTCGACTTTGACGAGGGCTTCGATTCGCTGAAGCTGACGTTGGAGGCGGCGATGAAGGCTTTCTTCCCCGAGGGCAACGCACCGCAGTTCAGCGTCGAAAACGACCAATTCCCCTCGATGCGGTGAGCAGCAGCTTCATCCTCTTGAATTCCGATTTTTAGGGAATTCGGCTTCATCTTCCTGGCGACACTCTTCACCCTCGCCGCGCTGATGGCCGGGAAATAATTGCTGGTTTTAGTTTAGGTACTTTGATTTGACGTTTTGCTGTTTTAATGTACTGTTTTTCTGGCTTTGTAATAAATATTGAGATTTTGTGCGCACGGCTTAAAAAATGTCAGTTTGGAAAGAAAGAAACGGCTGAAAATCTTTGACAGGCGCTAAAAGCGCGCAGACACGTCCAATTTGGACGTTTTATAGATGGTTTGGTAGAATTTGAGACACAAAAATAACTGGACGTGGAGATACAGCTTCAAGAAGTTTTGCTAAAAATCCGGTCAAAATTTTTGAGCAAGCCCTAGGTCTTGAGTTCGTCAAAAATAGACATGGGATGGCCGAACTACGGCCATTTGAAATTCGGCCCATTTCTTTTCTTTTCCCAAAATCCCATAAATTTGTGCAAATTTGGATCTTCAAGGAGTTTTTTGAACACTTCATAATTTGGATTCTGCTGTCTTTTATTTTAAAAAAAGCACCGTTTTTCGCGAATTTGCAAATTTTTGCCAAATAGGCCTTAAACTGTTGTCTGAATTTTAATTTTCCCTGTCTTCTTACAAAAAAACAACAAAAAAACTCGGTTTATCGCCGGCACCCTCTCAATCTGCCCACTAGACCTCCCGAACCCCCCCCCCCTAAACCCCCCTTTACCCCCCTCCGAACCCCCCTCCGAACCCCCCTACAGAGGCGCTCCAACCCCCCTAAAAACCCCCCTCCGAACCCCCCTACAACCCCCCTACCAACCCCCCTTCACCCCCCTCCCAACCCCCCTTCACCCCCCTCCGAACCCCCCTAAACCCCCCTCCCAACCCCCCCTAAGCCCCAATTTAGTTTTTTGGCGCAATTAGTCAAATAACGCGGTTTAATAACGCAGATGTGGTTTATAAATGATTCATCTGACTCGAAAATATAAACAATCATTCAGATGCGGTCAACTACCCATGAAACTCAATTTTTAGGACAATTTTGGTGAAAAAAAACTGTAAAAACTTATCGAAACATTATAAATTTGTGCTGTAAAGATTGTAGGACAACCATTGGTGCTTGCTAACCACAATACCGACAAAAAAACGGGTGGAAACCGGTTAGAATTGCTAAAAAAACACTCGGGAAACACGAATTGAGGGCCAAAATAGCTGAAATATATTCCCCTGGGGTTGTAAACTATTGTCTGATAGTTTTTACTTATTTTAATTGATTAAAAGACGAAAAATTTGAAAAGATCTTCATATATGTATATCATTTCACCGGGCGAACCCCCCTCCGAACCCCCCTTCACCCCCCTCCCAACCCCCCTAAACCCCCCTCCCAACCCCCCTAAGAACCCCCCTAAAAACCCCCCTAAACCCCCCTCCCAACCCCCCTCCGAACCCCCCTCCCAACCCCCCTCCCAACCCCCCTCCCAACCCCCCTCCGAACCCCCCTACAACCCCCCTACCAACCCCCCTAGTTAGGGGGTTTGGGGAGGGGGGGGGTTCGGGAGGTCTACTGCCCACTCTCTCGTCGGTTGTTGTCTATCCAGTGGACAGGAGGGCCGCGCCGGGCCTACGGTATCGCCCCGGCCACAACGAATTCCGATTTTCGGAGTTTCGGGTTTTCCGTTTTTTTTTTGCCCGGCCCTTCGACCCCGATTCTTTTGTTTTTTCTTCCGTCTCTTTTTCCAATTCTCTGATTTCCAGGTAAAATGGCCTGCATGTGGGAGCGCTTGGACGTCCCCCCGTGCCCATCTTCTCACCCAATGGTCAGTATTATTAATCGTAATTTTCTACCCCTTTTCCATGGTGCGTTCCTCAACTTTTCTTTTTAGGTGAGAAGGCAGAAGCTCGCTGAGACGGTACTGTCGACATTCATGGAGCGGGTCCAGCTCGCGCATCGCCGTGGCGGGCAGCACCGAGTCGGCGGCCTCTGGCCGATGAGGGAGGACTGGTCGACCCTGGAAGGCGTGGAATGCGATCATGAAGAGGTTGTCCAAATCATCCGCTGCGCCGTCCGGGAACATTACATTGTGGTTGGTTTTTATCTACCATTTTTTGACCGTTATTTGGCTGCAGGCAAAGCCGTTTGTGTTCTGATTTTTTCATTGTGCCCTGCTATATTTGTTGCCTAGGTCCGAATCCGCAAAGATGATGACGTGTGCAAGGTGCGCATCTACGATCCACTTGTCACGAGCGTCGAGGATTGCTCTGGCTCCCAGGTACACGAATCTGTTTTGCTTTCCAATTTTTTTTTGTTAGGTCACTTCCTCGGTGATGGAACAAGTGATGGCCTTGTGCTCGCACATCTCCAACGGCCCAACAACACCCACTCTCGACGCTCACTATGTTCTGAACATCGAACGGCAAGAGGACGATTGGAGCTGTGGTCACCGGGCAATTTCCTATGTGATGGACCTGTTGAACGAGTTCGACCCAATTAAGTAGGTTTAGGACTTTATTTTTTATGCTCTGTGTTCGTTGATTAAGATTTTTAACTTCTTATTTTAGTCGGTCACCAGACCTTTTCGCCTGCGAACAATTATATGACATGGCGCAAGATCGTCGGCAGTCCGTGGATTGGGACGGCAAACTCTGGGCAAAGTGAGAAAGCCATTTTTTCTACTACTTATTTTCTTTAGAGATCGGAACCTGGGCCAGCCGGAAACTTGCCAAATGGTGACATTTAACCAGAAGGAAATTGCGAAGAAGAAGGTACTCGAGGAGTTTCCGAATTCACCTGGTTCCGATTTAGGCATCCGAGCCCCCAAGGATCAGCAAACAAGGAGACACGGGGTCTCAGAGCGCGCACGGGGGGGTGGGGAGGGGCGTGGCCGAGTGGTCTAAGGCGGCGGTCACAGGCCACAGGGAGGGGGGTGCTGGTTCGATACCTCGGACCCCCCCGTACCGTCAGATCGTTTTGCTCTTTTTTGCAAAAAGTGGTTGAAGGTGCCAGCAACCCATATATAGTGTACCCAATGTCGAAAAATAACAAACTATATGGTTCCTGAGTCAGAAACGACGAAATCGCGAATAGTGGTGCTGGAGTACTCATTTAAGTCACATAGATATAAAACAGAGCTGAATATATAGACAGATAGTCATACAAAGTCGATTCAAGCCAAATAGTTCAGTACTACTCCAGAATTCAAAATTGCTCAAAATGGACGGGCCTCAATCTCGTCCATTACAGCCCCCAACCCCGAAAAAGCAAGCAATTGATCATTGGCAAGTCTCAGGCGATGCAAATATACGAAAACGGATCCCAGAAAATGGCTATATTCAAAGAAAAGCGATGCGCACAAAGGGGTGAATTTTCGGTCTTCTGCTCGCTAAAAAGGTTTTGAACTCCTTATTTTGATTCAGATTTGCTGCGAGCTCTTTTGGAAAAGGTGCCTTAGGGTCTGTTCTATCATATGCGAAAAGCCGCCTCGACCGTTTTTTCTAGAAAAAAAGTTATCGCATTTTGAAAGCGCGAAAATTTGTCACTTTTTCCCCCTTTTGTTAAGGCCTTTTGCGGGTATCAGGGTTCGCTGTGCGCGCAGCCGGCCCACCCGTCCCGTGGAGTGCCCCGTCCCTCGTGCGCGCCCTCCTGAATAGTCGGGACCCCGTGGAGAACGATGGGGCGGCGGCGGGCGCGGCGGGTGCTGGTCGTCTGGTCGCGTGGAAGACGTCAGCAACAACGACAATGCGGCGCAGCGCAATGACAGCGGCGCCACCGGCAGCGCCAATACTACGCCCAGTGCTAGTGTTAGCAACGCTGCTGCTGCACCAGCGCCACAAGAACCGGAAACGGTATATTTCTTCGCCATTGGCGTTTTATGTTTTTGCTTTAGAGCTGTTTGGCGGCCTGCTACAGCCGTGTCGCACCTGCCCCCAGGATTCCTCCTCCACCACCGCAAACTCCCATCCAACAGCAACCGGTTGGGTACAAGTATGTATTAATGTGCTCCCAGATGATTGCTTTAGCGTTAACGATGAAAGTGTGGCTCTTGGTGGGCGTGTGTCGCCGCAGCCCGGGCCTGAGATGCCGCAAGCTGGGCCTTCGAGCAGTCAAGCGCAGCAGCCCGGTCCTTCGAGGAGTCACGCGTCGCCGCCCCGTCCTTCCGAAAGCGAGCTGCCAAGTGTTGTATCGGAAGGCGACTCTTCGACCCCTTCTGTCCTTGATTTGTGGGTTTTTTTTATCCGAGTCTATGCTCGTTTTAGTCCTCCGAGATTGGGCAACAACCCGTCAACCGATGGCTTTCCACCGACTCCACAGATCGACCGTCGGCCTTCCACACATTTGCCGTAAGCTTTTCGTTGCTTCCGGTCTTTCTAATTATCCGTTTAGTCCGCTCACGCGCGATTCCGAACCCTCGGCCGGGCCCTCGTCTAGCGGTATCCAGCGCTCGCCAATGCCTCAACCGGCGCTCCACGATGTTCTTCCGTTAGTTTTTGCTTTGCTTACAAAATTCCATGGTTCTTTCGCGTTATCGCGGGGGGGGAAGGAAATTTTTTTCTTGGGTACCAATTTTTGATATAAAAATAGTGTAATTGTTTATACGTTTTTTGCTAGTCCGAAATGTAAGAAGTTTACAAATTTTTTGCAAAAAAAAAATCGATTGTTTTGACCAAAATTCAAGCTTTTTTGTCAAACTTTTGCGTAGAAAATTCCACTTCTCGGCTAGTCTGTTACTAATTCTACTTTTTCAGGCCAATCCCAACTGTGGAAGACGAGGACTCGAGCGGGTGAACGACGACGCCATCTCCTTGCAGCCCAGCTGATCCCCGACCATCCCTATTTGTATCATACGAACCCTCATTGCAGTAACATATATACATTTGTGGCATTTCACGTTGTAACTTTGTAGCTTACCTCTGAAAATTCGCGTTTGTATATTCTCACTATGTATTTTCGGCAGTTCCCCTGTAAAGTTCTGTGCCTTGTGTCTGTGTATTTTGGGTGTAACCGTTATGTCGCGATAAACTTTACCCCCATCCCGACTTTTGGTTTTACAAGGGAGGTTCTTTAGGAATCGAGGGGGTGGGGCAAACCAATTTTTTTTCGGCACAGGCCTAGATTTTTTTTATAAATTGCGGAGGCGTTTCTACCTTATAAGTTACGTTGCGGATCTAAACTTTACCCCCGTCCCGACTTTTGGTTTTACAAGGGATAATAGGATTGTGATTCCGGGTAAAATCGACAATGGTGTAAAAATCATAACGATCTGATGTTCCTGCGGGACCATAGACCTTTTTTGGTGTTCGGGGTGGGGTAGGGGTGGGCGCACTCAACCTCTCGCCCATCCCTTCCCCGTCCGCGGACGGGATCCGTTCTACCCGTCCCCTATTGAGATAGTCGCCGCACAACCCGATGAAAGTTTCGTTTAAGATGCAGGGTTTGGAGAGTGTTGCTAACCTTTTTTAGTACTCCGAAACGTCGGAACCTGACAAATGTTGGTTAAAAAAATACAAAAATATCAATTTTAGACTAAATAATGCTCTTTCGTCCAAATTTAAGAGTTTCGAGAGCTTTTCCGGGCTTCCTAACTTGTTTTCCACCTATGGTTTTCAGAGTTTTGAGCCAATTTGTCACTTCGTGGTTTCCTAACAACACATCTTCTTCCCGTCACCACTCCGAAACAGATCCGGGGCACTCGTTTTTCGCGTCGTCGCCACTCTGCCCGTGGGAAATGGCCAGCTGCCGGGGGCTTTGCGCGCCCTCTAAAATGATAACGGCGGATCGGGGGAGCGGGACCTTGAGCCGCGGCCGTTTTCTTGCATTTACCCCCGGAATGGCGTCTCTTATACTCCAAGGCGACAAGCGCCGATTTTCGGGATGCAATTGAAACGGGAATTGCTGGTGGAAATTGGTGAGTCAAACCGTCGAAAAGAGCGAGCGCTTCATCAACACATCATTTCCCTGTCCCGGTGCAATCTTATTTCGATTAATTTGACTATATATAGGAGGAAACGGCCTGGAAATTAGCCGTTTTTGAAAATTATAGTTAAGATATCATACAATGTTAATTTCTTGAGGAAAATAAAATCTGTCGCTTCTAATTACAAAATTATATACATTTACAATGTCAGCATAATTGTGTTATTTGCCCCATTTTTCCCAAGCAATTCTGATTTCTTTGACCACTTCTGGCATACGTTATTTTCCGCTATTTTCAATGACAAAAGCACTTTTCATGGCCAAAAACAAATTATGTTTTCTCCAGTATTATTCATAGGCAAAAATTGCGCATAAAAATACCAAGAAAAATACATTTTCTGACTCATCACCCGGAAAACAGGGTGTTTATTTCAGTTATTATGAGCGGTCTATGTTATTTTTTTCATCTTTCCGCCTCTCTCTCTCGCTCGCTCTCTCTCTCTCTTCTCTCTCTGTCTCTCCTCCCCATCTCTCTCTGTCTGTCTCTGTCTCTCCCTCTCTCTCTGTCTGTCTCTCTCTCCCTATCTCTCTCTCTCTCTCCATCTCTCTCTGCCTCTCTCTCTCTCTCGCTCTTTCTCTTCTCTCTCTCTGTCTCTCTCTCCCCATCTCTCTCTCTCTCTCTCTCTCTCTCTCTCTCTCTCTCTCTCCCCTTCTCTCTAGCTATTTTCCTCAATTTCTGCCGAGAAAAAGGGACTTTGTTTTTGTGTGGAAATTGTTTGGTCGGGTGTGGAGGCAAGGGGGGAAGGAGTGATGTCCCTCCGAGGCCAATGAATCAGTAGCGAGGAGCTGCTGCTGGTGGCCGCTGTCGATTTTGTCTGTTTGTATGTCCCTCCCTAGATTTTTGTGGTCGATCTTTTGGTATCTGTGCCAATCACTCCTTTCTTGCATCGATATAGATGGCTATGAGCAGGCAGATGCTATCAATTTTCGATCGGCCCTTCCCGGACCAGAGGCCTGAGGGCCTCTTGTTTGTTTCGTCAGGGTATGGCAGGGGCATTACCGATTGATCTAGGCTAGATTGCCATCGATAATTCCCTTCTTTAGCATTCTAATCCTCCACTCCCTCCACCACTCGATGAGTCGCAGTTCTAGCGGCCTTATTCATTCAGTCATATCGCGCGATACGCGCCTTTCATCCCTAAAAATTATCCTTTTTTTTATTTTCTACCGTCGGTCTAGTTCATTTCTTATGGGAATACTCGGCTGGGTTAACGTTTTTTCAACACTGACAATCCGATCAATTGACCCCGAAATTCGTCTCATCCGCTTCAGTCTCTTTAAAAGTCAATTAACGTCAGGCTTCCATAATTTCACAGTCCCTAGGCCGTTTTGGGGCAATTCAAATGATCTCTGCTAACCTGCCCCCCTTGGCATTGTGCCAAGATTTGCAGGGAAGTTGCCGACATCACGTTTTGGCCCAGACATTCCATCCCGCCAGGGGTTGAACGGTGCCTGGGGGCACGAACCATCTCCCGCTAATGGCCCTCTTTCAAAATGACCACTCGATCAGAGGAGAGAGAGAGAGATAGAATGAGAGAGTGACAGAGAGAGATAGAGAGAGCGAGAGAGAGTGAGGAGAGCGAGAGCGAGAGAGAGAGTGACAGAGAGAGAGTGACAGAAAGAGAGATAGAGAGAGTGAGAGAGAGCGAGAGCGAGAGAGAGAGTGAAGGGTCAGCTGTTGTTTGGCCCTTCCCCCTTTTTGTCTTTCTCCATGAGGAGCATCAGAGTATCGCCTGACTCCATTCCTTCCCCCCTTTCCATTTATCCCAATCTCCCGTCCTGGTCAATCCGGCCCCTCGCGCCGCCGGCCATTATTTCCAAATCGATCCTCATTTCGTTATGGAGCCTTGGGTGGATCGGCTGATTTGGTGGTTTTTCTTTTTTTTCGCGATTTTTCTGCGGGTTACGGTAGCGAAAATCGAGCTAAATTGTCTGTGCTAGGCTACCCAATTTTCGAATTCTGGGGATACAGTTTTACAGCACCGTTTTAGCTAGCATCGACGAATTTTCTGATTTTCTCGGTACCGGACTCTTAGCGGTGGGAGTGGTAGCCCCGGCCTACCTGACAAAAATTTCGGCGCTTGTAGCGTATTTTTATGGTGTTTTACTGGATTTTCTTTGGCTAAAAATCCATAAAAAATTCGGATTTTCGAAAATCTAGAAAAAATTTTAACTCCGCTCCACCCGCCCCCCCCCCCGCTAGCAGCCCAGTACACTAGCGCTTTCCATCGTTCGTTCTCTCGCTCTCTCTCTCTCACACACACACACACACACAAACTCTCTCTCGCCTCTCTCTCCCTCTCGCTCTCTCCCTCTCGCTGTCTCTCGCTGTCTCTCTGTCTGTCTATCTCTCTCTTTCTCCCCCGCTCTCTCTCGCTCGCTCTCTCTCTCTCTTTCGTGCCCTCCGACGTCAACTCTAATAAACCATCCCTTTCCAGAATGCAAAAGCTGTTAATGTGCGTGGCCGTACTGGCCGGCGTGGCCCTCGCCTCGAAGGAGTACGGGCTGAAGACGAACCGTATCCCGACCGGATGGGAATGGAATAGCACTTGTGATGAGTGCCAATCGGTACGGGAAATTTTTTGACCAAAGTTTCCCATCATTTCGAGCGAAATTTCAGGCCTAATCAGACTGTTCTTTTGTAGTTTGTGCACCGTTTCGAGGCGGCCCTGAAGAACCCGACGAAGATGGCCGAGCTGAAGGCCCTTCTCCGCATTCTTTGCCACGAGACATCGTATGTGGATGAATGTCGTGCATTTGTCGCCCACCTTGATGACTTCATCTCCAAGCTCGACCCCTATCTTGTGAGTTTTCCTTTAGAGAGGGAGCGAGAGAGAGTGAGAGAGAGAAGGAGAGAGAAAGAGTAAGAGCGTGAGAGCGATAGAGAGAGAGATAGAGAGAGCGGGTGAGAGAGAGTCGGAAGAGCGAGAGTCGGAAGACAGAGAGAGTGAGACGGAGAGAGAGAGAGAGAGAGAGAGAGAGAGTGGGAGTGAGAGGGCGAGAGAGTGAGTGAGAGAAAGAGCGAAAGTCAATGTCATTTCAAAACGCCAAAATTAAAATGGTCGAAATCTACCGTATCCAAACGTATCTTACTTTTCAAATTTTAAAGTCACTTTAAAGGGCCAGGCAAGCCAAAAATTGATAGGTTCTGCTGTTTTTTGCGCGAATTTTCACTGTACGTCACTCCCGGATTCTGAATTCTTTGTAGTCTACCCCCTGCCCCGCATGGTTTGGCTGATTTTTGCGCTGAAAAAAGCAAAAACGCAGGCTTTATCTTATCAGAAGCGCGTGGTCATAATCCCTGCGAGGCTCCCGAATTTCGCCCAGCTGCTGCTGATTTATGGCTGTCAGAATCCGGGCGACACCTCCGAACGGTTGAGGGTTTCGCTGGATTTTGTAGTTTCTAGCCGATTTTTGGGAGCTTTTGGGTTCTTTCACGTTCTCGGGGGGAGGTTTTTTCTAAGGACGCAATTTTTCGCATATAAATAGGGGAATAATTTTAAACTGTTTACGCGATCCCTAAGCGTAAAAACTACAAAAAAATCTCATTTTTCGTGTGGCCGCTTCCTTCTGTCTCTCTTTCCGTCTTTCTGTCTCTCTCTCTCGCTCTCTCTCCCTCTCTCTCTCTCTCTCTCTCTCTGTCCCACACTCTCTATCCCGATCGGTTTCTATATCCGATTTTTTTTCAGCAAGATGCGAAGGCGGTGTGCACCCATATGCACCTGTGCACCCAGCGTACGGCCCGTTTCCACCGTATCGGCCAGCTCTACAGCAAGCTCATCCAGAAGGGCACCGTCGGCGGATATGTACGTTTTTCTAGGTTTTTAATGCTTTCGGCATTAGGAAAAAGTTTTTTGTTGCAAGAAAAAAAACAAAAAAAAAAACAAAAAAATTCGCAACGGCCGGGAGTCGAACCCGGGTCATGCGCCCGGCAGGCTAGCGCACTACAATCGGCCGCCAGGCATCGCGATGAACCGGTTAAATCTGTTAATTTTGAAAATTCTACGGTAGAATAAGGATACTAAAGTAATTCTGAAAAATAATTTTTAGAATTTTTTTAGAGAAATTTGTTTTAAGTTTTTTTTAATTTGCTGAAAAACCTGCGATTTTAATTCCTACCGTACGCTAATTGATTTTTCAGGCTGATATCGTGTGCGATGAGTGCCAGTTCGCGGCCACCGAGTTGAAGCAGGTCATCACCGACAAGAATCTCCAGGTTTGTGCAAGAATCGAATCAACATTTTTCTTTTCCGGCCGTTTTTTCCACTCTTTAAAGGTTAGAAAAGATACAGTAACCCGGCGAAAAATCCAAAAAATGACAATTATCATTAAGACCGGCTAAAAAGTTGCAATTTTTAGCAGCAAATCCGCGACTTCTTCCGCGACAACGTGTGCGCCCGTTTCGGCAAGTATCGCGGCGACTGTGACATGGTCATCGAGCAGTTCTTGCCGGAACTCTTCCAAGAGCTCGAGGCCGCCCTCGCCAACCCCAAGAAGGTACGGTAGTCATTTTTGATTTTTTATCTTTGTAGATTTTTGGTTAAAAAGTTTATTTTCTGTCTATTAAAAATAGATATTTCTTTTTATCGAAAAATATGATGCAAATATTTCATAGAGATGGCATAAAACGGCGGAAAAAACCATCGGTAAAATAAAATCAAAAGAAAATGATATTTTTAATGATTTTAATTTTTGATAATAGCTGAATTTTTATAAATACTTGCTTAATTTTTGGCGATATAATCTCTTTTATATCCCGTTAAAAGTAGTTAAAATAAAAATGAATTACGCGGAAAAATTTTTGGAAGCTTCAAAACTTTTAAAAACTAACAAATTGCACAAATTTCAGGTGTGCCACGACATCGGCTTCTGCGGCTCGACCCGCCGTCGTCTGCCCGGATTCCTCGGACTCGCCCAGGGTTTCTAAATATCGCAAAAATTCTCCTGTCACCGTCCCATTAAAACCGTGAAGCTTTAAAACCCCTGGCTATTACCGTATCTATCTATCTATTCCCCTTTTGTGCTCAATTCCCTCCCGTTCGTTGTTTCGAGTAAAGCGTTTGTTTAAGTTTCAAGGCGTCCAGGCAGAATTCCGCTTTTTCCTCTGTACGCTACGGTGTCGTCTACGGTATCCACTCGTCTACAGACAAACACACTAACACACGACATTGTCCGTCCAAAAAACGTGCAAAAACCTCTGCTGGCTTGCCCTACCGTATTCCAGAGGTCCGGACGATTCCTAAATGGTCTCTGCTAGCCGGCGGCCGTCTGGCGAATTTTCCTAAAAAAATCGCTGCTAGCTCCCCTTTGGATGGATTCCCAAAGGTTCTATGCTAGCCTCCCTCGTTCAGACACGCTGTTCCTAGAGAATTCCGGCTAGCTTGCCCTACCGTAGTCCCAGGTCTGGCGAATTTTCCTAAAGAATCGCTGCTAGCTAGCCTTTATATGGATCACAAAAGGTTCTATGCCCGGCTCCGTCGTTCAGGCAAGCTTTTCCTAACGAATCCCTGCTAGCCTGCCCGGTTGGACCTCTCTTGCTGTTCCTAAGGGATCCCGATTTGCCTTCTGTCTCTGTATAGCTAGCCGACTACTATCGACTGAATTTCCAAAGGGTTTCTGCCACCCAGCCTCACCGAGCTTGACTGGTCATTCCGCAAGGTCCTCTGCTAGCCTGCCATGACTGGGCATGCCGTTGAATCCCCCAAGAATCCCTGCTAGCTTGCCTGCTCGTACGGCCAGGGCGCTGTTCCTTCGTTTCTAAAGAATCTCTGCCGGCTTACTTCCTAAAAACCAGATATTTCGTTTCCCAAAGTTTCTCTGATGGGTTGCTATGGCCAGAGAGAGAGAGAGAGAGAGAGAGAGAGAGAGAGATAGGGGGAGAGAGCGAGACAGAGAAAATGAGAGAGACAAAGAGCGAGAGTAAGAGAGAGAGAGAGAGAGAGAGAGAGAGAGAGAGAAGAGAGAGAGAGAGAGAGACAAACGAAAACAACATATAAACCTCGGGTCTTCCCTTCAAAGTGTTAAATTAGCCATATTTTGACGGCGCGTCTTCATTGATTTGTGTTTTTGCACACAATCACCCCTCCATTTAAAAGAATGCTGTTTTTAGGCCTTTTCTTCCTCTTTTCCATCGATTCCCCAGAAACACTGGCCAGCCAAAATGACAACAATCACGCCAAAAAAGGTGTCAACTGACAGCCAGCAAGTCATTTGGGCCAATCCGTGCGCCTAGAAAAAAATGCGCTGCTTGCTATTTCTTGCCCTGCTGGGTCGGTTGGGTTACGGTAGCCCAATTGGGCCGCTATCGGTCGAGAATTCGAACGAAAATTCGCTCGAAAAACTCGGAAATTCGCTAGAAATCGACCCAAACTCCCCGTGTGGCAAGTGTCAACAGGTGCGTTGCGGAATTTTTTATGACAAGACGGAAACCGTAACCTAGTATATATTGCGGCATACCTCCTCGTACGTATCTTAGCTCATGGGGCCGTATCGTAGTGTGGCGCGCCGTAGCCCATCGTAGCGTATCGTACCGTAGCTGAGTGTAGCGCAGCGTCCCGCAGAGTCGTGTACGTTCCATAGCGTATCGTATGGTGGTACCGTAGCCTACTGTAGCACTGTGTACCGTATGGTAGCCTATCCCACGGTAACGTTCCGTGGCGTAGAGTACCGTAGCGTATCGTAGCAAAGCGTCAAAACCGTAATCTATCGGCGCGTACGGGGGTCTTGCCTACCGTGCCGTATCGTAGCGTAGCGTACCATTGGATACCGTAGCCTTTCGTAGCGTTTCGTAACGTAACCCATCGTAGCGTTTTTCTTTAACCAATTTTTCCTGCAGGTCTTCTCCGAGGTTGCCCACGCCCTTGCCAACCACGAGGGCCTGAATCGACTGGAGGTAAACGTAGATTGTATCTCGTAGCGCGATGCCGCACACTACCGTACCTACCGTTCTCTACCGTAGTGTAACGTATTATGCCGTATTGTACCGTACTCTACCGTATCTTATCGTACTCAAACGTACTAGACCGTGGTCTACCATACCGTACTGTATCGTACTCTACAGTATAATACTGTGCTATATCGTGCTCTACCGTACTCTACCGTACTCTGGCGTACTCTCCGTAGCCTACCGTATCCATCTCAGGATGCGATCACCCAACTCTGCCACACCCACCTCCGGCCCAGCCTTTGCCATTCTGTAGCCGAGAGCCTGAAGTTGACGGTTGATGTACTGGGACCAATTATGGTATTCTTGGGCTACGGTAAATAGGTCAAATTTTAGGGAACGCCCGTTAAACTTTGCCAGCAATTGGACTTTTGCTCGGCCGAGATGCCGGAGGAAAAGCCAGAGCCAGAATACCCAAGACCTGTGATATGGGAACCGGAAACTGAGGAGCCTAAATCTGAGGAGAAACTGGAGGTGAGAGAGCGCGAGTGAGAGAGAGATGGAGCGAGAGAGATAGCGAGAGTTAGAGAGCGAAAGCGAGAGAGAGAGAGAGAGAGAGAGAGAGAGAGAGAGAGAGAGAGAGAGAGAGAGAGAGAGAGAGAGAGAGAGAGAGAGAGAGAGAGAGAGAGAGAGAGAGAGAGAGAGAGAGATAGAGAGAGAGAGAGGGAGAAAGAGAGAGCGAGAGACAGAGAGCGAGGGAGCGAGTGGGCGAGAGAGTGTGCGAAAGCGAGAGAGTGGGAGGGAAGAGAGAGAGAGAGTCCCCTGAAAAACCAAGAGTTTCAGAATCAAGCGATGGGCTGTAACACTTGCCTCAAAGAAGCGGCAAAATACCGTGATCAAGTACGCGACACAACGGGACAACAGTTCACCATCGGTGCGCTCACCTATGCGTTTTGTGACGACCTCGCGTACGGTAAAGAAGCGGTGCGTTGCGGAGCTTTTCTTCTTCGAAAAAAACTTTTTTATTTTATTTATTAATTATTATTTTTATTATTTATTACTTAGCTAAGTGTTTTATTATTTAGTGTGAAACGTCGATGCCTGACCTCGTAAAGAGGATGATCGATGGGACGATCGAGATCGTGGACGATCTGCCGAAGGTCGGTTGTAGCTAGAAATTTGCATGTTTTTAATTCCGTGGCGAATCGGCTTGAAAACTTTGTTGTTAACCAAAAAATTTCATTTTAAAAGCTTCCAAAAAAATGGCCGAACAGCTTGTAAAATCAATAAGTTTGCGCCAAAAATAAGTATTGTTTTGATCGAAACAATGCTTTTTCGCCATCACTTTTTTGTTTTCCATTAATTTATGCTAAAAATTCAGGTTTTAGTAGTGTTTAACATTTTTTATTTGCCATAAAAAATGACAAAATCAAAAAGTTATCGCGAAAATAGGAAAATTTTGGAGGGTCAAAGTTTTTTGAGGGCTTTTTACGATAACTTTTTTGTTCTCCAAAATTTGACGCTAGCTTCTGAGGCTCAGGTAGAAAATTGCATTTTTGATTTGTAGTAAAAATTTCAAACAAAATTATGGCAAAATAAAACAATTATCGCAAAAATAGGATAAATTTTGGAGAGTCAAAGTTTTTTGGGAGCAATTTTCTTATTTCTCAATATTTTCGACTAAATTTTTGGCTGCTGGTAATTTTTAGCGTTTCGCATCTATGGTGTAAATTTCAACCCGCCACCTCAATTTTCAGTTCTGCCACGAGGTGATGAAGTGCGAAGCGGAGTCGATCGAGATTCCTGCAAACTCCGATTCCTACGAATCGCAGGAGGTCGATTTGCCGGTGGCGCTCGATGTCTCGAGAATTGAGCACGAGCTGGAGGAGGAGCTCGGCAAGGACGAAGCAGAAGATGAAGATTCACCCGAGTACATTCTAATCGTTGGCTAAATGTCCGAAATATCGATATCTTCCCCCGGCTTTACCCCGCTGTTTAAAACCCAAATAAATGCTCCTTTCACCTCTGTTTTTGTCCACATTTTAGGAAACTACGCGTCTCCAATTGCCGTAAATCGGAAGGCGCGGAAAATCGTGTTTTTCCGATTTTTTTTACCATCAAAATCGTATATTTAGCGATTTGACTCCATCACAACGTTTTTCATTAGGCCCTTGGGTACAAAATGCTCGTTTTTAACAGTTTTTAGTATTTACGAAGCTCTAATTAACTTCGAAATTAACGGAAAAGCTATTTCAAACCATATTTTCCATGGTTTCAACTAGAAATTTGAAATTTTTTGACCAGAAACACTGAAAATGTTGAGCATCCAATAGTTTCCAAGATCTGAAATTTAGCACAGTTCTATAAATCCGACTGTAAAATCGTAATTATCGAGTTGGTTACCGAGTTGGGGCCTTAAAATGCAGAAAACACCTGGTATTACCTCTCATTAATGCGGTTTGATTACTTATCGGTTTTACTCGGTAATTCCCGATATCGCCTGGAAGTTTTTGGCGCCTAACGCCACACCTTGTTTTATTCCTATTCCTTTATTTTATTTATTTTATTCCTCTTTACTTTATTTGTTTTATTACTTGACACGTTTTCTAAAGCTTTACCTTATTTTTGCTTTTCTCACTACTTTTTCTTTTTTTGGTGAATTTTTACGAAATTTACAAATATTTTGGGCGTAGCGAAATTCCAAAATCTATGCATTTCCGGCTAAAACTCTTTTTTCTTTATGCCGATTCTCTTGCGTTTTTTTCTATTTTCTGTCCTCCTCTCTAAATGGTGATTTTCCACAACTTGCCTCTTTGCAGGTATGCGTGTACTGGTGTGCATTGTAGCCCTGGTGGCCGTCGGACTCGCGTCCAAGGACCCGATCCGCGCCGATCGTCTCGCCGACACCTGCGATGACTGCCAGACCGTGGGTGTTTGCCTTCGATGTTCCTTTAAACACAGCCTCGCGTATCGCGTCGCGGAAGCGGAAAAAACCTAGGGAAAGCTGACCGGCTTGAAGGCGCCGTAACCCATTATGCGATGAAATTTCCGATTATGCGTTGCGTGTAACGGCGCGGAAAAATCCATAGCCACGTCTTTCCACCCCCTTTAACCCTGATTTTCAGCTGGTCTCCCGCTTCGTGTCCGCCTCGAAGTCGCCGGAGCGCCGTGCTCGACTCCAAGCCGGTCTCACCGCCGCCTGCGCCTTTGCCCCGCGCTACAAGACTGAGTGCCGCATCCTCGTCAAGAACATTGAGCGCGTCGTCACCAAGATCGAGCCGTACATGGTCAGTTTCTTGCCAAAAACTTCTTGAAATTGATGTTCATCTCCAGAAGAACCACCGGTCCATCTGCCGCAGCCTGCACCTGTGCGACAGCAACTCGGAGATTTCCGCCTTCGCCAAGCTGTTCATGCTGGCCGCCAAGCAGCAGCTCGACCTTGTCGAGGCCGCCGTGAGTGGCGAGTGGCCGGCTGTAGATGTTCTTTTTTTCAGGAGAAGAACACGCTGTGCGCTGAGTGCCAAAAGGCGTCGAAGGGCGTCTCGCAGATGATCACCACCGGCCGCTACGCCAAGAGGGCCCTCACGCTCACCCAGAATCTGCTCTGCGCCAACGTTGGACCCCGACGCGAGCTCGTACGTTTCTGTTTCGGGGGGTTTTTTATGGCAAGGCCGTTGAATGGCTTGCAAACGTTGCCATAGCCGCTTTGAACTCGCTGCTCCGAGGTTCGTTGAACTCCTTGAAACGGGGGTCCGGAAAACACCATGAACTACTTGAAAACGGCGATCTCGAGAGCCCGCTGAACGACTTGAAAACGACCTCTTTTTATGCTGCGTGACGTTTGGAACTTAGTTGAACCGCTTGAAAACCGCGCCATTTAATGCTTCTCGAATGGTTTGATCACGAAAATTCATTGAACTGCTCGAAAACCGCGCCATTGAATATCGCCATAGTATGACGCGGAAAAGTATAGTTGGACTGCTCGAAAAAGTTGCCGTATAGCTTTGGATATGGCTTGGAAAGCCTAGGCATTCTCTGAACTGCGTGAATACGGTGAGTCCAAAACGCGTAGAACTGCTTGAAAATGGCGCTATTTAGCGCTGAGAAAACGGTTGGATCCTCGAATTTGAAAATCATCTATTTTAATTCTACGTGCATTGTTTTTACCCAAAAATCAGTTGACCTGCTTGAAAACGGCGCCTTTCAAAGTTTCGGGGTTTATTAAGCGGGAAAATTTGCTGAACTGCTTGAAAACCTCGAATTCTCAGTGCGAGTCGACGAGCGCCGAGCTGATCCCAGCCTTCTTCAACGACGCCGAGGATCTGTTCGCCGACAGCAACAAGGTCAGACCCGGCCGTATCGGATTGAGAACAAATAATTTTAGGCTTGCCAATCGATGGGACTCTGCCCGGCCGAATCGACCGCCGTCCGCCGCACCAGCGAGGCCGAAATTGGCGCCGTGCTGCGCAACTTCTGGGCCAACGGACCCAAGACCCAGCAGGGAGACCAGATGGATTGCTTCCGTACGTTTCAGGCTTTGCTTCGCTTGGGCTTGGGCTTGGTCTAGGCTAGGGTTGGGCTTGGCTACGGCCTGGCTTGGGCCTGGCTTAGGCTTGGCTAAGGCTTGGCTTAGGCTTGGTTTAGGCTTGGCTTAGGCTTGGCTTAGGCTTGGCTCAGGCTTGGCTTAGGCTTGGCTTAGGCTTGGCTTAGGCTTGGCTTAGGCTTGGCTAAGGCTTGGCTTAGGCTTGGCTTAGGCTTGGCTTAGGCTTGGTTTAGGCTTAGGGTTGGCCTGGGCCTGGCTTCGGCTTGGCTTAGAACCTAAAAACCATGCTTGGTTCAGTGTGCGAGGTGGAGAAGGACATCGAGATCGACGGGTTCGGCAAGGCCAACTGCACCATCGCCCACCAGATCCGCGACATCGCTTGCCCCATCCTGCCCAAGGACTATCTCCTCGGTTGCCACGTACGCGGTTTTCTGTTGGAAACGTGATCATCCTCCCAGGATTTCCTGGATCTGTACGCGCCGACGGTGGTGGTGATGACCGTCGACCAGATGGACGCCCACGATATGTGCTGCAGCGATGGACGGTGCCCCAACACTACCGGTAAGTTCAAAAATTAATGAGGATGAAGCTCAAACGGCTACATATTTAGTCTCCCTGACCGCCGATATGTCGCACGAGCAGAAGATGAGCCAGACTTGCGAGATGTGCCGCACCACCAGCACCTTCGCCCGCGACGCCATGCTCGCCGATGGGCAGCTCGTTGTAAGTTGGAGCTCCTCGGAAATTACAAAAATAAATTCAATTTTGTATCTAATTTACGTGGTCTTCCGCTAAAATTAAAAAAAAACGTAGAAGGTCAGAAGACAAAGAAAAGGAAAGAGGCAGAAAAAGCTAAAGAGGGTCTTTTCGGGAGCTTTCGCGTTATCGGGGGCGGAAAAAAGCTGGAGTGGTGTCCAATTTTCCTAATATAACAAATATAAGTCCTCTGAAATTTTTCCTCACGATTCCAGGCGCAAAAAAATATGAAAAATAAAGATTTTGTAACCAAAAATTGCCGATTTTTTTACAAAATTTCCGTTTTAATACCCTTTTTGTCCTTTTTGAATAGTTTTTTTGCTTAGAAATAGACTTAGAAAAAAACATTTAAAAATCTAGCTTTTTTCGCACAATAAAAATCGATCTCGCACCGAAATTTCCCGTTTTCCACATTTTTGAAGCCTCGTAAATAGTTTTCCATTTCAAATATGGTTAAACTTGCGTAAAAATACCATTAAAATACTTGATATTACGTCATCCAGCATTTCTGGGCTTATATGAAAAATTTGGGTCCCACCAGAGACACGCGCAACATGCCTAAAACCAAAAATTCAGGAGAACGTCGTCGCCGGCGTCGAGAACTTGGTCTGCCAGCACGCCCCTGAATTCTTCCAGGAGATGGTAAACTCTAAAATAAACTTTTAAATCACCAAAATCCTTTGCAGTGCGGCCGCATGGCGGAGAAGTTCGTGCCGCGCGTGCTCGCCTCGGCCCTCCAGCTCTTCTCCGATCCCAAGGGATGCGAGAAGGTAATTTAATGGAAATAATCTTTCTAAATCGATACCTCCGTTTTTCGACAAAATTCCCAGCTTTTAAAGTTTTTTTAAAACGTTAGAAAACACTGCTAAGACTCCAGATCCCCCCCGCCCCCAGCCCCCAGCCGGCCCCCAACTTTTGTTTCTCGGCTACCTGTTTATCTACAGGTGTTCAAAGTACACCAAAATGTTCGTCTTGCTCTGGCGAGTATTTTGGTACACTTCACACATCTGTAGATGAACAGGGAGCCGAGATAAGGTAGGCGGGGGCGGCTGGGGGGGGTATCTGGAGTGGTAGCCAAAACACTAAATCTACTTCCTTAGAAAGTTAAGCTTAAACTTTAACGTTTCTAAAACTAAATCCTTAATTTTAGACAGTTTTAGACATTTTCCGGATTTTCGAATGTTTTTCCAATCGTTATTTAGCCAAATTTTAGCAAAAAAAACTTTACATCCTTACTATCAGACTATTAGACAATGCTGGAAGGATATTATAAGAAACACCCCCCCGGTATTGCAACAGTACCAAAACCACCATTTCAGCGTGGCCTGTGCTAGAGAGCGGCTCCGTGACGTCAACAACACGCAATATGTTTTGTAATAAAAAATGCATCGCACTTGCAGCAATCGAGACGTAATCACAGAATATCGCAACTTCATAACGTCAAAACTTTAAAATTGAAAATCTGAAAATTGGAATTTGCCCAATTATTTTTTGGGTCTTTCGCATCATCGGCAGGATCAAAAATTTTGTTTAAGCGTAGAAATGTATAGTAACGTAATAGAATGTATTCTCATCAATTTTTCGGTACAATGAAACTGTATTTAAACTAGAAAACCTATCTAAACACGAGATTTCGGTAAACTAGGTCATTTTTGAGTGGAAAATCACTTTTTTTTTGTTTTAATCAAAAACTTATGACCTTTTTACTTTAGAAATTGTAAACAAACGTTTAGAAACAGTTCTGCGATTTACAGACGAGAAATTGGATCCAGAGTAAAACAGTTGGTCCCCCCCCCGATAACGCGAAAGAACCATTTTCTGCATAATCTGGAGTTTCCGAAATTGTCCATGGCAAACTATGGCATTAGAAATTTATAAATCAGCAAATAGAAATTAGTCACCACATTAAACAATTTATAGCATCTACGTTGAAGAGTAAAAAGCCAAGAAATACATGAAGCACTCGAGAAAATCACATTCCCGAGGCCGTGGGGGAACCGCAAAAATAGCAGAGGTCAACATTGCCGAGGCGCAACCGCGGAATTAAGATTAAAAGGGGCGTACAAGGATCGGAAAACAGACAAGTATCAACGACTACAAACACGGCGAAAATTGGGTAGACTATTCAGAGGCCGGACTGCAGTCCGAATCCGGGGCCCGTCGGCGGCTCCGTCAACGATGTCAGCTTGCCGATCGGCTCGGCGGCCAGGCGGCCAGACCTGAAAGAGAATATTAACAATAAATAAAAAAAACAGCGTTAAAAAATGCGCCAAAAATAAGTACCTAATTCAAGCTTAACGACTAGTTAGGAACTAGAAAATGTTCTAAAATTTGAAAAATTCGCTCGAAAAAGAGGTATTTTAGCCTTTCATAATAAAAATTTACAAACTTCTCGTTTAATAATAGAAAAATCGCAGTGAAACGCTTCTAGAAATCATTATCACTATTTAGAACTATTCCGAAAAATTAGCAAAACGTTAAAATTTTGAAATTTCGGCCATAAAACCTGCTATTTTTCGGTGAAAACTCGATGTTTTTGTAGGCCTAATCAAAACGTGTGCAACTTCTCTGATCGAAATAGTACAAAAACAGGTTTCGCGCTGCCACGAGCCCAAAAATATGAAATTTACTTAGGCCCAGGGATCGGTCGCTTGCCGGCCTTCAGCTCGTCGATGATCTCGTTCATGTCGGCGGCGGTCAAATCCTCGTAGTAGTCGTCGTTGATCTGCACCATCGGCGCGTTCACACAGGCACCAAGGCATTCCACCTAAAAATCGGGTGATCTCAAAAAAAGACCAAGCCAACCTCAGCCAGCGTAAAAAGTCCGTCGGCGGTCGTCTCGCCCGCGTGGATGCCCAGCTTTTTCTCGATGCAGGCGGTGATCGACTCGGCGCCGCGAAGCATGCACGGGGTCGTCGCGCAAACCTGAAAAATGGGAATTTTGAAATGAAATTTGGAACTTTTTTTGAACGTGATTTTTTTTGAACTCTTTTCTGAGGACATAATTTTTTTTAAATATAAATAGCTGAAGTGCTTCTGAATAGTTTTGATTGAGGCGTAAAAGCCTTCCAAAAGTATATTAAAAATAGAAAAAGATATAGATTTTCGGCCAAAAATTACCGTTTTTACCAGCACTTTAACTTTTTGAAAAATTTTTCAAACTTTTCGATAGTTTTTCTAGCTAAATAATAGTTTTATGTTATTAAAAACCTTATGAAAATACTCCTATTAAGTTAGTAGGCATTTCTAGATTAACACAAAAAGTTGTTTTCCCCCCGATATGCGAAAGTACCTCAAAGTCGTTGGCAAAAATCCGTCGTTGGCAATGCCGTCAAAAATGAAATACGATTATTTTTGGAGCGCTTTCAGTTTGAGTTTTAGTTTTAACCTTATGAAAACCACGAGAAAAAGCCATACAAGAGCAACCACCGAGATCTTTTTCCAGGAAAGCATCAAAACTCGGCCAAAAGGGGAAATTACCGATCTCTGCAATGCTTTGAAAATTCTTACGAAACTTCTGGATAATTAGAAACTTTAATAAACTAGATAAACTTTCATAAATGATTATTACGCATCGTTACATCAACAAGAAGCCTTATTTAGGCACTCTTCGGGTTTTGCTTAGTTATTGAGCGCATTAGATAAAGCCTGAAATTCTGCACAAATCCCATCTCTCACAAGCTGCTAACCGACGGCGGCCTTGGGGAAAAGCTACTCTGAAACGGCCGATCTTGCCCATTTTCGAGCGTACTTCAGGAAATGTAAACCTTTCAGAAGCGTTTCTCGAAGAGATTCAGCAGTTTTTGAAAGCCGAGATCAACTATAATAATTTTGCTGTGGTGTCTGTCTGTCTGTCTGTCTGTCCGTCATGTCCCAGATTCAACTCGAAGGGGAAAGGAGCTCGAGCTTAGGTCTCTTCGGATTCGGATAGAGCGTGGTCAGAAACCCCAAAACTGATAAAAAAATTATGAAAAAGTTTTAATTTAAATTATTAAAATTAACTTTGAAAATTTTTTCCTTAGTAAAAGGGGTGGGGGACGGAGGTTGGGGTGATTTTGGACATAGTGAGCCAGGTCGCGCGCGTTTCGTGGATGAAAATTTTCACGGGGGATTTCATTTCTTTTTTTCTCTCATTCCATCCGGTCGGTCGTTATTTTCGTTTTTTAAAAGGATTTCGGCTAGGGGAGGTATCTTAAGCCATCGGGAAGGTATTTAGGTAGTTTTTGAAGGGGATTTCGGCTAGGGGAGGTATCTTAAGCCATCGGGAAGGTATTTAGGTAGTTTTTGAAGGGGATTTCGGCTAGGGGAGGTATCTTAAGCCATCGGGAAGGTATTTAGGTAGTTTTTGAAGGGGATTTCGGCTAGGGGAGGTCACTTAAGCCATCGGGAAGGTATTTAGGTAGTTTTTGAAGGGGATTTCGGCTAGGGGAGGTAACTTAAACCATCGGGAAAGTATTTAGGTAGTTTTTGAAGGGGATTTCGGCTATCGGGGGTATTGTTGGAAGTGGGAAAGGATGTGGTGGAGTGGGACATGTAGGGTAGCCCGAAGGCCAGATGGTTGCAGTCGCGAAGCGACTGTAACCATCTGGTTTGTTCAGAATTTCAAGCGCCACGAGCTACGTCACCTCGCAAAAGCCGGAAGCACCTAAAAACAACGCCGCCAAACGGCGAGCATGACTTTCAATGGTTAAAAAAGCTTTTGGTAGCTTTGTTAACATTTTTGTAGGTGAGTAGAACGATAAATTTGATAGAACTAGCAGGTTGAAATTAGATGGAATAATTCGGCCCCGCGCCAACAACGCAAAAGCTAAAAACGCGGGATACCTGCAGAAAATGCTTGCCAACCGGCTGCCGATTGAACATTGTGTAGAAGGTGGCCACCTCGTAGACGCGCATCCGGGGCACACCGCACACCTTGGCCACCTCGTGCATCGCCGAAATTGGCAGCCAGCCGTGTTGCCGTTGCGCCAGATCGAGCACGGGGATCAGGGCGGCGCTCTTGTGGCCCTCGGGGTAGATTCCCTAAACCGGAAATGTCAAAACCATTTTTTTGTCAGCTGAATTAAAATTTAGACCGATTCCTCAGTCAAAACAACGTCTTCTGGGCTAGTTTTGCGCGCTAAGCTCGATTTCCCGCCTGTAGCCAAAAAACCCCCGAAATATCGTTCACCAAAAATCAAAAAGGCCGCCAAAACGCGGTGAAAACGTTTCCGGAACCATTTGATTTCATTTTGTAGCGTAACGCCCCGTTTTTCTATCCAAAACCGTGAAATTGGAACTCAGCAGACAAAAGCAGGCCAGCAGAGATTGTTTTTAGATTCTCCGATCAGCCCAAAACTTTCTCGCGGTCTTGGCTCCTAAATGGCCCGAGCTTTCACGACAGAGAAACAGGTACGGTAAAGACAATCACCTTAATCGCCTCGATGCGCTTCAGATTCTCCGGGGTGAAGGCGAATTTGACGGCCAGGTTGTTGTCGTTCGTGTCGCGGTGCACCATCAGCCCCGTACCGCCGAAACGCTTCTGGACAAGCGGATACGCGCCGCGAAACGCCTTCAACGCCAGGCTCATCTCCTGAAAATGCGGCAATTTTTGGAGGGAGAACAAGGAAACAATAAAAGTCAACAGAAAATAAGTGCCGGAACGTTGTTCGGAGACCAAATTTTAGCAAGGGAAAAGAACCAAATTTTTGTTTTCCAACTTCTAATCGGGTAATAATAAAGACTGAACGCATTTTTCTTGCTTTGTTGGTTGCAGAGTCGCATAAAACAATTTTTCAGAAAATCTAAATAAATGTTCGGGCTCTTTTAGCTCTTTTTATCCGATATTTGGCCGCCAGAGCAGCATTATTTCAAAAGATTCAAAGAGCTTTTAACTCAGAATATTTATCACCAATATCAATATCGAAAAAGAAAAAGAAAAAGAGAAAAATGAAAACCCGGACCTATCAAAGCCGAAAAAGCGCAAATTGACTACGCAGGGCTACGTGTTAACACCTGAGCGTAAACGAACGAACTAACGTAGCAGGAAAATTATTTGTTCATCATTTGGTTCCTCGCTTCAACCACGGTTTCTTTTAGTTTTTGTACTTTTTTTGTACTTTTGTTTCATTTTTGGCAAGATACTAATTCACCTCCTCCCCGATATAGAACTTTCGGCGCCATCTAATTGAATCTTTCGCTGTTTTGCGAATCAAATGTCTATGTTCTTGTTAGGGATATTACTGGAAACATTTCTCTGTACTTTACAGCCCTGTAGAACCAAGGAGATGCGGGGTAGAAGGGTTGGAATCTCGCCTGGGGGACTAGGTTAGCTTCTTCCCGAGGTTTTTGGGGCGGGATTTCGTTTTAGGGGAGCGAATTTGGGTTATTTGCCCGATTTTTCACCGGTCCTATCGTAGTTTGACGTGCTAGCTCCAAAAACAGGGGCCAGGTTGATTTTAAGTGAAAAATCGAGCTTGGCACGTCAAACTATCCTACTCGGTTAGCAAAGCGCCCGCGGGCGCGCGCCCGAAAACCCAAAGCGCCCGCGAGCGCGCCCGAACTGGACCCTTTTGCGCCCCGGGCGCAATTTTTGCAAAAGGGCGCAAAACCGCCCCGGGCGCAAAAAGCGCCCATGGGCGCAACTAGGGGCGCGCCCGCGGGCGCCATTTGAATGATGAACACCTTTCAAGTCTGCGAAAAAACGGCTAAGTTCCTGGATTATGCACTTATTTATGTTCAAAACATATATAAATTAACAAATACGTTGCTAGGTTCGCTTGGTTATGGTCGTCGAATGTAGAATACGATACTTTGAAGCGCCATGGCACAGGTAACGAAGGTAAAGTTTTGCTACGCAACCAATGCCTTCGAAACTAAAAATACTTTAGCTTCAGATTTATAGATTTTCGATTTATATGAGCCAACCTTTCAGACGATCATGGTCATCATTGCAAATGCGAAGCGCGACGTTTCCAGTATCTTTGGGCTGAGTTTCAAAGTAAGTCGGCAAGAAGCCAGTCAAAGAAAGTTTTCAGGAAGCGGGAAGAAAGTAAGTGCTAATTACGAAGTTTAAAAAGGAAATTAGGTAATTAGCTACACTTTTAAGGTCGTATATCGCGCATTCGAACGTATCTGTAAGTTCCAAACGAAGCAAAAGCCAAGAAAGCAAAAAAAAAAACATATTTCAGGTGCGCAGTACGACCATTTTCTCAGGGAACGTGAAGATCTACATTAAGTATAGGGTACAGCATCGTCAAAAGCGATGAAGTGCCCTTTTTTTAAATAATAAAAGCATTAAAAGAACCCGTCCTACGCCGTTACAACGCGATTGGGGCGCGCCCGCGGGCGCTTTCGAGTTTCGGGCGCGCCCGCGGGCGCTTTTGGCCATTGCGCCCGAGGGCGCGCCCGTGAGCGCGCCCGCGGGCGCAATTTCGGGCGCGCCCGCGGGCGCTTTACTAACCGAGTAGGATCGGTGGAAAACCAGATGGGAAACCGTCTATCAAAGCGATTTTTCCATCCTTCCTTGGACTTGTTCTTATCCGGGTTTTCAATCGTCGAAACCAAATTCTTTGCAGGCAAAAATGCTGCGCGTGTTGGCCGGCATCAACAGAAATCTGGTGATCCCCGAGACGAGCGTCCTCTTCGTGGGCAAGCGACTACTCCTCCAGGTCAGCTTGTTACTTCTCTTCCATTCCTCCTTTTTAGAATCTCGACCCGGCGTTTGCCCTGGCAAAGTTGGGCGGCCTGCAGAATGGAGTCGAGATGTGGAAACAGGCCGTGCAGGTGGCATTTGAAGAGGGCTGCTCGCCCATCTACCTCAACCAGGCCAAGGTATCGCCGTTTTGTATGTAGCAAACTCGTCCTTTTAGGTAATCGCCGTCACCGAGAAAGTGTCGAGGACCAACGCGCCGTCGAATTCGCAAGCCATCTTCAGCGCTGTCAAGAAGAACGCGCCGACCAATGCTCGGGTATAGTTTTATTTGGATGCTTTTGCATGTCGGGGCGTCTAAGTGTTTCTATGCTCCTTTTAATAGTGTTTTGGTTAAAATCTAGCTATATTTAAGTGTAGAAACATCGAAAAATGTTTTTAAAAAATAAAACTGGCGGAAAAATGGCTTTTTTCCTTTTGAGCTATATATTGAAAGGTTATGCGGAAGAAAATGCTTTTCTTGCCGTGTTACCTGTGTTTTTTTCAGGAAGAAACAGAGTTCCCTTTTTCAGAGCCTGTCGATCGTGCTGGTGGCCGAGTACCAAGATGTCATCGCTTCCGTGGCAGCCATTGCCCGCTCGTTCCCCCTCTTCAACCTCAAGTCGAAGCCGTCGCCTCTTGAAGAAATCAACGTCGAGGTGGTGGTCGTTGATGGAGAGGTAAACGTCACTATTTTTTGCGCGAATTCTTCGCTTCAGCTCGCCGCGGCCGACGTCGACTACCTGAACAGCTTGACGAAGTCGATCCGTGAAACTGGGCGCCTGATCGACATGCCGGCCAACATTCTCACCACGGGTACACCACGGCAATTGGTGGCTAATTTCTGTCCTAGATGCTCTGGTCGAAGAGGCGCTGAAGGTGGGCACCGAGCTGCCCTGTGTCGAGCACACGCTGATCCGCGGAGAAGATTTGCTCGAGCAGGGCTTCGGCGGCATCTACCACGTCGGGAAAGCCGGACCGACCCCGCCAGCGTTCCTCGTCCTCAGCCACAAACCTCCAGGTATGAATTGGGTTTCTCTCTTTGTATTGGCTGAGTTTTTAGGCAGCAACCACACGTACGCGCTCGTCGGCAAGGGCATCGTCTACGACACGGGCGGCATGCAGATCAAGGGCAAGACGGCGATGCCGAGTATGTTTATCCATTCGCTTCGCATCCCTTCCTGCGTTTTAGATATGAAGCGCGATATGGGCGGTGCTGCCGGACTGCTGCACGCCTTTGCCACCCTCGTCCGCGCCGGCTTCAAGCAGAACCTCCACGTCCTCATGTGCATCGCCGAGAACAACATTTCCCCGGCCGCCAAGTTGGGTTATTCGCCGCTCCGCAAAAGGTTTTTGTTTCAGCAAACCCGACGACATCATCCGAATGCTGTCGGGAAAGACGGTCGAGATCAACAACACTGACGCCGAGGGTCGACTCGTTTTGGGCGATGGTGTCTTCTATGCCAAACATACACTCGGAGTTCGTCCTTTTCCAACGCCGCAATTCATTTTCTAGGCGCAAACGATCATCGATATGGCTACACTCACCGGAGCGCAAACCTATGTTTCCGGCCAAGTCCACGCGGCCGTTTTGACGAATCTGGAGCAGAGTGAGCAAGAGGTACTTTTGGTTTGGTACTTTCGCATTATCGGGGGGCCAACTTTTTTCCTCGGATTAAATTTTTCGAATATAAATCGTGAAAGTATTTCTAAATGGTTATTTGCTATCCCTAACCGTAGAGACTTTAAAAATTTGTATTAAAAATATCAAAAGTATCGAATTTTGACCAAAAGTTCACTTTTTTTTGAAGTTTTTAGATAGTTTTTCTAGTTAAAATTAAGTTGTGTTAATAAACTCTATTAAAACACTAGGCATTCCTAGACTAAAAAGTTCCTTACCCCCCCCCGATAACGCGAAAGAAAAGGTTTTTGGTTGGTTCGTCAAAACGTGTGGTTTAGGTCGAAGCCGCTGGGCGGCGCTCGGGTGATATGGCCAAGTCGATGCTATTCGCTCCGGATCTGCACTTCCGCGACCTGAAATCACCGGTGGCCGACATGCGCAACCACTACTTTGGCACCATGCAGGTACCACAGTTTTTTAGTTGAATCTAATGAATGTCTCTTTCTAGGGCCCGCCCTCGGCGCTTGGCGGTCTCTTCATCGGCGCTCACATCGACTTTGGCGAGGATCTGAACTGGATCCACCTCGACATTGCGGCCCCGGCTGAATGTGAAGATCGCGCTACTGGGTTGGTCAAATTTTCGCTCTTCACCGTGGTTTTTTCCAGATACGGCCCCTCGCTGCTCTCCGTCCTTCTCGGCAAGGAAACGTCGGTGCCCATCCTTCAATAGATTGCCAAAGATGAACATTCGCTTTAAATATTTCCTTGTTTAGTGACTGTGATGACATTTTTCGAATAGATTGTGCATTTGCTAACCCACTCTCTCTGCTCTCAAAATGATGCTCTTGTGATAATTTTTCTAAGGGCTTTTTGTAACTTTTTCTGTGTTTCGCATTGCTGGTCAATAAAAATTTTCAGGAATTACAAAAATAACATTAGCTCTACAAATATACGCATCCACTTCCACGGTAAGTCCTCTTTTATTAAGTTTTATCGATTGGTTCATGGAGGAGGCTCAATGCGAATACGGCGATGGATTCCGGCAGCTCCGTCGTGTAGTTGGGAGCCGACCCACACCATCTTGTAAGCCCGGCGTCGACCTAAAAATGGTTGGCTTGGCTTGGTCATGTTTCACGCCACGGGATCCATTTATCTAGGTTCGGGCAAGCACCATTTCCCCAATATTTTAAGACTTCGGAAAATCAGATACGTGCACCGCGCGCAGCCCACATCACCTACTCTTTTCAGTTTGACGGCCTTCCTTCGTGTCAATCCATCTTTGATATACCCCAGCAATTGTTGGATCTTCTACCAATGGCATTACCGTATACCTGCAAACCACAACAGTCGTTCGTAATTAATTTTGGGGCTTTTGCCTGATAAGGGGGGGGAGGCGATAAGTCCAAAATTTTTTTGACGTTTTTTTGGCATTGTACATTCGTTTTTGACCAAGAATCTAAATATTTTCGATATTTTTATATCTTTTTTATAATTAAGCATCTCCAAAAACTTACTGTTGGTCTTCAGATTGATAGGGCATGCGCCGGTTTTGCAATTCGACCAGATGCCCATATCCATTATCATATACGACGACATTGTGACGGTAGATTCCCGCACGGATGGGCACTGTCCTCATCGACAATCCCGCAAGGTGTTCTTTCTAAAAGATAACGTAAGGAATAAACAAATCATGCGCAAAAAATAAATAAATAAAGCAGAAAAGGGTTCTTTCGCATTATCGGGGGGACCAACTTCTTTTAGCATCCAATTTTTGAAATCTAAAAAAGGACTTTTCTGCTAAATGCATTTTACTACTCCTAAGCATGAAAACTTTACACCCTTTTATTTAAAAAATAAAAAATATCTATTATTGACCAATTTTTAGACATTTTTAGTTGAAATGTAGTTACGTATTGCTATTCAAACAGTTTTTATGCAGTTACTAGGCATTTCTAGACTTATTAAACGCCCCCCACCCCCCGATAATGTGAAAGAACCCAGAAAAGTCAGGCCTACTGTGGAAAATGGAGCTATTTTGGGACTGGGCTGTTAGCGAGGGGTGAGCGGGTTTAGTGGAGGCATCGTATACGGTATACAATCTTACCTTCCACTTATTGTAAGCTATCTCATCCCCGGTTATCAAATTCATCTTGCCTCCTTTCAGCCATTCGTCCCATCCCAGCCCATGTTTCGGCGCATTGATCCGTAGGCCCATTCCGTTTTCCTGCAAGTTCATTACGGATTTATCGTATAGAATACTCTTCGAATTTCTAGTGAATTAAATAGTGTATTTTTACAATGTTTTTTAGTGGTTTATGATTGGTAGAAAGTTCTAAAAAATATTTCCAAAATTCAAACCTTTGGAAAGTTTGATTTTTTTTTGGTCCTTTTTCATACAAGTTGGGCCGGAGAGGGCCGGGTAGGTTGATGCGCCTTTCTTTTTATCTTACCCCCAGGGGATAGACCTTCCAGATCGTCGTTGTTGACAATGGATAGGCGGCTTTCAAACGCCATCCTATCGAATCGTCCGGCCTATCGTCAAAGAGTACCACCAGCAAATTGCAGGGAATCGGGTCGCACATCAAGGCACACATGTCATTTGAGTGCTGTAAAACGGTGGAGGGGTATTTTTTAACGGGGGAGGGGGGAGCTCATTTTGATTTTTCACCCTACCTGTTAACGATAAAGCCTGCATTTTTATCAACTTTTTTTAGGTAGCTGTTTTTATTGGTAGACAATTATCAAAAATATTGTTAAAGTCTTTGAATGTTGAAATTTTGGCCTTGTTTGGTGATTTTTCAAGACATTTTCACCAAAAAATCCATGATTTTACAAATTTTTCCACATTTTTTGAGAGGTTTGATCTCCAATTCTATTGAAATTGCCTATATATGTCGTTATTTACTGGGCGGAAAATGCCGCAAACTGGCAGGACCATCAAAACTACTAGCCAAAACAAACTGACGATAAAGATACAGCGTGGCACTGCTCGGCATAGCGGCAGAAGAGAATCTCGCCGCAGCCATTTCCCCTCATATATGCCCTGCCCCCTCTGCCTTCCCTCCTCGTATATCTGTAAAGTTATGCCTTTGTAATAGCATTCAACACGGAATGAGTCCGCTAAATTCTTCAAAAAAAAAACAACGTACCGTCTGCCCGAAAATGTACCATTTTTCGGTTATCGGTGTGAACAAGCGACTGGCGGCATTGAGGAGAAGATGGGCTGGCGAACACTTCCATCCCGTCACCACCAGATCCCAGGTTTTATTGCGTACACGGGACTCCTTCTTAGGCTCCTTCGTCACCCTAAAGTTTTGATTCTTTCGCATTATTGGGGGGAAACCTAATAATTTAATAGAAAGCGTTTTAATGGTGTTTTTAGCAATATATAGCTATGTTTAAACCGGAAAACTATGCATAAACGTTAACAATGTTGAAAAATCCGAAAGTTGGGCCAAAGATCCGCCTTTTTTCGTCGGAAAATCTATATTTTTATATCTTTTAATCAAAATTTGTAAAATTTTCACGTTTAGGAATTGTAGAAAGCAATTTATAAACACCTCCAGTATTTTTATGTGGAAAAGAGATCCTAAGAAACCATTTGCCCCCCCCCCCCCGATAATGCGAAAGAACCACAGAGTTTTGCCTTTGATTGGTGTGAACTATGTGATAGCTTCTGGTCAAAAGCTCAGGTTTTCTGAAACTCGGCTCAACAGGGCTCACAACAAAAAAATCTGGCGCACAGTGATGGGATTCCGACAAGTGCGCCCGCAAAGATATCCACACTGACTTTTTCAATTTTTCATCTAATCCATGCGGCTGATTACAGCTTTCTTCCACGGCTGCACCGACGGTTTTCGAATAGCTTGACTTCAAGTAGGCTGGCATCACTTTCCGTTTTCCCTTGTTTGAAACTGAATTTTTGTGATGAATAAAAGAGACTGAAAGGGAGAAAGCAAAAAAATGGGAAAGCAAGAGAGAGAGAGAGAGAGAGCGAGAGTGAGAGAGAGAGAGCGTAAGTGAGAGAGAGAGCGAGAGTGAGAGAGGGGGGAGTGAGAAAGAGATAGTTAGCAAACTTCGACTTTACTATGCGTTACTCTGCCAGAATGCTGAAAAGTGGCCGGATCGAAAATTCCTGAATGGCCGGGGGGGTGAGAAAGGCTAGATATGGAACCGACCGACGATGACCTCCCGCCAAGATTCGCTGCAACGCAACAAATAGAAGAAAGGCCGGGTCATCATGTGCCCTTCGGCCATAATCGATGTTAACCACAGCAATGCCCCGCCACCTTTTAAAGGGACTAGCTATGGCATGACAGAACACACAAATCATTTCTTCCCTTCTCCCTGCTTCTAATCCAGTTTGCCAAATTGCTTTCACGAATTGTCGTTAACCTATTGAAATTGCAGTTCATTAAAACGCAAAATCAATTTATTAGCCTGAGATCAACGTGAAAAACAAAGTGCCAATAAAATGTAGAAATAATGAATTCTTTCCTAGGGAATAATTCGAACCGGTAAAGCGAAATCGTGCTGAGCAAACGTGCAAAAAAGACAAAGAAGGTGGGCGAACGGTTTAGAACTTTTCAACGCTTTGTTCTTGTTCCTCGTCATCTTCTGGAGTGGCATCAGTCCGAGTCTGCTGCTTCAACGTCAAATTGTAGTACGCGCCCTTCTTGGCCATCAATTCCTTGTGGGTGCCTGCAAATGAATGAATAAGCGAATATGATGCGACAAACCTTGTTCAATGACAATCCCACCGCTCACCACCATGATACAGTCGGCATTGACGACCGTGGACAATCGATGGGCGATCACGATGCATGTGCGGCCCTTCGATGCCGCGTCCAGCGCTTCTTGCACCAACTGAAAATCAATATTTATTTAAGGCAACGTGACAGCCAGGTTAACCTTTTCACTCTCCGTGTCCAACGCGCTCGTCGCCTCGTCGAGCAGCAGAATCTTTGGGTTCCTGATGAGCGCGCGGGCGATGGCGACGCGTTGTTTTTGGCCTAAAAATAAGATTAAGAAAACCCCAGATTTTCGATACCTCCAGACAATTGTGTGCCCTTGTCGCCGACGCGTGTATTGTAGCCGTCCGGGAGTTCGCTGATAAACCTAAACAATCAGGGTTAAATTTTACACGTCGACGCCTACTTGTGAATATTGGCCTTTTGAGCGGAAGCGATGACGTCCTCCTCGGAGACGCTGCCCTTTGGCAGTCCGTACATGATGTTGTCCTGAAAACAGCCGATGGTTTCTCGCTAACAAGGAGTTGCTTTTAGGTGCTTTTGGAGTTTCGGGACGGGACCTAGCTAGTTAGATAGAGAAAAAAAATTTTGAGCAACATCCCGTTTTCAAAAAGTGCTGATCGATTAAGGTGTTTTAGAAAATTTAATTTAATTAAAAATGTTCCCGGTATCCGGACCCTTGAGGTGATTTGAGGTGATTTGCGGCCGCGACCGCCCCCGCCACATGGGGACTTCACGCGCTCTGGGTCCCGTCCTAGGCATGGTCAAGTGGCTAGTGCGTTGGCCTACGAAGTTTTTTTGTCCTTTTGCCACAAGTTCGATTTTTATTTATCGTTAACTCTTTGCTTTTTTGCTAATTAAAATTTTATGCACCGATAACGGTCCCAAGAACCAAAAAGCAAAGGGTTAGCGAGCGCGAAGATTCGAACCCGAGGCAAAAAAATGTTAAAAAAGTTGGTAGGCAAGCGCGCTACCAATACGCCAATGCGACCTGAGATGGGGGCATTGGCGGAGGGTTACGAATGGCGCCCTGCCCAGCCCCGAAAACGACGTGCATCGAGGAAATGGACCCGAAAACTAGAAAAAAGCGCGAACTTTAAATTAAATTTTCTAAAACAGCTTGATCGATCAGCACTTTTTGAAAACGGGATGTTGCTCAGAATTTTTTTCTCTATCGAACTAGCTAAGTCCCGTCCCGAAACTCCAAAAGCACCTAAAAGCGACTCCTTGTAAGTGGCGCACCTTAATCGAAGCGTCGAAAAGAATCGGCTCCTGCGATACAAGCGCCATATGCGAGCGTAGATGCACCGGGTTCACCTCGCGGATGTTTTCGCCGTCCACTTCCTCAAGAGGGTTTTAGCCACCGAAAATTGTCGCGTACCACACTGCCATTATTTGGGTCGTAGAAGCGCTCGAGGAGACCGACGACCGTACTCTTTCCACATCCGGACGGGCCGACCAGGGCCAGTGTACTGCCCGGGTTCACCTCCAACGATACGCCGGAAATTTACGCCTTACAGCATCAGGAGCAGCGAGAGAAAAAAGCCCAAAAAATCCCTCACCTTTCAGCACCTCGATCTCCTGGCGTTCCGGGTACCGGAAGCGCACATCGCTGAACCGAATGGCGCCGCGGATTGGCTGAAAAACACAGAAATTATCGCAAATGAAGCGCGAACAAACCGGCGTTTTCCCTCCGCGCGTCATGTTGTCAATACTAGGCGTCTCGCCCAACATCTTGAATATCAGTCCGGCCGCGAATTTGGCCTTTGTGTATTCGGGGAAATAAGCCGAAGCGAAGCCGATGGACGTCGCCGAGAATTGGATGGCGAACATCACCCTGTAAAAGTAGAATTTAAAATGACTGTATAGCCTTCGGAGCGGGACCCAGCCTATATTGCGCACAATTTTCCCGGCACTAGACTGTTAGCGGGGGGTAGCAGGGGGAAACCAATTTTTATCCTGTCAACTGTACCTGTTGATAATAAATAACGTGTTGATAGTGCTTTTAGCAGTTTTTGATTGACAAAAACTCAAAAAAAAAATGGCTTAGGAAATTTTGAAAATTCGAAAATTTTTACCTTTTTCGCCATTTTTCATACAATTTCGACCAAAAAATCAAAGAGTCGAAATTTTTACAGTTATTTTATGAATTTTTCCGGTCTAAAAACCGTGGAGATGCTTTAGATTTTGTCATAGGGCCGTAAGAAACTACAGTAAAATGCTTTCTGGGTGAATGAAAACGAAAATAAAGGTGATTCCGAATGAAAATAGCTCAGACAGTAATCCACAAGTTTTTTTAGGTAGCTAAAGTCGGCGGATATGGGCCGTTTTTAAGTAAAAAACTGTGTAATCTTTAAAGTCGAGCTCAACGACAAGTTCAGAGAAGATTCGGAATCAGCGAAAAATTCGGTACAAGATAAGCTACGTCCTGTAAACACTTTTTTGCCGATTTTGAGACAAATAGAACTACGAACCTCATGACATCGATCGGGTTCGACACATGATCCGCCGTCACCAGCCAGCCGCCAAATCGGAATTCGGCCGCAAACATGTAGAACATCAACGAGTTGGCGATGGCAAAAGTTACAGACTAAAAAAACAGTATTTTCATGTGTTTTCGGTGCAACCTGCAGAAGAGCCTTGACCACGCTGGACTTGTGCGGTCCGTCGAGGTGGCCGCAGAATTTGGCGTGCATCATTCGTTCCAGGGTGAGCGCCTGGACGGTGCGGATGTTTTCGACGGCTTCCATTGCCACCTAAAAGCTTTAAATTCCGGAAGAGTACGGCGAGGATTTGCTATCATAATTACGAAAACCATAATTTGGAAATTCCTATGCAGAATTTTTTGCATAGGATTCGGAGAGTTTTCCGGGATAATTAGCCTATGTAAATTTCGACCTTCTGAATTTCGACATTATGAATTTCGAGATTTTGAAAGCCACGCTACGGCGCGACCCACCTTTCCGGCCACTTCGAGCGCCTTCGCGTCTTCACCGCTTTTCCCCTCGAGCATCTTGATCTGGAGGGCCTCGCCGAGACCGAGCAACGGGAACAGCGCCAACACTGAAAAATCGTCAAAATAGAAATTAGGAATTGGCGTAAAAATATAAAAAAATGCTACAAATTAAAATGTTTGGGTTCTTTTGCATTATCGGGGGGGGGGGGACTAGCTTTTTTCTTCAGGACAGAGTTATGCCAAAACAGTAAAGGAGGTGTTGAAACACTCGATTTTCCGCCCAAAATTTCCAATTTTAAAAATCTTAGGTTTATAGAATAGTTTTGCGCTTTAAAAAAGTCAAATTTGATCAAAAACCCGATTAAAATCCTTACTCTGAGGCCATTACTATTTCTGTATTTCCATAATTAGGTAGTTCTGGACCAGAAAAAAATTCCGTCCTGCCAAAATTTTGAATTTCTACAAATCTTGTAAAACATTGGATTTACAATTTTGCAAAACCGTTTTTCCACGTTCAAACGGCTAAATTTCACTAAAAAACCACCAAAATCCTGCCTATGAAGCGATTAGGTATTTCTGGACAACACAAAAACTTCGGTCTCCCCTGATAACCACCCCCCCCCGCTAATGCAAAAGCACCATTAGCTATAAAAACGCACTCAACAACGCCATTTGCCAGCTGTAGTAGAAACCGATGGCAATGCCGGCCGTGACACCGACCACCGCGTTGAACACCGAGCCGAGCCGGTAGTCGATGGCCGACTTGACGTTCGGCGCATCAGACGCCAGTCGGGTCGAGATTTTGCCGGGCGAGTGGCGTGGATCGTCAAAGTAGGCACCGTCTTGGCGCATGATGTTTCGGAACACCTAAATTTCTGGGTTGTAGATCCGTTAGTTGGGCCATTTTTTGGCAAATCACACTCGAAAGCCGAGTAATTTTCGAAAAAAATTTCTCTATATCTAAAAATTTCAGCAAAATTGTCGAAAAATAAACAAATCTTCGAATTTCAAAATTTTTTGGGCATATTAGCAATGTAAAAACTACTAGAACTAAGCGTAAAACTAAAAATTAGTCCCCCCGCTAACAGTCCAGTACCAAAAGTACACACACAAAAATTTGACTTTTGGAGACCGTGATTTTCACTTCAGGTAGGTATGTAGCGCACCTTCGACCGCAAGCGCATCGTCAGCCGTTCGGCGGCAATTCCGTACAGAGTAGCCTGGAGGAGCATTGTCGACGCTTCGACGGCCGCCAACACGAGGAACATCAGCGACCACATGTGGCCGTCTTTGCGCAGTTTGTGCGGGTCCGGCTCGGAGAAGACCTGGAATTTCGAGTGTTTCTACAAAGCCACGGCGTCTGATCAATTCTGGAGAAAAGCTATTTTGCAGAAAGCATTGGAACTTTCTTTTTTACGCTTGAAAAATTAGAATTTTTAGGAAAAAAATACACCCAAATATCGATTTTTCGATATTTTTGTGCGTAAAAAAATGGTAAAAATATTTCCTCCTGGTTTTTTCACGAGCTAAACGTAAAAACCAATTTTTATTGAAAAAAACAACACCAAAATCATCGATTTTTGGCCCCAAAACTGGTCGTTTTTCGGGAAGAAGCTCACATTTTCAGGGTTTTTTTAATTTTCGAAACAGTTTTCCACGTGAAAAAATGGCTAAATTGATCAAAAGCACAATAAAAAATGCTACATGTTTGAAACTAATGAAAAAATGAAACGACCGACCTGCATAATTTGGGTGAAGAATAGGGAAAAGGCGGGGAAAACGGCGCCCTGGATGATGCAGGCGATCGTGCCCAAAATCAGTAGCCACCACTCGGGCTTTGCGTACTTGAGGATCTTGAACAGATTCGACTCCTGGCCGCCCTCCTCTTGCAGTTCTAAAAAACGTCTAAAACCCCGAAAATCACAATACTTACCTCTCTTCAGCCGATCGACGTCCTTCTCATTTTCCGGGTCGACCTTCTTGGCCTCTTCCTCGTCGATGGCGTCGATGTTTCCCTTCTGCGAGCTGTGCGAGGTGGAGGTGCGGCGGCGGGCGGACAGCTTCTTGCCGGCGGCCTTCTTACCGAGTCCTGGAAATGACTTTATAAGCATGATTCAGATAACGCCGAAATGTCGAAATGGCAATTTCCGTAACCAACGCTGAGAAGTCCAAATTTGAAAATCCCGAAATACCATAATTCCGAATTTTCATAACGCTCAATTTCAAAACGCCATTATGCGATAATGCTGAATTTTGCTACTGCCGAATTCCAAGAATGTGTGCGTTTTTTTTGCTTGTGAAATCAAGAATTTCCCAAAGTTTGAATGAACACTTGAAGGAATATTTCCGAAAATCCGGCATTACGTCGTAACGAAAGTCGGAATTCTGGTATTTCAGCGCTGCGAAATTCAGAACTATGGCGGTAAATGGACATTGTCCATTTCTACAAATTTCGCACACACCTTTCTTCTTATCATCAACGTCGGCGAAAACTTGGGCGTTGACGAGCTCGTAGTAGAGGCCCTTCTGTTCGAGCAGCTCCTCGTGGGTGCCAACTTCGACAACTGAACGTCCAAATTAGCTTGATCCTTTGTTTCCTCCACTAACCTTGCCCATCCTTCATCGCGACGATCCGGTCGGCATTCTTGATAGTGGAGAGACGGTGGGCGATGACGAGGGTTGTGCGACCCATTGAAGCCTAAAATCCGGAATAACGCCTTTAAAAAAGCGCATACATTTTCCAGGGCCTCCTGCACGACATGCTCACTCTCGGCGTCGAGGGCTGATGTGGCTTCGTCGAGGAGCAGAATTCGGGGGTCGCTAAAATCATGAAAATTATATTATTTTCGGCTTTCGCCTCATCCGCAAATTAATGAGGAAAAGCAAAAAAAGTTTTCGATCCAAAAAATGCACCTTTTCAAAATTTTTATAAGTTTTCTATAGGTTTTTCACGCTTGAAATATAGCTAAATTAAATACTTGTTTTTAGATGACTCGCCATATCCCAATCCATAGGAAAATCTCCCCCCGCCCGATATCGCGAAAGCTCCGCAAGATCACGAAAATTTCCTTTTTCGGATTTTGATGCACTTTCAAAGCACGCAAAAATGCGCCGAAAACCCACCGCAAAAGGGCGCGTGCGATGGCGATGCGCTGCTTCTGCCCACCAGACATTTGCGCTCCACGGTCTCCCACCAGCGTATTCAGCCCCTGCAATTTGGAAAGTCACGGAAATTGTATTTCACGCACCTGCGGGAATCCAGCGATGAAATTGGTGGCGTTGGCTCGACGAAGCGCCGATTGGATCTCGCCCTCCGTCGCGTCCGGGTTGCCGTAACGCAGGTTCTAAAAGCAGCAAAAAATGGTAATTCACGAAGAAACGATTACCTCCAGAATCGTGGCGTTGAATAGGGCCGGTTCCTGGCTGACGACACCGATGGTTCGCCTCAAGTGTTCAATGTTCCAGTCTTGAATTGGGAGGCCGTCGATTTTGATCTAAAACGGATTGATGCAGTTTATTTTCAAGGGATTTTGCTCAAATTAAAATAATAGCTAAATTCCCATTCCACCCTTGGACTCACCGATCCGGCTTCTGGGTTGTAATAACGTAGCAGCAACTGCACAATGGTCGATTTGCCGGAACCGGAAGAGCCGACGAGGGCCACCGTTTCGCCCGGTTTGCACGTCAAGGAGATGCCCTAAAACACAAATTTATATCTGGAAAGTGCCGGAAAACAAATTAAAATTTGAATTTTCGTAGAATATCGGCATTTTTGGTCCAAAATAGTACTTTTAAAGTCTTAACACAATTTGTAAATTGTAGGAAAGGTCAAAAAACCCGGCCAGGGCGGAATCGTTGATACCTTCAGGATCGGGACGTCCGGGCGGGTGGGGTAGGTGAAGAAGAGGTTCTCGACGGTCACCTCGCCTTGAACTTTTGTCGGCCGAGCGCCCTCCGTCGAGTAGGAGTCGATTTCTGGTTCCTAGGGCCAATCTTACAGCTTTTCAACTCGCAATTACCCGGTCGATGACCTGGAGAACAACTCCAGCAGCGCCGAGAGCCGTTCCAAAAACACCGTACTGTTGACCGGCTTGTCCCATCGCCATCGAGCCCATCATCACCGAGAAGAACACCTGAACAATGCGATAAATTCAATTTCCACGTCCTAATTTTCGACAAAATCAAAGTAAGCTTAAAAAGTGCATACCGTGAGGACGGTGCTGGACGAGGCCATTCCCCAGTAGATGTAGTCGGTGCCCACCCAGAACGCCAGACAGTACGACGAGAACAAGACGCCCATCGTCACGGCGAGCCCGGCGCCGATGTACACCGACTTCTTGTAGCCGTCCAGTTTGCCGGCCTTGAGGGCTTCATCGTACCTAAAATACCAGTGTAAAAACTTTAAATCTAAAAAAACTTTATAACCCAATATCGGGGGTAGTTTTCCGTTTTTATCGATCCCAAACCCAAAAAATCTTACAATTTTGATAAGCAAATACAAAAATATGGATTTTCGACCAAATTTCAAATTTTTAAGAATTTTGTAACTTTAATAAAGCGTGTTTTGCTTAAAATTCACTAGATTTTAAGAAAAAGACGATTAAAATACTTACTATTACCATTCAAATTTTCCTTACACTGGAAAAAAAAGGATTTTCGACCAAAATTCCGCTTTTCGACAAAAATTAAAAAATTTGCGAGATGTTTCTAAATTTTCTAAAAAGTTTTTCCGTTTGAATGTAGCCAAATTTGGCTAAAAAGGTTACAAAATACTGACCATTACAATATTAGCCCTATTTGGTCCTCCCCGATACTGCAAAAGCGCCTTCAAGATTAAAAAAGCTAAACTTGATTTTCCAGCTGAGAAATAAACTTTTCTTTTCAGTGCTTATTCCTGCAAAGACAGACCCTTAGCTGTTTTCTTCACCAGAATTTTTATACTGGATTTAAAAGACCAAGCAGCGATTTCTGATTCTCCACGTTTCCACTTTTTCTCAAGACTCTCCAATTCTTGTGCAACCATCCCTGCCTCCCTCCCCCGAACCCACCGATCGCACTCGGCAAATTGACCGTTGAACGCAAACACGGTGCGGACAGAGGTGAGCACCTGAATGGACAAGTCGAAACATGACAAGAGACATGACAAGAGATAACCCCCTCCATACATACCTCTTCGGCAATCTTTCCCGCAACCGCATACTTTTTCATCTCTTCCGCTGTAGAGCTGGCCATCAGCTGGAAAAGTGGATCTTGATAATGACGAGAAAATGACGATTTTAATTCAATTAAAAATCAGGGGGTGCTTGCCGTTTAGCGGGGGGCGGGCACGGGAGAGTCGTGGAGTCCCAATAAAATTTATCAATTTTTAGCTAAATAAAAAACAGGCAAAACGGTGCCTAACGCTTAGCGGGGGTGGATTCGCCTACCCTAGATCTTAGAGCCCGAAAAATGACGCACATACAATTTTTGCAGCTTTTTATGGTTTTTGAGTATAGAAAATTCATAAGAATTTATCGAAATCCCATTCCAAATCGTTTAATTTTCTAAAGAATGCTGTAATGACTTTTAAGGGATAAAAGCTAGAAAAACTCTATAAAACTTCCCTATTTTACCAGATTAAGCTAGATACTTTCCACCCCACCCCCGTTAAAAGTTCAGTACCGCCAAAACTGTGGCTTTTAAAGAAAGCTATTTCTAATCGATACTTAGGCTTACCTTGGCGATGAAAAGCCCGCATATGATCAGCAACGGGGAGAGGGCCATCATGATCAGCGTCAGCCGCCAGTCGTAGCACAACGCCACGATCAGACCGCCGAAGAACTAAAAAAAGTCGGAAAAGCTTGTAAAAAATACCTGCGACGTAAATTGGACCATCATTCCCATTTTGTCACCGAGACCCTCGCGTACACGTTCCATCGCGCTGAAAAAAACGCGAGTTTTACCAAAAATTCCGTTTATTTTTTCTAAAAATTTGGCGATGTCTAGTAATTTAATAGTACGTATTTTAGTCGCTTTTTGACGCAATTTAGCGGTTTTCAAGCGTCGAAACAATTTAGAAAAGCTAGAAAATCATTTAAAATTCGAAATTTTGGTTGGAAAAAATCTGTAGTTTTGTTTTTTTTTTTGAAAATTTTCTAACATTTTTACGTTTAGGAAAAGCAAAACCGTTTGGAAACACTCAGCCTCAATTTTTATCGGCAGCAATGCCACAGTTTTCTCAGGAAAAACTCGAAAACGTCCAAAAAGTGGCCATTTCAGGTCAAAAATGCATATTTGCAGTTCTTTCTAAAATGTTGTGATGTGTTTGCAAACAAAAATCGTTAAAAACCGTCTACAAAACTTCCCTTAATCCCAGAAAAATTTAAACCTACTTTAAAGCCCGATAGTACGATAGAACCCCACAAAACCCACTCGAAAAGTTTGGTGGCCAACGTGCCAGAGTGATTTTTGTCGAACCAAGTGATATCCTGGCGCATGATGGCCTAAAAATCACAATTTACTCGCATTAAAATCGTCCTCACCTTGAAAAAGTCGCGGCGCATCCGGTTGCAGACGTTCTCGCACGAAATCATGAAGCACAGCGTCTAAAGACCATAGAATTCCGGAAATCAACACCTTTTTTACCTGCAAAAAGGCGCAGGCCATGATGATGACGCCAATGACGGTGTATTTGATGCAGGCCGTGATCACGTCGTCCGTGAATTTGTCGAGTGCTCGATTGTACTCGACGATTGTCGTATTGCCAATGTCTCTCAGTTCTGGAAGAAGCCGTTAAAAGGTTGCAGGCGAAGCTTACCTTGTGCATTTCGTAGGTTAATGAAGGTCTCGGAGACGTCGCTGAAAATGGTAAATTACTCAGAGTAAAAACAATAAAACTCACCCGATAACAATTGATAGGGCTGGCATGCCGAGGCCGGTGACGACGGCCACCGCGATTCCGACGAGCACCATCAGGATGTCGAGCCATGTTCCGTATTTGTACTGAAAACAGGGTACTGGAACGGGCCGCAGGACCACACCGGGGATTGCCAAGACCGTTTATTGTGGGTTTTTCGCCGTCTTTAGTTATAGAAAGTTTAGAAACGGTAATAAATCTTTCGAAAAATTAGATTTTGCTCAAAAACGTAAGAAAATTGGCAAAAACGCCATGTTTTAATTTCAGAAACGGGTTTTTGTGACCTTTTTAGGGATCAAAAACCACTAAATATGATAAAAAAATACGTTGTGGTGTTTTTCAGGGTTTCTAAAATTGAGGCCCCCGGCTAAACGTCCAGTACCAGAAGTTAAAACGAAAAATCTCTTACAATTCGAAAAATCGAGGCTGTTGGCGCTGTGAGTGTGGGATCTTCTTCCTCCTTGCCGCTGGCGGACCTGAAAAGAATTTTAGAAACTTTGAATTCGTCATCTTCCAAAATTTCCTCTCAAACCTCCCTAAAAAGCACTTGAGAACACCGTACCCCGCAACCGTCTGGGCATCTTTCATTGTTTTTTCAATCCCCCTGATCCCCTGGCGATTTTGAACGGATTTTATTTGTCGCGCAAACAAGTGGAAGGGGGGAGAAGGTTTCCCCCTGCCTGGCCGGGACTCTTCTCTATTTTCTGGAGCTTTTCCTGGGGAGTGACAGACCGAAGAACTGCCCATCTGAGTGTGGGGCATTATGATTTGGTCTGTCCCATTTCACAAACCCCCGATCGCTCGCCCTGCCAAGTGATAGCGGCCCCGGAAAAGGCCAGAAAGGAAAAAAGAGGGTGAAATGGCCCGCCGGAACAATGACTCTAAAAATGGGGGGCGCTGATCGGAATTTTGGCGATTCGAAATTCCGGCTAGGGCGTCTAGAGGTTGTAAATGCATTGCAGAAAATATAGAAATCGTAACGAGAGCGTTTCCAAGTAAATTAAATTCCCGGTTCTTTCGCATTATCGGGGGGGGGCTTTTAAGGTGCCAAATATGCTCATATAAATAGAGGAAATGTTTTCACACTGTTTTCTACTATTCCAAACGAAAAAACTTGAAATTTTGATTAAAAAAAAAACAAAAGATCAAGTTTTTTCGACGAAATTTGTACGATTTTCGATCAAAATTTCACCTACAATTTTTCCAAATTAAAAGAAATTGTATTCGACTTAAAACATAGTTAAATTAGTTTAAAACACTAATAAAACACTTATTAGTGCGTTACTAGGCCTTTTTAGATTAATACAATAACGTTTGTCCACCCCCCCCCCCCCGATAATGCGAAAGAACCATATTTCTAATGACCATATTGCTAGAAATAAACAAATAACGATCTTTGGCAAAAGAAAAGCCTCCCTATTTTAATCTAGAACAGAAACCGAAAATGCGTACCCTTTATCGCTGTCCTTCTTCAGATCCTCATCGTCCTCGTCCTTCTTTTTCCGGCCAAACATTGTCTGTGTGGCTGAAATGGGAAAATATAAGTAAACATTAGTCAACGAATAAAATTACAGCAAAACAGAATTAGAGCAGAGCAGAATGGAAATTCTCGCCAACCAAAAGCTGTAAAACCTTATGGGAAAGGGGTAAGCAAGTAAGCAAGCAAGCAACTATCCGAAAAACGGATAAACTAAAGCTTAGGAGCTCAGAAAAGCTTTTAATATGTTTAGAAAAAAGTAAATCTAAAGAAATCTATACGTTCCATCGTTAAAATGACGCTACAACTTTCATCTTTCGAAAAAGGCAACCTTTTGTCCCCAAAAAAATTAAATTTTTGCCCATTTTCAGAGGTTGTTATTAATCTACGAGGCCTAGGCGAAAATAAGCCGTTGCAGCCAGGTGTAAAAGGTGTATTTCCACCTGCGCGTAATCCGAAAAAATGCTGTCATCCGGCGTATTATATGGGAGGGGGCGCTCCTAATCAGAAGTGAGCAAAAGGTGGTAAAAATCGAGCGGGAGAGCGGGCAAAAAGAGGCAAACTAGCCGCGGGGAGAAGGCCAAGATCGCATTTCGAAAGGGGGGTTGCCCCGGCCCGCTGAATTGCCATGATGTAATGACAAAAAAATAGAGATGATGATTTGACCGTTGACCATGCAGATGAAGTCGATTGCATCAGGGATCTATGGTCAGTGAGGGCAGGAAAAGTACCTCGAGGATTCCGGCTTGAAATTGACCAGGAATCAGCTGGAACAACCGGGTTTTGACTCGGAAAAAGGTGGAAAAAGCGGCGGTTCTCTCATTGTTCTTATAAAAAAGCTATCTGGTAAATTAATACTATGAATTATAGAAATTTATTATTTTGATAGAATTTTTATTACTTACCTTTCGTCAGAAAAATTGGTACGACATGCGCCTATGCACGCACAACCGTCCACAAACGGTGTAATTCGTTTTCCAAGCGGAAAATCATTCATTTTATCAATTTTCGAGTTAAATCGCGATTTATCTCCAAATTTCATAGATAAATTGTAAAACCAAATCGATCAAACGGTTCGGCGAGAAATTGCGCATTTTTTTTTTGAGGGCCAGACCTCAAAATACTGTCGCAATGCTTCTGATTCACTGAATTCCGGAAAGTCAGGCTAGAAACTTGCCGCCACCGGAATTAAGACTTTAGTTGTGTTTCTCGCGCGTTTTTTAAGTTGACAATTATTGTGGGAAATGCCTAAATTCTGTCAGAAAGTGTAAATCGACCAAAATAAACCCGCGTAAGCCGAAAAACCCGTAAAAATCAGGCTAAAAAGCCCGTGTTTTGAAGTCCAAATATGGTTTTTTACGCCTTACGAGAATACCCGTTTCATAAGAATAAGGTCTAAGAAAAATATAGACAAAACCGAGGACAATTTGCCAAAAAAAACGTTTAAAAGAGCAAAGAACGCCCAAAAACAATTTGAAAAGATAAGATCAAAACCTATCGCTTTCAGGGCTACATTATGTATTCCACGCCTTACGAGGATACCCCGCTAGATGTATAGGATATCCGCAGAAATCTGACCAGCTGCACTGGGCCCAGGCCCGGCTGGCCCTCATGGAATGATAGGGGGTGGCCCAGTGAATGGGCAGTCTTTCTTTTCTCCTTCCATTCTTTCTTCTTCTCCATCTCGGCTTGGCCTTTCGGATTGGGGCCAGAAACCCTTGGGCAGGAGGCAGGGGGGTAAAAGCCGCCTTCTCCTTCTTCTTGTTGTGCTTCAACCTTCTGTCGTTCGTCTGTTTGCTGAAAAGGGGGAGCGCGGAATCGAGCGAGTAAGCGCTTGATAGTGAGAGGGCCCTGGCGGGCAGAATACTGATTTGGAGTCGCAAAGATCAGAAGGTGACGGATGATAGGGTGGAGAGAACGGGGGGCAAATTTAGAAGGTCGGAACGGTAGACGTTCGCAGGAAGAATCGGCACTGGGCTGTTAGCGGGGGAGGCATTTCTAGCCTTGTTAACTCTTCTAGAAATCCCTTCTGACCTAATAGTAAGTAAATTTACTTGTGTTTTTAGCAAAATTTCACCAAATTTAACAGAAAACCAATAAAAAATCTCAGAAAAAGTTTCGCTCGGAAATTACCGATTTTTTGGTCGAAAAATATATTGTTTTATTTTTAATCGAAATCCCTAAATTTTTACGGCGTGGAATAATAAAAAAAAGTGTCTACAAATACTTTCTCTATTTTTCCAAGAAGAACTGGATCCATTGAAAAAGTTGGCTGGGCTTTTTTGGGAGTTTTTCATACCCTCTTCACCTTCTCGAAAAAGTGTTTACGTTTTTTATTCCTGAAACCTGAAATTATATAAGCTAACTTTATATTTCGTTGTTTAGCGGTGTATTAGTGTGAAAATTGACTCTTCCCTAACAATCTGAAAGCGTCCAAAAGCGAAAAAAGCGTGCGAAAAAGTGATGCCCGGCGACTGGGCTAATAAAATCAGCATCATACTTCCGCTACCACGAGAGAGAACTTATGATTTGTCCAGGGCACTGATCCAATCACAAAAAGTGTGAGTTGATACCGTAGGAATTTCCGGGTAAAAACCCAATTTCCTTCCGTCATAAAAATGCATGGGAAATCAAGAAAATTAGAGCTTTCCAGTTAAAATTAGCGAAATTAGATTGTAGTAAAAATATCAAAGGAAAAGAGGCTCTTCTCCAGAAATAAGGCCCAGCCAGCCAGAAAAGGTTACCCCAAGCTTGAGCCCCGCAATCAGTCGAATCGGATTACAGGGTGTACCCGATGGCAACTCGTTCACCTCGAGATTAGCAATGACGGGCCGAACGGAGTCATGGAATCGGCCCAAAAATTACGAGTACACCGCTGGCGAGTTGTATAGAACCTATAAGTATACCCCAAATCTGACATGTAGAGGTTGGGGGGTCACAGAGTCCGAATCGGCCCATAATTGGTGGAAAAATCAAATAAAATACGGGGAACACGATGCGATAAAAATTAGCTGCCAATGGGCACTTTTGTTTAATAAACTTTTAATTTTCAGCAAAAAAGGGCTGCTGAAATGCACTTTTAACTGCTCTATCGCGCCTTGCGGCTGGGAAAAAAATGTTTTGATGGAATTTTCATAGCCGCCACGACACTAGACATCTTTCCGGACCCAAAGAAAATTTTATCTAGAAAATATTTTTTCACGAAAATTTTGACGACCTATCCCATGGCCCCGGATCCTGGGAGGGTCGGAAGCTGCTGAAAATGGGTGGCTCTGACCCCTAGGCGCTTCAAATCGGAGCCCCGAGGTATTTCAGATTGCCGGAATAATTCTATTTTTACAATATCGGTTCAAAAATAATATTTATTAACTATTCGGTTGGTTTGCATCGAACTGTAATAGGTAGGTAGGCCTTTTTTCCAAAAAATTCCAAAATTTTCAAAATTTTATTTACTGGCCAGGTTTTTATTAACCCCTTGGGATTAATAGGACCGAAAAACTTTTGAAACCCCTTCGAGACACTCTTCTTGCAAAATAAAAGCGAAATCAGCAAAAAGCAAAAATTAAAAATAACGACGGGATCCGAACCTTCGACCCCTAGCCTGTCACTCGTGCACCCTACCCCAAGACCACCGAACCGACGGGAAGGGGCTCTTGGGAAGACTTCAAGAGGGCTCCCCTGTGCCGTACGGTTTTGGCGACCCAGGTCGCGATTCGAGGTGGTTTTCCATACAAAATCTTAAAATGAAAAGTTTATTAAACAAAAGTGCCCATTGGCAGTTAATTTTTATCGCATCGTGTTCCCCGTATTTTATTTGATTTTTCCACCAATTTTGAGCTGTTTTGGAGTCTGTGACCCCACAACCTCTACATGTGAGCCGAATCCTTACAGGCTACGACATCTGGCTATCGAAAAAAGCCAACTACTTTCGTAACAAACCAGAAAACGTAAAAAACCGAATCACATTAAGTCAAGCGTTCAGACGAAAAATTACGACGCAGCAGCGCTACATTTTTTTTTTTAACTGCGACGTGTTTCTAACAGACAGATGGGCTATCGAAAACAGATGCCAAGGTGGAAATGCCCCAGCAAAATAAATAGCGTTGTAGCTAGGCAAAGAAAACCTAAATTAATTCAGTTTTTTTGCTCTTCGCTATTCTTCGCTCATCGCTTTCCTAGCGCTAGGAGGAGCTGCAGACGGTCATTGAGGGTTTTTCCAGACGTTTCTCAGCCCATGCTGCTCGAAAAACTGTTTGGACCTTCTTGGACCATCGAATTTGGTGATGCTGGGGCCAATCAAAATGGAAAAAAGTTAAGGTGGTTAAAATCGTCTGTGGAGCTCATAAATAGCGTTTGGATTTTCAGATAGACGCATTTTCACGCGCAAGCAGGGGTCAAGTAACATGTGGCATGTGGGTGCGCTGCGGCCGCATCTGGCAATTTGTCAGGAATCACGCGGAAGAGCACAGGACATGGCAAGTTTAGTTACCCTGTACTCTGTGTATAGTAGTATGGTGTAGTGTAGTGTTCAGTGTCCATAACCAACAATCAAAGCATCACATCCATATTTATTCAAGCGCAAATGAGGAGATGATCATGGGTTGTACTCGATGGGGAGGTTCTTGCGACGGACCATGCCATCTCCCTGGAACCATTCACGGCGGAACTGCTTGGCGGCGCCGTCGGGGGTGTTCGTCCACTCAATCGTCACACGGTCGTTGTTCGTGTCCTCGGCTCCGAAGGTGAACGAGTCGCACGAGACGGCAACCTGGAAGTGAAGACAACGACTCGAACAAGGTCAATAGAAACGTACCAAGACCTGCTCCTTGGGGTCGAGAACACCGCAGGGCGGGTCAACTCCGAGGCGCTTCATGTTGGTGGTCTTGAAGGCCCATCCGATGCGACGACCTCCCGAGTTGATCACCTTGATGTGGTAGGTGTGCTTGTCATCGTACGGGGCGTTGAACACGATCTTTGTGCCCGGCTGGGTCACGATGTCACCGGGGGCAACGGATTGGGCCATCTTCTTCGAGGAGGAGGGTGGTTTGGTGATTATCACATTTAAACGCTTTTTATATACTCGGAAAGGTATGTTAATTGGGTTATGATAAGTGGAAAGTTCCGGATTTGACGGAAGTGTAGTCAAATTTGGTATTCTACAGGCCGTCCCGAATAAATTCCCGGCACTAGAGGTTCGCGGCAGAAGGGGCCGAGGAGCAGTTGACACCCTCGCCCTTGACGCCCTCTCCCCTCCCTCCCCTCGCCTACGACCATACCACGTTGAAAGCACGGCATCCCGTCCGATCTGCCAAGTTAAGCAACGTTGGGCTCGGTTAGTACTTGGATCGGAGACGGCTTGGGAATCCCGACTGTCGTAGGCTTTTTGCACTTTTTAGGGCATAAACGATTCTAATATTTGCGTTATCAATTTCCTGAATGATCTCTGCTAGATTGCTCAAGTTTAAAGCGATGTTTGTACACCTTTTGAATGTGTTTTCAGGCCGTCCAGTTTGCGGCGCTTTTTTCCATTAAAACTCGAGACAAAGTCCGTGTTTGCGCCAAAATTCCTCCATGGTAGATTTTCTCTGCAAGGTAGATGTCCATTTTTTTCTTTTTCTGAAGCTTCTTCTCTTACTTTAGCAGTATTTTCTCTTTTTCCCTGCAGTTGAAGACGTGCGGCATTCGAAGGCGTGAGCGCGGCGTCGCCAAAGTGGCCTGCTCGCCTAAAGTAGTATACCTTTTGTAACTTTTCGTTTTGCACGTTTATCATTTATCTCTAGCAAAATTGAATTGAAAATTTATCTAAACCCGCAAAATCCACATATCACAACCGAAACGTTAGACAATTTGTTAACAAAAACAGCACACAGAATTAGAAAAATTCAACACCTAAATAAGTCAACAATTGCGGCAAATCATAACAAAAACAAGGAAAGAAAACGGCAAAGAAATTTGTGATTTAGCGTCTCCTAGCGGCTCATTCTCGGTGTCGATTCGGGAAGAATGTGCTCTGCACTTGTAACTAAAAAGAAATTTCGGTGATTTTTAAAAATCTCACCTCCACGTATGCATCTTGTAGTGCCGAAAATTCGGCCAGATTCGAATTTTCTGGTAGATCAACGGTGGCCACGATCAATGCCTAGAGTCGTCATAAAAGTGTAGTAAAAAAAATACCTTTCTCGCGTTGAAGAGGCAACGATTGTAGGCGATCATCTCCGACGGCGCCAACGAGGAGGCGATCTGAAAACAGGTAATGGAGTAAATTTTGGTACTGGACTGCTAGCGGGGGGGACTCATGAGCTACCCCGAACCCAACGGGAAATTTATCAATTTTTCATTTCCTATTATTTTCAGTGGTTTTTGCTTAGCAAAACGCCATCAAAACAGCTTTAGACAGTTTTAAACTTTCCAATTTCACCCTTTTTCATACATTTTGTCCAAAAACGCACATTTTCAGTAGGTTTTTATTTATTTTGTAAAAAAAAGTCATAAAAACCGCTTTGGAAAATTTAAAATTTGGGATTTTAGCCATTTCGATACATACTTGTACAAAAACAGGCATTTTTTCGCGAAACTCAAGGATTTTAATGCACTTTCTATGCAGAAAAAGGGCGTAGAAAGCCATATAAATTCATTGGGCACGCCTCCCCCCGCTAATACACCAGTGCCAAGATTTATGCTGCCTAAACGGATACCTTCACGCCGGCTGTCGCGTGGTAGTAGTCGGGACCGTACTTGTAGATCACTAAACTCAATATAAAGTTTAAAGAAACGGTAATTACAGTAATCAACGCCAAATTTCGTGCCAGCCGCCGGCACCCATCCATCATCGCGCAGTCGGGTGTAGACGAGGAATTGCCGTGCCATCGCGGCCGCGTCATTGTACACCGTAAAATGCTCCCACAGGGCCTGGCAGTCGAGCAGGGATTCCTGAAACGAAGAAGGGTTCATTAGCCGTCATCGTCGCTTCAACCTCTTTGAAGGCGACGATCGTCCCGCGCCAGCATAAAAACAGCGTCTCCTCCACGTTCAGTCGAAGTTGCGTGTCCGTACATCTCACCACTAAGCGGAAAGTCAGTAAAAAAGAAGCTTCATACGGTTTTTCCCATTTTGCCCATTAGCGGCTTGTTTTCCGCGCTTTTTCCTGAACCGCGAAATTTATTAAAAACCCAAATACAAACCCATTTTTAACTCTTCTCTCGCCAGATCGACTTTCCGGGTCGTCCGGTCGTCGAGAATTCGGACTAAACACGTTTCTTTCTAACGGAAAATGAAATAGACAAACTCTACGCTTTTCCGGCGTTTCGTTTCCGGCTCCCAGTCGTCCTCCTGGCCCATTTTGGCGCCCACTTCATCGTTTTCCTCGCAATCAGCCGATGCGGCGTTCGACTGTCGAAATTCGTCCCACAGGAAATGCCCAAAGTGACCCTAAAGTCAGAAAACTAGAACCAAAATATAATTTTCCAACCTGTTCGTGTAATCTCCGGCCTTCATCTTCTCCGCCTCGATTTCGCACGATGGACACGTTGGTGAGCACGTCTACCTGAAAAGAAAAAAAATATTAGATGAAGCCTCCTAGAACGAATTCGGTTCTTCTTGTGTGTTTTTTCGGTCCGGAAGAAGATAAATACGGCAATTAGCAAATACGCAAGAGTATGACGCTTTTTGTATGTATTGGTTAACCAATTGCAAGTTTTTTATACAGCGAAACAGCTCTTTTAACCCATTAAATAATGACAAAAATTGTGGTAATTATACAAAATGAACCAACAATAGGCAAAATTTACTAATGCTAACCGTGCTGCCGTAGCTGCGGCCTAAAAATGATGCCTTAAACTGCTAACAACTATGTTGATTAAATAGTTTAAGTTAATGATACTCTACACACTCTGCTATTCTAAAAGCTTAGCGAAGGAGATCTTACCTCAAATGAACCGCTCGGCGTCGGCGCGTCTTCATCAAACGTGCGCCCTCGTTTTCTATCAAAGTGCAGCAGATCCATGCACTAATTTAACTATTTTTTTCCAGCATCACAATCGTAATTTGCGTAAAATGCAACAAAAAACGTAATATATCCCTGCTTTCAGAGCTCATATACACCTCGCAAGAATTTTTTCTCCAACAAAATTTATTGCACTAGTCAGCCAGGACTATCATCGCAGCAAAAGGGTGAGAATTGAAGATACATCGATATAAAAATACACAGGAAATGGGGGAATGAATGGATGGGCAAAAGGCTTCTTCTGGGCGTCCTGACACCCGGAAGTGTAAATCACAAAGTTGCGAAGCGTGGGCTACCAGTTTTCGGAGCAGATTTTAAGAGTAGATTTTCGGGCAAGGTAAGTTACAACAGAAAGGCTACAAAAAAGGGACAAAAACTGGCAAAATGCCGACAGCAAAAACGACGACATTCAAAATCGCGAGAATCCCGTTTTCTCTTGGCGTGCATGGATGTGCCGGGATTTTGAAGGTCGGCATTTTTTGTGTCGGTATTCCGGGCAGAAAACGATTTGCCTCTAGCTGTAATTGACGAGGCGCTCGATGTCTTGCATAACGCGCAGACACATCTCCTCCTTGTACGGCAGCGCCACCACTTGCACGGCAATCGGCAGCCCGGCCGAATTCTTCGACGAGTCGCGCAGGTAGCGGAGAGCTGTGTTCCAGCCTGAAAAAAAGGGAAGTTTACAGGAATGACTCAAGAAAAGGTTCTTTTGCATTATCGGGGGGAGGGAAAAATGTTTGAGAAGTTCAGAAATGTCCAGTAACGTAATAGCGATTACTTTAATGATTTTTTAGCAAAATTCAACTGAATTTCAGGCGGAAAAGCGTTGAAAATCTTAGAAAAAATGTAACATTTTGAAATGAAGATAGTAAAGCCGTATTTTCAAGTGAAAGCTCAATATGAACGTAGAAGGAATTATTTTAATAGCGTTTTTAGCAAAATTTAACCGAATTTCAAGTAGAAAAATCTCTAAAAAGGCGTAGAAAAGCTCTAAAACTGTCAAATTTACAGAAAAATCGAGAATAATGAAGAAGAACTTATTTTATTAGTGGTTTTAGCAAAATTTGACCCAATTAAAAGTGGAAAACTCTTCAAAAACCGTCGGAAAGGGGTACAAAAATTCGAAAATTGGTAATCAGGCGAAAACCTATATTTTTCGTAATATCCTGATAATGACCCTCACCCCGATTATGAAAAAGTCCCAAAAAACACTGACCGACTGGGAATCGCGTCTCATCCTGAATCTCCTCGTCATCAGCCTTCGTCGCCCGCCCAACCGGCACAACTCCAGCCGGGTAGTCGACCATGTTGAAAAGGGTGGTGATCGTCGCGAAGAAGCCGAGCTTCGACGGCCAGTGATGCTTCACGGCGGGGCCTAAAAAATCTTTTTCAAAAAAAGGATGAAGAACGTACTGGGAAAAGCCGGGCAGACGAGCGCGTCGATGCCCAATTCTTGCCAATATTCGGTGAACTAAAGCAAAAAATTCAAAAATTCACGGCGATTACCAGCTGATTATAATCGTCCGTTTCCGCCTGAGCCTGGCGCAAATCGTTCAGCCCCTCCACTTCCGAGGCACAGACCAGCGAAGCTTGCGGCGAGTTGAACATGAAAGCGTATTTCAGCAGCGTGCGCACGAAGGAGGGCAACTAAAAAGGAAATGCGCAACTATTTTTGACAATTGTCTTTTTTGAAAACCTTTTAAAGGAAAGATATAGTTTTGTTTCTTTGGCATTATCGGGGGGAGCGGGAGGTTTTCCCACTATCCAGCAATGACGATGAAAGTAATACCAAGTGTTTTAAGAGAATTTATAGCAAAATTTAATCTATTTAAAGCAAAAAAAAACCAAAAAACTCCCGAAAATTTTTAAATTCATTTTGGTCGACAATCATCAAATTTTTTTTAATACATTTTATTTTTATATTATGTCGACTTGTATAATTTGTTCTCGGAATCTGATAAAACTCAAAATGTTTCTCTTAAAATTTTTTTTCTAACATTTAAAAGTCCAAGTCTGGTTGAAATTGTGGTCGACAACTCCAGATTTTTGGAAGTTTTTAATTCGACCTAAGGAAAAGTGGGCTTTCCCGAACCTCACCCCGATAATACCAAAGCGCGCCAAGATTTTTTTGTCTATTTTATCAATTTTATTATCTATCTGGAGATGACGTACCGACAGCAGTCGCACAAACTCGGTCATGTACGGGTCGACGACGTCGGCCTCATAGAGGCGTCGTGTGTAGTGGCCGGCGTCGGGCAGCAAATTCTTGAAGACGAGCCGGGCCATCAGCTCGGGTTGCGGCACCGTGAAGCGGATCATCTCATGGCCGTGGCCGCGCAGCTTTTCGACAGTCTCGACGACGGCCCGTCGCATGGCCGGGGCCACCGGGCAGAAGCCGTCCCATTCGAAGTAGCCGATACGCAGCGGGGTCGTCGAGTTGATGATCGTCTTGTCGAGCGGGACCTTCGGCGTCTTCGGGGATAACTTGATGAAGTTGTCGTGGCCGAGGGTGTGCTCAAGCAGTGTGATCTGAAACAATGGATTTGATGACGTCGAAATTCGTACTTCCGGTTCTTTTGCATTTTCGGGGGGGGGGGGGGGAGAGGGAGACCAACTTTTTCTCTAAAGACTCAATTTTTGTAATATCAATAGAAGACGTGTTTCTAAACAGTTTTTCACTATTCGCAATCATATAAACCTTTACAAATTTTGATTAAATCATTAAAGTCCCAGTTTTTCGACCAAAAATGGCCCATTTTCGACTAAAACTTCAACTAAAAAGAATTTCTAAGTTTTTTATTGTTTTTTCCACGTAAATATAGTTAAAATTTGCTAACTTTGCCAACTTAGCCCCCCGATAACGCCAAAGAACCGTAATACCAAGGCCTACAGCCGAATTTCGACAATTTGGCGGATTTCAATAGCGGTAAATCCATTTACCTGGTCCTTGACGCTATTCGTAAAATAGCCGAATCCGAGGCCAAGCCGCCCTCTGCCGGGGACACCGCCGTGCGAGTGGAGGACCGTCATGCGCTCTTGGCCACATTTCAGGGCCACGCATCCCGTGTAGGCGGCCGGAATCCGGAGACTGCCCGCCACATCGGAGCCCGTGCCGAAGGGGGTGCCCCTGGCTGCAACGAGACATCCCTCACCGCCCGAAGAGCCGCCGGGGGACCTAAAAAATTGCACTGAGCATCTCCAAAAAATTTACTTAGCCGGGTCGTGCGGATTGCCGGTGGTGCCGTAGACCGAGTTCGAGCAGGCGAATGAGAGAAGACCCTGAAAAAGATGTCCTAAAAAAAACAAACAAGAAAACCTGCGGAACGTTGGTCAAACAAAAGGGAACGGCTCCCAAATGTCGCAGATGGGCCACCATCGTATTCTCGCGCTGCTTCGGCTGTTCCAGCAGTTTGCCCAGCCCGATGTGACAATCGTAGCCGACCATCTGAAAGTTCATCTTGTAAAATAGCCGGTTCTTTCGCCTTATCGGGGGGAGAAACTAACGTTTTCTAAATTCCAGAAATGCCTAGTAACATAAAAGTAGGTGTTTAATAGTGCTTTCAGTAAAATTTAACTATGTTCTAAGTGGGAAAACAAAAAAAGTGAAAAACTTTTTAGATCAAGTTTTGGTCGAAAATTGGCCATTTTTGCTCGAAAATCTGTATGTTTTTAATCAAATTTGGAAAGTTCTTACGTTTAGGAATAGTAAAAACAAAACAATTTTTTTCATCTATTCAGACTTGAAAAAATTGATACTAAAAAAGGTTTGTTGTTGCCCTACCTATAACCCCCCGATAATGCAAAAGAACCATAAAAACTGTGATTTGCAATTTACGAGCTCGTCGTGAGCTCTAAAACTCACGTGGAAATTGCTCTTGACCGAATAGGGGACGCCGTAGAACGGCGGCTTCTCGTTGGACCCGCGCCATTTCGTGTCCATCTCCTCCGCGTACTCGAAGGCTTCCTAAAACCGGATGATTTTTAGAATCAGGATCCAAAATACCCTAATGATTTCGGTGATCGGATTCAGCGCGTCCTGCACCTCAATGGCTTTTTGGATGTAGGCGGACAACGCTTCGACGGCCGTGATTTCTTCTTTTTGGAGGGTACCTGAACAGAATTTGCGAGCAAAATTCGAATATTTACTCGTCAATTCTTCAAACGACAACGCCGCAATCCGCCGCCATTCGGCTTGCTTTTCCGGCGAGGCTTCGGCGATCTGGAAGGAAAGGAAATAGAATTATTATTTTAAAAATAGGTACTTTCGGAAGGTGGGAGTCAACCTGTTTCCTAGTATAGAATTTTCCAATAGAATTACAAGAAGCGTTTCCAAATGGTCTTTACCATCTCTAAGCGGCAAAACTTTACAATTTTTGTCAAAAATTGCAAAAAATTCTATTTTCGGCCAAAATTTCAAATTTGGAACGTTTTCTAGACAGTTTTTACACCTGAAAAATAGCTAATTTACTACAAACTGTTCCTAACCACGTTGCCCGCTAAAAAAAGGGATTTTGGAGCAATATTCCTTTCAAAACCCCCACCAATTCTCTCCATTGCCGGAAGCCCTCCTCGCGCTTCTGCTGTGCCCGTTCGATCGCCCGTTTTCGTTCCGCCTTCAGGCCCCATGGCTAAAAAAGGGAGATTAGTAAAAAGAAACAAATTTGCCCATGTAACGAGCAGCCGGAAGAGCCACGACGCCACATTCAGGCACCACAGCACATAGAAGGTGCAGATGGCCGGCAGCCATCCGGACAGCCACTCCTTTGCAGGGGCAATTTTTTAAGAACATGAAGGCTTACCATAACATTCCCCATCCTGTTCTCGTTAGTCGTTAGTGTAGAGGGGTCGAAATAATAGGTGTTACCTGAAAATAAGTAAATGTAAATCCCTGATTTTTTTGCTTAGAATCCCAATGTTTAAGCATAAATTAAGCACGTATTTTTAAACGGCGGTTTTTTACCAATTCTGAAGCTAAAACGGTCATAAAAATATATAAATAACCACAAAAATAGCGCTTTTTTGGCTCAAATAAAGGAAATACGTTATCGTAGGTCTTTCGTTCTCAAGTAGGACGTATTTCTAAACAGTAGTAATTTTTCCATTAAAAGTATTTACTAATCCTGAAGCTAAAAACGTCATAAAAATCGAATACAACACACAAAAATTGGCCCTTTTCATCCAACATTTGCAAAAAGGTTATACGAGGCCCAAATACCCCTAGATATATGATTTTTACACGTGCTACGTGCTATAACTGCTGAAAATAGCACCTGTAAAGGCTTTTGGTCAATATCTTCTTGTTTTCTGTGAAACCGGAAACCGAAATCTACACTAATATCGACCTCTTGTAAAAGCTCCAGTTTGTAAAACTAATCGAATTAGCTGTTACAATCAAGAAATGTAAACTGATAACCCTAATCTATTAGCAAATAGCGAGCCCTGATTTAGACTTCCGGTAAAGCAGGCCATTTGCAACAAAATTCTCTCCAGAATCCCCAAAAATCGCAGATATCCAATGTGCATACAAGATCCCATGCTCTCTCTCTCCACCACAATTCAGGCCATAATATATTTGTTCCTCATATCCATATTTCCAACACAATAAAAAACACGCGATAAAACGAGACACACTGCTTATCGGTAAATTTCTACCCTAATCAATGAATTGCTATTGCGAGGTGGGTGGGTGTGTGTAGGGGCTCATTCGAACACGTCCTTCCGGTCGCAGATGTATTGGAAGACGAGTCGGGGCGTCTTGAAGCCGTCGGCGTCTCCGTCCGGGATTTCGAAACTAAAAAAATAAGAAAATATCGAAAATTAGAGAAATCTCACCCAAATTCGTCCTCAAGTGCCATCACGACCTCCACCAAATCCAGGGAGCCGAGACCGAGGTCCTGAAATCAAGGATTTTTGAGTCACTGCGATTTGAACGTAGGAGCTGTAAACAACTTTACAAGGCTTTCAACATAACGTAAATTTGACGTATTACAGAGGCTACGCATATAGAAAAGACGTAAGATGCGTAGAAACAAACGAAAAGAGCGTCGTAGCCGTAAAAAATAGCGGTTTTTGTACGCACAGCAAAACCCTGCAAAAGCGAAGCTCAAGAAATCCTAAAATAGAACCGAGCTACGCTGCATTTAGCCGCCCACCTACAAAAAAATAACCGTTGTTCTTATTAGCCATACCGCGCTCTTTTCATTATTTCTACGCATCGTATCCGACGTAGCGTGCGTTGAATTGCCGTGAGTTGAAACGGGCGTAAACCTACGCAAAATCCGTAGAAATACATGAAAATGCGCGATAAGTCCAATAAGAATAGTTTTTGAAGCTTCTTTTCAAGGCTAAGTGAAATTTCTGGAGACGGGGCAGACCGATTTGGTAGGAAGCTGCTATTTATCAAAATAGCGATCCGTGTCCGCTGTAGCACGCTTTTTTCATTATTTCTACGCATCGTACGTACGTCTACGCCACCTGCTCGGTAAAACACCACGCAATTCAAACAAACCTTCGAAAAATCGGCATCCATCGTCAGCTTCTTGGGGTCAATCTTGTCGTAGAGGCTGAGTACGAGGAGAATTCGCTCTTCCACCGTCTTCTTCGTCAGCGGTTGCTAAAAAAAAGTTTTTAACAGAAAACTGGCAAGAAATTTACCGCCGCAGAGAGCCGTCGCACTTGCGTGTGTTGCGTCGGGGCGGCGAATGACTGGGTGGCCAGCGGGACGGCATGCCTAAAAAGGAGAGTCCGAGTAGAACACAAGAATTACCTCAACGTGGCGATCTGGCTGACTTTGCGAGCGGCCGTCAGGGTGGCGAGGCGGCCGAGCTGCGATGCACTGCGTAACATTCGGGCTCTGCAAAATGGAGAGTTAAAACCAGGCAAATACAAGAAATACAAACGAAACAAGGAAAAATCCGCAAAAACAAAGTCCGTATAATCTGCGTGATGTTTAGCCGTGGTTCCTACAGCCAAATTTCAGCTGTTTTTTTAGCTTTCTGGCCCAAATCCAACTTGCAGCGCAAAAATCCGATTAAAACTGAAAAAATTGGCCGGTCGAAGCTCGTGAAACCCGGAGAATTAGAGCAGATTCGATGGATGGCTAGCCAAAATGTAATCGGAAACAAAAATCATCAATCTGTGCAAAGTCTGAGGCCATTTCATAGTTTCGCCAGCACTTCCTAAACGCGATTTGAGATCTTTTTTAGTTTTCGAGCCCAAAGTAGCTATTTGCGGCGCAAAAGTCCTATTTCCAAAACGGAAAAACAAGACAAACGCGAGGGAACAAAGCTTCAAAACGTCCAACACGATCTCATTTCTGTTCTTTTCATCGAACAGACTTTTGAGCTACTTTTTCGACTTCCGAATTCGGCTCTAGCGGCGCTAACCAGTATTTCCAAACAAATCCAAAAACGACCAATGAAAGCGACAAAAAATCAAAGCTTGCTTCATTCAAACCCAAGTCTTCCCATTCTTTTTACTTTCGCATCCAAAAATCTTGTCGGATCCTTCCCCGCGCCCCGCCAGCATTCCCCCGTCAATTGTACTTCCTCGGATTCTCCTGCAAACAAAAATCTTCAGCGATACAACGCGTTTATTTCGTGGACAAAATTTGCAACAAGAAATATAAAATTGCGTTTTATTCAAAGTTCAGTACCCGTCAACGTATGTATTTTTGGTGGCGATAAGGAGGGAAATTGAAGCATTGGCAGACAGATATACACAGAAAGACGGCAACCATTCGCGAATCACAATGTTAGAAAGATATGGGCAACGGGGAGAATTTTCGAGGGGCCCTGAGCATGGAAATGGACAAAAGCAGAAATTACCCGGCGAATATCACAGATCAATTACACGAAAGAGCGGGGGAAAAGTCAGGGGAATCGGGGTTGATCATTTGCTGAGGCATTCTTCTGGCATCGTCACGACGGGCAGCCCGTAGGAGACGACCGACGCTCCGGTGAGGTAGCGCAGCTTGCAGCGGCTTCTCGCGAACGCCATCCCGTCCATCAGCATGCGCAGTCTAGAAATGAAAATTTATCTTAGAAAAGTTCGCAAGTCCTTTTAGTTGAAAAACCCAAGAAATCCAAAAAGCGCTTAAAAAGCAGCCATTTTTAGCCCGAAACCAGAAACTCTAACACATAAAATGACCTAAAAAATGTCCCTAGAAAACTTGGAAACATTTTTAAAAGTTGAAACTGGACGAAAAATCTAAACTTCAGGAGTTTTTCTCAAAAATTATAAAGACAAATATTTGGATCCGCGAAAAGAACCCCCAGAAACCTCAAACGAAAAAAGAGAAATCCGTACCCTTGTCCTTTCTTGGTCATCCCCTTCTTCTCCTTGGCGTCGAACATGTAGTTGGAGAGGTCGATGAGGTAGCGGTCGATTTCTCCGTCCGTCACCATCCAGAGACATCCGACCAAGCACGGGCAGCTTCCGATGATGTAGTCGAAGATGGCCGATCGCCCGTCCAGCCCACGTCCCTCCGGTGTGATGGCGACGCTAAAAACGGGAAATAAATATAAAGAAACAAAAAAGATAAAAAAATTAAAAACAAGCCTTACCTCGAGCACCCCATCAGCAGGCTGACGGCCGTGCAGCCGCTCTTCCGCACCAGCGTCCGTCCAAAATACTTCGATCCGGATCCATGGCCAATATATCTAAAAAGACAGTTTGGTCAAAAAGAAAAGAAACATACACGTAAATGTCGTTTCCGGAGAGCATCTGCTTGAAGTCGTCGAGGCCGGGCACCTGCCCGATCGTGCCCTTCCAGCCGAACTTGGCCATGTGGTCGCCCATCCGCTTCTTTGTCTCGGTGAGGTTGTTGTCCGGATCGCAGATGTAGGCGCCGCGCGTCGGGTCGATCGAGCAGGGCACCTAGGTGGCAATTATAGCCAAGCCTTTAAAAAAAAACTAACCGAAATTGCCTTGTTGCCGAAGATGCGCAGGAATTGGTGAACGGAGCCGACGCGGCCGACGTAGGCGTCGTTGAAGATGGGCATCGACTCCCAGGGTAGCACGGAGAGCTCCTAAACAAAAAAAATGTTGAAGGCGAAACTTTAATCTCAAAAAATTTACGAAAAGCACGCCGTCAAAAGTATTCTTTTTGAAAATTTTCGCGGATTTTTTACAGTAAAATAAACGCACCGGTGAGATGACGAGCATCGTGTAGCGCGGGTGGTCTTGGGCCGTGTCCTTCTTGGCGGCGACGAGCTTCGGGTAGAAGTCGTCGTTGCTGCGCGAGATTGTGCTGGCGGTTGTCGCGGGGAGGTTGACTAGGGCGAGCATCGTCTTGAGCAGCGGCCTCCATTGTGCGTCGAATTCTTCGCCAGCGTCACCGCGCTCGTAGCTGGTCGCGAACAGCGACACCAACTCGGCAGCCATGTGGCTGGGCAGTCCGGCCCGTGTTTCGTCACCAAGCTTCATTTCCGTCATCGATTGGATGCTGAAAAAAACGTTATATTTAGCGCTATGAAAACAACATCATTATCTTTTTGAAAGTCCTATCGAATGAAATTTTCAAAAAGATTGAAAATGGATCCTCTGCGTTATTCCATCCTGTTTGCGACGAAAGTTTGCACAAAAAACTCCAAGCACTTTTTTTACGAAATCCGAGAGTAATTTGTCTAAGATGCCCCGAAAAAAGTAAAGGCTAATTAAGAGCAATTTACCATTTAGCTGCATTCTGCCCGTGTCGGCCGAGGCTTGCGCTGGGACGGAAGAGCATCGCAAAGCGGCCGATGATCTCGTCTTGCATCTTGTCGCAGAATTTCTAAAAAAACGGAAAATTAGAAAATCTAGGAGCTTTACCATTAACAGCTCATCGACCCGCCGCCGCTCCTTCCAGAAGAACTTGCTGTCCGTGGTCAGCTTGGCCAGATTGCCCGTGGAGTCGTTTTCCTTCAATATCACCGCCATCTCCTCCAAAAACTTGTCAACCTAAATCAAAACATTAATAAATATATAAAAAAATAGTGTCTGTGTGTGTGTGCCACTTTGCATGCAACTTCCGTCAGGCTGTCCGGAGGATATCTCAAGGAGGAAAGGGTATTAGGCTACGTATGATACGTCATTAGGTGCGTAATGGCCACGAGATGACTGCACGTATATCAGATTTTAAAAAATTCGAAGTTTTCGACATTAAAATTATGTTTTTGTTGTAAAATCGGGAACCCTCTTTGGTAGGAACCAATTTGCATAGGCCGGAAGTCGCGGGAGCCTATATAATGAGCGAGAGAGTGACATTTTTCATTATTCGCATCAAAATAGAGAGTCGTAGACCAGTATGCAAAGTGAAGGATATTATGGGGGTTTGACGGGGCCAGGGTTGAAAAGTCGCGAAGCGGCTTTTCAACCCTGGTTAATAATTAATTATGTAACGGTGAATACCTTCTTTTTGAGGGCCAGCGGGACGATGATCGGCTTCCGGTCGCGGTGCATCTTGACGACGATCAGATCACCGGAGTCGTTGAGCAGCAGTTGGAAGAGCGTCATGTCTTCGGGCACGTTCTTGACGGCCGCCTCGAAGCGAGCCACGTCGATGAAGATCTCGCCGACGTCCTGTTCCAACGTCCGCGCGGCTTGCCGTGTGGCCAGCAGGCCCATCTCGGCCGCCATCATCGCGGTCTCCCACGGGTTCGTGGATAACTAAAAAGCGGAAGATAACAAAAAGGGCAAATATTACAAACCCTGGCGATGAGGGAGCACACAGGAAGTCGCCAGTCGCGGTGCATCAAGTGGCTGAAAGCTCGGAAATCTTGACGGGCCTTCTGCAGCACTGCTTCCTTGTCTTTCGATGACATCTTCGGGGCCGCGCGTACTCTTGGCGTGAAACAGCGCGTCAAGATGCCCGTCCGATTTGACTCCTGAAATCGATTTAATCGCAAAGAAAAAGTACAACCTCTGCTTCCAGCCAGTCAAAAGCCAGTGGTGGTGGCCGGGGTCGAGTGGCTTGGCGCAGGGCTAAGAGGTCGACGTAGAGCGTCGTCTGGGCATATTTCGCGATCTAAAAAAAATCAAAATTAGCCAAAAATCAAAAACGATACCTTCTCCGTGTACGCAACGACCTCTTCAATGTCCTCGTCGCTCGCCCGCGGGTGCTGGTAGCCGTCGTTGTGCCGCAGCCACTGAACCATCACCGTCGCCCAGAGAATCGACATCAGCACGGGTGGCCTCTAAAAATTCGAAAATTAGATTTTGAGAGGTTGATAGATGAAAATGGCCATAATTTTTCTATGCGATATAGCTCATTCGAAAGCGTATCAAATTCTGAGCAAGTCTCATCTCCCAAAAACTCTCGAACGCTAACGGCCTTCGAGAAAATTCTCTCTGAAAGGGCCGCGCTCAACAAAATAGCCGAAACACGATTACAGTTTTCTCGAAGACCGTTATTGATCGGAGTTTTTAAAAGCTCGACCTTGCTCAGAATTTGAAGCTCTATCGTATGAGCTATTTCACGGCACAACACAAAAAAACTCACCGGCTTTGCAAATGTCCCGAGCAGCAGCTTCTGGTCGACGGCCATCTCCGCGCGGCACGAGTCGAAAATCTTGTGGAGCTGGCTGATGCATCCGTCGATGACCGGGAAGCCAGAGTACGCGAAATTGATGAGCTCCCACTAAAAGGAATTGAAGATATTTGAAAACCTTGATTACCTCAACGCGATAGGAGGGTTGAACGCCGCAGATGCGGCAGTTGACACATTGACAATCACCGTCGTAAAGATGGATGCTCGGGTGGCTCGACTCGTCCTCGTTGATCACGAGCTGGTTGAACGTGTCCGAGAGCGCGCCCATCAGCGTCGCATCGTTCGCCTTCAGGTCACCCTCGGCGTACGGCTTAGGGGGTTGCGGTGAATCCTAAAAATGAACGAAATAAAGAAACACCACAAAAATTTACGTCATAGAGCAGCCGAAGCATCGTGCGCATGTTGTCCCGGCTGTGCGAGTCGTAGAAGCTGGCGAAGCGGATCCAGAATAGGAGCGACGTCATGCGGACGATACTGAAAAAAGCTTACATTTGCGCACACAAAAGATCGGCGGTGGTTTTCATCACGATCCAAATTGTCTATAGATAGAAGCACGGTTCCTTCAATTTTGCCACATCTACAGATGAAAACCTTACGAACACTTTCATAAAAAAGCACCAAAGCACAGCTTTCGACTGAAAGTGGGCGATTTTCCAACTTTTCGAAGCTTTCCAAACAGTTGTACCAAGCCAAATATAGCGAAATTAACGGAGGGCGTATCCGGAAATCAGAGAAATTTTAGCAGCAGGTCCCTATAATGCAAAAGCACCAGTCAAAAAACCATCACCGTACATTTGGTGCGATCCTAGTCGAACGGCGGCCACCCATGCTCGAAGAGAGTTGCCGCACGCCTCGCGCGTTTGTCCAATCTTGAACATCTCCAGGACGTATTGGTGCATGTAGTTGAAATGCTCGGCGATTCGTGAAGAGGTTTTCACTGGAAAAGAAACGATGAGGATCCCGGGTTAAAGCTCACAAATTTGGCCGGCATCCTTGTTCTTGAGGTCCAGCGCCGGGTATTCGTGCTTGTGGCGTTCGGGGAATAGGTTGGCGGCAGTATTCTTGACAATGACCTCGCTGTAATGCAGCATCTGCTCCAGGTGGTACATCCCATCCTTGGCTTTCATCTAAAAAATATTGAACAGTAGAAGAAAATCAAGTATTTTCTTACCCCGTCCTTATTCAGCGACAACTTGTAGGCGTTCGCCAGGCAGCTGTTGATGAGCGCCTGCAGCTCGTAGTTGGCGAACGTCTTCTCGCCCTTGTGCTCGTTGAGGAAGTCGTACAGCTTGTACATCGACTCTTCCTAAACAAAAAGTGATATTCAAAGCACTTTCTTTATACCCGCTTCTCCGGTTTGCAGTTGAAGACGCGGATCAGCTGGCAGATTTCGGCAAACTTGGTGTGCTCGACGAAGCGGTCGCGGGTGAAAAACTAAAAACAAAATACACAAAAAAATGGCTAGTTTTACCTCCTTGTAGAAATTATCGAGGCACTCCCACTCGTTGAGCAGCACGCACCACTTCTGGTAGGCGCACTCGATGTCCAGGTCGCTGCCGAAGAAGATCAACAGGTCCTTCAGGCACATCAGCCCTTTGTAAGACTAAAACAAATTGTAATCAAAATAAAACGAATGTTTACATGGCCATGAAGGAAGAGCGCGGATGCCAGCTCTTTCAGCAGCTTTTGGAAGGGCTGTCGCAGCTTGTCGGGCGCCCTCTCGAGCAGCGCGCGGATGTTCTCCGTGTAGTGGTTGAGCGCTTTCTAAAGCAAAATTAAAGGAAAAGGGATATAAACAACCTCGAGAAGCGCGTGCGGGTCGTTTTCCTGGTTGGCCCAGACGTAGTGTTGGAGGATGGTGATGTGTGCCTGCAGGTCGCTCTGCTCAATCTTGGCGCCGATGCTTTGAAGAATTACGCACGTCTAAAAAAAGAATTTTGAAAATTTACAAATTTACCGTGCTATCAATGGCGTACTGCGCGACGAAGGCCTTCTGCAGGTTCGACTTGAGCTCGTTGTGGGCCCGCAGAAACGTGGACGAGCTTCGGCTGGTCGGGGTGGTCGGCTCGTCAAAGTCGAGCTTCCGGCAGATTGTTGTAGAGCGCTCGGAGCCTAAAATGAGTTTATCCGGAACATCAAAACGAAACATACCCCTAGCGAATGCTTTTGGCGTCGAAGAGAGTGCATCGAGGAGTCGGCTCGGCGACAGGGCTCGCAGTGGGGATTTCCCACGGGTTTTGCGGGTTCCCGTGTCGGCGGGAAACGACATCACCTCTGAAAAATCAAATTTAAAAGGGAAAAAGGAGAAAAAGACAACGAACTGAAGAACAACAAATGCAGACTCGAGATACAAGATCTACTAAAAAGAAGGAAGCATAGGCTTCACGGTAGCCTGCAGCAGCGGAAAAAGCTCCCGAAAAGTGATTGAGCAGGGATAAATGCAAAATGAGGAGAAGCGACGATGCTAGAATCGGAATATAGTTTGAAGAAGCCGTAAAAGTAATCGAATTAATCCGAAAAATTTGCTATGCGTTTCTACAGACCGTTCTGGCTAAAAGAGTAAGCAAAGTCTGTAAAATAGGGCCTGTAACTCATTGAAAACTCTAAAGGAAAAGCAACACTGGGTCTCGGCTTCAAATCATTCGACTGCGCGCTCTAGACCAGTTGGGGGCAATTCGGCCTCTGGTGTAGCCTACCCCCAGCGACAAACGGGACTGGTACGCCCAAAGGCAGTTAAAGAAAGCGCTTTAGCAAGATTCACGGAAAGGTTAGACGTAAAAAGCGAATAGGACGAGATTAGAGGGAAAAATCGGAGTGAAGGCTGGTAGCCCACATGATTTTCGAAATTAGCACGGCCGCGCGTTTAGAAAGTGCCTAGAAGAACACAAAAAGGAAGCAGGACTGGAAAGCAAAGCACGAGGAGAATCGAGAGCCTAATCCAGTAGGCGCAAAGAAATATTATGATTTTTCCCTGATTAGGAATTGGAAAAGACGGTCAGGACCGGGGTTTACTTTCTGGATCTGGCGGCAGAATGCATAAATTGAGAGCGAAAAGTGAGAGCAAAAAGAGAGTAATAAAACTTGATCAAAGCAAGTACGCAAAGCCGAAGTCAACGCGCAGTTTTTGGGGAGCGAAAAATCCGAAAAGAAATTTTAGGCCCCCGCTGGCACCGGACAGAACGAAATCCGTAAACTGGAATCCGGTGGAAATGTAGCGGCCGCTAAATGATGGACAATGCCAACTACGGTGCTTTCGCTTTCAAGTGCAATATAATTCGCAATACTTTCGATAAATTACAATTTTCTCACGAAAAAGGGGTAGAAAATCATTTGCGGATAGTGAAAAACGGTTTTATGCAACGGGCAAAGTTTGTGGCTGCGTTGCAGTGAGTGTGACTTTGTATGTTTGTGTGGCTCGGTGATTCGGCGCTGAGTTTTGAGGTTTTCTTAGGTTTTATTCGGCACATTACTATCTGAAAAGAAACATATCATGAAAATCGACAGGCAGCAAGAGTCCTGGCTGAAATCGAAGAGGAGGGACGACGTGAAGAGTCTATATTTGCGAGATTTTGGGTAAAAGCGCCGAAAAAGCCGCTTTCTTCTTGTATTTAATTTATTTAAAAAAAAACTAGAGCCACAATTCAGTGCTACAGTTTACAGAGCTTATCCCTGTTGCCATTTTTCGCCCGAAGTGAAGATTCGCGGAATAGTTTCTATAGCCTAAATCTTAAATTAGATTTTAAATGGATACTAAACTAATTATTAAATTAATTAAACTATTCAAATATGAAAAAAGACTATTAAAATGAATACTATTATCCCAATCAAAGTTCAAAGGGTGTTCTTGAGTGATTATCTCCTCCCTGCACCCGGTTATCCCAATAGTCATTGTCCGCGTGAGTTTGCAAGGCAGTGAAAAGGAACGCCCCCGCCGTACTCTCAATGACTGACATCGAACAACCAGCGACCATCACCACAATCAAACGATTACATCGACCATCGCTGGTTTCTTGGGCATAATAGCGCCGTTTTTCTCAATTTTTATTGTTATACTATTCATGATTTCGGCATCAACGTTCAGAAACTAGCCAATTTCCCATCAGCGTCAAGGTTTAACGGCAATCCTTGGTTTTCTGGACTTTGATTTTTCAACTCAGTGTACTTTAAATGCTCCAGGAGGCGTAGGAAACGAGTTGCAAAACCGGATGGTACTTGTAAAGCACTTTTTATAGATGTTTCTGAAGGTAAATTGTGTGCTAACTTTTGGCCGGAAGCTCTACGAGTAGCTCTACGCGACTATACTTTCGGACAGAACTTTCAAACCCTTTATTATTTATTTTTTTGGTGAAAACCTAATTTTTGTCTTGGCTTTGGGGAAGCTTACCGGCAATGAGATGTGGCGAAACTGGGTGAATTAAGAACTTTTACTTAAAAAAAACGTTTGAAAAAGGCTTTTCTAAAAATCTTTCCTTTCCTTTTTTTGTTAAGACCACTGTTTTTCTGCATCCCGGGAGTTTAGCGACGGTAAAATACGCTTATCGTTTTCTAAAACGCCATGTAAAGAAAAATTAGGGTTTCGGTAAAATTTGTAAAAAACCCCATTTTTTTTGCTGATCTGCTCGCTAGGATTCTCTTTTGTCGTTAGTATCTTCTTCCCACTGCCATGCATTTTCTCAAGCATCTGGCAATAAGAAGATCATTTGTCGACCAATTTCCCCCTCTCTCGACACACATGATCTGCATATGGGGGGCGATTTGTGATATTGCTGCCGGGGTTTGTCTTTTCCGATTTCCCCGGATTTATAGGCCACGGAGATACACTGACAAGCGCCAACCCACAACATCCGGAACAAGCATAGCGTGGCTAATCTTATTTTCACGGTCTATAATTCTTTTAAATAATTTATCTTAATCGAAAAAGGTATTATTTTTCCTTCATTTCATAAGTTTTTGTAAATCAACTTTTTTGCTCGGATTTTTTTGACTCGAAAATTTTACGATTTTCGTAAAGAGGTGGATAGAGAGGATAAAGAGAGACCGTAGACGTGGAATTTACGACACTGAAAGCCACTCGGTTTGTAAAATTTAGCGCAAACGCGTTGATGCCGACTATTAATTTTTATGAATTTACTTATTTAAATTTCTATAAATTAATAAATTTGAAATTTTCGCGGAAATTTTTTTAATCCCTGTCAAGGCATCTAATTTTCGATCGACGAAAATCTCGAAATTAGAAAGCAAAATTCCAACAATTTAAATTTTTTAGCGAATTTGAGTGTATGTCACTAATTAATAGTTTCGTATTTGCAATTTTCAAGGATTTTTTCCGAGTAAAACGATTTTATTTTACAAAAAAAATGCCATATTTTTGCGAATTCACCTGAATAAATCTTGAATTTCGTTGCCATTCGGGTTTTGGAGGGCTTCTTAGGGCAATAACGTATTTTTAATGCGTTTTCGAGTTTTCAAAGTTTTGCGCTCGATCCCTACTACTTCCTTTCTGCTTCTTGCTGATGCTTGATCCTCTATTTCCTCGCTTATCCTCCTCCTCCTAACAAATCGATCTCGGCGCTTTGTGACAAATGATCCGTGTTCCTCGAGACTCCCCCCCTCTGCCAGTCAATACACACTCAAAATACTCACAAAAAACACGTCCCTCGGCTTCTCCCCCAAGGCCAAGACATGCCCCCAGGCCACAAAGCGGCTGTGTGTGTAAAGAGTAGTGCCCCGTACGCGAAGCTCAACCCTCACAGCCATTTGTTACGAATTGTGGCCAGACAGGCAGGGCGGATACGACAAAACAGACACATGCACACACAGACAGACTAACAAACAACAAATACGAAGCATAAGGCATGAGAATTGGCTGGATTGGCGGGAAGAATTGTAGCAGCTACAGTAGAAGCTCTAAAAACGGTAAAAAAGCTACCTAGCAGAGATTATTTAGGAATTCTAGACGCTAAAAAACTGCCTTTTGGCTGGCATACCCGCAAGGAGTGCAAAAAGCCTAGCAGGCAAAAAGCCTACGACACTCGGGATTCCCAAGCCGTCTCCGATCCAAGTACTAACCGAGCCCAACGTTGCTTAACTTGGCAGATCGGACGGGATGCCGTGCTTTCAACGTGGTATGGTCGTAGGCGAGGGGAGGGGGATGATAGCGAGTCAAGATAGTTTGGGTTCCCCTCGGGGCTCACAAGTCTCTTCTACCCTTTCCCTGTCCCTTCCCTCGCCTACGACCATACCACGTTGAAAGCACGGCATCCCGTCCGATCTGCCAAGTTAAGCAACGTTGGGCTCGGTTAGTACTTGGATCGGAGACGGCTTGGGAATCCCGGGTGTCCTAGGCTTTTTGCTATTTTAGGGTGGAATTATGCTAAATTTTTATTTCTTTTCTAACACTCTTTTCATGCAATTTTTTTTCTTCATAGCTTTTGGTAGTACGCAGACGTTTTTTCCGGAAAAAACGACTTTCTGCTGCCAAGCTGCCCCTTTGGTACGGTCAACAAATCGGGGAACGATAAGAGGGCCCTCTGTAGACATCGAGCTGGCCCGGAAGAAGCCGGTTATTGGGTCTAGGAGGAACGAAAGAGGAGAGGTCAGAGACAGCCGTCATTCGACGTGACACGCGGCATTGTCTGACTGCCAATCTGTAGCCTAAAAAAGCTTTTCCAGGTTTGTCTCTTAGGCTTTTCAAGTTTTTCTTCCAAAAAATAGCCGAGAAACTTACTCTGAAGGCGTCGATTTTGCCGATTTTTGGCCTAATTGAAGACCGTAGTCTTTCAGCAAATTTTCAAGGGTGGATTGGTTCAGAATTTCAAGATCTATCAAACGAACTCCTTACTCTGAACTCCTCGAAGTCGCCGTCCCTTAAAAACACCCTTTATCGTCATCCCATGGCTATTTTCCCCCGTTTTTTTTTGCAGCCATCAATTAGTGTCCGGGAGTGTGAGGGATGATGATCGGCTGCCTGCGGTGCGCCTTCCGTTCCTTTTGGCTGTACTACTTGCGGGTGGCCACACACACTCACAGCTGACCTCTCTGCATCTCTCTCTCTCTCTCTCTCTCGCCATGGTCCACCACAATAGTGCCATCCCACTATGCTACTCTTTCCGGTCCGGAATTAGACCGGATTGTTTTTGCCTGATTTTTTTGACTTATCTGTACACGCACCGCCCCGCACAACGCGTTTGTTGGTTTATTCGGGGACGGCATGGAATTACAAAGAGAAGAAGCGAAAAATTCGACATTCCTGACTTGCCGATACCTTTAGAGAGACTAGGAAGTCCCTCGCGCTCTCTCTCCCTCTCTCTCTCCCTCGCTCTCTCTCGCTCGCTCTCTCGCTCTATCTCTCACTCACTCTCTCTCTCCCTCTCTCTCTCTCTCTCTCTCTCTCTCTCTCTCTCTCGCTCTCTCTCCCTGTCTCGCCCTGTGTTTTCCCATTTAAGGCAGCTATCCAATTTTTCTCATCCAAAACCCTGTTAATCCACGACCAAACCTGCCAGTTCCCTGTTTTGATCAGCCGGCCCCAAAATCGCGTGGAAACCGCTCTCGAGCCCACTCGCCCATTTGAACATCGTCCAAATTTGATAAGGGGGATTCGCTGAGTTTGGTGGTACCGATTAATTCACTAAATCCGTTTTACCATTTTTCGTTACCAACCGAGTTCGTCATTTTTTATGAAACTTGGAAACAGGCTTCTCTGTCTCTCTCGCTCTGCCCCCTCTGTCTCTTGCTCTTTCTCCGTCACGCAATCTCTCTATCTCACTCTCTCGCTGTCGTATCAACTCAATGTCCTGCTCCCTTTAAAACTCGCCCTAAATTTTTTGCGGAATTTTTATGTTGGCACCCAGCTGGCCGGTTAAAAACCGGAAGAAATCCATGTTTCCGGCTGGCCCGGTTGCCGCCGGATCTTTTGTGATTATTGTTTGTCAGTGCTGGGCGGGCGTCCGTGCACACCTTTCCTTTCCTTCCAATTGACACTTTCTTTGGGGCGAGAGAGAGAGAGAGACAGAGAGAAAGAGTGTTGCGGATTTTTATGTGCCCTCCCTTGTCCCCCTTCCCACAGCTGTTCCTCATCTTCAAAACGTACGCGCGCGCCGCCACGGCTCTGGGTTCTCACCCGTAAATTTTTGACGAGGGCTGCTAGGTAAGAGTACAGCTGTGGAGATTTGTGGTAGTCCCAATGGTCGGTCGTGCTTTTTAAAGAGCTTTTCAGCTTTGCTAGCAGTTGCTAAAGGAGGCAGGAACGGCATAATTGACCTATCGCCTCAACCAGGTGCCGACGGTCGCTCATTTGGTCTTACTTTCTCTCTTTCGGCGTTGCTTTCCCTTTTTCACTTACAGGGTCTCTCTCACTTCGGCGCTACCCTGTCCCTTTCAAAATGAGGTACAGATATTTTTAAGATTTTAGGGTGACCAGAGAAAACCGTAGAATTTCGACTCCAGATCTCGGATCCTTGACTTCCCAGTCCCTTTAAAAGTCCAATTTTTGACGTCGTTGTTTATGCGGTTAAAATGCGAAAAACACAGTTCCACGCCGGTCCTCCTAACACCTGACAAAGTTTCGTCTACGAATCGTGTAATTGCTCTCCGAGTGCACATTCCAACCAGTATTGCTTGTTCGGCCCCCCCCATTGTCAGTGCAAATTATGCTCGGTATGATTCTGGTGGTTTTCGCATTTTTGGGATTTTTTGGGTTCTACGTACTATGGAATTCTCTGAGAAAATCAGAAATTCCATAAATTGCGAGAAAACCTATTTTCTCTCATTTTACGTGGGTCATTTTCCGGTAATTTTTGCATTTTTTTTTGTATTTTTGGAGACTAGATTACTGTAAAGGTAACTTTTTATAAAGTCCTCAAATGTCTCAAATTCAACGATTTGTTCGATTTTCGCTGCAAATCTCGGATCTTTGCCCCCATTCCCACCCATATTTTTTGCGGTGGGCGGTTTTTTTTGCGAATTTGCACGCTTTCTATCGCGTGTTTTATTGCATTTTGGAATCTAAAAAGTCACAATTTTCGACTTTAGCTTGAATTCTATTAAAACTTGGATTTGAAATTTAGGATGTCGTATTTTTTTGTAGTTCTGTGATTGAATCTGTCGGATTATGCTGTTTATGCTTTCATTTATAGCCCATGCAAAATGACAGTCTGCACAAGCGGCGGCACAGCACCGGCGATCTCGGAAAATTTCAGGTTCATCCCAATAGGTCAGTTTACGCTCTCTTCTTCTTCTTCTCTCTCTCTCTCTCTCTCTCTCTCTCTCTCTCTCGCTTTCTCTCTCTCACGCTCTCTCGCTCTCTCTCGCTTTCTCTCTCACTCAGTCTCTCCCTCTCTTTCTCTCGCTCTCTCTCTCTCTCTCTCACTCTCGCTTTCTCTCTCTCTCGCTTTCTCTCTCTCGCTTTCTCTCTCTCGCTTTCTCTCTCTCTCTCGCTTTCTCTCTCTCGCTTTCACTCTCTCGCTTTCTCTCTCTCACTCAGTCTCTCCCTCTCTCCCGCTCTCTTACTGTCTCTCACTCTCTCTCTCTCTCTCTCTCTCTCTCTCTCTCTCTCTCACTCAGTTCTCGCTCTCGTTCTGATCGAAACCTATACATTTTAGCAATTTCCTGAAACCGGAGGATGATGGGTAAGAAAAAATTTGACGTTTTCGACTTATCTCAACAGCTTTTCTAACAGGGTTTCCGCTTTAAGCGCTTTTCTTGCTGTCGATAGTTGCTTTTTGTAGTTTGCTGTTGCTTTAATCCATGCTTCCCATAGCTTTCCTGACGCCTTAAAATCCCAAAAATGACTAGGTTCAGGAAAGAAGAACGTCGTTCCTCGATCACCACCAAAATCCAGCAGCTCGTCGTGACGATTCCCGTGGAGAACTTTAGACGCCATATTCATGTAAATTTTTATGAGCTTTGGAAGGGGTTTTAACTTGTTTGAATTGATGAACAAATACAAAAATTCCCAATATCGTGAAAATACAAAATTTCAGCCGGAAGACATCGGATCGTGGGGCCGGGAAACGGAGCATTTTTGTGGTAAGTGGCCATAAGAATGTATAAATATTTGTTAAATTAGCTGTATGTAGTTAAATTTTCAAAATTGGTTAAAGGCCAAATTTCCGGGAAAATCAAGATTTTTTGTAAATTGAATTTTTGCAGTAAAAAACAGTTCTGTATTTTTCGATATAAACCTCCGCCAGTTTTGTCCAGCACAACAGAACCAAGAAAAGTTGCCCCCTCCGATAAAGCAAAAGATCCGTATTTTTAACACACTGTAGAATTGCTCAAAAAAAAGAAGTTTGAAATTTTTCAGGCATCACAACGATGCACGGCCCTCTACGCGCTTATCGCGGGAAAAGCATGTACAAATGGCTATGGCGGCTGATTATGGTCTTTTCTGGGTGTTTGCTGCTCTACCAGGTAGCTGGCACCATCCCTTTAAAGGGGCTCCGAACTACCAAATCAAAGCCCTTTTGGGTGGGCTCTTCGATTTCTGGCAAATTGCCAGCGGGCGCTGCGGGACGAGAGCCCTCACTCTTTCGATTTTTGCGCGAAGTTGCTTTTGCCCGGTTTCTTCGTGAAAACACTATAATTTGCGCATTCTGAGCCCATTTTTGAAATCCTCACTCAATTTTAAATAGTTTTGGTGTTTTAAGCATCAAATTTGGCCCAGAAACAGCCGAGAACGTGATTTCGAGGTGACAACAGGCAATTTCAAATTTGCGAGCTTCCCGCGCCCCTGGGCGTGCAGAGGCCTCCGACGTACAGGGCTCCGATTTTCGGGCCGTCACTCAATTTTTGGCATTTCGTAGCCCCTTTAAAAGCCGGAAATTACCGTAATCCTACCGTAATCCCCCGGCATTTTCTAGGTTGGCACCATCGTCGGCACCCACATCGAAAGACCCGTGGAGGCAAAGGTGACATTCGAAAATTCGGATGAGGGACTCCGCTTTCCACTCGTTACACTATGTAATTATAACCCGATTACGCGGGAATACTTGGAACGAGTGAATGGAACTGGCACATTCTCGGACTCGGTCTTCAAATATCTCGTCCAATCTAATGCGGAACTCCAGGCCTTTCTGAGCGCCGCGAATGTGAGTATTTTTTTTGCTGTCTAAAAAATATCAATCGAATTTATATTTAATGGGCGTTAAGTGGCTTAAAATGCCGAATTACGTTAAAATTAAAGAAAAGTTCACGAAATTTTAAAATTGAATCGAATGAATTTTAAGAGTTAATTTCCATGTATTTTTTTCGAACACTTTTGGCGCCAGAAAGGAATTAATTAATTTAAATTAGTATTTATATCAATTAAATGAGTCAGAATTAAGAACATAGTTAAATTTTAAAAATTTTGGTAAACTTAAAAAGAAAATTTTAAAGTAAAAAGCCTAAATAAGTTTAATATGCAAAAACTTTAAGAACGGTTTAAAAGGGCATTAAGATGATACTAACAAATTGCTTATACCTACATTTAAAACCCAAAAAAATCAATTACGTTATCTAATGTGCTTTTGTAGTTTGTACCTTTTAGGAGACCCACATTTTCCATACAAAATATACGGTAATTCGCGCTTTTTTCAGGTTTTTATCGGATTTTTCGCTGTTTTTGGGGCCAATTTCCTCGACTACGTGCTCCTTTCAGGGCGAAGAGCTCCTCAAGATGGACGGCGAGTTCCAGGCTTTTCAGCGCAACGCACCGTACACGGTCAACGACTTTTTCGAGCAGGGCGGGTACTCGGAAACTCTAAAAATTAAATAACGCACCTATCCTTGTAGGTATAAATGCGAGGATCTGATGAAAATGTGCTCGTTTTCGGGGATAAAATTCGATTGCTGCTCGAAGGCACAGCAGACGGTGACGTCGCTTGGAAAGTGGGTGGAATTTGGAGCTTGTAGTTTGTAGTTTTCTCTCTCACTGTCTCTCTCGTTGTCTCTCACTCTCTCTCTATCTCGCTCCCTCTCCCTCTCTCGCTCTCTTTCGTCCTCTCGCTGTCTCTCGCTTCCTCGCTGTCGCGCTCTCTCGCTCTTTCGCTCTCTGTCTCGCTTTTCCGCTGTCTCTCTGCGGTCTGCTTCTCTCTAGCTTTGTAGCCTGTAGCCCCCATTCCAGATGCTACACGATCAGCCTCTGGGAAACGCGCGAGATGAAGAAGCAAATCTCTCCCGGCGAATATTCCGGCCTTCAAATCCTGCTCGACTCGCAGCTCGGCGAAATCTATAGGGGCAGCGGAAGTGAGTGCGAGGCTTCAATGGACCTTTAAAAACACAAAAAACCCATAAAACACGCCAAATTTTCAGCCGAATCCGACCCGGTGTTCACGAATTCGTTTGAGAACGGCTTCCGCTTCTACGTGCATGATCGGTAGGGTTTTCTGAGGTCTAAAGAAACTAGAAAACGCTAGGATCAATCCCTTGAGTGCACTAGGTGTAGACAACTGCGCGACGCGCCAAATTACGCGTTTTTAAAGAGCTTTCATAGGTTGAAACTGTCATTTGGCATGTAGCGTACCTGTCTAGACCTAGGCGATGCGAGGGGGTAGATTCTGGCGCTTCCAGACGCCTTCAAAAAGCCTAAAAAAGCTTCGTATAAAAATTTCCACGCTTGTTCAGGAAAATGATGTCGTTCATCACCTCCGAGGGCATTTCAGTCAGTCCGGGCAGTCGAGTATATTCTTCTATTGAAACGGAAAAGGTAAGAATTTTCGAATAATTCATTTATGCTAATTTTGTAGAGAAAAAACCCGAATTAAAATTGTTTTATCAAAAGCAAATTAAAAGACAAGCTTAAGAAGTATAAATGCTACCGTATAAAGTTATAATAATTTCAAAATAAAATTAACTAAGTCAGATTCTGTCGTAAAAAAGAGTTAAATCCGCTCAATTTAATCAACAAAAACTCAAATCAACTAAAAATCTGCCTAAATTGGTTGGATTCTGACTTGGAAACCTCTTGAAAATCAACCAAAAACTATAAGAATTTTTGAAATGTTACAAACGTTTTTGAATACTTTTTTAGTTCAAACGCCTGCCCCAAAACGACTGGGGCGAGTGTGTGGAGGATTGGCCGGAAAAGTACAAGTACGAATTAATATTCTTTCCGGTCATATTTGGCCTTTCAGAGATATCGCGCCCCACCTACCGTACTCCCGCAAGAATTGCCGGGCCCTGTGCCGGGCGCGTTATTTTCAACAGAGCTGCGGATGCGCCCCGTTTTTGTATAATTCTATTAAAGGTATGGAATTTCGGCATGAGAAGAATGAATGAACAGAGAGAGAAAGAGAGAAAAAGCGGGAGAGTGCGAGAGACAGACAGAAAGAGAGATCTAGAGTGCGAGAGAGACCAGGGAAAGAGAGAGAGCGACTATCCCCATTTCAGTCTATCAAACCTGCACTCCGCTTCAACTCTACAATTGCCTAAACCAAACCCGCACATCGCTGTATAAAGGTGGGCTTTTACTTTTAACCTTTAACTTTTAAAGGGACTAGGAAGTATTCAATTACGACACATAATTCTGTTAAACTGCCATAATCGATTACGCCACCTAATCCATGGCTCTGCAGTATTTTGAAACTACCGTAATCGATTACGCCACGTAATTTTCAGACCTCGAAACATGGTGTCAGGATTGTCCACCGGAATGCGAAAACTGGGAATATCACGCGTACAACAGCTACGGGTTCAACTTCTCGGAGGGAGCGAGGAAATGGCTGAAGGAACAGAATGGAGAATGGGATGATCAGAGGATCGAGTAAGTCTCTCTCGTTCTCTCTCTCTCTCTCTCTCTCTCTCTCTCTCTCTCTCTCTCTCTCTTTCTGTTTCTTTTTTCAAGGGGTTTCGCCTTTTTCTCTTCGCTCTTCCCCCCCGCTAACGCACTAGAACCCAAAAATTCCTGTAGCTAGGTTTTTTGCAGAAAAAATTTCGTCATGGTGTCGATTTTCTACCGTGAGCTGTCGTACACCAAGTTTGAGGAGGTCAAGGGCAGCGACGTCTCGACAATGCTCAGTGAGTCGACAGTCCCTAGTCTCTATCGTACCACCCTAGGTAACATTGGCGGTAATATGGGGTTGTGCTTCGGAATGTCGGTCATCACTTGCGTGGAGATGATCATCTACATCCAAAAGTTGTTCTGGATTTGCGTCTCGAAAAGCCGGAGGAAATATATGCTAGAGAAGAGGCGGATTGATTTGGTTTGTCCGGGAGACTCGAAAATATTCGTTTTTTTTTTCAGGAAAAAGAGCAACATCTAGAAGAGACAATCCGAGAGTACCGTCGACATAAAGAGAAGCTGCAATCGGATAAATCGGCGATGGGAAGACTGAAGAAATTGTCGCATCGATTGAGGGAACCATCAATGAAGCGGAAAGTGGCTGATATGTCGTCGAAAGGTGGAGGAGGACCAGAGATGGAGGTACGGTAGGAATACGGTAGAATACTTGTGGCTACGGTACTGTATGGTTAGGTACGGTAAAATGCGTTTAAATACCGTATAGTACGTTTGGATACAGTAGAGTATGTTTCAATATCATAGAGTCCGTTTGTATACGGTAGAGTACGGTCGGATTCGGTAGAGTACCTTTTGCAACGGTAGGTTACGTTTAGCTACAGTAGAGTACGTTTGGAAACTGTTGTGTCTTGCCAAAGTGGTGTGCGCAGCGGGACGAACAGTTTACGAACAACTGTTTATTCGGTGAGCAATATGGCGGCAAGAAGGAATTAGAAGTAGAATTGAAACTGGATCGGAACTGGGGAAATAAATGCCATCGCTGGCCCAGTGGGGAGAGAGACCCCGTTACGGTGGAAAGGGCACTGGATAGACGAGGGGCCGGGGGCGAAGGGAAAAGGCGGGGGCGCTCGAAGGCGCTCCGCAACACCTCCCCCTGTACAAACGAAAAGAAAAGGAAATGTGAATAGGAGAAGAGACACCAACGAAAATGTACAACTGCGTACAGCAAAACGAGGGATCAAATCACAACGTAAAATAAGTCAAACTTATTTGCTTTTTCCTTTATTAATTGGCGCGCGCGTGGGCGACAGTCATCCTTCCTTCCTTCCTTCAACGTTCGACGATGCTTCACCAAGGTAGACGGGCTCGCGGGCACGCCTCCTTCCCTCGTGCAGGAATGACGAGCTTGATCTTGCCGCTCCGTGTCGACGGGCTCGCTGGGGCACCGTCCGCCGAGCTGCTGCATCAGACTCGGTCTTCGCGATGGGCCTCTTCCGTAGAGGTGAAATCCATCGGCCGGCTGCTCGCTGTAGTGGCGCGCCGGTCTTCTCGACTACAAACCGTCGGAGGTTGCCGGGGGCTTTTCAGACAAGCCTGGGTCCCGGTCTTTCAGGCTACAGACGGCCGTAACGTCGCCGGCGACTTTTCAAAAAAGTCGGCTTTCCGGTCTTTCCAAGACGGGCCTCTTCCATAGAGGTGTACCATCTGCCGGCCGCTCTAGGTAGTGGCGCGCCGGTCTTTCTCGACTATCAACCGTCGGAGGTTGCCGGGGACTTTTCAAAAAAAGTCTGCTTCCCGGTCTTTCAACGGCTATCAACGGCCGGGCGTTGCCGCGGGCTTTTCCAACGTGAAAAGGCACCGCGGTCTTTTTCTTCTTTCCGTGAAGAAGTCGCGGCCGGCCTTGACGGAGTTCCACTGGGCGAGCGGCAGCCGGATGCCGCGTAGTTGACCCATTCGTCTCGGCCTTCTCTGCATTTCTTGTCGTCCTTGACTGGAGACATCCTTCCTTCTTGCGCTTGAGCGTGAAGACGGCGCGCTTCGACTTGGTCCTTCGTGGCGACGGGCATGGCCGCGCGATCCGAGAACATAAAAAGTGCGAAGGCCAGATAGGGGTAAAAATACTTCCCTTTTAATCGAATCCTCCACGGGATGACGCCTCTTCTTTGCCATGTCGAGCTTCTTGTCCTTCCGCTTGATCCACATCTGCTTGACCAACTTGACTTGACTGGGCGGCGGCGGCTCGAGTGGCTGTTGGCTTGGGGATCTTCCGTGATTTTGCGTGAGTTGGGAATCCTGATCGCCAGTTGTTGTGTCTTGCCAAAGTGGTGTGCGCAGCGGGACGAACAGTATCAAACACTGTTTATTCGGTGAGCAATATGGCGGCAAGAAGGAATTAGAAGTAGAATTGAAACTGGATCGGAACTGGGGAAATAAATGCCATCGCTGGCCCAGTGGGGAGAGAGACCCCGTTACGGTGGAAAGGGCACTGGATAGACGAGGGGCCGGGGGCGAAGGGAAAAGGCGGGGGCGCTCGAAGGCGCTCCGCAACAGAAACCATATAGTACTGTTGGATACGATAGCGTGCGCTTAGAAATGGCAAATTACGCCTGGATACTTGGAGTACGTTTGAATATAAAAGCGTACGCTTGTAAATAGTGGAGTACCTTTCGATACGGTAGAGTACGTTTCCATACGATATAATACGTTTGGTTACGGTAGAGTGCGCGTGGATACGTTAAGTTACCGTTCGCATAGGATTGGCTCCGGTTGAAAACTCCAGCCTCTTTACCGTAACCGGGTGGAATACGGTAGAATACAAAAAGTACAGTAACCCTGAGGTCTAGTACGAAATAGTACGCAAGAGTACACTGGAGTATGCAAGCGTAAAGTTCCGTATACCGAGGATACGGTAGTATGGGGTAGTACGGTAGCATACGATCGATACCTGCCAAAACGATTTTTTCAGCCCGAGACGCCTCCGCCACGCTCCCCGCACAAACTCCAGAAGCAACAGTTTATGGATAGTTTTTATGAAGAGGTGAGAGAGAGAGAGAGCGAGAGAGAGAGGAGTGAGAGTTAAATGCTAACGATTGCTTTGAGATGACCAGCGGACACGGCCGAGCCTTCCTAAAGGACCGCAGAAGATCCCGATCCGAGCAGCCGCCCACACAGGATCTGGTAGATCTTAAAATTCGCATAATTATTTCAGTTTTTATCGATTTTTTTTGTTTTCCTGTGTAAATCTTCAGTGTTTTTATTAGATTATCAATTTTTTAGCTCGAGCTCAAGATCGACCTTGCCGAAAAGGACGGCGAGAAGGAGATTGTCGGGGTGGTTGGGGAGCGGAAGAGCAGCAATAATAGGTAGGCTATCTCCACAAAACGCACAAAAAACTGCAATTACAGTACGCTATCGGTGCAGAGTCCAATGCGCTACAAATCCCGATCGATCCTGTTTGACGACTCGATCCCGGAAGAGGCCGATCGGAAAACGTCGAAAGCCAGCATCGAGTACGTCTTCTCGGGGCAAAACAATAGTTTTAAAGAGGCCGTGAGGGCAAAATCTATAGCCAAAAATTCAATTTCGTAGTTTTCATGTTTTTAAAGGGACCCTGGAGACAGAATCCATAGCATAAAAAGTCAATTTCGAATTTCCGATGGTTTTAAAGGAATCGGCAAGGCAAAATCTATGGAATATAATGTTACATTTTTCGAGAAAAGCTATATTTTTCAGGCTGCTGACCGTCCAGAGTCCGCTGCAATACAAATCCCGCAGTATTCAGCTGAACGATCCAGCGGAAATGGCGGGCGATCAGGGACAGTCCAGATTGCATAGGTATCTATCGATTATTACACCTTTATTTGGCTTAATTCACAGTAAGTTCGATTTAAAGGGGCTCCGAAATCTGGTCCACGGCCCCCTGTTGTGAATCCTGGCAAATAGCCAGATGCGGCCGCAACGCGACCGCGCCGCATGCTCTTTTTGCCTCTGTTTGGACGCGAAAACGCTTGAATTTCAAAATTCTGATACTATTTTTGGAATCCTCAACGAATTTTGATCATTCCAGACTTTTAAATTACGAATATTGACCAAAGAATGACCGAGATCGAGAGATTGGATGCCTTACAAGGCATTACGACATGTAATCGCCGCGCACTCAAAATGTCGTCTTTGTCCCAAAAAGAATTCGGTTTTTCTCAAACATTTTACGTTTTTTTTCGCAATCAAATAAGTTTTTTGGCACTTCTCGGCAGTGACCCTTTCGTTTTTTGACCCATAGGTTCAATCCCGCACGCACGAATTTTGACTTCTGAGCCCCTTTAAGAAGCTACGATTTAGCATAATTTCATTTTAACCGTTTTTCAGTTGCCTGGCCGTCCCGGGACAACTCCAAAAATCGAAAAGTGTCCAGTTCGAGGACGTCGCCGAGGCAGAGCCTACCACCTACACCACTGGGTTTGTTAAAAATTAAATGTCCAAAAAATTACAAAATTAAAAAATTAAAGAGTTTTGGTGAAAAATGCAAAATCAAATTCAACCATAATTTCAATTTAAGAGACCGTCCCTCCTCGCTGACGCCGCGCCCGATCCTTCAAAAGGGACGCAGCTTCGAGGCCGACGAACTGCCCGTTTTTACGTTCGATTTTGTGAAGGATAATACGCCCGAAAAATCGATGGAGAGGTCGCCGCAATAAAGTATTGTATTAAAATTGATATACAGATTTTTGTGAGATATTTATAAATTTTTCAATCGATTTGGTCGATTTTTCGACTTTTTCAGATGTAGATTTCTTGAAGCATTTAGCTTACCGTAGCTTTTTGATAAAATCCTTTAAAGTTATCTAAATTAACTGTATTGAACTTGAATATTTACCTTTATTACCCTTTTTAACTGATTTTTTCGATTTCCTACTCGACAAAACGGGTTTTTTCTGCTCCCTCGACACTTTCTGACATTTATATTTTATATATATGATAAATATTTTTCGGTGTGAATTTTACCTGAAAAACCGATCAAAACGGCGACCACAGAGAGCGCGGAAGCGCAGAATTTGGCGCCGCGCGCGCGGATTATGTCGCTCGGCGCGGGGGTAAATAGCATCGATGATACGCGCTTCTTCCCCCCCGATTCGGTCGTAATTGATTCCAATCAAACCTAATCTTCAACTCCGTTTGCTACTATGGATCGTCGTCGCAAATCTTGCCGCCGAACATGCCCTAATAGGTAGAAAAGAATATTTCGTTGCAAGTCGCCAGCAGGCAAAGTTTTTAAAGGGGCTCCGAACTGCCAAATCAAAGCCTGTTTGGGAGGGCTCTTTGATTTCTGGCTAATTGCCAGCGGGCGCTGCGGGACGAGAGCCCTCACTCTTTCGGTTTTTACGCGAAGTTGTTTTTGCCCGGTTTCTTTGTGAAAACACTATAATTTGCGCATTCTGAGCCCATTTTTGAAATCCTCACTCAATTTTAAATAGTTTTGATGTTTTAAGCATCAAATTTGGCCCAGAAACAGCCGAGAACGTGATTTCGAGGTGACAACAGGCAATTTCAAATTTACGAGCTTCCCGCGACCCTAGGTGTGCAGAGGCCTCCCACGTACAGGGCTCCGATTTTCGGGTCGTTACTCAATTTTTGGCATTTCGTAGCCCCTTTAATGAACTCAGGCCTTGGACACCAATAGTTCATTTTATAATTTTTCGTTTCGACTGAAAAACCCAAGAATTTTTTTTGGAAACTTGGGCAGAAAATAGAAATTTTTGTTGAAACCGCTTTTTAACGGGTTATTCGTGAAAGGCGCTGGCCGCATTTGCAGTCGCAATGGCGTGGCAGGGCGTAAAGGAGGAAAGACTCGGCTTGGCGATAGGGCCACGCAGCTGATCGTCCAGATTCCGATGAGAACCAATATACCGATGGAAGAGGATGGATTACCTAAGAGGTGGTACGATGCCGCGAAGAAGTTTTGTGGTGAGGAGAGAGAGAGAGAGGGAGAGCGAGTGAGAGAGAGTGAGTGAGCGAGAGGAGAGATAGAGAGAAAGAGGGGGAGAAGGTGAGAGAGAGAGAGAGAGAGAGACCGAGGGAAAGTGAGAGAAAGAGCAGCAGACCAATTTTCCAGGTGTTGCCACCATCCACGGCCCTCTTCTGGTATACCGTGCCCGTCCTGGCGGTCATAAATTACTGTGGAGAACGGTCATGCTTGGATGCTTATTACTATTACTATCACAAACATCTCTAATTTTGAGGGATTACTTCGAAAAACCGGTGATCTCGGAGGTAAGCCGTTTGTTAATGCGTCTACTTATTTATAAACTATTTTTTTACAATTTTTAGCGTAGAATTTTCGAACATTTAGGGGGATTTGCGATTAAAATGTCTAAAAATTGCTGAATTCCCTTAATTATTGATTTAAATTCAAACTTTAGGTCTCGTTCAAAACAGCCGACGCTGGGCTCCAATTTCCGCTGGTTACCGTATGCAACTACAACTCGATACGCCAATCCCATATACAGGTAGTTGTTGTTGGTCCCAGAATCATCTAAAAAGATGAATTCAGAAACTAAACTCGACCGGCCAGTTTTCGCATTCACTCCTCGCCTACTTGATGCAATCTTCGGCTGAAATCCGCTCGTTTCTGGGTGCAGCTGAGGTGTCACACTCCCTTTAAAAGGCAAAAAGCATTTTTTTTAGTTGAAAGAGCTCGAAAAAGGCCATGCGGAATATCTACTGTTCACCACTTCATCGAACAATACCTTCGATATCAACACGTTTTTCGAGTTGGGCGGGTAAGACCGATTTTTGGGGCCAGAGAGTCATGTTAATTTCAATAAAAGAGCGTAAGATTTCCTTAATTATCTATCCGAACGTATACTTTAACGTATTGCGTACCATTACGTACTACTTACCTACCTTAACGTACCTAGATACGATTGTGAGGCCATCTTCAAAACTTGCTCCTTTGCCGGCCAGATTTTTGATTGTTGCCAACATGCACGGCCGACGATGACTTCGCTGGGCAAGTACGGGAGTTTCCTAATTGCGATACCTCCCTCATTGTCAATGATTTCTGTTAGTTATCGACCTCTCTCCGTTTAGGTGCTACACCCTCGACATGAGCCTCGAGGGTTTCCATCGTCTCCAACTGTCCCCTGGCGAATATAATGGACTTCATCTCATTCTCGATGCACAACTCGATGAGGTTCATTCACATAAATGCAGTGAGGACTTACCATTTGCGTTAATTTTTCCTGAACATTCTAAAAAGCTCCTTTTAGTCAGAACTAAAAACCGGAAAAACTTAAAAGAATAGATATACTTTGAGGAAACAGCGTTTCAAAGTAATAAACGTAGTCCATGCGGGCGATGCTTTTGATACTTTTAACCTCATTTTTCAGACGAAACAGACTCCGTTTTTATGAACGCCTTCGAGAATGGATTTCGGTGCGTCCAAATCATTTCCCTGCAATGCGTAGAATTTTGGATACTACGTGCACGACCGTCATCTAATTTCCTTCATCACGACAGAGGGGATATCAGTCAGCCCTGGGACTCGCGTCTATTCATCCATAGAAATGGATAAGGTGATTTTTGGAGACGACCCACTATCGGAAGGCGTTGCCGCAGGTCGCGTTTCGCGGTGCAGTCGCATCGCGTAGCGCGTTGCGGGTGGCGTCGCGTCTAGGGTCGCGTGCCGGGTGGCATTCTGCGTTACGCATCGGTATGCGTTACGCGCCAAATGTCGCGCTGCGTGTCGGCTTGCTCATAGCGTTGCGCGTCGCGTTACGTTCAGCTCTACGTGTCGCGTCGCGTGTCTGGTCGCATGCCGCGCCGGGTCTCGCATTGCATGTGCGCGTTATGTTGCGCGCTGCGTAACATGGGACGCGCCGTGACACGCGACGCGCCGATGTAGCTTCATCTACTAATTCTTTCATTTTCAGTTCGAGCGTCTCCCACAAAACGATTGGGGTAAATGTTCAGAAGAATGGCCCTTTTCACCCCCTCTTCCCCTACCGTACTCCCGCAAGAATTGCAAGGCTCTGTGCCACGCACGGTATTTTTTGGCACAGCTACCGTAATCCAAACAATTTTAGCCACTTTGAAGAAACGTGTGGATGCGCGCCGTACATTTATAACACTCTCAAAGGTATCGTTTCGCTAAAAATGTGAATTTTGAGCTTTGTAGTCTTCGAAACCTGCACCCCACTCGATTTATTCAAATGTTTGGATCGTGCCGGGCATAATAACGCATCTGGTATTTAAGGGATTGTGCCAGAGCAAAAAATAAGTTGACACTTTCCAGCGTACGGTCTGTGGGACGAGTGTACGGAGTGTGCGACGGAATGTGAAAGTCACGAATTCCACGCGTATAATAGCTACGGTTTCGGTTTCAGTAAGGGAGCGCTGAAATGGCTGCGAAGTCGGGATCGTGCGTGGACGAGTAGCTACGTACGGTGGGTGGCTAGAGTAGCTCGTCGTACTAAAGTAGAGAAAAACGGCCGAGGTCGCACTGACTACGTTACCGTACGTCATCGAGTACCTGACTGTCTTAGCACGCTACAGTAGGCTGTCAAGTACGTTACCGAATTCATTACCGTACTACAGCGGTACGGTAACTTTTGCATGACAGCATGAGATTGTACGGCATTTTTTAGCCTCGAGCTTCGAGCCGGCTACAGTATCATACAAATTCTTTTACTTACAAATGCTGAAATCGGGATGTCATTAGCATACATCATGTTACTGCACGAATTTATACGCCATTTTCAGCGAAAACTTTGTGATGATCACCCTGTTCTATCGTCATTTGTCGTACACCGTATTCTCTGAGGTGAAGGGCAACTGCATGCAGGCCGTGCTCAGTACGTCGTATATGTCGTACAGCACATTACGACTGTTTTCTCTCTAGCTCTCGCGCACTCGCTCTTACTATTTCTCTCTCTCTCTCTCCCACTCTCTCTCTCCACTCATTCTCTCCACCCGTTCTCTCCCTCTCCCTCTGTCTCTCTTTCTCGCTGGTCCCTCTCTCGAAAGGTCGAAAGACATCGTGAAAAATAATTGTTTTAGGTCAAATTGGCGGTATGATGGGGTTGTGCTTTGGAATGTCGCTGATTTCACTGGCGGAATTGGTGTTATTCGGAGCGAAAGCTGTGTGGATTGCACTTGGTTCTGCTTGGGAATACGGTAAATATCTCTCTCCTCTCTCTCTCTCTCTCTCTCTCTCTCTCTCTCTCTTTCTCTCTATGTCTCACTCGCTCTCTCTCTCCTCTCCTCTCTCCTTTCTCTCTCTTGCTCTCTCTCTCTCGCTCTCTCCCCCTCTCTTATCTCCTTTTCTAATTCAGTTTTAGTAGGAAAACGCCGGGAGGCTACAGAAGGGCCCTCCGAAGAAACGGCTACGAGAAGATACGATGGAATCACATGCCGGGCCCAGCTTCAGGTAATTTTCGGTATTTTCACGAATTTTGAAGGAATTAGGAAGACTCGAAAGATCCATGGTTAAACTCTTGAGACTGTCCACAAGCGCTTAAAATTTTTTTTAAAATTAATTTTCTAGCTTCAAAAACCGGGCCTGGTCCCGCTGCCTCAAGTCCATCCAATGCCTGATGATTCCCCAGGAATTCCTGCTAGCCTGCCCGCTCTTGCCGGCTGTTCTGGTGCAAAAAATGCTGTCCCAGAATGGGACCACTACCGCCCAAGATTTCACTGCCAAATCGCACAAGAGCAGGCGGATAATGAATAAATATTTTTTTCAGTTTTGCTTGGTTAATAACACCAGATTAATTACCTAGAAATTAATAATTTAAATCTTGATTGATTCATTTAATTAAGTCATTTTTAAACCTTGTTTGTCTAATTTAATTTGTGTAATTTTTCAAAGTTAAATTTTATAATGGCAATTTTCTGGCTAGAGTTGATAATCTAGTAACATTATTTTTTCCAAGATCAAATTATATGTTTTTATTGATCGAACTGTAATTTTGTTGAGATATTTCGTTATTAGATTTATTTGTTTTTCTACTTTCGATTAAGCGTTTATCACGACTTTTAATAGCTATAAACCAATCTGGGTCTTTTCGTGACGTAATGGAATCGTGATCTTTGAGTCGTGGAGGGCTCTTCATAGTCTGACGATCGCCCATTGGCCTCGTCATCGTACTCCTCACCATTTTCGGCCTCAGAGACTTCGGGGAGTTCAGGAGCCACAGGAGCTTCGGGAGCTTCAGGAGCGTCAGTAACTCGTTCCGGGCTATCCTAAAGGGACGTGTAGGCCAGAGAAATCTATGGATTCCACCTCTTCCTCTTCCAAAACATCAGCCTTCTCGGCCTGCATCTCCCTGCGCCATTCAGAGATGGCTGGCGGGAGATCGGGCTTGTCATCGGAATCGGATAGTGGTTCTTTCACCTCTTCGGCCAGAAGTTCTCTAAAAATATCGATTATATTATAGCTTTTTATTACTTATCTCTTTGTACTTTTTAAAGATCTGATTTTGGTTATAAATAATTTACATAAATAATTTCCACTCGATAACTTACTTTTCACGATATTCTCTACGTCGATCCACGCTTCCGGCATGAGAATGGGACTTCTTCACCAATATCTGAAACGAAAACTGAATAGCTAAAATATCCTAAAACCAAGCTGAAAATCTATTTTTTTTTTTTATCTATAAATCGGACAAAAATCGACGCAAAATACGCATGGACCTTCAAAAAATGCAAAAAGCCTACGACACTCGGGATTCCCAAGCCGTCTCCGATCCAAGTACTAACCGAGCCCAACGTTGCTTAACTTGGCAGATCGGACGGGATGCCGTGCTTTCAACGTGGTATGGTCGTAGGCGAGGGAAGGGTGAGGAGATGCGGTCAAGAGATTTTGAGAGGTCCCCGGGGAGGCCGGAAGGCTTCTTTTACCATTCCCCCCTCCCTCCCCTCGCCAACGACCATACCACGTTGAAAGCACGGCATCCCGTCCGATCTGCCAAGTTAAGCAACGTTGGGCTCGGTTAGTACTTAGATCGGAGACGGCTTGGGAATCCCGAGTGTCGTAGGCTTTTTGCATTATTTTTGGTGCTTAATAATAGTTTTAGATTTATTAAACTACCGTTTTAGACACTGTAATAGATTTCGATAACTTTTTAAAATACAGCATCGGTCCAGTTTACACCAATAAACACATAAAATTAATTAAAATAGCAGCTTAGAGGTTTTTAAGGGTATTTCCTTAAAATAGACCCAACCTTTGACGCGTCCCCAAACATCTGATGTGTTTCTTCAGGCTGTGCGATATCGCGCAGGCGATGTTGCTGGGGTATAGGACGTGGCGAAGGTGCTGGTGGATGTGCTGTAGTTGCCCGTGGAGCCGGCGGATGAGGTCGTTGAGTTTCAGCGGTTTTCCTCTCTTCTTTTTGGGCTTCCAGTCTCGGCATTGGGTGCTAAACCTTAATTCTTACCGCACAAAATTCGATGCCCTACCTTATCGTGAAGCAAGGAGATTTCAAGAGGGCAAGGGCAGAACTTGGGATTCGAGCCGCGCTCACCGTTGTCTCCTGAAAATGCCACAACCGTCTGGAGCTTAGGCGTTATCGGGGAAGGGGGACTCTTCGTAAAAGTCCGAAAATGCGCAGAAATTTAATAGTTGGTATTTTAATACCGTTTTTAGTCAAATTTAACTAGATTTCAAGTAGAAAAACTATCTTGAAAACCTAAAAAAGTTAATATCCAAATTTTTGCCTTTTTGGATCGGAAAACACACCTTTGTGTTTTTGCACACAATGAAGCCTAAGCCTAAGCATACACAAGCCCTGAAAACCGCGTTTTCTTACCCTTTGGCCCTCGTTTTCCCGGATTTCCGGGAATTCCATCCAATCCTCTCGATCCCTGCTGCCCCATCGGCCCCTCGGTGCCCCAGACGTAGTTCCGCTTTCCGCGCTCGCCTTGGAGGCCGGCTCTGGAAATTGAAAATTCTTTTTAAGGCCTTTCCAGAGTATTTTGGGCGCTTTTTGCCCTTAAAAGCCTAGAAAAGGCACATTAATGGGTACTGGACGGCTACTTACCTTCCAACCGGCCCTGGTGCTCCCTTCGGGCCAGGTACTCCAACGCCGCCTGGAGCTGATTTTCCCGGGGCGCCTGGCCGTCCATTGCGGCCTCTGTAGCCGCGCGGACCGACCTGTCAAGAGGAAATTTGAGAAACTACCGTAACCCGGTCACCTCTCCCTCATCACCAATCTCTCCATCTTTGCCGTCTTTCGCTGGGGAGCCTGGGGGCTAAAAATCAAAATATTAGGGATAGACGGGGTGGACCTACGCCTCGATCCCCCTTCTCGCCGGGGAGTCCAGGGGGTCCGGGTGGTCCAACGGGTCCTTCTGGTCCAGCGGGACAGATAATGCATTTCTGCTCAATGCCTGGAATTTCGTATGATTTCTCTCTCTCTCTCTCTCTCTCTCTCTCTCTCTCTCGCTCTTGCTCTGAAATAACTTGCCATCCAACTGATCCCTAGCGTCTTCTCCTCTCCTTCCAACCTTCCCCTCTCGTCCCATTCCACCATCAACACCATCCTCTCCTGAAAAATTAGGGTATCTTGTACCGTTAACTCCATAATTAAATCTACCAAAAACTGGTATATTTGATATACAAAAATGCACGAATTACGATATTAATAATACCCTGTGGTCCAGGCCGTCCCGGTCGACACTTGATCCATGCCCTCCTCTTCTCGATCGGATGCCACTCGGGCAGATCGTCGACAAGGCTCTCTAGCGAGGAGGCGCGCTTCTAAATTGTTTGATTTTTGATGTCACCATCCCCCTAAAAATACTGATAGAAGGCGCGCGTGAACGCGGCGCGGGCGCGTTGCGTGCCCCAGCTGTTACAAGAAAACGCCTAGGCGAGGGTTTTTTCGTCGAATTTTCGTTGTTCCGCCCCTTTTTTACAGCGTAACGTCCAGCGTATACGTCTTTTGGCGCGTTGCGTAGTTGTCAAATGCTGGTCGATAACGGGGGTCGATTCGCGCATTCCAGAGCGGGTTCATAGGTTTATTCTCAGTATGCGCTGCGTATTTAGGCGCGTTGCGTAGCGGTCTGGACCTAGTCCATGGCAAGGCTTGATTACCAGTCCCTTTCTATAGCTTCAATAGAAATATCTCGCCTGTAGTGTGCGAATCCGCATGGATAGATCGCCTCCGTCGCTGAACAACAGTGGCAGCAGGGCCAGCTGCACGAGAATGCAACCCAATCCAACGAATACTACACCCACAAAACCCGGGTGATACATCGCTAAAATTGAGTTTTACGAAAGGAAATTTTCGTTGTTTTTGGTTTTTCTTTGTAAAATCCGCACAAAAAACGGGCTACGTTTTCGAGGAATTAAAATAAAATAGAAATCTGACGCATTTTGGTCTAAATTAGAAAGAATTAACGGATAAGTTGGGATCTAGAGCAAAGAGAAAACGCGGACGTCAGTTTCGGCGTGCGCGGAAACTATTTCTCGGCCAAAATTGGGTCAGCTATCTTCACTTTCCCGGCCCCCCAAAAAACCAGCTCCCGGCTGATCAGGGGCTGGAAAAAGCTTGGGAAGGTTCCAGATTCTAGCGGCTTCTATGCGAAACTTTCGCAAACTAGGGAAATCTTTCAACTCGGCATCGAATTGATCATGTTTGATATGTCATTTGACGGACCGTGACGAGCTGATTACGAATCTGCAAAAAATGAACGGGAGCTCCACACGGGAAAAAGTTATGAGGCTTCAAAGTTGGAAAAATGCTCGAAAACGGTACCTTTAAGAGCCTTGTAGAAATTTGAGAAGCAAAGTTTAGAAAAAGTTAGATAGTGCATCTTGTTCAGCAGAAAACGCGCTTTCGAACGAGCTATAAAAGATAAGGTTGACAAAAATTTCTAGGCTACACTAGCTTTTGAAGCGCCCGTTTCCTGGGGAATGACCCGAAAACTGGAAATAAAAGCTTGCGAATGGTAGTAAAGTAAAAAACGCCGAAATCCTAGCCGTTCTACAGCCATTTCGCATTCTAACCGCATAAAAAACTGAAGCTGCCTCTACAATGAAAAATTCTACTTTTCACCAGCTAAAAATGGCCCGACTAGAGACAAAACTATCGACATCCTTCAGGCTTTAGCAAGGCTTGCAAAGCCGCCAGCGTACGCCACATCGCTTCCAAGCCGCGTGACGAAGCATACGAAGCCCCCGGAGCTTCAAATCAGACAAAGCCAACATTTTCCAAGACCAAGCCAGCATATCTGGGGATTCACTGGGTCAGTTTCACGTTTCCAAGCAAACAACTTTATGACATCAAAATATACGCGAAAAGAAGAAGAACAGAGAACATTCGAAGCTACCCGCGCAAAGAAACCACAACAACCAAAAGGAATCAATCGAAAAGCTAACATATTCTGGTAAGTTATTGACGACGGGGCACGGCGTCGACGGACGGCCGCCGGCGCCGCTCATTCCTGCTTCCAGCCGCGAGCCTGAAAAAGACGAAATAAAACGGTTAAAAGTATGCACGTTTAGATACGCTTGGCAAAAATCAGATTAAGTGTTTTTGTGAATTTTTGATAAAATTTAGCCATGAGAAAATGCTAGAAATTTGAAATTTTGACCGAGAAACCGATTTTTTTCGGCACCTTTTCATCAGGTTCTTTCGCAGTATCGGGGGGGGGACCTTACTTTTACCTTTCGTTATGTTTTGTGTTTTGAAGCACAAAATTCGTAGTTTTAACGTTTCGGAATAGTAAAAAAACCATTTAGAAAAATTGATCCTAAGAAAAAGTTGGTCCCCCGATAATGCGAAAGAATATTAAAAGATGAGCAAAAACGCCTCCTAATGCTTTGTTAGGAAAATTCTAAGAAGTTCTAAGAAAAAAAGATTTGTTTCCGCCCCAGCCAAAACAAAACAAATTAAATATAAGCTTTAAAAAACTAGAAAATTAGAAAATCCAAACCTTGATGAGGGCCTCGATGACGGCGGCCTGGTCGACGAGGCCGACCTTCCGGTAGTACTCGAGCCATTTGTGCGCGTCGTCGGGTTGCGGCCCGTATTTATCCTGCAAAAAAATCAGATAAAATGAACCGTGCATAAGATTCCTCACCGCTGGCGGGTCGTAGAAATTGAGCGCGACCGGTTGCATGTCGTTCAGCCACGGCTGCAGGATGGCACGTTCTGGAAAACACGATGTTTTGGACAAATGAAATCCACGAAAAGGTTCTTTGGCATTATCGGTGAGGGGGGCGAATTTTAACTATATTTGACGTGGAACAACCAATAAGACTACTTCGAAAAATGTTAAAACTTTTGGAATTTGGTCGCAAATTAGATTTTTGTATTTTCCTTTTGGATAAGTCTGAAAAGGCCTGGGCTGGTACCCAGATGACATTTACACGCGTGTAAACAGCCCAAAATTTACACGCGTGTAAAATATTTACACCTCGGATTTACACGCGTGTAAATAGTTTACACGCGTGTTTTTGGGATTTACACTCGTGATTTTGCACTTTTAGAGGGTTTTGGTGCCGGAAAATGCGTTTACACGCGTGTAAAAATATTTACACTCGTGTATTTTGGATTCAAGCCCCATTTTTTGAAAAAACATCGATATGAAGGAAAGAATACATAAAATAAGATGTTGTCACTTGAAAATTTGCCGTTTCGTGGGCTTGCGAAGGATGTAAAAATTATTCCGATCCGATTCTCTTATGCGAAAATACAAGGAGATTGATTTTTTCGCATCCGGACTGTTCGAGAAAAATCCCGTTGATTTGATGAAGTATATTTAGTTAAGGTTTAGTCGATTGATTAAAAATCAAATTCGGGAGTGCAAAAATCATTGGCTCAAAATATGGGCTCGCGTGTAAATTTTACCCCATAAGTTTACACCTGGGAGAGTAGTGTAAATCGGTCAAAAAACGACCTCCACAAGAACGATCCTGGAAAAATTTCTAGGGTACCTAGCAAGCCACAATTTTTTTCACTAATAGGTGGGACCTGTCGCTACCCCCTCTCGTTTTCATGTTCACAAAAAGTTGGCTCTACAATTTTCTCGAGCTCTTCAAAGTTGGAGTGTAAATTTAGGCCGCTCGCGTGTAAATTTTTTGCTTTTTTTCGTCATTTCTGCAAAAACCCCGTTTTTTTACACGCGTGTAAACTTTTTTACACGTGTGTAAATATTTTTACACTCGTGTAAACTTTTTTACACGCGTGTTTTTGATTCCTTAATAAATTTGTTAAGGAAATTTGCTAAATTACACGCGTGTAAATATTTTTACACGCGTGTGAATTTTTTTACACGCGTGTAAAATTTTTTACACGCGTGTATAAATTTCACGGGTGTAAATTTGATCTGGGTACCAGCCCTGGTATCTTAATAAAAAGCATTTTCGCAACCAGTTAGTGAAATAAAACTATATCATAACTAGAAAAACTATCTCAAAAATTTGAAACCCTCTCAAAAATTAAAAATTTGGGCAAAAAACAGACTATTTTTGGTTGAAAAGGATATTGCTTGGGTTTTTAGTAACATTTTCAAAAGTTTTTACCGTTCGCTATTTATATTTTTAAAATGGAATTTTAAAAAATTCGTCCACCCCCGATAATGCAAAAGATCCAGAATAAATCCTAACAAAAGCCAAAAACTCACGCTGCACTGGCGAGGCGTCGGCGCTGTTGTCTTCATCGCCATTCGGCGCGACGGTCTCGAAGGCCAACTGCTCGGCGGTCGGGGGGCACGGCTTGTCGGAAGCCTAAAAAAGAAATTTTCCACCAGAAACCAAAATCATACCGCCCTTTGACAAATCCGCTTGGCGTGCTTGATCTCGTCGGCGCTGCCGGTGATGCTGAAGACGCGGTACGGCTTGTTCTCCTCGTCAATTCCACCAGCCAGACGGATCTCGGCGCCCGTCACGGCTTTCATCTAAACGAAATATATATCTTCTGAAAATTGCCAACAGAAAAGCGGGTTTCTTTTTCAGTATCGGTGGGGGAAACCAATTTTTTGGGGTAATTTACAGCACTGAAATAAGAAGGAATTTAGTCAGATTTTATGCGGAAAACCCCGGGAAATTTGAAAAAGAAATAGATGCAAAATTGACCATGTTAGATCGAAAATGGACAATTGGCTACTTTAATAAATTTAATTTTACATCTTATATACATTTTACAATAATTTTAATAATTGTAGTCTTCTGACGACAAGTGGAAAACTCTGTTTACAAAAATGCCTTCCGCATTATCCCATTTTATAAAGTCTATTTAAAATCTAGGAAAACCAGGTCACCCCGATACTGAAAAGCACCAAAAACAAAATTTTAAAAGTGAAAACGTACCGACGGGATGGCGCGGACGAACTGGACGACTCGTTCGGAGGGGATCTCGACGAACAGCTGCTGCTCGGTGCCGATTTGGCTGCTGCGAGAGCGCTCCTTGCAAAATTGGTGGAAGGCCGACGTTGCCTAGACAGGGAATTTTGCATGCAATTAAAGACATACCTTTTCAAGACTGGCTTCGCTCTGCGACCATACGTGCGCGATGCGCTCGGCGCCGCCGCATCCGCTTTCTAAAAAAATAATGCATTAGTTGCTAAATTTGTTCGCATTATCGGGGAAACAAATTTTTTCTAAGCACGCAATTTTTCAGATATAAATAGGGGAGACGTTAAGCCCAAAAACTTTACAAATTTTCGTGTAATACACACAAAATGAAGCTTTTAGGCCAAACTCTCAACTAAAAAAATTTCCACCTTTTTAATTGTTTCCATTCAAAGAATAGTTAAATTTGCTGAAAATCATTAAAACATACTATTACGTTAGTGAGCGTTTCTGAACTTATAGAAAAAAAAGTTGTTTCACCCCCGATAATCGAAAGAACCCAAAATTAAAAAGCAAAATCGCCTTCGAAATTGCAAAAAGATCAAATATTGACCGTTTTTTTTGGTAGAGCAACAATGCATTAAAAATAGCGAAAATCAGTACCATTCTCCTTGATGACCATCTTGCTGTTGGCGTCGGCGACGATCCGTCTCAACATCGCCCCCACGGTCTCGATCACCGGCCCGAATTCGTCCTGCGGTACCGGAATCTGAAAAAAACGATATGCAAAAAATTTAGCGATTCCCTTACCTGGCGGTAGAAGTCGTATCCGGGCGGGATGGCCGGGTCGCTGACGGTGTTGCACGGGCGGCCCTGGGCTGGTGGTTGTGGGGCCGGCTGCTGTGTTGGCTGCGGTGGCGGCGACGGCTGCGCTTCTCCCCCGGCCGCGCTCAGCACTTGAAAGATCGCCTGCTTCGCGTCGGCAATCTGCAAAAAGTCAGAAATCAAATGCACAATTTGGAGAGATGCGGTTCCTTATTTTTCCCTTTCACGAAAAGCCATATTTTCCGCATAGTTTTTCGTAGATCAAATTCGAAAAAATACGTAATAATTTTTCTGACAATCGGATTTTGTCAAATACAAAATAGTGAAAGCTTTTATAAATGCTTTTTTTACGATCCTAAACGCAAAACAAGCTTAAAATTATTGAGAAACACAAAAAACATCAATGTTTGATCAAAAATGCCCGTTTTTGACGAAACCCCGACTTTTTAAAAGTTTTTAGAAAGTTTTTTTTTGACAATTACAATACTTTGGATTCAGGAAATAAGCAATTTTAGATAAGCCCCCCCCCGCCCGCTAATGCAAAAGAACCAGCTTTCGAAAAAAAAAATTGAAAAAAGTCATTTTCGGAACTACCCGTTTCGAAAAGCTACATAGAAATCTAAGAACGCGTCAAAAATGGAAAAAAATTACCTCCTGATCGGTGCCGACAATTCTGCACTGCACCTCGCCTTGGCGTCGCGCCTGATCGGTCGTTTGCACGTCGATTTGGGCGCCGGTACGGGCCTAAAAAACAATTTGTGAAACTTTTTAAATAAATACCTTGATGTCCTTGATTGTAGCTCCTCGTGTGCCGATGACGCGTGGCACCTTGTCGGCCGGCAACGTCAGCCAGGCCACCGCTCTGCGCCTTGAAATCTAAATAGCAAAAATAGACACCCGGGGGACAAAATTTTTTCATTAGAACAAATTTTTCCAATCATATAAATAGAGAAAGAGTTCTCAAATGTTTTTTACGACCAATTTTGTGTTTTGAGTGTTTTTACATTGTTTTTAGTAAGTTTTAACTATATTTAAAGTGGCAAACTTTCAAAAAGTCGAAAATTTGGTCATTTTGAGTCGAAAAGAAATCAATTTTTCGACCTAAAATTAACGTTTTTAAGTAAAATTTGTGTCGGTTTTATGCCTAGGAATCGCTAAAAACAATTAGAAGTGCATCCGTCATTTACAAAAAAAATTAGACTTGTGACAAAAAAGTTGCGAGGAAAATTTAAATTTCACTAAAAACGCCACTAAAATGCCTCCGTTACGCTGAAAAATCCTTCTGGACACGGGCAAAAAATTCGTGATTGCGAAAGCTTTAAAAACCCAACAAAATGCACACCTCAGCAATCATCGGCCTGGCCAGCTCGATGGCGCACACGGGCCCTTGCAGCGTGACCTCGCGCAGCTCGGGCGCATCGGCGCAATTGTCTTTTTCGACCTAAAATGAAATTCAGGGAAATCCAACAAATTCCTTACGTGAATTCTACTCAGCCCGCACTCCTTCTCGATGCGCCGAATCGTCTCGCCGCGCGTGCCGATCAGCAGCCCGACGCTGTGGCCGGGGATACGCAGCTTCACGGAAGTGATCGGGGCCACGGATCCGGTCGACATTGTCAGTTCCTCGTATTCGGCTGCCATACCTGAAAAAAGGAATTCGAGATAGCTGATGAAAACGGAAAACACTCAAATCGAAGAGAAAAACAAAACAACGGAAAACCCTCACTCGCAACGTAAAAGCGACGGTAAAAATTCGAGTAGATGCCCTACGTTTTCAAATCTGCTATAATCCCCCCAAAAATCTAGTTTTGGAATCGATAGCAGCGACACAAAAGAAGAAGAAGAAAAGAAGGCGAAAGAAAATGCACAAAAATGGGTAAAACCCAAGGGTTTGTTACGGGACAAAGCTTTTCGTTAGTTTCGGTTGTCAAACTCGGCGACAAACATTAAACCGAATCATGAAAGTTATAAATAACGTTTTTTCGTACTCAGCGCAAAAAACTAGCCCGGAAAGATGCACTTTTGGCCATATAAAATTGGGTGCAGCAAACCTGAATAGCGCCGATGCTTTTCAGATTGCCATTAGTTCTATAAAAAGGGTTTTACTCGAAGCTACTCCAAGTTAAGTTAAGCTCGAAGTTAACTAGTTGTCTCTTTTAGCAAAAGAAAAGCTGCAGTTCTTCCTAGTTGTTTTGTAATCATAAAGCGTCAAGTAGCGAAAACACGAAGTTGCCGATAATTGGGAGGCCAAACTAAGTTAGAGAGCAAATTCGAAAGAAAAAGTTTACGATTTCATCGATCGCTTAATTCATATATTTTTAAAAACCTAATTAATTAATTTTCAAAAAGATTAAAAATAAAAGAAATTTTTTTAATAATTTCCAGCTTTTCAGTCGCGGAAAACGCAAAGCCGCACGAATCAGCGGCGTTCGGAGGAGTGCGGCGGTCATCCTAGTCCAGAAAGCTCCAAAAATGTCTACTAGTAGCGTAAAAGTAAGATTTGATAGGGTTTTTAGCAGATTTTAACGATATTTTAACTGAAAAACAATTAAAAACACCTTAAAATGTTTCTATTTCAGATTCCGTTCGAAAATCGGCCATTCGTGCGCGAAAAATCGATATTTTCTCATTTTTTAATCCAAAGTCTAAAACTTTTTACGCTTTCGAACAGTCAGAAAACAGTTTAGTAACTTTTCTCTGTTTATATTAGAAAGATAGGGCCTTGGAAAAAAGTTGATCCCAAGATAATTTGTAGTGCTCGGTTAGCAAAGCGCCCGCGGGCGCGCCCGAAAACCCAAAGCGCCCGCGAGCGCGCCCGAACTGGACCCTTTTGCGCCCCGGGCGCAATTTTTGCAAAAGGGCGCAAAACCGCTCGGGGCGCAAAAAGCGCCCATGGGCGCAACTAGGGGCGCGCTCGCGGGCGCATTTGAATGGTGAACACCTTTCAATTCTGCGAAAAAACGGCTAAGTTCCTGGCTTATGCACTTATTTTTGTTCAAAATATATATAAATTAGCACAAACGTTACTAGATTTGCTTGGTTATCGTCGTCGAATGTAGGATACAATACTTTGAAGCGCCATGGCGCTGGTAACGAAGGTAAAGTTTTGCTACGGAACCAGTCCCTTCAAAAAACTTTAAAAATACTTTAAATTCAGATTTATAGATTCTCGATTTATATGAGCCGACCTTTCAGACGATCATGGTCATCATTGCAAATGCGAAGCGCGACGTTTCCGGTATCTTTGGGCGGAGGTGCAAAGTAAGTCGGCAAGAAGCAAGTCAAAGCAAGTTTTCAGGAAGCGGGAACAAAGTAAGTGCTAATTACGAAGTTTATAAAGGAAATTATGTAATTAGCTATACTTTTAGGGGCCATCTATCGCGCATTCGAACGTATCGGTAAGTTCTAAACGAAGCTAAAGCCAAAAAAAGCAAAAAAAAACATATTTCAGGTGCGCAGTACGACCATTTTCTCAGGGAACGTGAAGATCTACATTAAGTATAGGGTACAGCATCGCCAAAAGCGATGTAGTGCCCTTTTTTAAATAATAAAAGCATTAAAAGAACCCGTCCTACGCCGTTGCGACGCGATTGGGGCGCGCCCGCGGGCGCTTTCGAGTTTCGGGCGCGCTCGCGGGCGCTTTTGGCCATTGCGCCCGAGGGCGCGCCCGTGAGCGCGCCCGCGGGCGCAATTTCGGGCGCGCCCGCGGGCGCTTTACTAACCGAGTGCTGAAGGTTTGCGAATTTCCGGTTTTGTCCGTGTTTTCAAAGTGTGTAGTGGATACTGTAAATGTATACTTATTGGTGAAATACATCAATAAACGATTATAGGCAGTGGTTGTAACGGGTACCGCGCAAAAGCAAAAAAACGGTAATTTCCAAAATCTAAAGTTTATTTTGGCCATAAAATTCACTTTTTTATCGCTTTTTTCTCGGTAGTTTTTGATAAATTTTGCCCTTCAAATACCTTTAACTGCTAGAAAATTATTTATGGAAAATTCTATATAGTCTAAATAGTTTAATCAAGATATTCGTTCATCCACTTGGCCAAATCGGGCTGGGGATTGTCGAAGATGGCGATAGCGGTGAAGACGGAGACGATCAATGTGAAGATGACAGGGAGGCACCAACCAACCAAACGGATGATGAAACGAAGCCACGAGGCATCCGCTCGGATCTCTCGCTTTCTCTGCGTCTCTTCACCCTCTTCTGGGTCGTAGCCGAGGGTTTCTCCTTCCGCCCAGAGTTCAAAGCCGGTACGGAAGAGGCCAGCCGTTGTTAGGATTAATACCCACAGGGCGTAGACGGCTGGAAATGGGATAGCTAGCAGCGAGTCTTGGGGAGAAAAAGTGAGAGAGACGGGAAGAGCGAGAGAGAGGAGAGAGAGAGAGAGAGAGAGAGCGAGCGAGAGAGAGAAAACGAAAGAGAGAGTGCGAGAGAGATAGAAAAGGGAGAGAGAGAACGAAAGAGAGAGTGTGAGAGAAAGATAAAAGAGGGAGAGTGAGAGAGAGAGAGAGAGAGAGAGAGAGAGAGAGAGAGAGAGAACCAACTCACCAATAGTTGGAGTAGAATCGAAATCAACTGGCATTTCTTCGTTTAGGATAGCACCAAGGAGCAGCTGAGACAACAGCGCGAGTAGTGTCAAACGGACGGAAAGCGCAGATGCTGGCAACCACGCCAGCATAGCTGATAGGCTAAAAATGAAAAATTCAGCTAAAATGACCGGCGAAAAACCGATTACGCCATGTAAACCCACATTGCGACGAGGTGAATCGGAACAAGTAGACATGGCGCGTACAGGGGACTGTTCCGTTGGAGAAGCATGTTGAATGAGATGACGGAACGGGTTAGGTGGAGGGGGATTCTGGAAAAAAAATGGAATAGAATTAGCTACTGTACCCCGATCGTTGGACCGTTCGACATCTCCAGAATCTGACTATATGACTCTGAGCTCCCAAATCCCCCTTTAAGAAGTCTCAAAATTCATAGCTTCGTACTTGGTATCCTTCCGTACAATCCTCGAGCCGAGCAGCAACATGTCGGTCGCATTTGTGGCCAACAGCTTGAACGGGCCGGCCGTTAGATCGTCCTGAAACAATGATATACTAGCCTAATCTGTAGATTTTTCCGCCTTATAAAATTCATATAATCAAAATTCCTAACCGGATTTTCCTTTTTGTAGCCCTTCCTCCCGTCGGCCAGCTTTGGATTCGCAGAGAATTGTATCCTAAAAATGGTTTTTTAAGGAACTGGGCAGTCAGAATTTGGGGAGCCTAATAATAGCCATTACAGCGCACTTTTGGAATTTCGAAAACCCTGAAAATTGGATTTTAAAGGGACTATGAAGTCAGGATTTACGATCCCAAATTTTCTCAAGGCTTCAAGAATCCGAAAAACGTACATATTACTACTGTAGGCGGTGAACATGTTGAACGTGCAGTACTGTAGGTCGTTCGGGAAGTTCCGGGTATCGAAACGGCAGGAAGTCCGCAGAGATACGTCGAACTGGAAGAAAACGTTGTGAATTATGATATTGTATGGACCCTAGGGACCGGCAAAATCAGCGCTTTCCAGCGACTAGGTCTAGACAGCTACGCGGTGCGCTAAATGACGCTCCAAGATGGATTCTAAATGAGGGTCCATCAAGAGTAAAATCCGCTAAAACGTTTTATTTAGCTTATTCCGTAGTTGTCGAGACCTATATGACGGACGGGGGTTGAATTTCGGGTTGCACGTCCCTTTAAAAGGAGCTTGCCGGCTAGCGAATTACCGATACCTGCATCGCCACTTGGCCATTTGAGGCGAACGCGAAGAAGAGGTCATCCCAAGGGGATGGACGAGGACGAGAATTTAATCTAAAAGGGTGAATTTTGAGAGAGAGAGAAAGAGAGAGAGAGAGTGAGAGAGACAGAGAGTGAGTGAGACTCACAATTCCGTAAAGAACAGCTGCGGAACCCAGGGCATTCTGCTGAGCTCGGCACGGCTACGCGAAATTTTGGCAACACCCCCGAAGTCAGTAGGATTCCACGTGATTCGGCTGTCTTTCCAGCGCTGAAAAAGATTGTACGGGTGGCTTAAAAGGCGTGGAAAGTTCCAAAAATCTACCCTGCCTCTGACTAGGTCTCGACAGCTAGGCCTCGCGTCAAGTCACGCAGTCATCTCTATCTTTCTCTCTCTCGCGCTCTCTCGCTCTGTCTCTTACTCTCGCGCGCTCTCAATTTCCCTCTCTCGTACGCTCGCGCCCTCTATTTTCCCTCTCTTTTTTAAAGGGGATCGATCTCGCCTTTTGTAGCCACTTTAAAGGGACGTTGAAGGCAAATCTTCACGAAATTCCCACCATAAACATTGATCCGTGCATCGTCAATGTCTGTGTCACGTCATCCTAGAAATTTCTTAGTCTCACGAATTCCATAAAATCGACCATAGCCTCTAGATGCGAAATCATCAGATAGGAAGCGATGCTCGTCGGCGTGTCGCCCCACGTCTTCGGGCGGTACGTCGGCGCCCCGAACGTAAGATTGATGATCCTGCAAAAATCTGAATTTTCCAGGACGTAATGATGGTTTTTCCACGTTTTTAGTGATAGTTGTTTGTTATTGAATTTTAAGTCGACTCTATCTTCCGTACTTGTCCTCGAAAACCCGATTCTTCGCGAAATCGTCGGCATTCGGGGAGAGGACGAAGCTGACAATGGCGCCGAATATCGTGTCGAGGGAGGCCATCCCTAAAAACTTATCAAAAGGTTCGCACTGGCGGACGAGAGATGAACAGAGATAACGAGAGCGTATTTCCGTGATTTCCAAAAAAATTCTCTGCGAGCCTACCCCGTCACTCGGCGAAGATAAATCACAAAAAGCGCAAAAAGCCTACGACACTCGGGATTCCCAAGCCGTCTCCGATCCAAGTACTAACCGAGCCCAACGTTGCTTAACTTGGCAGATCGGACGGGATGCCGTGCTTTCAACGTGGTATGGTCGTAGGCGGGAGTTGGAACAGAGGAAGCATAGAAGAGACTGTCGAGCTGCGGGGGTGGCTACCCAAACTGTCTTGGACCCCTCTCCCCTCCCTCCGTCCGCCTACGACCATACCACGTTGAAAGCACGGCATCCCGTCCGATCTGCCAAGTTAAGCAACGTTGGGCTCGGTTAGTACTTGGATCGGAGACGGCTTGGGAATCCCGAGTGTCGTAGGCTTTTTGCAATTTTCTATGCTCAATTATGGCTTTTAATTCAATTCTATATTTTTGCAAAGGTATGATTATAATTAAAGCGAAGTAGTAAGCAAAATGGCAATGATTTCCGAGTGATTGATCGGTTACGTACAGTGCCGATCGTTTTGCCCCCTGTCCTGTGTTGTTTATAGGGTGTAATCGGAGACCGTAGCGCGATGCTGAGCGCTCGACTGCAGGAAAGACATGGTTTATTCGATCAATGATGAGATTGATAGCCTATTAAAAAATGACAATGATACTTCAAATATCCACATCCCGATCGGTAGCCGTTATCGTATCCAGCGCGATCAGGACCTCTTCGGCTGGTTCGCCGGTCTGAAAATGACATGCTATATTTAAGGATCTAAAAATATCTATTAATCTAACCTAAAATTTAAATAATTTTTTTTGGTATTTTTATAAGAATGGCGCATTAAATTGAACTATTTATCTCACCTTATTTCCATTCGAAAACACGCAATTCGTCGGTGGATCTCGAAGTTGGCGGCGTCGCGGGCAGACGGCCCACCTGAAAACCAGGGTTTTTTCTCTCTTTCTCTCTCTCTTTTTCTCTCTTTCTCTCTCTTTCCCTACTTTAAGGTATAGAAATCATAAATTTTGTCAAAACCCACGAAAACATAGACCGGAACGCATCCCGAAAACCCTCATTCACAAGCGCGTAGATTAACGGGTTGAGGCAGGCCGAAGAAATGCCGACAACATGGCAGATTAGGTATCTAAAGGTATCAATATCTCTCTGTCTCACTCTCTCTCTCTCTTTCTCTCTCTCTCTCCCGCTCTCTCTCCATTCATCTCTCTTTCCCTGATTTAAACATACTGTAATTGCGAAAAGTTGATCCACCCGATTCCGCTCAACAAGTGATAAATATTGATAGGGGCCCACGCCACCGCGTAGGTGAGCACGAGCACAACGAGGAGCAGCATCGCTTTCCTAGAAATTACCGAAATTTTGTGTCATTTTTTCTGCTTTCGTGAACACGGATTCAACCTTTCGTAAACTTTAGAGCCATTTTAGTTTCATGTTCAAAACTCTGAAAAACGTGCAACGATACAGGTTCAATAATGCATAAAACAGGGCAAAAACAGCCAAGCTTCCTACCGATTTTTTTGCTGCATCAGCGATCTTCTGCGACTATCGGCTGGCCGTGTCAATTCGCTACGTCTCCTAAAAAATCCGCATTTCTATAGCATTTTCGGTTGCTCTTACCGTATCGTCGACCCGATTTTCATGTACGCATACAGTAGGGCGGCCAATGGAAGGATGTACTGTACGGCCAGCACTGGAAAAATATAGTTATTTTGGCTTCAATCGGCCCTTAAAGCGCACGTTCAGGGAGGGGCCGTATACTCTGTCCAACGTGTACACCCTATGGAAGTAGGGACCGCGCGCACTGCCTGCCCGTGGCGTCGGAGGCCATTTCTCCCTCCTTTGCGGCATGGGCGCCCCTTCCCCCCTCGCCAGGTTGTAGCTATGGCTGACTGGTATCCATCCGCGCCTCCCGAGCGGGGGGCCCGGGTTCGACCCCCGGCCGCGGCAAAAGCCTTTGCTTTTTATGCAAAAAAAAACGTCCCTGAACGTGCCCTTTAAAACGCGCTTTTAAGCGCTCCATACATATATATTGTGAGATTTTAAGTTTCATTGGCGGTTGAAACAAAATTTTATGTTTTTAGCAGCGTTTCCGTAACATTCCTTTCACCACCATCTCTCAACGGACTTTTTGAAGTTGTTTTTAGGTTCTGGATCCTAAATATTGTGCCTTCAACGGACCTTTAGTGCAAAAACGCAATTTTTTGCGCTTTCGGAAAATCTTCTGGCCCATCGCTTTAATGCCCCCCCCTTCAAAACCGTTTTCCCTGAATTCCACCACACACCTATCGACGTGTACGCGAGCTTGGAGAACGGCAGGGTCCACTGCTCGTCGCTCTCCCGGCAGATCAACGGCATTTCACGGCCACAGTGGGTCAGCTGCAAAAAGTTATTGAAAAAGGGGCCATTAATTCGGGCGTAACAGTCTCCCCCGCTCCCCTCTGTCACTCTCTCCCGCTTCCCCTCTTTCTCTTTCTCTATCTATATCTCTCTCGCTCTCTCTCTCTCCCTCTCTCTCTCTCACTCCCGCTCTCCTTCTCCCGGTCTCTCTTTCTCTCTCGGTGTGTCTATCGTTCTCTTTCTCTTTCGCTCTCTCTCTCCCGAGCTCTCTCTCTTTCTCTCTCTCTTTCTCTCTCTCTCTCTCTCTCTCTCTCTCTCTCTCTCTCTCCCGCTCTCTCTCCCGCTCTCTCTTTCGCTCTCGCTCTCCCTCTCCCTCTCGCTTTCTCTCTCTCACTCCCGCTCTCTCTCCCTCTCTTTCCCTCTCTCTCTCTCTCTCTCTCTCTCTCTCTCTCTCTCTCTCGTCTCTCTCTCTCTCTCTCTCTCTCGGTCTCTCTCTCCAGATGTCCCACATGGCTCATTAATTAATGCGGGCGGGCCGAGAACGGCACGCAATGGCTTGCAGATGGATCAAAAAAATTCAGATTACGGTAGAGTACTCGTAGTAATGCGTAAAAAAAGCATTTAAATTGACTATAAAACCGTAACCCATTAAGTATTCCATTAATTGTATCTAACAGCTCGATTTTAGCCAGAAATTGAAAATAGTTAGTGCTGAAAACAGCATGAAAAAGCTTACAATGGACTCGGTCGTCGGCAGGCTCCACGGTACGAATCCGGGGCGAACGGCGCTGACTGCGAAGGCGTATGGAACCTAAAAAATGGGTCTCGAGCAAAGATCCGGAACGCGACGTCAGCAAGACGTTTGGTGTTCTGCACCCGGAAATTTTTCCGGTTACTAGGATGCGCAAAAACGGAGCGGAGCGTCAAAGCTGCCAAGACAAAAGGGGAACGAAACTACTAACTGTAAAGTGTTTTTACTCAGGCTGGCGTTTCAGGATGGAATCAAACCTATTTTGTTCAGAATTTTTTGCTGATTCCGAATCCGTTCTCCAAATTTGCTGCGGACTTCGCGTTCAAAAGTCATTTGGGGTCTAAATTAAGCTTAAAAACGGCATAAATTCGGATGCTGGCCCACTAATCCCTGCCTCGGCGCAGGTATTGTTGTGCCCCTTATCTACCCTCCCGAAGCCACTTCCCAGTTGGCACCATGGTGCATTGGTAAGCTGTCTCCTTGCCAAGAACAGGGCGGCGGTTCGAACCCCGCCCTGCACAATTTCTTTTGCTTTTTGCACAAAAACACCTGATTTTTTGCATAAAATCGTGCTTTGACCTCTAAGACCGTTACCGAGCGCGTTCTAACGTCGAAGGTGACGACAACTTAAAAAATAACGCAAAAAACCCGATTTAGTCAATTTTTTTAGTATAAATGTCGAATAACTTTTTAAATAAAGGTTGGCAGCAAATTTGGAAATCAGATTCGGAATCAGCGAAAAATTCTACACAAGATAGGCTTGGTCCCATTCTAAAACGCCAGCCTGAGTAAAAACACTTTACAGTAAGCACTAACCGCCACTAATGCCGAAAGCAGCCAAACAAGCCCGTAGAACAGCAACGGACCGGAGGAGGAGAGGCGCCTAAAAACCCGGAATTTAACTACAAAGAATCCATTTCAATGGAGTATAAAACTCGAGAATGGACCCTTTCATTTGGCCGGGTGTGGACACAGCTCCGCTAAACACCACAAAACGAACCGTGACGCAAGCTAGGCTTATTAGAAATTTCGTAAAATCATGTTATAGAGGGTACAAAAATTATAACGTCAAGAATACCTCCGTCATTTGGCAAGTAGCGTAACTGTCGATACCCAGTCGACTGCGAAGGTCATTTTTTGCGCTTTTTCAAACCTTTAAAAGAAAATTAAAGCCGCTTACCATCGAATCGGACACAACGTCAGCAACGCTCGATCCAACGCTATCAAAGCGAGCGTCAACGAGGAGACGAACGTGTTCAACGCCTGGGTGGCTGCCACCTGGAATTCACGGGTTTTAAATGGACTGGCAAGGCATGGTTACGATTTTTTTTTGCTCTGGCTTTAGTATGGATTTTTCTGCGCTAGCCAAGCGTTGCGCATGTTCCGATTTTTCATTGCGTGACGGATTCATGCCCCCAGGCCCCCCACAGCCGAAGGGTCTCAAAGTTTTCGGTATTTTCGCTTATTTTGTCGGGATTTTTGCAATGCCTTTCGATAGATCGTCGAAAAATATACAAAGGGTTTTAATTTGAGCCTACAAGAACGTAAAATAAAAAGTTATAGCCATAAACTTCCGGCTGGGGGTAAAGTGAAGTAAAGCCAAACATTAAATTTGAAGCACTACCGTAGCTGGCAAATTGCCAAAGCTACAAAACCCACCAATTTACAGGACAAATCGCCGAGTGGCCAGTATAAATTGGCGGATAAATAGAGTGTGGCCGGGGCGGTGAATAGGCACAACGTCAAGTCGGACACGGCCAGGTTGAAGATGAACCTGAAATGGCTCTGATCACCGTCTTCATCGGCAAAAATTTTCGTTAAAACGACGCAATTTTGGCTTCCTATTCGCTTTAAAGCCAGCCGAAAATCCGAATCCATACTTTAATCACGATTTTTTTGATTCAACAACAATAATTCAGAAGCTGCTGACGTATTCCTGATATTCCGTAAAGCCGGCGTCCGTAGAAATGCCATGAAAACGAGCAGATTTGCGAGCCCCCCGAACGAACAGATGACGGCGTACGCGATGACGATGACGTCGGCCTCTGGTTGGCTGCTCCAGTAATGATCGTTCTGAAAAATCCTTTTTACTCGGCATTCTGAACTTTTTAACTTTAACTTGTTAAATTTTCTGAATTTTAGCCTTTTAGAGCATTCAAGAAGTAAAAAATCTTGTGGGCCCTGGATTTTTTATGAGTTTTGATGCGAGAATGGTCCGCAAAATCGACAAATCCCTGTTCGTTTCAAGTACTCGGAAGCTTCGTAATCTACACACCTGAATCTCCTCAATTTCCGAAAAATATTCGCAGCTCATCGTCGTCCATTTTGGGCCCGGATTTGCCATCGGATTCTGAGTGTAGTGGAGAGAGAGAGAGGGAGAGAGAGAGAGTGAGAGAGCGAGAGAGTGAGAGACAGAGAGTGAGAGAGCGAGAGAGTGAGAGACAGAGAGTGAGAGAGCGAGAGAGTGAGAGACAGAGAGTGAGCGAGAGAGGGAGATAGAGAGAGGGCGAGAGAGGGCGAGAGGAAGAGAGAGAGCGAGAGAGAGAGAGAGAGAGAGAGAGAGAGAGAGAGAGAAATAAAATCAAATAAAATCGAGTAACTTTTTTGTGCGGCATATATTCTTGCTCTGAACATCAAAAACCAAGAACTGGTAGATGACCAGCAGTGGGCATACCAAATGCCAAAGAACACCAAGGAATGGCGGCCTTTATAATGGACAAGTATGCTCGTTGAGTATTAACAAGGGGAAGAGGAGAGAGAGAGAGAGAGTGAGAAAGAGAGAGAGAGAGAGAGAGAGAGAGAGAGAGAGAGAGAGAGAGAGAGAGAGTATGACCTGATGAGAACGAGTCAGAGATCAACTAGGACATTTTCCGAACCAAATATTTTTTTTGGAGTTTTCCTCTCCCCCTACCCAAAAAAAGTCAGCTGGAACATTAAATCGTTACTAAAAGTTTCAGATTAAACTAATTAAAAGTATCAGTTTTATCTTATTAAACTAAGGGCATACAGGGCCCTTCTAGTTGAGCTAAAAACCACCCAAAATGACCAATGACCGGGTCAGGGCTCAAGTAGTGAGCACGAGAGAGATGAGGACAGAGGGAGAGGACCCTACTGACTGACTGGCAGAATGACCCCACCCTTACATATGGGACCTAAGGGGGAGAGGGACCCCTACGGGACAGCTGACAACTAAACGGACACTAAAGGGCTAGAGAGAGAGAGAGAGAGAGAGAGAGAGAGAGAGAGAGAGAGAGAGAGAGAGAGACTGGCAGAGGAAGACAACCGACACAATCACCACTTACACACACCACGACTAGCCGACTCACTGAGTCATTAAGCTCGTGAGGACGAGGGCCAATTTTTGGTCCGATTGTGAGCTCGAGTCTCGGTTTTCGGGTCAAAAACATGATAGGGAAAGCACAAGGGAGAATCTGTCTTCAACGGTCCTTTAAAGTATACATGGGTCGACGCTTATGCGGCGCTTTATCCGTGCTTTTTCACGCGCGCAATTTAACTACAGATGCAAATCAAAAATTCAGAGGACAGATATCTATGATTTCGATTTGCTAAAATGAATCACCGAAACATAACTATCACGTTCCTCTCTGAAAATTTAATAGCTAAACATCCTAGATAGTCATTGAACTTTTTGTTACTTGGCTTCTTGAAAATGATCGATTTTTACGTTCATGTCCCTTGGAAAACTTTGATTTTGCATTTTTAGAAACTCTGCATAAGCGTTTCCGGAGCGTGGCGGGCCACGCTCATTTTGGCGTGGTTTATTAAGAGCCACGCTTATGCGGCGCATGCAAGCGTCGACCCATGTATACTTTAAAGGGACTGAAAAGCCAAATATTTGAGATAAAAATCCATTTTTTTCGGGGAAAATCTACTTCTTTGGACGGCTTGAATTATATGTCGTAACGCCCTGTAAGGCGATCCGTTCTTAAATCTTAGTGATTACTAGCCGATTTTCGATACGCGAAAGAGCTAAATTGGTCAAAATCACTTTTTATTTCCTAGCACTTCCGAATTAGCAAATTCATGCATTTTCATTTTCAAGTATTTTTGTATTTTTATGTCCTACGCTTCCTTCCGTTTATATCTACGCTCAATAAATCGCGGAATTAATTCGTTGATCCACCGCGGTATTTTATTTGGTGATGAACAGGAACCAGACTTATTGCGTCAAGGTTGCAAAAGACACCATCGTAAAGCTTCATCTTAGTGTGTGAATGGGCTGCGTTAAAACCCGCGTCGACCAGACCGCAATCACCATGCATATGCTGAAAATAGGTGCGTAAAAGAATTCTTCTTGAAATTTTCTAGCAGTAAAAAAATGGGATACCAGTCCTTAAACGACAATACGGTAAGGGTCGCTTAACGGGGGTGGAAGTAATGACGGGGGTGAAAACCATGATTCCCCTATACTATACATGTCGTGTTAAAGGTACACTAAAGTCTGGTTGGTTTGGTTACCGGCCGTAACCGTCCGCGGGATAGCACACAAGGTTACGGTAGGTGCCCGCCGCGGAGCAAAACCGAACCCGCGCCACTCGCCTGGGGCAAGCGCCTTGGACCAATAGGCCATGGGACAGACGGCACAGGGTAAAGGGAAGGGGTATAAGAAGGGTCCGGTTCGGATACAGCGTCCAAAAACATACTAAGAGAATTAATTTTGGCCCGAAATAACGTATTATCAAATTAGTTATTGAAAAAAACAAAATCATCGGCTGGCCATGAGTTAAAAACCATAAGGTGATCATCAATTTCGACCTTTTCAGCTTTTTCGCCGGGTTTTCATTAGTGCCATCGGATAGAGCATCGAAAATTATACTAGGAGATTTGTTTTCAGCCCGAAATAACACAATTTAAAATTATTACTTTATTAAAATAAAAAGTTTAATCAATTAAAAATCGTTAAAATTAGGTTTTTTGGACTGAAATTAAACCTCTAAATATAATTTTCGACGCTCTATTCGATGGCCTTTTCAAAATAGCATGATATTCTTTATAAATACAAAAACTGTGTCCACTTGTTATTTGTCCCGCCCCCCGTTAAGCGACCTTTACCCAACAATACCTCGCGCCCATAATTTCCACCAGGTCGCAGCCGGTCGCGGGAATAAATTCCCACCACGGCCATCGGAACCCTATTGGGCTAACGAATTGCAAGAACAGCGTCCTGACGGCCATGGCGAGTAGCGCAAAGGTGTTGGCGATTGTCAACTATTCAGCGTTAAATAATTAAGAAAACACGATAGTTCCCCTTACCCATACCATGAAGCCGGGCAAGACACGAACCCTCTCTTCTGAGCTGGCCGCTACCTTAATTCACCTTTTTTGCGATCAAATCGAGCCAAAATCACTTTTTGGCGCGCCAGCCAGGTGGCGGCGGCGCTGAAAGCGAAAGTAAGCACACATGAATGTTCGTGAAAAATTGTGTAGAAGAGTTCATTTCGCGGCCCTTCATAATTGTAGAAAACGTCCCTAAACAATCAATGACGCTTCTTAAAGCAATGTCTCCTTTTAAATTTCTATTCCTCTAAAGCCCCTGCGTGCCACAGTAGTGCCCGATTTTTCGGATCTAGGTATCTATCGTAAGCTCTCGGAAAAGCGAGTCCAGCGTGCCTTTGCGGTTACTTGGAATCACCAAAAATTTTTCTTACAATTGCCAATATTTTTGCTAAAAGGCCAAGTTTCTGATGATTTTCGAATTTGTGAATTTTCACGCCTTTTCGTTTTCGTGAATTTCCGACGACAACTTTTTGGAAGCCACGTTAACAAAAACACCGTTTGGGTTAGAGTTTAGTTTAACCCCCCCCCCCCCCAGCCCAGCCCCTCAGCCAACCCCATTAAAGACCGTCAGAACTATCAAAATTTCGTTAAAAACAAGAAATTGCGCACCGGGCGGGGGTCGAACCCGCGATGGTTCGCTCCAGAGTCCGACGCGCTAGCCACTATACCACAGGGCCGAGTGCAGAAGGGAGTCAGAGGCGCCCCAAACCCAGAGGGCCTTTGCCCAGTCCGGGGTGCAACTAATGACGCCTCTCTCTGCGCGTTCTTGGGGGCAGCACCCTTGGGGTGACAGTGTGCGTTCAAGAGTTCTAGCAGTCTTTAATGCGTGGAGTGTCTCAATTAGTGCTAATGGAGTTCTCGTATCTCGGCTATCTTTAGTCCGACAGAGCCGTCAATGATATCAAAATGTAGCTTTTGCTCTGGAGAATCAGCCTATAGTAGGTTTGAGACACAAAACTTCGAGAAATGAAAATATTTGAGTTGAAACACCGGGTACACAGTCCTATTGCGACTTCATCTTTTCAACTTTTAAATTCTTGTAAAATTTTTCTAACAAATTTTGACGCACGCAAATAACTTTTCTATAATAATTCGAGCACGGCAAACATTTTGAGAACTCGGCGCATGAATAGGACTTATGGCTGAGGAGCTGGACTGGGAGGGGAGGCGGGGGGGGTGACTGAACCGTAGCCCACAGTTCGACTAGCGTTTAATTGTGTTTTGGCATAAAACGTAGCCCTTTTTGATAAAGGCACTGAAAATCCAGCAAAATTCATGGTTGCCTGCTGGATTCGCCTTTTCAACAGCTCGCGATATATACCTAAAACGTGAAAATCGGACACGTCTGCGGCTTGGGCGGAAGGTGGATTCTTTAGGACATTCTGTATAGATTAAGCTACTGACATGGCCCTCTCGCAATACAGATGCGGATAATAGGCGTACCCGTAGAATGTTAACGGTTGGTCCCACAGGTCTTCACCTAAAAAATCAGCTAAAAAAGATTAGCGACTAACTCTCCCAATTCATCCCAAAACCCAGTCGCGTCAGGTTTCCGAGTGGCGGCAAAATAATTGTCAATAAGACCCAAATAATGCTAAATCTTCGTATGCCTCGGTCATAATTCCCGTCAAAAGCGATCGTGAAGCCTCTAAATCGCTTGGATTGCCCATTAAAGGAGTGGGCAAGGCGGAATTTTGTATTCTCCATGGTGACGCGTTACACAACTAAAAAAAACGCCGGCCATTGAGTGATAGAAGAGATAGAAGTAAAAGTGCTAGAACCCAACTTGGCCGTCCTGTTAATCATACTTTAAAGGGGCCCGGAAGTCAAAATTCACTTGCTCGGGGACTGCCCCTATTGGTCAAAAAACGAAAGGATTGCCGCCAAAAGTGCCAGAAAATTGATTTGGTGGCGAAAGACGGAATTTAATTGAGAAAAACCGCAGTGTTTTCGGTACGTAAACGAAATTTTGAGTGCGCGGCGATTACATGTCGTAATGCCTTGTAAGAGACCCAATTCCTCGATCTCGGTGATTCCCTGAGCAATTTTCATCATTAAAACGTCCAGTATGATCAAAATCCGGTGAGGATTCCAGAAATAACGTCAGATTTTTGAAATTCACGCGTTTTCCCTTACAAACAGGGCTAGAGAACATGCGACGCGGTCGTGTTGCGGCCGCATCTAGCTATTTGCCAGGAATCAACGCTGCGGGCCCTGGACCAGATTTGGGAGGCGCTTTAAAGGGCTGCCGACGGCATGTGTCGATCCCCCCCATCAACAAATTGGCAAGTAGCCAACAGGGGAGAGAGCGCGCCCAGGGGAGAGGCGCAGAGACATTTTCTTTTTCGCGCGTAACCGATTGACGATGCCGTCGGCATCCCTTTAACCCACCTCGCTATGCACATCCCAAATCGCAACAACCAAAACCACTTCTGGACGACGATGTGCATATTGGTGACATAGAGATTTAGGTAGACGTTCGGGTCGTCTTTTTGGCAGAACCAGCTAACATGCAAACGTTTTTAGCGCAAACGGAGTTGTGCAGAATTTTGGTGATTCCAAATCCGGTTTCTGAATCTACGAAGCGACAAGATCAATGAATTTATGAAGCTTTTTAGTGCCAGAATGGCAAAAATTCCTCGAGATTCGGCCAATTTCGGCCTATTTTGCAATAAAAAGCTTCCGAGAGCTGCTTTGAACTTGTCGCTTTGCGGATTCGGGAATCGGGAAAAAATTCTGCACAGTAGGGTTGGGTCCCAGCTGGAAACTCCGTTTTCACTAAAAAAAGTTTCCTTGTTATTTAATTTCTTTTAATAACCCTTGTAAGCTTTGTTAATTGATTTTTTGTTCCATCTCGATAGTATTAAGTTCAAGAATAATTGGTGTTGAATTAAAATTTTAAGAATCAGGGTTAAAAACTTAAAATTACATAAAGAAAAGCAGCGAAAACGACTTTTAACCCTCCCCCCCACACAAAACACAAAAAAACTTACTCCTCGTTGCAGCGATATTGATAAAATCGTACCACTCCGTCGTAGATTGTACCACAAGCATAGGGAATTAGGTAAACACATAGAATTCCGAGAGATCGGCGTCGAATAAAAACTAATACGCATAAAATGGTGGCCGACAACAATTGCAGGGTTCCCACCTGGAATATCCAGGATTTTAGCTGTAGTTTAGGCATCCCCTACCGTCAGTAGGAGAGGCCCAGCTATGGTATCGTCTCCGAGGATATCTTTCCCGAAATGTTTCAGGAAAGATGCTTTGGATATCAGCTGAGATGTATCCTTCAACTCCCGGAAATCACTGCCCATGGCCTCTAAAAACGATCGAAAGTCAAAGAGTTTTGAAAAGGTGATACAGGGTTGTCCTCTGCGTATTTACTTAAAGACAAGTAATGCAGATTATCAAATCGATATTATCATATTATACTCCTAAAAAATTGCCTTCAAAACTTTAAAATTGCTCTTCCATTTGTCCGCCTCAAACCCGGAGAAACCGGCACCGATGCTTACAAAGGAACCCGGTAAGGTCAAGTTGACGTCTAGGGATGCGACCGGGACTATCTTGTGCAGATTTTTTTGCTGACTCCGAACCTGCTTTCAATTTTTGTGAAATACCCCAATTTAAGAAAATAGGGTGTCCCAAAAAGACCGCCCTCTAGCGGTCCGCAGTGTTGTACGATCTTGACGATTTAGGTATCTATCGAAAGCTCTCGACGAGCTGAGGATATATGTTCTTTCCGATTTGTGAAATTCCCAAATTTTGATGACATTTACTAAAATTTTTGCGAAATTAGCTGACTCTTCTATGCTTTTTCCCACGCAAGTGCTTTTAACAAAAACCCCATTTCCAAATTTTTACATCTTTCCTGGAAGCCCAAGATCGGCTTCTTGAAAGGCATTTGAGAACATAGCTTGCAAGGGACTGAAGAATGTATTTTTTTTGCACAAAATTGCGTAATTTACGCCTAAAAAAAATGTTGAAAATCGGGTTAAAAATTTGGGAATTTCACAAATCGGAAAGAACATATATCCTCAGCTCGTCGAGAGCTTTCGATACATACCTAAATCGTAAAAATCGGACATCACTGCGGACCGCTAGAGGGGGTCTTTTTTGGGACACCCTGTATAGCGATTTTAAGTTCGTATTTGAGCGATTTTCTTGTGATATTGCAATCCATTTTTAACAGAGTATCTTGTAGAGATTTTTTCGAATCGAACGGTAAGAAACGGTCACTTATCGGGGGTGAGAATTGGGCTGTTTTCCAACATTTCCCCTACAAAACTCGGGTTATTTGGCAAAAACTGGGGGCGGATTCGGTCAGCGAAAGATTCTGCGCAAAATCGACTAGGCCTCGCACGGAAACGACCGGGTGACCTTAAGTAAAACCTTGTACAGGAACGGAGAAATGCTGTGTGCAAACGCCGATTACCACTCTCGCGGGCCACCCCGTAATTTGTGCAAACTCGACTTGATATTTATGAACGAATCGAAAAAACGGAAAATGAAATGATGTTGAAATCTAATTGGCTAGAAGAATGTTTTCGTTGCCAGTAATTTTAGGGGTTGGCAACCAACAATTAGAAAAGTTTTTCGGTCTTTGAAAATGCTTTCGAAAATCAAACATTTATAATTTGGGCGCGCGCCCACTTTTTCAAATTCAAAAATTCAAAAATCAAACAAAAAACATGTAAATTGGGCGCGTATCTTTATCCTCTGTTACTTGGAGGAATCGACCCTCCTCTTGCCGATGGCGTTTCAGAACTTTGATAAAATCCAAGTTTACAAAGTTAAAGGTTGGGGGTGCGGCAGGGCTAATCTGCATAATTGAAAAAAAATGCAAATTTCCTCGTTTTTGCGAGTTGCACGCGCTTGTGGTGGGGGGTCCGCAGGATCCGAGCTATCGGAAAGTCAAATTTCTCATGCAAAGACCGCATTCCAGCGCCCAAGGCCCGCGAAGCGGGTTTTGGGCGCTGGTTTTTGTGAGTTGAGGTGGGGTCCTCGTTGATTCGTTAGAATTCATGATAATTTCAGCATCGATGACTAGATACGCGCAAAGGATCAAGAATGCCGCCCATCGAATTTTGTGGGCTTTCTTTCTGCCGATGACTCTGGTATGTGGATGCAGCACAGTAGCTTACATGAAAATTGATTTTAGTTGACGTTGCTGTCGCTGCCAATCCACACCTATGCTTTTTTTATCGTTGCGAAGAAGAAGTCGCTAGCGTTCTCAGTCAAATTCCTGATGGCCCTGTTGGCTGTCCTTCGATTGGCCAGCTCAATCTTACGCAGCTTCTTTGCTATGTGCTACCATAAGTATACATTTTGCATAGACTTATGCTTGGGCTTACCATGAATTTGAACGAATACGTTTCAGAATCTCGAAAAACAGAATGTTGAAAGTCAGAAACTAGATTTTCCAGAACCTCGAATTTTTTAGAATCTCGGAATATGCCTATGCTGGATTCAGGGCGTTGGCGTGCAATTTTCGGAGCCTTGAAAGGTACCTTCAACTCTCGTTCTGACCCACTATTCAGTGGCGAGAATTTGCCTCTTGGGTGGCCGGGCACACGGACCCGACATCTCTCCCATGGCCGAGTGGTCTATGGCGCTTGCCCCAGGGCGAGTGGTGCGGGTTCGGTTTTGCCGGAGTTCGAGCAACTACCGTAACCGCGTGCTAAAGTGCTTACCATTTCAAGACCTTAAAAACGAGAGAGGAATGTCCCTTTAATGCTGATTTAGACCGTGGAAGTTTCGAGATTCTAAAATTAGAGATTGTGATAATTCCAGGTTCGGAAAATTCGAGATTCTGAAAATTCGAGATTCTGATTTTGGAGATTTTGACAGATCCCCCCCCACGTGAGGGGGTAGCAGTCCGATACGCAATTAAGAAACGCGTGCGTTGCTTGTGTTGGGGGCGCAGCTTAGGCCTCATTCCAGATTTTTTTGCAGAAGCAATTGCTGGCTTGGGCCACCGACAATACCCGGCTACTGGGGCTTTCCAACCGTCACAAATTTGTTCGTCATCCCGCTGTACCAAATCTCGAATAGATGGATGGTGTTTCTGGAACTCGGACTTTCCGTTAATAGGTATACCCCGTACTTTGCGTATTTGGGCTACACTTTGCTCTGCCCCCCCCCCCCGGTCGGAAGATTTTGGCTATAACTTTTTTATTTTACATTATTGTAGGCTCAAATTAAAACACTTAGTATATTTTTCGACGCTCTATCGAAGGGCGTTGCAAAAATCCCGACAAAATAAGCGAAAATACCGAAAACTTTGAGACGCTTCGGCTGTAGGGGGGGGGGGGATAATGTAAAGTCTTACCCGTATTTTTTGCCCGCCAGGTTTCTCGCCTTGTTCTTTGATGGTATGTACTACCACAGCATTCAAAAGCTCACATTTCCACTGGCGATCTCCTCATTCCTAATGACGACAGCACCATATGCCATCGTCGTGCACCGAAAAAGAGTACGAGTTGGGGACTATAACGAACCAGTGTGGTATGGTGAATATGTGAATGCCAACCTCGAATTGAGTCATCCCTATGATGGGGATGGTTTCCAGGTGAGGAGGATGTCTGACAAGAGTGTGAGAGAAAAAGTAGTACGCATGGGGATAATGAGGGCCCACGTAGATGTGGGCTCAACTAAAATTGGCAGGTAGCCAACTGGGTCAGAGAGGGCGAGAGAGGGCACTCAGGTAAGAGAGCGCAGAGATCCCCTTTCCCCCGCGTCACCGGTTTTTGGCCGATCTAAGTGGGTCCTCACGATCCCTTTAAGCCCCTGTAAAAATCATAACAAACAAAATAGGCAAATGTTATTTTGCGCATATTGCTCAGCAAAAAAAACGCTTTCAGGCTTTCTATACCATGCCAACATTTTGAGCGAAATTCCGGAAATCACGCTGATATTCCACAAATGCCTGGTATGGTAGCCGTGCTGTTAAACGGGATTTTTCGTAAAATTTAACAAAACCTTATCTGAAAGCGCGTTTCTTATTGAGCAAGGTGCGCTACATAATTTTTGCCTAATTTGCTTGTTACGATTTTTACCGGGGCTTAAAGTCGGATTTTTTTGTCCAAAAACACCCTAAAATGCGCTGTAACTTTTGAAATAAGGCCATTCTGCAACTTCTGAAAACAGAGTAGGAATCTGCAAAAAATTCTTCACAAGATGGTCTTGGTCTCATCACGAATTTCCTTCCTGACCAAAAGCCCTTTACTGTTAGGCTTTGACATAGATTTTGACCTCAGCTTAAAGGTACACTAAAATCTCGTTCAAAAAGTTCGGTCACGGTAGGAAATTTGGGCTCTCTGCCGCAGCCAACCCGAACCCTTCTTATCGCCTCCCCCCTTCCCCCTTCCCGTCTCTCCCTTGGCCTAGTGGGCTAACTGTAACCGTTTTTTGTTGACCGTGGGATTTCGATACGTGAGATAGCACATTTTGTGCAGAATTTTTCGCTGATTCCGAATCCGTTTTCAAAAGTTGCGGAACCCCTCTAGATAAAAAGTTACAGCCGGTTTTCTACCCCAAATGACCGAAAATTACAAACTTTAAATCCTTATAAAAAACTCGTAGTACTTTTTGTGGGATAAAATACAGCACTCCTAGGGGTAAAAAACGTGCTCTTTCGAATGGGCTACCTCACGAACCCGCAGCTCAAAATTCATGAAAAAAAAGTTTTTCGGTGGACCCATGCCCTGGATGGCCAATTTTTGAAATTTTGTGAATTTTGAGCTACGGGTTCGTGAGGTATGCCATTCGAAAGAGCACGTTTTTTTACCCCGTGGAGTGCTGTATTTTATCCCACAAAATGTTCTACGAGTTTTTTATAAGGATTTAAAGTTTGTAATTTTCGGTCATTTGGGGTAGAAAACCGGCTGTAACTTTTTTATCTAGAGGGGTTCCGCAACTTTTGAAAACGGATTCGGAATCAGCGAAAAATTCTGCACAAAATGTGCTATCTCACGTATCGAAATCCCACGGTCAACAAAAAACGGTTACAGTAAGGCGCTGCCCCAGGCTGGCAGTCAGGGGTCGGTTTTGCTCCGCGGCGTGCGCCTACCGTAACCCTGTTTGCTATCCCGCGGACGGTTACCGGCCGGTAACCAAACCAACGAGACTTTAGTGTACCTTTAATGCGGCAAATCTATCAAAAAAAACCGATCAACCAAGTTGAATTAATAGTCGTTATATAAAAATTAATGTCCATTACATCCAGATGCACCTCCAACTCGGTTTCGAGCACGTGCTATTCAACATCTCGGCAATCAGCATTGCCCTTGATGTGCTCACCTATTTTCGGTTGAAATTGAGCGTAAGTAATTACGACGTACATTTTCAAATTGCAGGTGCGACACAAAGCGTCCAATCAAAAAAGCAGCGCTGATTTGAGGCTCTCCATTATGGTAATTCTGACGGTCTACTTCACCCCCCCCCCCCAGACCGATTGTCTCAAAATTCCGTATTCTCGCTGTTTTCCGGGGCTTTTATGACGCAATTCGACAGCGTCAAAATAAAGAATTAGTGTTTTATTTCCAACTCAGATATTGTAATCTGAAAAATGTTATAACAAAAACAAGAATAACGTTTTTGAAATGGATAAAAAACTAGTCTTCGATCTTTTTCAATTTTTTTGGCGATTTTAAAGTAACCGTTCGATAGCATCAATAATATACTTACTTTTAATTTCAGCCCAAAATAATGTAATCTAAAGCCTAGACGATATAAAATTTAATATTTATTTTTTTCCAATTCCCGGCCAAGCACTGGGTTTTTTGGCCAAGCATTTCCCGAACATTTTGATTCCATTTCCAGGCGATATCCACGCACATCGTCCAGGTGCTACCCACAGTCTTGCTGCAAAAGGACAGATTCGGTGGCTTCCGTTGGGCTTTATCACATTTTGTGACCATCTACAATTATCATTGGCACACCGTGCATGCCGTTTCGCAGCTTTTCATGTCGTAAGCCTTTCCATGCGTATTCATCGTCAAATTTCCCGATACTGATCGACATTTGTTTTTCTTTCACTTTAGACTAATCGTCATTTTTCTCATGCGCCCAACCGCCGATGAGAAGCGAGCACAGTACCCGCAAAAGAGCAGGGTTCAATGAATTACACATGTATCTCTTTTCCCCCCGTATTAATTTAATAATCCACCAATAAACTAATATGTATATATTAATTAAAATAAGAAAAGAAATCCCTGAGGGGAAAGAACTCGCCGAAGCGAGCGAATGCCTCCGAAGAGGCCAAATTCGCCGAAGCGAACGGTTCCCCGAAGGGACAAACTTGCTACGAGAGCAAGCGGGTTGTCCAGAAGGACACAAACCTCACCATGAAGGTGAGGCGGGTACTCGTATACGAGTATTTGAGAGGGTAAAGAAAGAAAGGATATGCATGTTTCGACCCTTAATCCAAGACAGGCTTAAAATACGTCAGGGTGGGTCTCCTCAGCTGGATCCCTGACGTTTTAAGAGGATAAATTGAAGAGGTTAGAAGAGAGTAAAGTGGAAAATTATAGGAAGTAGAGTATAAGGAATTAAAGTGGGATTAAAAGTATATAATGTTTTAATGTTTTAAGGATATTTGTATTTGTTTTTTATTTCACTTCGGGGGGTTTCCTAAGCTCAGAGAGAGCCGAGGATGCCCGTGTAGAAAAGAGTGTCGTGTAGGGTAGCGTAATTTGGGGGAGGCTAGACAGAAGAAGGAAAAGAGACATTAGAGGAAGAAAGTAGAGAATGATTATGTAATGTATGTTTTCTTGTCTAATTGCTTAAAAGGTTACAAACCAATGAAAAAATATTATTTTCAGGTAAAAGGATGTCTGCCGAAAAATCTGATGGTGAAAGGAAGGTAGATCGTCTTAGCAAGCTCGAGAACGAGAAATAAAAACCATAAAGGTGTCAATGCAAAAACTACAACTTGGCAAAACCTCAAAAAATTTAATTACAAAAATTTTCCCGATTATTTTCGGGTCAGCAACAGGCACAACGTACGGCTCGAAAGACCGGTACACAATTTTCCCTATTATTTTCGACCGACGTCAGCTAAAAGGCCAACGTACGGCTCGCAAGAGGGGTACACATTTGCCACTTATGACATGAGTGGGGCACTGATTCATCAGCGCTCAACGACGTGCAGAGATGACGGGGAGAGATGATGCAGCTACTTAGATTCCGCAATTAGCATACCGGCAATTTACGAATCAGTCAGGAAAAGGTTGGTTTCTGGGAATTTATTCCCACTCCACCATCCCGTCGGCGCGCTGTGCGGTGTAAGTTCGTTGTGGCAATTGGCACCTTCGTTTCAGGCAAAAATGCCGTCGGCGTCGGGGACTAGTGTGGATGAGCGCCACGAAAATTCGATCAAGTTCGCCGTGCTGCAACCATCGTCCGTCTTCGCCAGCACGCCAGATCAGTGGGTTAAAGGTCTCGCTGCAAGCTCGACCCATGTTTCAGCGCGCGCACTTTTACCGTGTTTATCCGGGTTATCGGCGTCATCTCGTTTGGGATGCTGGACTTGACGAGGACGCTCGGAGAGAGTGTTGTGTCCAGAACCATGGCGTTCGAAGGCTTTGACGTTGGTTTCTTGTGTGTGCGCCCAAGCTGTATCTTAGCAAATGCTCTCCTATCGCTTCTCCGCGCCGCGTGTCCAGCCTGGTGTCACGGAGAGAAGAAATCTCCATGTGGAGTTCAAGTTGACCTGGGCAAGCCGGCTCATCGCCACCTTCTGCGGACCGTTGTTTCATGTAAGGAGTTGACATTCGGTCGACAGTTTTTCCCTTTAGGCGACCCTCTCCAGAACCTACAGGGCACTGACCAACGGCGGTTTGGTCATCCTCGAGAGCGAGAACAAACTCTACCTGAGGCTTCGAGCAGGCAGATTTAGACTGAGCCATGTCGCTGTTGCCACGAAGGTCCACCAAGGTACTCCGGACGTTCAGCACCCATTCCGAATATTTAGACCTGACCTAACGATTTCTGAATGGCAGTGTTGACGTGAATGTCGGACAAGGCGCGCGGAACATGCACGGCGCTCGATTTGTTCAAGAATACGGCCCCAATCAAGTATGTTTGAAACGGAGCGATTCGAGCGGCTTTTTCGCGAACTAAAAGTTTCGTTCAGCGCTACCGGCCCTTCAGTCTCTACGAGCACACGCGGATGAACATCCTGGACAATGTGGGCAGTACTTTGACGCCAGAAGAGGAAGTCAAACGCGGATCCGACAAGGTACTGAACCCTATTTATATTCCCATCGAGTTTAGCTGCTCGCGGGACAATTCGACGCAAGCTTCATGACCTTCCGCCCCACAGCTGTACAAAAGGTACATGACCCTGAAAATAAATATACCCAGGTTTCAGGGCAGCTATAAATGCTGGTTTGCCAACCTCCTTCCGTCCACGACGATCTGCCCACCCACCATCCGTTCAATCGACGGCAGACGCTTAGAAGTCTTCACGACATCGCCAACAGCCATTGTTTCTGTCGGCCGAAAAACAATGTCACAAGTTTATACGTGGGTGAGCTCCTATTTCATAAAAACTAATTTTTTAGGGTCCGTGGAACCCCGAATCGTCACGTCTACAACATGGGCTTCCAGTACAACGGCAACCCCATCGAGCTCAAGGTGACACTGGACCACAGCGAATGGAATATTACACTGCGCAATTAGGTAACTCTCTTGACCGTCAAAAATTAAGAATTCTATCGTTTTTTAAAACTTACTTTTCAGATTACCATACCCGCGATGTACCGCCGGCCTACCTAAAGCGGATCTACCTTCCCACTCGAGATTTCCAGCCACCGCCACCTCCAACAAAAAACCCCTTACTCGCTGCATTGCTTTTTATTGGAATAAATCAAGAACTGTACGACCTGTAAAAAGGATTAATAGCCGTTTTCCGAGCTGAGCAATCAAAGCTCCTTGTCCATAGCTATCCCCATCCACAAATTGACCAGGTTTATTGCGTCAGAAGAGATCAAAAATAAATCGAGATAGAAATCAGCGAAAGGAGGATACTAGAGAAATTGGGTGGTTAGAGATTATTGGAAGCGGGACGGAATTAGAGATCACCGGTGAATATTTATGTTATAGAAGCAACAAGCAGGGAGCAACAGGGTCAACCCACGGCTCGAAGGACCAGTACACATCGCTCCCTATCATGTTGAAGCGACGTCAGCAACGGACCAGCTCATAGTCTTTTAGCTACCGTCTAAAGCTTGGGGGTCGCCAAAATTGTGCAAAGCTTAAAAGCAAAATCTTTCGGTGATTATAATAAATAGATAGCAGGCGCTGGCAGTTTTTGGGCCCTTGCGACGTGACTGTTGGCGATCACGGTCAGCTCCACCTCGTTGTCATAACCTGTTACCTTGCTAACATCGTCGGCTACCGGCGACGTAGCGCGGGACGAAGGGGAACACGGCGAGCGCATAACTTAATGGCAAAATAAGAACACGAGCTGACTCACCTTACCGTTTGCGCTGTCTTCGGCGAAGCATGCAACGTCAGGAGGAGGGCTACATGCAGCTCGAAACAGGGGTACGCATTACAACGGCGTCGTTTCATGCAACGTCAGCTCCTGACGTTGCATGAAAATAATCGACAAAAATGTATACCCCTGTTTCGAGCTGTACGTAGCCCTCCTCCTGACGTTGCATGAAAATAATAGGAAAAAAAACCGATTTGTACCCTATTTTCAAAGGCGTTTTGACAAGAAAAATGAAAATCTTGCGAAGATGTTGGTCATCCACCCGTGGTGCTCATTGTAAAAGAAGTATGTAGCGCAATTAGCATGCACATCTAAAGAGGCAGTATAAGCTCGTTGCGCTGGCTTCAAGACGAAGAACCGTAATATCGATTCCGCAATTAGCATAAAGTTAATTTACAGATCGGAGCTGACGGGAACGTTGCGGTACGGGTGGTTGGTCCATTACGACTCGCTCTTTGTTTGCACCGTGGTCTTTGACCCGGGGTTACTGTGAGTTGATTGTTGGCATCGTAAGTCGTGATTTTGAGGATGGCTCGTGTAGCGTCGTCTCCGATTCTGGTTACTTCGGCGTCGTCAAATTCGACGACTGGGATGAACACGGCCGACAATCAGATCAAGATTATGGTCTGCCAAGAGGCCAAGGTGTTGGCGAGCACGGAGGAGAAGTGAGTTACAAAATTTCCGTGTGCAAAGGCGCCCTTTTCAGGCGCCGAAAGTTCGTGGTCTGGATTCGCGTGATGGGCTTCATCAACTTTGGCCTCTTGCGGCTGGTCGTGTCGCTTGGCGACAGTGTCGTGGATTCAGCTTTACCATTTGGGCGTCAAAACGTTGGTTTCACCTGCTAGCTCGTCCAACGTTACGATTTAGTTTTGGATGGGTTTTCGATTGACTGCACCGACGGCCGCCGAAACTACGATGGGCCGGGCAAAGATTGAGATCAAGTTCGGTTCGAAAAAAATAGCCAGCTACGACGGACCGTCGTTCAACGTAAGATCCTATCATTGGTTTGTTAGCCCTTTCATCTTAGATTAGCGCCACCAAGGCAAAGCCGGCTCTACGCAACGACGCAATCGTGCTTTTGACGACGCCGGACGGTCTCTTCCTTGCGATGAAAAACTCGACCCCGATCCTCTCCGCCGTGCCGATGCCGCTGAAGCTTCACCAAGGTAAAGTCCCATTTCAGTAAAAATACCGAAAACGCAGGTGACCATGGCAGTTTCATCAAAAAGGGTGAGACGGTGGAGTTCTACCGGAAAAAGCGAGGCTCCGGATGTAACGTCAAAATCCTTCAATTGCCATACGTCGTTATGTTGACGTTGACGGTAGAGCAATCAGCCATCCTTCAAAGGGTTTAGGTCCCGAATGTCTACGATCCGACGGCCACGACTTTCCGAGTCCGAGAAGTTGTGATGGTGAGCATGGCCTAAGGCTAATCTTAAACAATGCAAACCTCTGTGGATAAATACACCAAACTTTCAGGCCACATGCAAGTTCCATTTCGGGAATAGCTGCCTGCGTTCCCGATCAAGCCACCGATCATCAAAAGCTACGATGGACGCCGCATCCAGATCTTCACCGACTGCGAAGAGGTGACCGTGAAATCTGGAGGAAAGCTGCTCCAGCCGCTCTATTTGTGAGTTTGCTCTTGCCTAAAAACACATATTTTTAATTTCAGTGTCGCTGGAACACCCGGCCGCCACACGTTCTACTGCGACGGAGCGAAGGGTCAAGTCTTTACTGTTGCGCTCAACGGCGAGCGATGGGATTTGCAACTTGCGGATATGTAGAAGGTAATCACGTTCATCCCTGCATCACAGTCTCGTTACAGAAGTTACTTGCCAACTGATCGCCGAATTCGCGCTGTGACGGGATGTACCTCTATCGTCCACCGCGCCAAACTCGTACTCGTTGCTTGAAAAACGTGCTGAATAAAGTTTTAAAATAAAAACACCTGAAAAAACGATTAACAGATGTTTTCCCAAGCCGAGCGGCCGGAACTTTTGAAACACTCGCAAATTGACCAGGTTTATTGCGTCAGAAGAGATCAAAAACAAATATAGATAGAAATCAGCGAAACGAGACAACGGCGGGGGATCCTAGAGAAATGGGGTGGTTAGAGATTATTGGAAGGGGGATGGAATTAGAGATCACCGGTGAATGTAAAAGAATTATGTTATAGAAGCGAGGGCCCGCGAAAACAGGGGGTGGGCCCGAGTCGAAAATCAGTGGGGTTAGGGGGAGGAGCGGAAGGAGGTAGTGCTGGGGCAATCAATAATTGTATAATTTGGGTTTGGCCGCTTTCGACACTTAGGCACTCAAATGGAAATAAGTCCACAACAGCAAGTGAAGGCTAGTAATGGGATCTCTTAAGGCCTATTAGTAGTGGGGGGTGGGGTGGGGCGGGGGTAATCTGGGCAGTTTGAAGCATTGGTACTGGATTGTTAACGGGGGGGATGACTTCTATAGCGTATTAGGGGAATTTTAATGCCTAACAAGCCATCAAACATTTTGCGAAATTTTAAAATTTGAGCAAAAGATTTTTGCATAATTTATTTGTATATTTCAAACCCCGTGAGTCAGTCCCCCCCCCGCTAAGAGTCCAGTACCAAGCGGAACGCGGGGCACAAATCTATGCCTACAAAACCGAAAAGTGAGTGAGCGAAACACGGGGGGAAATAAATACACGTAGAAACACATGACTATCCGGTCATTCCTTCGTCGTCATCGCCGTCGAGGAGGGGCTGGCGCTGTTGTTGTTCCTCGTACTCGACGCGGCTTCGCTCGAACTCCTCCTCCAGGTTCTCCGACGTGTCGTGCGCGTTGCCAGACTTCCTGAAATTGAAGAGTTATTAAGGAGATTTCAGAAACGCGAACCTGAACCGGAAGTCCGACATCCATTCCTTGGAGTCAAGTCCGTCTGACGTCTGGCTGGCCATCTGCTCGCACAGGATGCCCTAGAATGGAAAGATTTTCAACAGCGAGCTAAGCTAAGCTAGGCTTGGCTAGCTCAGCTTTGGGCACGCCGAGTCTAAGCTAAGCTAAGCTACGTCAAGCTAGAGCCAATCCAAGTCGAAACCTACGCTAAGCTAAGTCAACCCTAAGCCTAGATTTAGTCGACACGTCTAAGCCCAAGCTAAGCCTAGTTCTAGTCAAGCCAAGCCCAGCCTGAGCCAAGCTAATTTAAGCCAAGCCAGGCTTTCATCAAGCCAAACCTAAGCTAAGCGAATCCCTGGCTCAGCTTAAGTCAGGCCAGCTTTAAGCCTATGAAAAAGCTAAGCCTAGCAAAACTTTAGTCTAACCAAGTCTAAACTAAGCCATGTCTGAGCAATGCTTTAGTCAAACCAAGTCCGAACCCAAGCTAAGCTAAGTCAACTGAGCTTAACTTTAGTGAAACCAAGCCTAAGCCTGCGCCAAGCCAAGTCTAAGCCCTTGCAAAAGCTATCACATACATTCTCGTTGCACATGTGCAGTGCGATGACGAGGGTGGTGGCCACGTGGATGTTTCTGTCTTGCGATGGAAGTCGGTACGGCACCATCGAGACCAGGCCCGAGAACGAGTGCACGCCTGAAGCATAAAGGTTAAAAATTCACGACAAATTTACCCACCTTCAACCTCAAAATCGCCGACGCGCTGCGACATGTTGGGGTCGTCGTCGTCGGTGGGGTCGGCGACGACCGGCTGCTCGTTCTCCGGGTCGACGGGCGGCGCGTTCAGTGCTTCGCGAATCTTCTTCCTGGCCACGCCCGACTCCTGGGTGTCGTCCTTCTCCTCGGTGTCGGCGGTGGCCTGCTCCTCGTCGTTCTCCTTGTCCGAGGGCCCATCCGGGCTGCCCAGGCTCAAGTTCTTGGCCATCGTCGCCGTGAAGCCGTACCGCTGGGCGAGCTTCATCAGCCGCGAGTCGTCAAGCTGAAAAGCAAAAAAAATTGGGTACAAAATGATAGGATCGGTTGAGAAAATTTCGAAAAAGCCGAAATTTGGAATTCGATTTTCATAAGGATAACTTATAATTTCTTTTTTAATTCAAACATCAAAAAAACTCAAAAATCCCGAAAATTATGAATTTTCGATAAAATGGCAAAAGCTACGCCACTAAACTCACATATTGATTGCCGAGGACCTGCTTGATGGCCAGCTTCACTTGGTAGGTGTCGACGCGCTGTTGGGTGGCACGACGGCCGAGCTCGAGCATCTACAAAAAGACGTTGCGGATAAAATTAGGGGTACCTGGTTGAGGGCGAGCGCATCTTCTTCGCTCATCTCCTCGGTGGGAACGATTTCGTTCAGCGGTTCTTCGTAATCTTCTTGGAGCCGGGCTTCTCTGAAAGAAACACGTTAGGAAAAGTATAAAAAATTCGAGGAAATGAAGGAGAGAATGAGCGAGCGAGAGAGCGAGAGAGCGAGAGAGCTAAAAACTTACTCAAAGGTGAACGGATTCGGGCGAGCCCGCTTCGCAGCCGTCGCCTCGACGTCGATTTCATTGTTATCGTCGTAGACCGGATCGTCGTACGTCATCGGGTCGTCGCCCATATCCATGTTCCAGTCCTCCTCCGTCTTGTACGGATAGTCCTCCCTAAAATTGGTAGTTAGCAAAACGTTCCCGATTTTTTTTACAAAATTTTCCTATTTTAAAAATATTTTGTTATTTTCAACTTCAAGATTTTTAACTTGTAAATGTTTCTTTTAAAAAAGTAAGATTTAAAAAAATTTAAAAACCCATACTTGCTCTGGAGATCCTTGGGGTTGAAGGACAGCTTGTATTGGCCCATCCAGGCGAGGTAGCGCTTCCCGTCTCCATCATTCTCCTTGGGCGGCGCCGTGAAGTCGTAGACGACTGGCGGCTCCTCCTCTTCCTCGTCGTCATCGCCTCCATTCCCGGCCGCGCCTGCAGCGGCCTCGGCGGCCTCGTTCGCCTCGTAGATCATCCCGTCCAGGTAGTCTAAAAAGGAGGATTTTTTTAGTATTTCAAATTTCAAGCTAGCTTCTCCTGGATGTTGAAATTATCAATATTGATCGAAAACTATGATTAAAGGGATGCCGACGGCATCGTCAATCGGTTACGCGCGAAAAAGAAAATGTCTCTGCGCCTCTCCCCTGGGCGCGCTCTCTCCCCTGTTGGCTACTTGCCAATTTGTTGATGAGGGGGGATCGACACATGCCGTCGGCAGCCCTTTAAATATTTTTAATAAAACTGATTTTTGCAAGTAAGAAATAGTGAGTAGTTTAATTGTCTTTGAGCAAAATTCAGCCATAGAAGCAGAAAAAGTAATTTAAACCCAAGAAAAATGTCTAAAAATTTCCAATATCGGTCGAAAGACCCATTTTTCTCGTATTTTTTCAGCAACATTTGAAAAATCTATATTTAAGAACACAGTAAAATAGTAATAATAAAATACCTCGATCAAAGTCCTCCTTCTTGTAGATGAGCGGCTCGGCTGCGAAACGCTGCACGTGCTTGACGTTCTAAAATCGACGTTCTGGAAAAGCGGGACAAAAATTACATCGAGGTCCAGCTGGAATGGGATGTCTTCGGGCTTGACGAAGAAGTCGGAGTACTGCGCACTGTCAGCCAGATCCGCCAGCACGGCCGGCCGGCGCTGCAGCTGCATTTTCTTCTCGGGATTCTGAAAAAAAACACATTTTTTGGTTTCTAAAAACAAAATAAAATAGAATTTAATTAACAAATATCCGGCCTGTTCATGGAAATAAAAGGTGAGGGCGAGAAGCTGCCAATTTCAATAATTAAAAAGCCAGCGTGATCGAAATAGCACTAGAGAATTATTCCAATTACCAAAAACTCCAAATCCAAAAACTATAATTCCAGAAATCGCCGCAGAATTTGCACATTCCTGCTTTTTCACGCTACAAATGCTATTTTTCCAATTTTTTTGAAGTTCATGCTTAAAGTAAAAATAAAAAGTACCAAAAACACGCTGAGCGGCATCAAATCGAGCCGGGTCAGCATCTGGAAGTTGGCGCGCTTGCGGAACATCTTGTCGATGCGACGATGCCGCCGCTTGAACTCGTCGATTGGCAGGAAGAAACTGAAAAAAGGAATAAAGATTGTGCCGTAAACACTCACTTCTTCTCCCGTTTGCCCTTCTCGTCCTTGCGGCGCTGCTCCTGCTGCTTCTTGAGGAGCTGTTGCTTGCGGAGCAGCTTCTTGTCGACGGCGTCCTTGTTCCAGTGCGAGTCGTCAAGCTTGCCGATCTTGACCAGGGCCGCGTCACCGATTGGCTATAAATGAGCGTTTTCGAAATTGTAAGTTTAAACTTTTCTGGTTCACTAATTTCATTCAGCCTAACCACCAGGAATAACACGTTCTATTTTTAGGGCCTCTTAGTAATTTCGAATTGCTAAAACGTCTAAAAACCGCCTTAAAAATAAATATCTTTAACAAAATTGATCCTATTTAAAAAAAGGCATTTTTCGAAAATTCCAGTGCATTTCTAAAGAAAGTTTTAGTTTTAAACAGAGCATAAAATCGCTTCCGTTTCATTAGCAGCGATGGGAACAAGAAAAAAAAGAAAAAGAAAAAGCCCCCCGCTAACGAACGAGCTCCAAAAATTATAAAAACGTACCGCTGGGGCGTTGTCCGGCTCGTAGTCGAAGGAGGTGTCGGCCAGATCATCGGGACTAAACGGGTGGAATTTCTGGAAACAGCCCGAAAACTCACTCAACCATAGTGGCCCCATCGAGTCCGGCGACCATTTCCGGCGGCGCCTCGTTCTCTTCCCGATCGTAATTCTTCATCATGTCCACCATCGAGATCAGCGAGAGGTTGCCGATTTCCGCTGAAAAATCTAGGGTTCTTTCGCGTTATCGGGGCGGGGGGGTCCCAAAAAGTCCCGAAATTCATAGAAAAGCAAAAAGTAATTTAATAATGTTTTTAGTATGATTTAACGCTATCAAAAGGGCAAAAATATCTTTAAAAAACCCGTCAACACTTGGAAATTTGGGCAAAAAAAACGTTTTTGATGGTTCTGACGTTTCCTAATAGTAAAAATAATGTAGAAACAGCCCCTCTTTTAGATTATAAAATTGAGCAAAAAAGTTAACCTCCGGTAATGCCAAACCCCCCAAGAATTAAAATTAATCCATACCATCGGTGTGGTCGGGCTCTTCGAGCAGTGTCGTGCTGAGGTTGATCTCACGGGGATAATTCTAAAAAAAATATACTTAAAATCAAATTATTAAAAAAACTACAAAAAAATCTGAGCACTAAAACGATTTACCGGCATTGATTTGCCCATGGCGAAGAATGTGTAGCGGCGAGGGGTGAGGACCACCTTGCGGCGCAGCGATTTCTGCGGCTCGGGCAACGGCTCGAGGGCGCTGAGATTGAAAAATAAGATAGGCGGGCCGAAAAATTACACTACCTTAGCTGATCCTTCAAATCTTGGTCGGTGATCGTCATCTGCACCCATTGACAGTGCCACAGGCTTTCGAATTGCGTCAGCATTGGGCCGAGTCCGAACAGTCGAATGCCGCGAGTCTGGAAAAGTTAGTTTTTCCTCAAAATAATTTCTCAATACCAACATTTTTAGGAATTTAGTTGGCCCATATTCGAAAGTAGAATTTCCTAATGTTAAAATGTCGAAATTTCATAAATTAGAATGGCCAAAATGTCCATTTTTTATATCGTTCATGGATTTACTGAGATTTCCTTCGGATAAACGTAGACACCAAGGAAATTCTACATTTTGGAATTTCGATATTATGAATTTCCACATTCTGCTAGACAAACAAAAAAACTCGTTCTTGTTAAAAATAATTTCCAGTATTTCGCGGTATCGGTTTCAAAAGACCGCTGAATTTATTTCAAGACCCTAAAAACGAAGCCGAATTTCCTAAATATTACCGCCTCGGTGAGCTGCTCCTTGTCGCTGATGTTGTCGACGTCGAGGGTGAACTCGGGCGGGTAGACGACGTTCATATCCGGCAGTTCCTCGGCATGGTCGCCGAGCACGCGCATGTTCTAAAAAAAAACGTATTCAACGATCATTCGAAAATCATACCTGATCGGCCAGGGCCATCGCAAGTGTTGGGTCCGTGGATGCCGAGGCGAACTGCTCGAGGCGGTCGTCCATCCGAATCTGAAGAATTTTCGTATAAGACTAATAAATTAAAAGTATAAAAAAGAATTAAAAAACACCTGTTTCTCGCCCAGTCCCTTCAGCGTGACGCGCTTCTGGCCGGCGCCACCGCGGAATGCGATTGTCCGGTTGACCATCGTCTGGTCCCAGATCGTGTGATCCGGCATCGCCGAGGTGTCCTCTTCTGAAATAAAAGGTTCAGAAACATTTTAAAAACATTTAGAAAGTTGGCAAAATCCTAAAATTTAAATTTTTTGTACCTTGAATAAAAATCTGTAATTTTTGCATTCAAGAATAATAAAAACTGCGTAGAAACGCGAAAAAGTAGAAAAAGCTTAACCCCCCTCGATATTGCGAAAGCAGCGAAACCCCTCTCACCTCGCTGGTTTGTAATCTGCTCGAGCTCGTCGTTCTCCAGGATGTAGTTTTCCTCGTCGCCGTCGGCGGCCAGCTCCTTGTCCTTGGTGTTGACGACCGTTTTCGGGAAGAAGAAACCGTACGTCTGCGATTGGCTGGAGAGGGCGTTACCGCAGAGGCCTAAAAGGGGGATTTTCAGAAAAGAGGCAATTATATACCGCTGATGGCATCGAGGTAGTCAATGGTGTAGGGCAGGCAGACGCGGTCCTGGCGGTTCGAGTCGGCTGTTCGCGGGTTGAGGAGGAGTTTCCTGAAAAATAGGTATGAAAACGGATATGGATAATTTTTACCAGGTAGTCTTTTTTTCTAGATTCACTATATGTTTTTTAGATGTCTGGATTTACGACGCTTTTTCCGACGAAGCATTTTAGGTTAAAAACCAATGATTTCTTTCAATTCCAACTTTTGCTGGTGCTTGGGGTCCGGCTTCAAAGAGGTTTGTGACAAAAGCATTAGCATCGTCTTTACAAACTTAAAAATAACCCCAAAGACCAAAAAAATTCAGGTTGCTACTATTTTTAAAAATACTCCGACCGGAAAAACATCGGAAATCCAGTCAGTTTCGCAAAAATAACGTTGCAAAATAAAAAATGTTGCATTTCTGAAAATTCCAAGAAATGGTGTCTGCACGTTTTTGAGAGCTTAGTTATGAAGTAATCGCCGAACTAAAAAAAAATCCACGTTTTTCTGAAACCTTAGCTAGCGGGAGGTGTTTTTCAGCGCCGCCAACAAAGTTTTCTTCCTACAAAAAAACGCAGTAAATCAACCAAAAATAAAAAATTTGGAAAATACGACAGCACGCGGGCCTTTTCGAGAGCTGACGACTGCAGCTGAACAAAAAAATGAACGAACATTCCAGCGGAAATCTATAGGGAAGGTCCTTTCCCCCCTTTTGTCAGCAGTGCGTTCCAACCATTACCTTCCATCGCCAGTCTGCACACAGTTCCGCGTGAAGATGCGGTTGTTGTAGTCGTGGTTCTTGTTGTAGGTGGCCATGGCGTAGTAGGGATTTTGCCGAAAATCCTTGCGCCGAACGCGCAGCGTGCTCGCGTCGTCGATCAGCTTCGGGTTCTAAACAAAATTTATTTGTATTTGGAAAAATAGAAATTTTTACCGTCTCATAGTAGCGGCTTTGCTGGAGCTCGTTGAGGCGCCTCTCGCGCTCCTCGGTGTGCCGGCGCATAAAGTCCATCTTGCTCGACCAGCCGTCCCAGACACGGATCACTAAATATATTCCATAAATATTTCCCGAAAATATCGGGAAAAGGCCGCCGGCTGTTTACCATACTTTTCTTGGTTCTTTCGCATTATCGCGGCGAACAAATTTTTTTATAAATCCAAATACCCAGTACGAAATAGTACGCTTTTAATCCTGTTTTAGTAAAAATGTAACAACTTTTTCAGTGGCAAAATAATGAAACGTCGAAAAAATTTTAGGTGACATTTTTGGAAAATCCGCCGTTTCCGCTCCAAAAAACGCAATTTTTGTTTTTTCAATCGAAATTTGGAACGTTTTTAAGTGTTAAAAACATTGGGTTTGGAAATTCGATCCCCCCCCCCCGATAATGCGAAAAAACCTTTCAGAAAACGAAAATCCGCTATATCAGAGAAAACCTCACGTTTTTCGACCGGATCGTCCAATTCCTCCTCGGCCGGCTCCTCTTCAATGTCATCGGCCTCGACGCCCTCTTCAAGTTCTTCATCTTCCTAAAATTTCATAATTTTTCGAAGAAAAATTTGAGCCTTACATTATTGCCCCCTTGACGCGATCCGATATCTTCAAAAATCTTGGCCATGCGCTCTTGGTGGTTGTCGACAACGTCTAAAACAAATTAATTATAAAACTGAGTAGCGCTGTGCTACCATGCTTTCGCGCCTTCTTCTTCGAAGCAGCATCGCCCGTCTCGGCGTCTTTCTCGCCGGGCGCCGGCTTTACTTTTGCTAAAAAAATGAGTGTAAATGAAAAGAAATCCCTTACCGCCAGCACAAATGTCGTGCGCCTGCTTGCAGTGGATGACGGCGGCCTCGACGCGGTAGCTGTAGACTTGAGAGGCGCTCTCCAGAACGAGGGCCATTTCCTGAAAAAATTAGATAAAACTTCCTTCTTTTTCGATTTTTTCATTTCCTTAAAATCCGAATAAAAATATAAACTTCTAAGCTGTTTTCCACTATGCCAAAACATAACAACTTTACAAAATTTCAGTAAATAAAACACAAAAACATTGAATTTTCGACCAACAATGGCATTTTTGTCAACATTTTTGAGAGCCTTAAAGTTTTTAAAAACGTCAAACCAGTTTTTTTTTTTTGAAACTCCTTTTAAACGCACCGTCAATGACTGGTAGTCGGCGTCGTGGCCGCGGATCTCCTCGATGACCGAGTGGCCAAAGTGGTCGTAGCCGCGCTTCTGGTGGTACTTCTTGAACAGCTCCATGCAGCGCTTCATCTTGGCCGTGTTGTCGCCCTTCACTCCTCCTTCTAAAAATAAAGAAATTAGTACCCAAGAGGTAAAATTACTCGGAGCAGCATCACGAGAGCCCGACGGCGACTCCTGTCCAGCCTCTCTGTCGTTTTTCGATTTCTTCTAGGGGTTCATTTGACACATAATAAGAAATTCACCTTTGGTGACTCATATTCCTCGTCGGTATCGAAAAGACGGCCTTCCTCTTCCTCCTCTTCTTCTGGAGGTGTGTGGACTAAACGAAGAGTTTAATTTTAGTTAGCGATTCTAACCTGGGGCCTTTCGGTCCCTCCTTCGTCGAGTATCGACGAAGCTTTCGTCCATCTGCAAATAGAAATATTAAAAGAGCAAGAGAAAAAACTGCAGAGCTGTTGGAAAACAATGAGCAAAAAGAACCCCGTCATAATTCCCCCAAAAAAGACAAAAGGATCTTTGAAAACCCTAAACGACCTCTAATATTTGGCATTTCTGGGCGATATTTTGGCTGACCTTTCTCTACACAAAAAAAATACAAAACCCAGATGGTCGGAATGTGCTATAGAGTTTCTACGTGAACAAAGGGAAAGTAAGTCAACGTTGCCCGGCCGATCCAGAATTAAAGAGGTAGCACAGTTTGATCGATTTCGAACCGCCCTCGACAGGCCATTTGAAATATTCGGCGTCGACTACCAGCCCAAATTCACAAACGCCCGGGAAAAATAAACCCCCAAACGCAAAAGTGGAGCCCACACTCCAAGATAAAAAAAGCCGCGCGAAAGCAAAACAGAAAGCTTGGCTAAACTGTGCCAGCTGTAACCGGATGGCAAACCTTGATCCACCACATTTGAACGATCGTAAGAATTCGCTGGGCATCGTTTTGAAAAAATACGCGCTGAGGGCTCGATAAATATTACTTCAAAATCGACCCCACGCGGGAAAAGCGGCGGGAAAAGGAAACAAAAAAGATTGACGAGACTGTATCAGCAGCAACACGATAACAAAACCCGTTCCACTACTTTTGAACGAGTAAGAACTCTCTAGAGCCCTGATCCCGGCAAAATTGTATCATCTGAAAGAGGCTACAGCAATCGTGGGTAAGCGTTTTGAAAAATGTGGTTAAAAACTAGTGCTACATGACTCAAAAATCCAGCCTGAGAGGGAAAAGCGGCGGGAAAAGGAGGCCAAAAAGCCATGCAATTGTATCAGCTGTAAGAGGATGCTTTGGATGGCGGGAGGCTCGGGGGCAATCCATTGGCGGGGAAAGAGGGGAAAAGGGTCTCTTCGGCGCTTGGCCAGCCCTACCACAGCTGTAGACGAGAGGATCGTAGAAGGAGAGTCGCTGGGGGACCCGGGCAAACAAGGATAAGAGGTTGTGATGGGAACATGAATAGCAAAGGTAGCAGCGTGGCCGGAAGGTGGCAAAAGCTTAGCGATGAAGCCAAGCGGGCTTCAGAATTTGATCTTTTCATTCCCTAGCATTGAACTAGAGGTGAAATCCAAAGCTAAAACGTCACAACCGTGCTACTTCTATATAAATTATAAAATTTTTCTCGCTATAAATATGAAAATACGCGGTTTGTAGCCACGGGTGTTTTAGAATTCGCTTATTTCACCGCATAAGACTAGCCCACGACTTTTCCCCTAAAAAACCCCTTTCTACATAGCAGTTTCTTTATAATTTATTGCTATTTTTATTTATAAAAAGTTTTATAATAAATATCCGGAATCAATAAATTTTTTGAATTTGAAAAACACGGGTTTTCGCGCTGAAATGTAAGCGTTACAGCATGTAGCTACGACCGTAGTACAGCTACGGACTGTTTCACTTCCTGATTTTGGGCATTTCAACTTTTCATTACTTTTTAAATGTTTTTAGCCCTTTCTGAATAGTTTTTAGCAAAATTTTCGTTATGTTATATTTTTCAGGGGCCATTTCGAGGGCGGTGATCGACGCAGAATCGCTTCCATCGGCCAGAAGCATGCTGCAGGTGCTTTATTTACCGAAATAAACATGGTTACTGCTAAACTCTGATTTTTAAAGCGTTGAAATCCCATTTTCTTGCAGGATCGCGAGGGCGAAGAGCTGCGGCGACGCCACCATACCAGCGCCAAGGAGGAGCCCGAGATCTCTTCACAGGACGAGGGCGACGAGGATGAAGAGGAGGAGTCATTACAGCCGCCCGTTATTCCGCCCGTTTGGATGGTATTTTAGTAGATTTAATGCCTATTATCAAGTTTAGGTCGGCATCCAAGAGGCTCCCGACTGGCCGAGCTCAATATCTGGTAAGAATTAAGGGTTCTGGGTCAATATCTGGGCGCCAAAATCCGCTTTTTCCCCCACAGCACCGTGTCGACCAACTAATGAGAGCCACACTAGGTTTAGCGTAATCCTAACAAGTTTTTGAGCCGAAAAAAACTTAGTTAAAAGCGTTTTCAACCTTGGAAAATGGCCTTTACTGGCCAAAAACCAACCAAAAGGCCAGAAAATGTCATTTTTCTGCTTTAAAAATGTTTTTCGCTAGCGTCACTAGCACTTTCGCTATCGGAAACTAGGAAACACATTCAAAAACGCAGTACAAATACAATTGAATTGAATATTTTTGCAGATGAACAAGTACGCGACGTTGGACAGCCAATTCTACGCCGACTTCGAGCCGTTGGCCCTATCGTCGCGCTGTCGATTGTGCTTTATGTAGGTTTTCTAAGGCCGGATGAAAGCTTCTTTTTCAGATAGGAGTCGTCACCGTCTACATGCATTCGATGTGGTGGCCGTTGGACACGCTGGGTGGGGTTGGTCATTTTGTGGTGGGTTTTATACATTTTAAACCAGCGAAAATGTATACATTGCGTAGCTTTACACGAATTTTTATTTTAGCTATTCCTCGCGTGGACCTACGCCACGTTGAACAACTTTTTGTTGGCAACATACGTGGGCGGTGGCTACATTCCGAAGAAGTGGAAGCCGGATGCGTCGATCCCGGTGAATAATTTAACTTGACTTGGTTTCTTTTAACCTCCGGCTGTTCGAAAAGTGATTCTTCTTGTCGGAACCAGTTCATAAATCTCGTGGCAACAAAAAGAGCTAAATTCCTTTCAAACTCTTAAAAATGCCACAGAATGCGGGAACAACAAAAAGTTGCTGGCTATTTAAAACCTTAATAAACTCGGTACCCTCCAAGATCACAGGTCAGGTCTACAGATTAATTTCAAGAAGGTGCAAATAGATCATAATACAGAAATTATTTGCAATCCGAAACCGCTAGAAACTGGATCTGTCCATTTTAATAAGGTGCCAGCAACTTTTGGTTGATCCCACATTCTGTGGCATTTTTAAGAGTTTGAAAGGAATTTAGCTCTTTTTGTTGCCACGAGAATTCCTCTCTTTTTGCGAAAACCAAAAGCCCTTTTTTAAAAAGACTCTTTTTAGCCTTAGAGAGAATTTAGCCCTTTTTGCCTCAATCTTTAAGATCGTGAAATAAGCCAAGGAATACTGATTCAGATTAACCCTTGTACGCAAAACTTCAAAAAAATTTGCCTGCGGCGCTTTGTAACAGCACTAGAAACCATAAGGTTGCACGGGGGCCAATCGGCAAAAACCATGTTTCGGGTGGGGTTCGAACTCGGGAGCCAAGTCTTCCCAGTACAGCCTGCTAACCACTACGCCAACGGGAAGACTGGAGGCCTCTCTTGGGGATGCTAGACCCGCCCGCCCTGGGGCCGAGGAAGGGAGGGTGGCGCCCCGTATGGCGAAGGTTTAAAGTTATAATATCTTAGAGAAGAAGCATTCTTTCGATCCAATTTCTTCTTTACTTTTTCCGGCATGGTCTAATGCATATTTGAGCAAAATTTCAGCCCAATCGGACATCACTAACCCTTGTTTTGACCGCAATTTAGCTTTTAAACTTAAAAATTAAATAAAAATTTTTTTAAAGCCTATTTTGAAAAAAACGCTTCTTCCTCACCTTCATTTACATCAAGCCAATATATGTGGAAAATTTCAGCCCAAACGGACCATGGGAAGGCACTTTTTGACGACTACAAAGGTTTTGCGTACATACACACACACATACAAACGCAGACCCCCCCCCCCCTCGAAACGCAATTTAAATCGGCTCTTAAAATTCGAAATTTCACTCTTTTTGAATTTTTAAAAGCTTATAGTATGTAAAAAGTGTCGCCGGTTCCGATGGTGTATTTAGTTTGGCGATCCGATGCTTGGTTCTTTTTAAATTCCGAAAAAGGACCCCAAAAGAGTCGTATGGGGGGGGTACCTCAAACCAAAACGGGTTAGCGGGCTACGCCCGCTAACCCCGAATGGTCTAAATGCGTTAACGCACTTTGCTAAAAATCGATGGAAATAAAAAAACTACTTTTCCCTCAAGAAAGGGCTACTTTGAGCTGAGGACCATAAAATTCGGTCTCCCTTTCAGCTTTATGTCTTCAACTTTTCGATAAAAATAGTTTTTTTTGCGACAAAAATACCTTTTAAAAGCTGTTTTTCCAGATCGAAGGCGACGTCGTGAATCGATTGCAATGGTGCAAAGTTTGCGACGGTTTCAAGCCGCCCCGCTCGCATCACTGCAGCAAGTGCGGCCGTTGTGTGATGAAGATGGACCATCATTGCTGTAAGAATCGCCAAATGTCTTCCAAATTCCTCTTTAGTGTGGATCAACAACTGCGTGGGCCACCGGAATCACGCGTTCTTCGTTCGATTCTTGCTGGCTGCCGTGATCGGCTGCTCGCATGCGACGGCGATTCTCGGGCTTTCCATCTATCACGCTATTCATATTGTGGGTTTTCTAGGCCTGTATTTGGGTTTGGCTATGCGAAGTAGCGACTTGAAGGAGCTGAAAATTCTGAATTGGAGTTTGTATTAAAAACTGCCGAGCCAAAACGGTTTTCGGGAAATTCCGCTCTCATGATGCGTTTTCCCCGCTTTTTCGTCCCTAACTTGGACAAACTTTCTGGCGCAAAATCATTGTCAGTGAGCCGTTTTTATACCTTTCTAATTTTTCAGAACTTCAAGCTTTATCGATCAGGCTGGCGCAAATCGAAAAAAAATATCTTTCATCTAGAGACATAAGAAACGCCATTTATTTCAGTCGTGGTATATCCGATTCGGGGACGGCACGGAGCCAATTATTGAGATGACGTTTACGACGCTTTTGGGTACGTTTTCGTTTCTGTAATTCTGAATAACTATTTTTAGTGGTGGTCTCGGCGCTGGCGTTGGCCATGGGCGTCACCGTGGCATTGACCTGCCTCCTCTTCTTCCAAGCCAAGTACATCCTCTACAACAAGACCGGCGTCGAGGAATATATTTGCAAGAATTTGTCGATTTTCATCGAATTTGGTTTAGATGACAAGGCGCAGGCTCGAATGAGTGATGAGGGTTATCGCGGGATCAACTTTGTCTACCCGTATGATCTACATTTCCGCCGGAATATTTCTGAGGTCGGGATTCTTACAATTTTTGAGAAATTTGGCTTTTCAGGTGCTCTCCAACTTCAAGGGCAAGGCGAAGGGCTCCGGGATCTGGTGGCCGATTCGTGGAGATTGCACGCAGTTCACATTTTCGGTGCGTTTTCAAAGCCGTGTGGATTAAAAATACGCAAAGCATTGTTTTTTTTCGATCAAAATTCCAAATTTTTGGGCGTTTTTCCAAGTTTTCTAAGCAGTTCTGAATTTTAAATATTTAGATAGATTTGACTAAAAACACGACTAACATACCTATTCTTTTTTGCGAGTGGTTATTTAAGTTTTGTCGAAAGTTCAAGATGGGTAAATTAATTCTTTGGTCCGAATTTTTAACACGCCAAAATCGCAATTTTCTAGTTGTTTGGAGTGGCTAAATTTCGAATGTTCAATTTCGACAAAAGGAAGTTTCGAAAAAATGAAATTTCGACAAAATGTGAATGCCGGGAGTCAATTCGACATACTGGTAGCAGATCTGGACTCATAGGAAAATTAAAAAAGTTAAAGCGTCTCGCGGCAATGCGAAAGTACCTTATTTTTTCAGGAAGAGCAACTACGCCAGAAGAAGCTGAAGCGCAGCCACGCGCGTTACGTAAACATCATCAAGCGTTGTAGTGGCGGGTTTTGCGGGTAGGCGGCTTTTCGAATCTCCTGAAACATTATTGTGTAGATCCCTGTGCACAAATCCGGGGGCCTGCGTCTGCCAGCCGATGTCCGACCAGCCACGGCTTCAGGTCGAAGAGGGCGAGAAATGGATTGTCACCGGCGGGAATAAGGTACGGAATTTCTTTTGCATTATCGGGGGAGGGGAGCTGTTTCGAAGATTCCATTTTTCTCGAAAATTAAAGTGTAGGTTTCTTGTACTCTTTCTAAACGTCTAGCAAAACCCTAAACAAAAATAAAACAAAGCTTGTTATAACAAACCCAAAAAAATAGATCTTTCCGTCAAAGCTCGAGATTTCTTCTTCCGGAACGTTTAAACGTTTTTAAATGTTATGAAAAAACCCATGAAAATCGATATTTCGGCCAAAACAGCGGGTTTCTGAAGAAAATTTGAACTTTTAAAGATTTAAACAGTTTTCTAGGTTCATTTCACTCGAAAAATGGCTAAATTCGGTTAAAAAACGCTATTAAAAGGCGTGCTGTTACATTGGATAGGTATTTCTGGGCTTATACGAAAATCCCCCCGATAACAGAGAAGAACCAATTATTATTTTCAGCGATGGCTGTACGGGTTCCGCGAGGGCACCGAGGCGAAGGGCTGGTTCCCCCGAAAATGCGCCCAGCTGCTCGAGGAACGACCGCATCTTGAATAGGTTTATTTCGTTTTTTTGCGCTCAATTTTCCTCGATTTTGCACGATTTCCAGTTTCTAATTAATAGCCCTCGACTTCATCGCTCATTGTGATCTCTATGGAAATGGCCCTTCTTTTGGATTTGGTATCAGAATTTCAAAAATTAGAATGTCGAGATTCGATTTTTCGAAAATCGGAATACCGAAATTCAATTTTGAAAGATTAGAAATACCGCAAAAACGAAAGAATGCCGAAATCCAATTTGTCGAAAACCATTTCGGCAAAATTTGTGGATTTTTTTATTTAAAATTTCGACAAAATTGACAAAAGGCAAAATAAAATTTCGTCAACATGGTTTTCGACGATTTGGGTTTTTTCGTTAATTTCGACATTTTAATTCTCGACTAAGTTAAGCTAATTAAGTCCCCTGACCAAAAATTTGCTCCACATTTTTCACTGCTTAACTTCATTTCTATTTGTGTGTATTTTTCTGTGTCTTACATTGGCTGTGATACCCCATTTGTACCCTTTTTTGCTCTCTACACTGTGACGTTACAAGGTTTTTGGCGTAGCTTTTTTGGAAATAATAGTTTTTAGAAGGCTTTGCTATGTATGGTAGACGACGATGAGATTTTCGAAAAGCACAGTTTTAAACGTTGTTCCAGATATATTTCGAAAAGGCTTTTTTCCTTTTCAGGAAAACTGGTTTTTGAAAATATGTGTTTGGTGGTGAACCAACTTTTTCTACGGCTCCAATTTTTCAAAATAGATAGGGGAAGTGTTTCTAATCTGTTGTTTGCTATAATTAAATGTAAAACTTTACAAATCCTGATCAAACAATACAAAAAAAAATAGATTTATCGTCCAAGACATGCCCGATTTTGGGCAAAAATTTCACCTAATTTCATCTTTTTAATTGTTTTTCCCACTTAAAATCTAGTTATATTGTTGACAATTCAAATTCACTAGGCATTTTGGACAGACAAGAAAAAAGTTAATCCCCCGATAATGCGAAAGAACCCGAAAAACTGCTTTGGAAAAAGGTGTCCTTTCGAAATTTCGAAAACTTGTGTAGAAATCAATCGATGCAAATCTTGAGGCTGCGTTTTCTATCCTTTATTTCCTCAATATTTCGAGAAATGCAGCACCCGATTATTCCGCGACGAGTTCAGGCTGAATATCGTTCTTTTGGGTTGTTGTTGTGGGGGATCCCAGGTTTTTCGGAGTTCTTCAAAGTGCACCGCCAACGAGGTAACGGAATCTTTGCCGCCACCCGGTCGCATTTTTCGGTTTATTTCGCGATTTCGCCTAAAATCAAGGATATTTTGTATTTTGGTGGGTTGCTTTTGTTTGTTATTAAAATTTTCCTTGCCTTTCCTTGCTGCGCCGCAGGAAGTAGCGCACCATGATTGGCGACAGTACGGTGTAAAGAGGCGTCAGCTGAAAAAGCGTTGATGAGTTTGGTTCAGCAGCTGAGCTCGCAGAGCTGAACTCTCGATTTGAGCTCGCAGATTTGACTCAAGATTTGATTTGAATAACCCCAGCACTAGTTCAGCTTTGCAGTTTGGCTTAGAAATTATTTTTTTAAGTGGTTTGGAAATCTGATCCACGGCCCCTTGCTTTGATTCCTGGCAGATAGCCAGATAGGCCCGCAACGCGATCGCCACGCATGAGCCGCCCTTTTGCCCCCGTTTGGACGTGAAAACGCTTGAATTTCAAAATTCTGAAGCTATTTCTGGTATCCTCGCGCAATTGGCTAATTCTAGACGTTTTAATTATGAAAATTGGTGAGCGAATCACCGAGATCGAGGGATTGGATGTCTTACAAGACATTACGACATATAATCGCCGCCCACTCAAAAAGTCGTTTTTGCCCCAAGAGATTTTCGGGCACTCAAATATTTTACGTTTTTTTCGCAACTAAATCACTTTTCCGGATCTTCTCGGCGGTAATCCTTCCTTTTTTGATGGGTTCAATCCCTGCACGCGCGAGAATTTTGACCTCCAAGCCCCTTTAATGACAGCTTCTTGCAGCTGAGACCCACCGTCAGTATCCCCTGCCACATCTTTGACTTCCGGAGCGTTATCGTGGGGTCGAGACGCAGAAGGCCGTAAAGTACATTGTACTCCACCAGGAAAAACGAGTGCATGATCACCATCGGGCCGAAGGCGTACAGCACTGAAATTCGGTTTTTTGAAAATGATACGCTAAACTACAAGTAAAATTCAAGTAGTGATTTACAAACTGGTGAAGCTAAACTACAAGCTACAAACCCAGAAAATTCGCGTTATTTCACGTACCCGTCAAGGAAAGTCGCAGCTGGAAGCGCACGTTCACGGCCATAGTCGGTAATCTTAAAAATATAGCTTGTTTTGAGGTAGTTTTAGGTGATTTTTAAAAATTTAAAGAAGTTCGGAAGGTAGATATGGGTTCTTTCGCATTATCGGCGGGGGGGAAGACATTTAAAAACTTTTAAGAAACAATACAAATGTTTTCAAAGTTTTTAGGTAGGTTTCTGGTTAAAATATAGTTTTCTTTTGCTAAAAACATTATGAAAACAGTTTCGTTTAAGTTACTAGGCATTGATATATTAATAAAAAATTTTTCACCTGATAACCCCCCGATAATGCCAAAGAACCTAAAAAGCAAGAGCTTCGAGCTATAGAATGTTTTCCAAACAAAAAAAAATCCTTATTTTAGCGCACCTCAGCTTCCGGCGAGTCGATACCCACAAAAATACGACGCCGACGAGGGTGAACACGTCGAGGATGATGGTCACGATCGACATGATGAATGCCGATATTCGGGTTTGCTAAAAAATATGATAATCTACGAATTTTCGAAAATATTTTTCGATAGAGGTTCGCGAACTTGGTAAAATATCGAAAAACTGACCTCGTCATCCTCGACGCAGTGGATGAGCACAGAATCCTGGCCGACGTCCAGCAAAAAGAAGTGGGCGGCGATGAAGATGAACAGCAACGTCTGGAAGGGGAAGGATTTAGAGGGGTCGAATATTGAAAATTCGGATCCTCAAAACTTGATAAAAACTCCGAAAATCTCAGCAAATTGTGGGCAAAAATGGGAAAAATAGCCCAAAAAGCTAGATTAACGTAAAAAAACGACCATTTTCTGTCGAAAAAGTTTTTTTTTGTATTTCTAATACAAATTTTAGAATTCCCCCCTCCCCCGAGCATGCGAAAGAACCAATTTTACCTTCCGAATCTCTTTAAATTTTTAAAAATCGCATAGAACTATCTCAAAAGGAGCTTTTTAAAGGGGTTAGAAAGTCAAAATCTGGGCTTTCGGGATTCGGACCTATTTCTCAAAAAACGAATGGATACTGCCGAAAAACGCCGATAAACTTATTTCGTCAAAAAAGCTAAATCTTTGAAAAAAGAAAAGTTTCGGAGCAAAATCGAATTTTTCAGCCCCGGTCCAAGATCAAAAACACCAGGCTTTTTGGTGGCGGTATTTTTGCTTTAGGCCCTTTGAAGGCCTCCGCTTCCTTGAAAAAGGCATGGAACATCGCAAGCTTCCGGAAAAACAGGATGATGCGTGGGTGGCACGGGCCAGATGCCCTTAAAACCCGAGACAACGCGCTGTGAGCCACCATTCAACATGCGCTCCATTCTCTATATCCTGCTCCTGATCGCCGTCGCCGTTACGGTAGTTGAGGTGGTTCTGGGATCTGGGATCCAGGATTCCAGGACTAGCGTCAGAATTTTTGAATTCAAGCGTTTTCACGTCGAAACATGGGCGTCAGGTCATGCGGCGCGGTCGCGTCTGGCTATTTGCCAGGAATCAACGCAGGGGCCGTGGACAGGGGCGTAGCTGGCCCCAAGTTTTGAGGGGGGCAGCGACATTTCGGAGAGGGCAGTAAGAATTTTTTTTTCGAAATTTTTTCGAAAGCGTTTTTTTTTCGGGCTCGCCCAATTGGGAGAGCCTGCCCCCGCTGCCCCCCGCCCTTCTACGCGCGTAGCCGTGGACCAGATTTCGGTGCAAATTGGTGAAACTTTCAGTGTGCGAAGCTATGCGGGACGCAGCCGTGCAAATGGGACGAGTATTGTTGCGCTCGCAACACCAAGTGCTATGCCATTCTCGGTCCATTCTCGGCCCACTGCCTGTTCGGTGGTGATAAATAGTTACGCAAACGTCGCAAGGCACGAAAAAGGTGGAAATGCGCAACAGTTGATCGATCAAAGATGTGTATGGTGCGAACAAACCCAAAATCGTCAAATACAGGGTGCCCCAATCAAAAACGGCCCATCTAAGTCGAAGCAGAACTATCGGACCGAAATGATATTGACACCATTCGAAAGCCCTTGAAACGGCCGGTTTGCAACAACCTTCAAAACCATGTTTTTATTTAAACGCGCGATTTTAGCGCATTTCAAACATTACGGGACCGCCTCTGCATCTCATTAGCGGCAACTGCCGGTGATTTTGCTTGAGAAATTTGAGGAAAACTCATAAAGCTCCTACAACGCCGCAAAAAACCCCCGTCAATACCCAAAATGGCTTGTGAAATAGCGTATTAAAACCAAACTTGGCTATTTTACAAGCCGTTTTGTCAAAATTCCGGTTTCCGGGGTTGTCGACGAGCTAATTTTCCTCAATGTCTCCAAACTAAATGCTGAGCTTGTTCCTTTTGTGTTGTTAAATCTATTGTTAAACAACGGGGCTGCATCAAAACGTGGTTATGAACATTGCTGCAAACTCACGGTTGAAGGGCTTTCGAAAGTATGATATAACTAGCCACGGCCAATCAAACAAGCCAAAAACGGCAATTTACCGGGAGGGGCAAAGGCGTCCATAGGAACCAGGCGTAGCGCGCGTCAAAAAGGTTAAGCTCTTATAACTTTTTCAAACCGACTTAATATTGAAAACCCAATATCAACTATTGTCGAGAAGAATTTTACGGTGCGACTGGTACCAAAGACAGCACATTAGCCCTAGGAAATCCAACTTTTCACAAAGTCACCAATCAAGACCGCCTTTGTTTTGATGCTTTCTGAATTCAGTTTTCTTTGTGCCGGGTATCAATAGAATAGCTACGTTTCATTCTACAAAGTAGAAACAAGCTTTTTTTTAAAGATTCAACTTAGTTTTAAAGTTATTAGGTTTTAAAATGTCTAGTGGAAACGACCAGGGCAGTGTTGTCTATTGTGGGTATTGTGCAAGCGCCGCCACCTTACAATACCAGATGGTTACAGTCGCTTCGCGACTGCAACCATATGGCCTTCGGGCTACCCTACATGTCCCACTCCACCACATCCTTTCCCACCTTCAATACACCTCATGGTTGAAATCCCCTTCAAAAACTACCTAAATACGATCCCAATGGCTTTAGATGATTTAAATAATTAATTAACATAAATAAAAAGTATTAAAAAGTATTAAAGTAACTTAAAAAAGCTATCTGGACGGGAAAGGGCCTGGGCAGAGGGGGAAGGGGGCGTGGCATGCCGGGAAAGGGCCCCCACCCCTTTTACTAAGGAAAAAACTTTCAAAGTTAATTTTAATAATTTAAACGAAAACCTTTTCGTAATTTTTTTATCAGTTTGGGGGTTTCTGACCACGCTCTATCCGAATCCGAAGAGAGCTAAGCTCTAGCTCCTTTCCCCTTCGAGTTGAATTCGGGACCGGACAGACTGACAGAGAGACCACAGCAAAATTATTATAGTTGATTCCTTCATCACCACCTTATCACAGCCAAATGCCGACAACCAGGATATGTCGACAGGTAAAGCGCTCATTTCATCCAATGGCCATTCTTTCTCACGTTTAGCTTTCAAGACGAAAGATCAAAAACGATCCGCCTTTTTGCAGGCGGTATCAGTTTTTGGGCGTTTGAAGACGGCCGATTCCTTGAATAAAACATGCGAATCGACAGCTTCCAGAAAACAAGATGAGGGCGTGGGTGGCAGGGGCCAGATCCCCTTAAAACCCGCGACAACCCACGGTGAGCCAACATTCAACATGCGCTCCATTCTCTACATCCTGCTCCTGGTCGCTATCGTCGCCGTTACGGTAGTTGAGGTGGGTGAGGGCGAGAGATGTTCGCGGTATAGAATATCGGCGTGCAAAAGAAATTAGCAACTTGCCGGTGATAATCTACTTTTCTCGGGCTTCGTAATTTTTGGAGTTGTCATCGGTCCATGCGGTGCCATTTTGGCGAAGTTAAAACAGTGCTTTTCGCTTCCAAAAGTAGCTTTTTCGCGCAGATTTTGAGTTTTCGAGAACATGTGCAGCGCGTTCAGCGTGGCAGAAAACGCCTGCTGGCGAGATTTTGCAAAATTTCCTGGCCGGAAGTGGCTAGGATGGGCGCTGGAAGTCGGTACCAAGGTTTCTAGAAATTTCTAAATGTCTGGTAACTTATGGTTTTTGCAAAAAAAAATGATATTTCAATTCGGAAAATTATCTAAAACTAAACATTTTTGAAAAAGTCGGCATTTTGGTCAAAATTTGACCCCTTTTTGGCCGAAAATCGCTATGTTTAATATTTTCTAGTAAAAACTTGTCAAGTTAAATTTGGAATATTTAATAATATTTTCAAATTTAACTTTGAAGTTGTGGATACAGTAAAACTAATTATATTTGGAAAAATCCTAAGAAAAAATCGCCCCCCCCCCACCCGATAACGCGAAAAAACCTAAATTTCAAAATCATCCGAAATGCCCGTGGAAAGTTCTGGCGCAGAAAACAAGAAACACGTTCGATTTTGGCCAGTATCGTATGGTGGAACAAATTTATAAGGAGAACTGTTTCAGGGCAAACAATGCGGCCCGAACGTGTGCAGCTGGTACGAGGCTTGCTGCAAAGACCTCAACTACACGTGTTCGCTCCCAGTTTGTGGCCACCTCTGAATGCACCCTCCCCGACCTGGCCATTGATAAATTGATGATGATAAATTGTTAAGCAAACGGCTTAACGCACGAAAAGACGGAACACAAAAATCTTCAACAAAAAGGGGATCGAACTACACTACACTTTACTTTACCCCCCCCCACCCCCAGCCGGAATGTTTTGGCTATAACTTTTTTAATTTGCATTATTATAGGCTCAAATTAAAACCCTTAATATATATTTCGATGCTCTATCGAATGGCGCGGCAAAAACCCCGACAAAATAAGTGAAAATACCGAAAACTTTCAGACCATTCGGCTTTGGTGGGTGCAGGTAAAGTAAAGTCTTACCGAACACAGTGGCCATAATTTTTTTAAAAACAATTATTGTTTAAAAACAATAATTTAATGGTAAATTTGGTTATTAAAATAACTTACAATCCCCAGCAGCATCACGGCGGTGATGAGGTGTTGATAGGTTTGGTAGAAGACGGGCCGCAGAATGGCCAACCCGCCGTCGATGACCAGGCAGAACATTGAGGTAGATAGGGAGAAGGTGTTCGCGTACTGTAACGGAATTACGTGGCGTAATGGGTTAAATAAGGGTTGTTTTGGCTGCCGAATTAAATGGCGTAATCGGTTAAATATTGGGAATTCATACCTGAATTGCCCGCAGCCAATTGCACGTCGACACGTGAAAAAGCCGGGCGCACGGGTCGTCGGTGTGCAAAAAGTACTGCGAGACTTGCAGGAACTAAAACAGGGCCTTGTAGCGCTTTAAAGGGAGGGTGACAGTCAGGATTCGGTGTTGTAAAATCTATTAAAAAATTGACTTACATGTGAAATTGCCCCAAAAATTGCATACGATAAAATAAAGCTGATCTTCGCGACGAGAAGCAGCTGGAAAATCGATTAAAAATCGCGATTTGAAAAAGTTGTCTAAAATTTATTAAATATCATGATACAAAATTAAATGCGCTATATAGTACAACTGACCAAATTAATCTTCAATTTAAGAATATTTGCAAATCGTGGTTGTTGTAATTTTAAGACAGGTTAACGGCTTAAATTTAGCACGGATTTCACAAATTGCGTAATCGAGCATTATCAAAAATTAATTTAATTTAATGAATTTGGAAAATTGAATATAGCTTTTGTTTTGAAAACCAAACTTACTAATTTATCAAATTACCCTAGTTAAGATTATTCGGATTAAAGTTAAGAAATTTAACTCACATGAATCTCGGCATAAAGCTGCAATACCCGTGACCAGAATAGATGGACAATCAATGGAATAGCGATCGTACAGAGGATACCTCGTAACAAAGTAGCCATTAGGTAGGGGCTTCTAATGTCCAGCAATTCTGTGGCCACCTCACAATATAGTGAAGCGGTTGAAGGCATCTCAAAATGATAAAAAAATATGCTCATAAATTCAAAAAAGCGCCATTGAGAGCAATGGAATTGAACAATAGAAAATGTTAGAGCATCACGACGAGTTTCCGAACTTTTTAATGAAGGCATACTTATGCGGTGACAACTAGCAGAACTTTTGAACAATTCTTGTCAGATTAAACTTGAAATTCGAAATTTAACGACAAATTCTTGGTTCTAGTTTAGGAACTTCGAAAAATTAGAAGAGAAAGAGGAAAAATTAAGCTTAGAATTCTCAAAAGTTGCAGGAATCAGGCGGGAACTTAAACATCGAAATTATTTGCTGCAAAATTTTTCATTGTCGTAGAACTCGATTAAATTCAATAACATTTCACGCGGGGTTGTTATCATCCGGTGCAAAACCTTTGCGAAATTATGCTCGTAAAGCCATTTTTTATTTTCCAGTAACTCCTATGCAAGGCGTGAGAAATTCTATTGTTTCTTTTCAGGAAAAGGGCAAATTCTCACGCTGGTTAAAAGTTGCAGAAAAATCGAAGGCGAACGCTACTTTAATCTAGCTATTAAAACCGTAATTTGAAATTCCGCGTAGCTGTCGACACCTAGTTGAGCAAAACGGTCAATTCTCGCATTTGCCTGTCTTTTTAGGCAGGCAGGCAGGCAGTTTTCTAGGCTCCAAAAACTACTGACTTTTTGCTCCTTCCGGGTCTGTCAACAAGCACCAAAATCCAGAAATTTAATAAGGGCACTAAACCAAAACTTTACGAGCTGTATACCGAAAAAATCTGAACGGCCCATTCCGACCGAATTTATGGGCGGGCGCATGCAATGAACCTCGCTGCCGACCCATGGCGAAAAGCATAATGACCCCATCGTTTTTTCTCTAGAATTCATTAAACGACCGCGTGTTAAAATCATCAACCGTAAAGCACCTGGATTTCGGGGTGATTGGTTGGAAAAGAGAGAAATAGAGAGAGAGAGAGAGAGAGAGAGAGAGAGAGAGAGAGAGAGAGAGAGAGAGAGGAGAGAGAAGGACGCCAAACTACGGTATCATCGGGGGCGTGAGTGAGCTGTACGTTTTGTCTGGGGGCGCCAGGCCGGCTAATTGGCTGCCAAATTGTGGGTTTTGAAGCCGAAAATGCTAGCATTTTGAGCTGACTAGGGAAGTGCAAATAAAAAATCCAGCAAATCGCTTAGCAAAAATATGGGTCTGATAGAGTCGGCGACGGGGATACCGAAACTGCAATCAGAATTTGCAAAACGCTTAATACAAAAAAGTTATGAGCATTTTAAGTTTTGCACCACTTACTCGGCCCTCCCTGATGAGCCCCTCCCAAAGAGGGGTGACCGCCTGTCGAGTGGTGTAGTGGATAACTAGCCTGCCTCTGGGGCGGGGGGTCTCTGGTTCGACTCCCCGGTCATGCAAACTTTTTTGCTTTTTGCTCAAAGTCAACAACATCGCGCATTTTCAAAGTTTCAAAGTCGTAAAGGGCGTTCTCTTAATTTTTAAATTCATGCAACCGATTACAAAGTGGTGGCGGGAGTGCAAGTAATTTTGCAGATAGGGCACACACATTCACCTCTGTTTTTTTCGTAAGGTATGTCTACACGCAGTCAATAATATAGAAAATGTTAAAAAATCTAAATTTCGGTCTTCGAAACTTTGAAAAAGTGTGAAGTTGTTGACTTTGACCAAAAAGCAAAAAGTTTGCATGACCGGGGAATCGAACCAGAGACCCTCCGCCTCAGAGGCGGGCTAGTTAGCCACTAGACCACTCGACAGGCGGTCACCCCTCTTTGGGAGGGGCTCATCAGGGAGGGCCGAGTAAGTGGTGCAAAACTTAAAATGCTCATAACTTTTTTGTATTAAGCGTTTTGCAAATTCTGATTGCAGTTTCGGAATCCCCGTCGCCGACTCTATCAGACCCATATTTTTGCTAAGCGGTTTGCTGGATTTTTTATTTGCACCTCCCTAGTGAGCATAGCTGTTTAGATGGTTAGCCAAAAGAAATCTCTAGAAGGATCAGCTGGATTTATCAGCCTCGCTCGCTGGCTCTCTCTCTCGCCCTCTCTCTCTCTCCTCTTTCTCTCTCTTGCTTTCGATCTCTCTCTCTTTAATAAGGGGACGGAAAAGTTAAAATATGGAATCTGGATCCAAAGAAATGGCTTTGGATGCAAAAATCTCTAAAAAATGGCAGAATCGTCCCAAAGCTATTTGAGAACCTGTTAGTCCCAAAAAGAATATGTGCTGCGTAGCAGGGGGGGGGGGGGGGGGGATTTTAGTCGGGAATACTGATTTTCTACTTAGTAAGCTACAAAAAGACAATGTTCGAAAAATGTGATAATTTGTAGGAGATATTTCTATCTAAAACATGTGTAAAATGATATAAAGTGCTTTATCTTTTGTTATGGCGCCGTATAGTGCCGCGAAACAGGGGACCCCCCTTTTAACAGTACCAAAGAAAGTCTAGCCGGAAGCTTTCCTGGCTTTTATAGCTATCAAATTAATCCACTTCCTTTTCTGGGTTACTCGCCCTTTTTAGTGCTGCAAACTTCGTACGAAAATGGCTCTTACGAGACGCATAATTGCTGGGTTTAAAATATTGCGTCGAATGCCTTGGCAAGAGTGGCTGTCTGAAGTTTGTGGCAGCGTTGCCGTTTTTCCGACGCGCCCCGAAACACAAACTTGTAATTTGGGGGAGATGGAGGTAATTGTCAGCTATTGGATGGTACGAAATTTTCAGGCTGGTGTGCTTGGACCCGCCGGATTTTTGCGGGGTTTCAGAGACCCAAAAAAAACAGGTTGCAGCTGCACCTGGAAATGTCTCGAGTTTGGAATAGGGAAAGAGAGAGAGGGTGAGAGAGATAAAGAGAAAGAGATAGAGATAGAAAGAGAGCGAGAGAGTGAGAGAGCGAGAGAGCGATAGAAAGAAAGAGAGAGAAAACGGAGAGAGTGAGAGAAAGAGACAGAAAGAGAGGGAGAGAGAAAGAAATAAAGAGAGAGAGCGAGAGAGATAGAGAGAGAGGGGAAAGAGATAGAGAGATAGAGAGAGGGAGAGAGAGAAAGAGCGATAGAGAGCGAGATAGACAGACAAATAGCTTGAGAGAAGTAGATCCCAAAATAAAAGGCCCGAATTCCGAAGCGAAACATTGACGTAGCTAGCCCCAAAATCAGAGAAACCTAAAAAATGACAAATTAACGTGACTACTACACGTGGAGATAATTTTGCAAAGAATTGCACAGAATACGCAAAATGACCAAAAAGGGTCCTTTGTGTGATCTGAAATCAAAAGAGGAGCGCCGCAAACGAACCCCCGAAAGGGCCGCAATTCGGAATGCGGCGTAGTGGAGAATCTGCTGGAGACGACAGTCCGCCCCTCCACAACCATCACACGCGCTTTTAATTTGGGGAATCGACGAAAGAACGTCCTTTTTAAGTCCCATAGGGAATCGTGGAGGATTTGTGGTAATTTATGATGACCACTGTTCAGATGAGAATTGCCAGGACAATCTGGGTTTTTTTCTAAAAAAACTGAGTTATTTTTAGGGCATCTGTGGGACTCTCTATTTTTATTGAGATATGAAAAACATGTAGAAACTGCTCGGTTTACTGTAGTTTTTTAGGAAAATTTAAGGCAATTTTAAAGCCTGAAATTATGGATTTTATGGGGGACTATGAAGTAAAAAATTTGGATATCTTGATTGGAAAATCTGGAACCTAAAAATAACAACAAAAACGTTGAATAAAATAACGACAAATTTTTTCGACATGAAAAATATTGCAAAAAACAAACGTTTGGTTCAAAAAAAGCCTTTTTGGAGTTACAAGTCGTAATGCCCTAAAGAAGCGCAATTCAGCGATTTTTCGTGGTTTCCGGACCAATCCTGAAAGCGAAGGATAATTGCCTGAGGAAGCATTCCCTGAAAAATTTTTTTCCTAAAAATCCTAAACACGGAACGCATTCATTAAAATTTTAGCACCACAAATCATCGACCAAATTTCCCGCTCGAAGCCGGCCCATTAAAAATCTGACATGCAAGACGGCTGCTTTTTGTCGGGCCTGGGAATCGGCCTGGAATACAAAAATTCGTTGGCGGCAGCCAACCACCGAGCGACGGCAGTAAAAGCATGCCTGAAATTAATGTTAGACCCGGAAAAATGGGGTTAAAGCGATCTTTCCAAAAATAATCAGAAAAATTGTAGGAGGGGTCGGCCAAAATTCTGGACTTCAGTTGCGGAAATCCTGAAGAAAAAGAAAATGCACAACATCCATAAATCGATAGAATTCGTTATTAGAAACACCTTTAAAGGCAATAGAAATCCGAAAATGGATAACTTCTATCGGATAGCTGCCGACAACTCGGCTACACGCCAGATGACGTTGTATAATATTTCATTGTTGATAATCTTCAAAATCAGAATGTTTCAATGAAATGCAGATGCCATTTTAGGCGTCATTTGGAATATTGCGTAGTTTTGGAGATCCAGCCAACGGTGGGATTCGGGTTTTGCGCTGATGTCCCTGTTCAGGGGCAAAAACTGCGAGGATTGTTCTGACAATCTGACAAAATTGTGAGTTGGAATCAATACTTTGTGTAAAATACCGCTGTATCCCGGGGTTAACTTGTCATTGCCTTTAAAATTCATTTATGGCGGGTTTGGCGTTTTGAGGGCTACGAGATTGGCCACTTGAACGTTTTACGCGCGATTTTTTAAATTTCTGTAATTAAATCTCATTTATAAGCCAAAAAATGCTTTTAGAGGACTGAAGTTAACGTAGTATCGCGTTTTCTTTGATTTAGGATCAAGTTTGGTACAGAGAGACTTTTTTTTGCTTGTCAATCCCTTTAGAATCTTATATTTTGGTGCAGATTTCTGCTCATTCCATGACGCACCTTTCGCCAAATCGGACTCCTTGATTGGGTTGGCCTTTTTTGATCAAAGATGATATAGGGGGAAGCGTGGCTGCATTGCAAAGCCGGTTCTCCCAGTTGGCAGCCGGGAGCTTTTCCCTCTTCTCGCTAATCATTCCAAGCCGCTTCCACCCTACTGATTTTTGAGATAAGCCTGGTAAGCCTCGATTGGGTGACGTGCCGTTCATATCTTAAATTCTCGCGCCGTCGTTTCATTGAACTTCTTAGCTGGGGGCCATAATTCATTCTCGCTAGACCGATGCCTCCGGTTAGCCCAAATTTTGGCAGAAAAAAAATTCTTTTATTAATTTAGAATTCAGCAAAACTCTTCGTGGCCAGATATCGATTAATTAATTAAACTTAGTTGTGTAAGATAGCGTCTTACGTTTGGAAAACCGGCAATTACGAATTTTTGAACGATTACGCCACGTTTTTCGCGCGATCCTTGCCTTACATGTCCCTTTAAAGCTCCACCTGGCTTTCTCTGCTTTTGAAGTATTCACCAATTTAATTTTCTACACAATTTTCATGATTTTTGCTTGGCTTATGGGAGCTAAAAGGTGCCAGCTTCGATCCCTTCCAACGACTAGGTGTCGACAGCTACCCAGCACTCCAAATTACGTGGGGATCCCTTGGATTTTTTACAATTTCCGATAAACACCCGAAAACCTGGAAGGCGTAATTTGGAGTGATACGTTGATGTCGAGACCGGATCAGGGAGAGGCGTCGATTTTTATGCTTGCCAGCCCCTTTAAAAGTTGTATTTTTCGAGCGAGAAAGCTCTATTTTTGCGCTCGGGGCGATTAATTAGTGGAAGCGCCAGAGTCCACAACACGAAAAGGACAACATAACACAGCAGAGAGAGAGAGAGAGAGAGAGAGAGAGAGAGAGAGAGAGTGAGAGAGAGAGAGTGAGAGCGTGAGGGAGCGAGAGCAATAGACACAATGCACATGATCAGCTGTTCCCCACACCACGTTTTTTCCAAGATGGAATCAGGGTGGGGGTCAATCCCCCCACCCAAACGAACTAATCCTGTCGATCTCTTATTTTTTGTATTTTTCTGTCATTTTCCGTAGACTAAAAAAAAGTTCTAATAATTTTAGAGAAAATCCAGGCTTAAAAACCTAATTTTCAATTTTGAAATTTGTTGGCAGTTTATTTTTAATTTCTGAATTTCCGGCTATTGTTAAAATAAATTTTGTTATAACTGATGTCGTGCTAACGGTAACTTTTATCGTCATACACCGAGTTAATGCCCGATTTTTACAACATGCCCTTTTCATTGCTCCTGGCCTCCCAATTTTTCACAGCCGTGTCGTGTCGTCCACCGCCAAACAATCGCCAGTTTTGACATTGTGCTTGTTGTTTTCCACTCTCTTACCCTCTTACTTACTCTCTTACCCCCACCTTGTCTATACCAACCACCACTCAGAGTGTCCGATTCTCGGTGTCAAAAGTTATCATCGGTCTCGCCCCGTTCGAGAGGGGTTATTTTCCGCCACAGGCGTCGCGATCCCTTCGTGTCATTAATTTTCGTTTCCTGTTTCTTTTGCCGTAATGATTATAGCAAGTTACTATAATTTTTCAAGAGCCCGTTTAATATACTAAAGCTTCTAAAGGGACTGATAAGCTAGAACCAAAGATCTGACGTCTTTCTTCTCAACTTTCTGGCCATTCACCCGTTTTTCCGCTGCCGGCTTCAAAAAACCTCAGAATTTTTGAAGCGCAAGCTGCAACTATGGATTTTTGGATTTTGGCGCGGCCCGCGATGCGCTAGGCGCTAGGCCGATTTTTCATTGCGTACTTGATTACGGTCTCTTCAAATGACGGATCTCGGAGCAAGTTCCGTGCCGTGTCCCCTTAAAAATCACAGAAAATCCATAGCCATGCCTTGTCCGATCCTTTAAAAGGGTTAGGCAACGCGAAATTCACCCCCTTTACTGCCTAGGTCTCGACAGCTACACAAGATTACAACATCATTATCTCCTTCCCAACTGTTCCATTATTTTTGAAGCTCCAATAGGCTATAAAGGTCCGGACTGGGAAGTGTGTATCGGTGCCTTTCGTAGCTTTCTCGATCCAGTCGTACAAATAGTGGATTTTGCCGCTTTTTTGATTTTTTTAAGCCGCCAAGAACCAATTTTCGATCGCCGAATCTCTATCAGCTGATCAGTTCGCTACTTTACGCACTTATTCCGCAAAAATCGAGCAATTTCCGCTGCTTGAAACTTATCGCTTCATGCCATTCTCTATTTGTTTTGGCAGCCGATCTCTGCCACTATTTTTTGATCATGATGATCGGGGGCCGTTGTGCAATTCGTGTGTGGCCGGCCCCCGCTGCCGCATAATCCGCTAATCGGCCGCCAAATCGCCGCTGCTGCCCGTTTTCACGGGGCCAGCAAAAGCAAAAGCTGGGCCAGCGCTCATTTTTCGGCATGCCATAAAATACGAGGGAACACGATTGACCCGGGTCCGTTCCGTTTTCTTTTTAATCCCCGCGTTTTTTGGACCGCGCCTGTGCTTATTGTGCTTGATTATAAAATCACTAAAAGCTACGAATTCTAGCCAAGGGCAATCCATTCTCTATAACCCTTGCTACTCCTCCTACTCACAAAAATAATAAAATTCAATAGTAAATATTCAAACAAATTTTGAATAGAATTCCACTACATTCACGGTCGTCAAATATCAAAAAACTAATAAAATTCGGCTTAAAATTATCATAGTTACTTTTTGGAGTTTTTAGTGGCAAAAACAAATATTTGGCTTTCTTAAGATAGATTCTATAACTTTTTAAATTTCATTATTTCTAAAAATCATATGTATATATTTATTGATCAGTTCTATTGTTGTAAAGCGCAATTTTATTTTAAAAACTTTGAACAACCTATGGTTTTTGTTCAATTTTTGATTTCGCGTTTTTTTGCAAGAACCGAAACATTTCTGCAATTTGCTATGAAAATTCTGAAAGTTTCATAAAGGCTATGACATTTTTTGATGATTCACTTGCCATAAAGTTTTGATAAAACGTCGTATGATTTGGACAATTTTTCCTTCGCTGAATACAGTCAAAATGTCCACCCCATCATTCCCATTCACTGCCGCAAAATATAATAGGACCGGGTTTCAAAATGGGGCCAACCGGTTTTTTCAGTCCATTTTCTTTTCGAAATGTGTTTTCTTTTCATGATTTTTTGGGGCGGGTCGTTTAGGTTTTTAGAAAATTGCCGTCCATTAAAAAAAACACATGTAGGTGTTTTTAGAACTTTGACGAGAAGATACGTCCATTAATGCAATTGTCTCAGGTTGGAAGCTAGAATAATAAGAAAAATGTGAAATTACGGAAAACGCGTAGTTTACGAGAAAATCGTCCGTTTTCATTATGCTTCAATATTCTTATCATTTTGTTTTCATTAATGCGTAATTCGTTCTCCCGGAAAAGTGACGAGTACGGTTTTTACACCGATAATTTGCGTTTTTCCCCAACTAAATTTGCCTATCCCAGCCCAAGAGTTTGGATTTCCTATTTTCCTGAACCGATTGTTTTCCAGCCCAACTCAGCGAAAATGGAGGAATCACTAGATGAGCGGTTACGGAAAGTGCGCGAGAAGAATTCGAATGAGTTGGTTGGGTGCGTTATTTCTACGCTATCTTACTGTCGATTTATTCCGGTATTGTATTACCTATCGTAATCTAAGCTTTTTTATCGAAAAACAATAATCAAGAAACCAACATCTTTAGCTCCCACATCACCCTCATCAACTTTCTGCGCGGCATGATCGGACCCGGCTGTTTTTCGGTGCCGTTAGCGTTGAAATTTGCCGGGTTATGGGTTCGTTTTCTCAACGATACACATTAAAACGCATTGAAAAACGATTTAAAACATCAAATAATATATTTAATTTTATGTTTTCAGACCGGTTTCGCCCTAATCTTCATCATCGGCCTCATAACCACCATCAACATGTCAAAACTCGTGCGGTGTTCACAATATCTATGCGCACTGTGGGTTGACTACGCAACAATACACATTGACACATGCGTTTAGAACAAATACCGGTGCTCTAAACTACGGTAATATGACCGAAGAGGCCTTCAAACAGAGCTTTCCACGCCTGCAGCGACATTCCCTGGCGGCAAAGTGGGTTCTGGGAGCGAAATTTGAGTGTTTTAACCGGGCAGGGCAGGCTAGCAGGTTTTTTAGGAGTTTTAAATGTGAAAACTGGTTTAATGTAAGCCTAAAAAATTGCAAAAAGCCTACGACACTCGGGATTCCCAAGCCGTCTCCGATCCAAGTACTAACCGAGCCCAACGTTGCTTAACTTGGCAGATCGGACGGGATGCCGTGCTTTCAACGTGGTATGATCGTAGGCGGGGGAATGGACAGGGGAATGGCCCAAGAGATTTGTCAGTGCCTTTGGGAGCGCCCAACCATGTTGACCCTCTCTCCCCTCCCTTCCTTCGCCTACGACCATACCACGTTGAAAGCACGGCATCCCGTCCGATCTGCCAAGTTAAGCAACGTCGGGCTCGGTTAGTACTTGGATCGGAGACGGCTTGGGAATCCCGGGTGTCGTAGGCCTTTTGCACCTTTGCCGATGCCCTACATTAAAAAGGTTAGTTTTTGCGGTCCAAAACTCACAAATGGCCTCTGCTGGCTTGCCCGACGATAAAAAAATGTTTGAACGATGGAGCCAACAATTCAATTTGCTTAATCTTTAAAGGGGCTCGGAAGTCAAAATTCTCGCGTGCGGGGATTGAACCTACGGGTCAAAAAACGAAAGGGTCACTGCCGAGAAGTGCTAAAAAAGGGATTTGATTGCGAAAAAAACGTAAAATGTTTGAGAAAAACCGAATTCTTTTTGGGGCGAAAACGACATATTGAGTGCACGGCGATTCCATGTCGTAATGCGTTGTAAGGGGGGTTTGCTTATACTTCCGAAAATCCGATTCCCGAAAATTGGTTTCCCGAAACTCGGAGCCCCGAAAATCGGAGTCCCGAAAAATCTGAGTCCCGAAAAATCTGACTCCCGAAAATCTGAGTTCTTTTCGGATTTTTCGGGACTCAGATTTTTCGGGACCCCGATTTTCGGGACTCCGAGTTTCGGGAAACCAATTTTCGGGGATCCCATTTTCGGGAGTGTCATCGGAATTCGTTGTAAGGCACCCAATCTCTCGATCTCGGTGATTCTCTGGTCAATTTTCATAATTTAAAAGTCTGGAATGATCAAAATACGGTGAGGATTCCGAAAATAGTATCAGAATTTTGAAATTCAAGCGTTTTCGCCTCCAAATAGGGGCAAAAGGTCATGTGGCGCGGTCGCGTTGCGGCCGCATCTGGCTATTTGCCAGGAATCACAGCAGGGGGCCGTGGACCAGATTTCGGAGCCCCTTTAAATTGAATTTGCCTCAGGTTAATTTTTGCAGTATGCATTTTTATTGCTAAAATTTTTAGTGCATTTTTGTCGTTTTTGTCGTATATTTTCCGAGATCCGACATTTAGACTCTTCATCAACATCTCCCTGTTTATCCTGCAACTCGGCGTCTGCTCCGTCGCCTACATTTTCATGGTCGACCACTTGCATGAAGTGTTGAACCATTTGTGGCCAAACCACGGCCTCACCGACAAAGATCTCATCCTCATCGCATTTATCCCGTATTGTTTTGAGGTCAGGAAATTGTTATTGAATTTTCTACCGCAGTTTTAGGTCTCAATCCGAAATTTCTGGATCCTGAGCGCCGTTTCGGTGGTGGGGAACTGCTTCATGATCGTGGCGCTGGTGACGATATTTGTGGTGAGCTAAAACGGGTTGCTTAGTAGAGACCATTTGGGAAACTTGGCAAATTTTAGTAAATTTGTTACTATTTACCTTTTTGCAAGCTAGCAGAGATTTCTTGAGGCACAAAAAATTTCATTTTCATGTGGTTTTTGAGAAGCAGGCGATCCAGCAGCGAACTTTGACAAATTATGCGCGAAAAAGTGGGTTTGTAGGGGCAAGCAAGCAGAGGTTCTTTGAGTCGATGCCTGCCAAATATGGCCAGAGTCGATGGCCAAAGCTTGCGTCGTTTTCCATAACAGGGCAAGCTAGCAGAGAACCTTGGGGAAGAGGACACAAAAATCGGATTTCTTGGAGGTCCACCTAGCAAAGATTTTACGAGGGCAGAGGCCAAAACGTACTAGCTAAAAGCATTCCTACAAGGGCGAGCTAGCAGAAAACTGGGTGAAATGGGCATCGAAAATTCTGGTCGGCAGGGGCAACCAAGCAGAGATGCTTGGAGCTCTAGCAGCCAAAACGACCCTTTTTATGGATTCTGAAAACAGGCAGTCTAGCAGAGAAATGTAAGGAATTCGGACTCCCTCAAAATCCGGATCTGGGGGCTATCTAGCGGTGATTTTTGGGGAGGCAGTTATTTTTCTGTACTTTCTGTACTTTTTTAGGGGTAGGCAGGCTAGCAGCAATCATTAGAGAGTTTTAAGGCTAAAGTTGAGAGGCAGACGAGCAGAGATCCTTTGACCCAATATTTTTCCAGAAACTCGTCCTCTCCCGCAACATGATCCCCGAACTACCAGTGTCCACCGACTTCAACGGATTCATGCTGGCAGCCGGCTCTATTTTATATGCGTTCGAGGGACAAGCCGTGGTCAGTCCCCCTCGCTTCAATTCCCCTTTAAACGCCGGCCTCTTCCGGTCAGCTGTAGGTATTGCCCATCGAGAACAAACTCAAACACGCATCCGAGATGAATGGCTACACGGGGATACTCACGACAGGTACTGTATACAGTAGATTTTACGTGACAAAGATAATAATTTAAGCTTTAAACTTCAAAAATGAAAAATTCAGGAATTTTCCCCTTTTAATCGACAGGCACTAACTTACTTACTCAAGGCACTTTACCTTGAGAGAGTCGGGACTTAAATTTGAAAATCAGAAAATACAAATTTTTGAGTAAATTTGCATATAAAGAACTTAAAAAAAAATCAATTTCAGACGTTTTTTTGAAGAATTCTATGAAATTCTAAATCTAGAAAAAACCTTCAACAAATTTCAAAACTCGAAGAAAGCGACATTTTACCAATTATAAACTTCAAATTAAACATAGCAACTTTTTATGAATTTTGCGATTTTATAATTGGAATTAAGCGAGGTTTGATCAATTTAAAAAGTTACAATTTAGATCAATTTTTTACAAGTTTCAAATCGTAAATTTAGGAATGACGCTAACTACCGTAACCTACGCATTTTGCGGATTTTTCGGGTATATCGTTTATGGGCCAAGAGTGGAGGGAAGCATTACGCTGAATATGCCATCGGATTCCAGGTAGTTTTCAGAACTATGTAGCAACGCATTTTATAGCGTCGTATTTGCCGTAAAATGCTTATTGATGGTCATTGTCTTTTCCGGGTATTTGCTGCAACACTATGTCATCGTGGAGGTATTTCTCTCTCTTACTCTCTATCACTCTCTCTCTCTCTCCCCTCTCGCTCGCTCTGCCTCTCTCGCTCGCTCCCTCTCTCTTTCTCTCTCTCACTCTCTCTCACTCTATCTTTCTCGCTCTCTCTCCCTCTCTCTCGCTCCCTCTCTCTCCCTCTCTCTCTCGCTCCCTCTCTCTCTCTCTCTCTCACTTTCTCTCACTCTATCTGTCTCGCTCCCTCTCTCACTCTCTCTCGCTCCCTCCTCTCTTGCTCACTCTAGCTCTAAATTCCAGATGTACATCCCGGAAATGTGGGCCTATTTGCGGAAAAAGGGATATCGTTACCGTACCATCATGGCCATTGAGTATGCTAATCGATACGCCATTCTTCTATTGTCAAGTAGGTCTTTTGAAGCATTAAAAATGATTAATTCCAGTGGGCCTCGCGTTGGCCGTCCCAAATCTCGGCGATATCATCTCGCTAATCGGGGTGTCAATTGGCATGATGTTAGCGATGGTCATACCTCCGTTGATTGAGGTACGGTGGTTGGGGCTAATATTTAAGGTTCAGAAATTTCTTGACCCCACGATTTTTTACAAAATTTGTAGCTTGTAATTCAATGGTATTTTGCTGGAATTGCATTTCTCTTACGCTGCACGTATTTTTAAAGGCTTATTTCTGACAGGGAATTAAATTAAAGGTTAGAGTGCAGTTTACCCCCCCCCCCCCCCCCCCAGCCGCAACTTTACAGCCATACGTCCTATTAATGCGCCGAGTATCTCAAAATGTTCGCCGTGATCGAGTTGCTATGGCCAAGTTGTTTTATTACATCAAAAATTGTTCGAAAAATTTTATAACAATTATAAATCTGGGTTTTCTTTTGTTAATTTTTGCTGTTCCAAAGTGAGTGTTCGTATCTCGGCTATCTTTTAACGTACAGAGCTGTCAATAGTACCAAAATGTAGCTCTTGCTCCGGAGAATCAGCCTACAGTGCATTTGAGTCCAAAAAATAACGGAAAATAAAAATATTTGAGTTTTAGGCGCCTGATACATCGAAGCATAGCGGCTTAATCTTTTCAACTTTCAAAATTTTGTAAAAAATTTCTAACAATTTTTGATGTAATAAAACAACTTGGCTATAGTAATTCGACCACGGCGAATATTTTGAGATACTCCACGCATTAATAGGACGTATGGCTGAAAAGTCCGAGCTGGGGGGGGTAAACTTCACTTAAGCCAAATTAAATAGGATGACTAAGAGTTAGTAAAGAATAGGAATAATTTATACCTTTAGTGGGTCACGTTCCTCCCGGTCTGGCTGCGCGAGAATCGCCGTAAGGAAATGTGGCTCCAGTCCGCCTTCAACGTCTTCTCAATATGCGTCGGTCTCGTGTTTATGGTGTTCGGCCTCAAGTCGAACATTCAGAATATGACAAGCAAGTAGTGATCATTGCGGAAATACGGGTTGAAAATAGCGTCATATGTTGTGCGATTCACTTGCAGATAAATCAGATTCATTCCTTGCAATTTCATAGAAAAACAGGAGATCGTAATAAGGTGCGTGGGGAAATAACCGTAGGCTAGGACCGGGATAACGCGGGAGGGAGAAAGAGAGAGAGAGAGAGAGAGAGAGAGAGAGAGAGAGAGAGAGAGAGAGAGAGAGTGAGAGATTGAGAGAGAGTGAGAGAGAGAGAGAGAGAGAGGGAGTGAGAGAAAGAGAGACAGAGAAAGAGAGAAAAAGCAGACGCTAAATGGCTGAAAACTAGGAAAAAAATGACTTCACAAGTCCTTTAAAAACGATTGGAAGCGGTATTTACAAGCATTTCATAGAAAACAAAAAAAATGAATTTACTAGGCGTCCCGATACATGCTCGACATTTCCTTCGGTTTTCTTGGAAGCGGTTGTACCGTAATCCTGGGGCAACATGGTAGACAGCAGCAAAGTAATGGGACGGCGCGCCTGAAAATGGATTTAGCACTCTCTCTATCTTTCACGTTCCCTCACGCTCCCCCTCTCGCTCCCTCTCACTCTTTCTCGCTCTCGCTCTCCCACTCTCTCAATCTCGCTAACGCTCTCTCTCTCACTCCTCTCGCTCGCTCTGTCTCGCTCTCTCTCTCGCTCCCTCCCTCCCTCCCTCTCTCTCTCTCTCTCTCTCTCTCTCTCTCTCTCTCTCTCTCTCTCTATCTCTCTCTCTCTCTCTCCCTCTCTCTCTGCCCACCTGTAAGGCGGCAAACAGAAGCAAGTCAAAACGACGAGCCAGGTTGGTCGATAGTAGGAGACCAGGTATTTGAATCCTTCCATCACTGCCTAAAAATTGACGTTTTAAAAGAACTCGAAAGCGTGAGAATCGACCCTTCGGTTGGCTAGGCCTCGACAGCTACTCGACACCCCGAATTACGCGCCAATTTTCTTCCAGGTGCCCTAAAAACGCGGCTTTTGGCCGGCCGCCAGGCTGTCGAGACCTAGTATATGAAAGGTCGATTCTCGCGGTTTTTGATAATTTAAAGGGACCGGCATGGTAAAGATTTGGTCCAAAAAAGTGAAAAGAGGCTTTAAAGCACGTTGTAAAACCGTACCCTCCACATTTGCGTAGCCGAATACTGATAGTTGGGATCCATTTGTTGCTCGTAAGTTGGTGCTCCCTCTCCATTGATGTGCGTTATTATCCACAGAATGGCGTCCACTGGAATATTCTCTACGTCTTGTGCTCTCTTCACTCTCTCCCGCTTTCTCGCGCTGTATCTCTCTCTCGCTCTCTCGCTCTCTCTCTCTCTCTCTCTCAGGCACTCTCTCACTCCCTCTCGCTCATTAAGCAGCGACTTACAGAAAAACGGGATCAGCGTCAAGTATGGAATGATGAGATAGATGAGGAACCAGACGAGCCGAGATCGGGCGTCCCTAATCTGCATATCTGTCGATGCCGCATGATCGTAGGGCAGGTCTTGGCTGACCAAGTAGAGCGACTGAAACGACTTATTTGGTATTTTTAAAGGGACGACAGGGACCATGGATTTTTACAACTATTTCATTGTGGAATTTCCCCCTCCGTTACCCTCCAAACTTACAAAAATCATCTGTGCGGTGATGACGACAAATCCGATAAGCGTAGTCAGCTGCGAGATGACGCCGATTATCTGAAATTTTATATTTTTCGGTTTTCTAAAGCGCAAAAGCTTGAAAATTTGACTTTTTATATTCCGTCACGACGCTACCTTGGCCGGCATTTTCACATTGCTTTGGTTTGTTAAAAACCCTGATAACCCTGAACTTTTTTTGATCGCGATCGAGATCTCTTGCTACTCTGGACGTGATCGAATTATCCTTTTTCACAACTGCCGATTTTCTTGGGCGCTAACAAAATGAACCGAGCCACGGAGGGAATCGGAAAGCGTCAGGAAATCAGTGCCAATTACTCCTCGGGCACCCCCCGCCTGCCACCGTTTTATTGGACCTGCTCGAGGGGCAGCAAAAGCGATGCCGATGTTTTGGAAGACTGTTTCCGGTCAAAGGGGTACTGTAGGGCTCATTTTCATAATGTCGAACTTCCTAATGTCGAAATTGCATAATGTCGAAATGTCAGAATGTCGAAATTTACATAAGCTAAAATTCCCGGTAAAGTCCCCGAATTCTAGACAAAAAATGCTGTCGTGAAATAAGATACAAAATAGAATTTGGAAATTTTTTTTGGCTAGGATTTGGCGGTTTCACCGGTAATATTAGCCTATGTAAGTTTCGACATTATGAAATTTCGACATTATGGCATTTCGACATTATGATTTTCGACATTATGATTTTCGATATTATGATTTTCGATATTATGATACCAATTCGTACTGTAGCGATAAAATAAAAAAGTATTTTAAACTGAGCATGCGCGCGCGGTAGTATTTAGAACTTAAGTAAAACGGAGGAAAACATTTAGATTAATTTTGACCTTAAAAACACCGGATGGAAAAAGATCTACGTTATATTGCCCTATCGACGCCGTAACCGATTACGACATGCTTTCCTGACGTTCTGGCTCTTCTAATTGGATTGGCGTTGCTAGTTTCGGGCGGAATGCCAAGGCAAGCTTTTCTATTTGTATTGCGAAACGCCAACCCCCGCAAATTGGCGCAAATTTCCTGACGTTTGGGGCAAAAATAGAGTGGTTCCAGGTGCGGAAAATAGCTCTCTATCACTCTCCCACTGTCTTTCTCACTGTGTCTCTCACTCTCTCGCTCTCTCACTCTCGCTTTCTCCCTTCTCTCGCCCTCTATCTCTCTCCTCCTCCTCTTAAACAACTCACCACCAGCACCACATTTGAATCCTGCTGCCCGGGGATCAAATCGAGGAGGCAGAGGATGAGGGGCACGATCTGGAGCACCATCGATATTGTTCTAAAATTGGCAATAAATTCAAATACCATCAGAAATACTTACTTTACTGGAAATACAAAGATGCTCTCGTCGTCCCGGATGCAAATTCGACAGCAGTGAAGGCCTAAAAAATCAAAATAAGGTTTTTCGCGAATAATCACATCGAAAATTAATTAAAAAATGGTAATAATTGCTTTAAATTATATCAGTAAATTATTTCAAACATACCGATAATGATCATGATCAGAAAATCGATATGAATATACTGAAAGATGGCGCTCTGGACTGACGGATTCCAGTTGATGAATTTTCTGCAAAAAAATAATAAATTGACTTCGTTTTAGCGGTTGCCCTTACTTGGAAAAATCGCTGCTAGTCTCGAATAGGACGAGAAACCCGACCAATTCTTCATAAAGGTTGAACAGCTCGCCGACGCCGACTGGGATGTAGATGGCCATTGTGACCTGAAACACAAGGAGTGAGAGGGAGAGACAGAATGAGAGAGGGACAGATAGAGAGCGAGAGAGGGAGAGAGAGAAAGAGAGAGAGAGAGAGAACGAGAGAGACACAGATAGCCTACCGTTCTCATAAAATCCGGCGGCATTTTGATACCAAGGAGCAGCACAAAGATACAAAAGGCCACTCGAATCAGGAAAATGCCGAGATTCACGTAGACACCCGCGGTCAGGGCTGAAAATCGAACGTTTTACTACCGTATTACCCCCTCACGTTGGCTTTAACGTAGCAATAAACCTTGTGGTAGACCCTGATACAGGAGTCCAGCGTTTTTGCCTTACGGCAAAGGTTGTAAGTGGTTCTACCGTAATATCGTACTTCGTGAGAGGCTATTACCAAATTTATACCCAGTCGTACTACCTTGTTGGCTTATGTACGCTTAGGCACTTACGCTACTTCGTACGTATGACTTACGACAGTTGTCCCCCGGACACGACGGCGCCCAGGTCACCGGAACCTTCGTGGTCGACGGTCCTGTATATGGCTGCGCAGAGGCGCGTCTCGTAGTCGCCTTCATTGTGGTTGCTTCTTCTTCTACGTTTCCTACGCTTGTGCTAGTAGCTTCAGGAGAATCCGTAGCTCTTTCCGCATCCGCCTGCGTCATTTCGGTAATTTCCGTTGTTTCCGTAACTTCCGTATTTTCCTCCGCCACCGTATTAGCGATTTCCGTAGCCTTGGTCGGGAAATTCTCCAAATCCCCGTTCATCACCAGATCCAGCGTTGTTTGCTCGATTTCGGCGGTTGTAGCCTCGGAAAAATCGAAATTTTTGATGGCGGTGGTTTCTTCATTTTCCGAGTTTAAGTTTTTGGTGGTTAAATCTGAGTTTTTCGGCGATACGGTAGCCTCCGGATTTGCGGTTTCTGTGGTGGTGGTGTCATTGTGGACGTCGAATTCTGAGTTTCCTGAATTTTCAAGTATTGTAGAATTAGCGGGATTGGTGGAATTTGTAGTTTGTTGTCCATTCAAGATAGGGAGTAGGAATAGGAATAAAATAGAGCTCTCTCGCATCTCAGCTTTTATACATTCGAGCCCTGAAAATTATAGGTTCAATTTTTATAGAACTCAATCAATAAAAATTAAGCAGAAAATATTCGAAATTATAAGTTTTGATAAAGAATGAATCGGAAATTTTTCAGGTTCTTTTCTTGTTTTTGAATTACGTTTTAATTAATCAAAGAATGGACACAATTAGTGACAAATTTTTATGAAAACCTCCAAAAATTGGCGTCTGAAAATTTGCGAAAAATTAAGCTGAACTCATGTTCAGAACCGTGAGAAACGGGTGTTTTTCGATTGCACCTGTCTACGTCTGACCTCAGACCTCAAAACTGACCAAAAAAGACACCGCCAGGTGAAAAAAGCCTGCCAGCATAAAAAATGTGATGGAAGAGAGCAAAAAACCCCTACAAAATTTTCTAGAAAATTATCGGAAAACTACTGAAACTGAAAAATTGAATTAATCTGTTATAATCCGTTTAAATCTCGGTTAAATTAACCAATTTTGTTTCAGAAATACGCGTAAAATCAAATTTCAAGTAATAATTAGTCCGCCGTGATGGAATCACCAGAAGAAGCCGCCATAATTCAGGGGATGCCCCGCCCGGCTAGAAAGGCCCTTTTCCCCCACTAGGGAATTCAATCGTGGCATTTTGCGAAATTTTTGATGATTGAGGGTATAGCCGGATCAGATGTTCAGCAACAACTTTAAACGGATCGAAAACAGTGGGGCAAATTGCGAAAAAAACACGTCGAAAATAAAATCCGGAAATTAGGTTAGCCCGGCAGTACGCGCAAAAACAAAATGACGCACGGAATATGGATCGTTTTTGAACCGAAATACGGATTATTCGCTTTTTATGAAAAGATGAGAGGCTTGAAAACCGAAATTCAGAGAAGACTGTAGAAAACTTTAAAAAGCCCTGATTTACCGGATTGAGCCGCGACGCAGCCGCTGCGGGTGGACCCGGCCCTGGGATGCGGTAACTTTATAACGACGCACGTAGGAGGAACCCAATTTTTTAATCTGGCTTTCTGATGTTTTTGAGCAACAGAACAAGAAGGCCGTACTTTAAAGGGACCGGGAAGCTTATAAATCGACCCCTTTCCACGACTAGGCGTCGACAGCGACGTAAGGCATCAAATTAAGTATTTGCCAAAAAAAGTGTGACGATCAGAAAAACGCTAAATCGACGCTAAACCGTGCGCCTAGAAATCCTATTTACACGCTAAGTTATTCATACATCTTTAGAGCGCACGTTCAGGGAGGGGCCGTGTACTCGTCCCAACGTGTACACCCTATGGACGTAGGGACCGCGGGCACTGCCTGCCCGTGCTGTGACAGGCCATTCCCCTCCTTTGCGGCGTGGGGCGCCCCTCGCCCCCTTGCCAGGTTGTATCTGTGGCTGACTGGTATCCATCCGCGCCTCCCGAGCGGGTGGCCCGGGTTCGACCCCGGCCGCGGCAAAAAATTTTTGCTTTTTCCAAAAAACGTCCCTGAACGTGCCTTTTAAAGTTTTCCAGTCGATCTCTTTAGGCAAAAACGAACGTTCTCTTACAGGTAATCAACAAGTTGCGTGTGTTAAAATGGACCCTTCCGTAGTCTCGGTCTCGACAACCACGCATTCTAAGACTTTAGGTGGTCACGAAGCAACGAGGAAAGGGGTTTTTTTCGAACCCGGTTGCTGTGTACAAAAAGCTAAAGCGCGCGCAATCCATCGGCGATCAGACATTAGCCAGAGCAAAAAATCAGCAGCGGTAGATAAAAAATCGGCGATTAAATCCAAAGCTACAGGCCTTTTAGAGGAATAGCGACTATGAAAAGCAATACGTAAAACCACTCCAATCAGCTGTGTTCACCAAGATCAGCTGCCACCCGGCGGGGAATATAACTAAATTTGGGGGCCCGCGGAGTGGTTCGATCCCCCGAGTACCAAGGGGGTATTTTGATGTGGAATGGACCGATAGGAGGGTAGAAGGCGAGGGAAAAGCCGGAGGAAAGGCAAGTGGAGACGACTGACACTGCCAATTACCACACCGGAAAGGGGCGAATTACAAAAAAGTGGCGGGCCGCAGGAAATGGGCAGCAAAACGAGCGGCGCTGGACAGTCTTGGAATCTCACTCTCTCTCTCTCTCTCTCTCTCTCTCTCTCTCTCTTTACCCTATTTTCTTCCGCAAATTGCCCAATATCCGCTACTGCCCCAAAAGTGTTGCCGTGGAGATCCTGAGGTTCATTTTCTGCCCTCTCCTTCCAAAAACGAACGCAACCGTGTGACGCGAACGCCCAGCTGCTCCTGAGAACCAATTTGCATATGCTCGCATGGTAGAGCTTGAAAAAGCAGCAAAAATCGCACGGATTTCAGGTCGTTTACATCCGAGATCTGGTCCTAAACTCCTCCCGAAAATATTTGCTGATTTTTGATTCTTTAGAGCAGCTGCAACATACGCATAGAGCGTGATAAACCCAGTTTCTGTAAAGGGACGTAGAAAGCGGTTAAATTAAATCGGGAATTTTCTCAAACTGATTCTCAGGGTTCCGGAAGAAGAATTGTACGCTTATGAGGATCTCGAAATTTCAAATCTCGAATTTCTGAGCCTGTAATCTCCAATTTCTATAGACGGGCTCACAAATAGCTTTAATATTGAGTTATACTCCTGAAAATTCGTGGATCGAAATGCGACCAATGACGTAGCTAATTAGACAGAATTAATTGCGTAGTTTAAGAAGATTAAAAAAAATTAAAAAGGGTTTTCTTTTCGTTTGTTTTGGGCATTTTTGCCTTGTTATACAGTATGAGATCAATTTCCTTTCATTTTTTCTGTATTTTTAACTTTCAAAATATCTTATGGTCGGTATTTAAGAAAACTGTATCTAGAAAAGAATGCCGCCGGCAACGAACTGCTACTAAGACGCGAGCGGAGAAAAAGCCCACCGTATATTTGAGAAAAGCTTGCCAACCACTCCGCAATGCTACTAATGACGCTGGTGGTACACCCACGAAAGTTTACGAGACCCGGTGACCTCCTAGCCGCCAAAATCTAATAAAGCCCGGACGGCGAACGTGCTGTTTTCGCTGTAAAAAGTGCGCGCCAATTCTCGACCTCAAGGTAATGGCAAGCATTAAAGGGCTTGTGCATTTTCAGAAATTACTCTGAGCAGCAAACAAGGGAATTTACGCCCTCGGGTTGTGCTTTGAGCTTTAACTGCCGGTGGGAGGGTAATTCGAAAACCAATCTCAAAAACTCGTGCAAGCCGGCCCCACCAATTAAGTGAAATAGCCGCGGGCTACATGATTTTTGGAGGTCTAGTAAGTTTATAAGAATTTGAAAATTATTGGATGGTCTCTGGTAGACAAACGGAATTAGTAAAAAAACGGAAAACTTGTAAAATTGCGGCTTAAAGGAATCTCGAAGTACATAAGTCATGCCCAGCTAGATGACGTGCCTTGCAAAGACGCTGGAATCGTTGCTACAATTTTAAGTTCAAAGGTCCAGCCAAGTTGTACCAACGTACGTAATTGTGGTGTTGTGTAGCTGCCGATACGTAGGCAACAAAAGGAGTAGATTTTTTCACTTCCATGGTCTTTGGAAGATATCTACAGGGTGTCCCATCAAAAAGCACCACAAGCAAGGTATTTCGCCGTATTACATCCGATCGGTCACAAAACTGGACCTGGGGTGTATTAGGTCCTAAACAACCACAATCCTCCATTATAACACACCAGTTACAGTAATTTTCGAGATACAGCAAAAATAAACTTTATTATCGGTTTTTCATAGGGTTTTCTTCGGAATCGACCCTTGAAAATGAAGCGGCAAGCCTTCTTTACCCCTATGAATTTTTTCCTAATAAAAATTGATTAAATAACCGTTGATTTCAACAATTTTTGTAACCCAAAGTCACCCCCGATATTAAGCGAAATTACGGATTCGCAGCCGGAAGTCGATGCAAATCGATGCAAAGTCCAAAAAGAAGCCGAGAAGGCTGTTAAGAATCGCGTAAAACATAGTATTTTAGCGATAGCTCGAAAACTACTGTAACGATCGCGCTATAACTCAGGATTGTGGTTATTTCTTGTCTGATACACCCTTGTGCAAAGTATGGGACCGATCGTATGAAATACGGCGAAATGCCGGAGGGGTGCTTTTTTTGGGACGCGCTGTAGATCTCGCCGATGTCGCGAACGCCAGACATGACGAGCGATCGCAAAGGTGCCTTAAAAGGAGTGTATTTTGATGCGATATGGCTAATTCCTAGAGCGGTAAATCCTGATCAAATGTCATTATTTGAAAACTGTTGAACAAATCACATTTTCAAGACAATCCACTCTGAAAAGTATGATTTTTCAGAATCTTAGCAAATGTACACTTTGCAAAAGTTTTCTTTCGTCCAGAAGTTTGAAAAAAAGGATGTGCGCAGAATAGTAAACCCCATCCAATGAGCCATATCACATTGAAAAACTCCGAAAGCCCCTAAAAACCACTTCTTGTTATTCCATTAAGCGACGATATCACGCCACCCAGTTCAATGTGGATAATTCATAAGCCATAGCCCTACCTTTTCTGCCCCTTTAAAGTGCACGTTCAGGGACGTTTTTTGGAAAAAAGCAAAGATTTTGCCGCCGCCGGGGGTCGAACCGGGGCCCCCGCTAGGGAGGCGCGGATGGATACCAGTCAGCCACAACTACAACCTGGCGAGGGGATGAGGGGCGCCCCACGCCGCAAAGGAGGGAGATTGCCTGCCACGCCACGGGCAGGCAGTGCGCGCGGTCCCAACGTCCATAGGGTGTACACGTTGGAACGAGTAAATCGCCCCTCCCTGAACGTGCGCTTTAAATCGGCTCTGCTTCACAGATTGTTTGACATCCATAACACAATCTTCTTGGCCTTCTTGTCCCCTAAACCTGATGAACCCGACAATCTTAGTCTGTTCCGTTGATGCCATCATTCCACTACCATCCACTGTACAGGTACGTCCGTATTATTTTCGAGGATCGCGTGCGGATCGGATCGGTTGACCACAAAGCCCCAAAAAGGGGTGCGGGCATCGGAAGTGGATATTTGGAGGGGAAGGGGGCCATTGGCGGGTCTTTTGTTATCGGAGGCGAGAGAGAGAGAGAGAGAGAGAGCGACTGTGAAGGGCCCTTCAATTCGGCCCGTGCCATATACAGGTCCCCGCCTGGCCCACCACCACTGCTACCCTTGCGCAATTTGCCTCCAGGGCATGTGCCTGCCAAAACACGACAGACAGATAGACAAATAGAGAGCGAAGGAGAGAGAGACAGACAGACGGAGGACCAACAAAACAGGCATTACCGGGTCCACCCTTTTATTCTCGGCCCGCCATTGATCTGCATTTTGGGTTCAGCCTGGACTGCTCTTTTTTCCATAACTTTACAGTTTCTGCCGTGTTTCAGCATTTTAATGACTTTGTATTTTTGCCCTAATAGAATTTTTTTGAATGCCTACCGATTATATCACCTGATTTTCGGTTTTTTCTGACCTTCTGACCTTTTAGTGAGTTTAAAATTTTTATTCAGTTTAATTTTCTCAAGGTTTTGCCTGCTGAATTTTTCCCAAGCGGTTTTTTAATAAATTATAAGATTTTTTTACGCGTTTGGAAGTGGTTCCAGCTGGTCCGATGAATTTCATAGCGTAGTTGGTTACAAAACGCCCTTTTTCCACGGGGCAGCGCCGTGGGAGCGAGAGAGAGAGCGAGAGAGAGAGAGAGAGAGAGAGAGAGCGAGAGTATGGGAATGAGAGAGTGAGTGAGAGAGCTAGAGAAAGCTAAAGAGCCAGTAAGAATGAGAATTCTACTTATTGCTCCAAAAATTATACTTATAACATGATTTCAAAAAAATTTATTTGAATGGTTGTTTTTGGAAGCTTGCTTAGCATGAAGTAGATTTGTTCCTGAGATTTGCATATTTTAAATCACGAATTGTCTGAAATTTCGAAAGAGCATTTCGTGGTCCCAAAAAACCTGCCGAAAACCGAAAATCCGTTGTTCCGACTCACCACAAAACACCTGGTTTCCAGCCGCGGTCAAAATGACCTTGTCTACACGTGGAAACGGGACCACTAGATATCGAAGGGGATTTCGATAGAGCGAGAGAGAGAGAGAGAGAGAGAGAGAGAGAGAGAGAGGCAGAGAAAGGCCTCGACAAAGCCCCCCATTTGCATACGAGTTGCCTCCGTCTTTTCTTCTTTCGTTCCCTAGGACTGTGTGGAGCCCCATTCCGTCTGAAGGACGCGGCCCCCCTGTCTTCAACCATGCATCGCATTTTCTACTCAGGGCGTTCAAATCCTTCAAATCGTTCAAAACAGCTCGAAACTGTCCATACCTAGGCGTACTGATGGTTTTTATTTGTTATGCCTAGCAATACCTTAAAATTAAAACTATGTCTAAAAATACGGTCTTTAAGAATAAACTAGTTTTCCAAAATTCCACAAGAAAGACTGCGACCTCCGAATATTCTAAAGAGAGCTTGCTCTTGCCCATAGTGGCCGCCAGTGAGCCCAAGCTTCCCTAAAGATCTCTGCTAGCACGCTCAGCTGCTTTGCTTGCTCAGTCTCGTGCTCTCGCTCTTGCTCAGGATTTTATCGTGCCGCTCTCTCTCTTTCTTTCTTTCTCTCTCTCTCTCTCTCTCTCTCTCTAACGTTCGCTTGCTCTCGCTCTTTGACGGAGGTTTCCTTAGCTGACACCCCTTTTATCCGTATACAGCGGCGTGCGCGTTGCGTGTCGCGGGCTCGCTAATTCCGTAATCCATAGTATCTCACCGCTAAACAATTTGGCGGTAGAGACAGCGAAATGGCTCGGTTCCCAAGGCACCTTCAAAAACAAATCACTGTCGGTGCGACTGGTGCTCGTGCTCCCCCGTTAGTCAGGTTAGAGGGGGAGCAGGAGATGGAGATGTTCTGAGCCACTTCTAGGGCTTATGGAACCTTAGGGTGAGAGAGAGAGAGAGAGATAGAGAGAGGGAGAGAGCGAGAGAGAGAACGAGTGAGAGAGAGCGATTGGAATTAAGGTGGAAAGAGGGCACACGAACAAAAGGGTCACCATATAGGGGGAGGGGTAATCCCCCTCCCCTCAAGGTCCCTCCACCCCCTAAAAAGTCATCGGCCAGGGGGGATGAGAATCGCCTGGAGGGGCCACCTTTCGTTTCTTACCTGCCTCTTCTTCTTCGGTCTTTCGATCGTCCTCCTCTTTCTGCTCTTTCTCACCCACTTTTTCGGGTCTCCTCCTACCAGATTCCCGCTATTTTTGGCGGCTGGTAGGGCCAGCAGTCGCTCCCTTCGACCGTCGATTCATTCCACCACCCCACCGCCACCACCAGCAGCAGGCTGTGAAAGTTCACACCTCTGCGAAGGCATTTTCAAAAGCATTCTTTGCTATTCGACTTTCTACGTTGTGTTTCTCTTACCTATCGATAGGTGATTTTTTATATTTTATTGAACAGCTCTGATTTAACAAAAATTCTTTGCGAAAAAACTGAAATAACAAATTATGCCTCGCCAATTCTTTTCTTTACATTTGAAAAATTCTGGTCTCATCAATTCTATAAGATTTTATTAACGCTATTTTATGCTGAAAAACTTAAAATGGAACACTTGATATGTCAATTGAGAAAACGCGGTTTTACCAGCTTTAAAGGGAATAGAGAAGAGTAGAAATCGGCCCCTTTCCCCGATTCTCGCGCTCCTGTGTCCCTTTAAAAACGCTCTAAGTTTTCTGTCAGGAGTTCATTGGATTCCGATTCTATTTTTTCGTCGATTTTACAGCTTTAAGATAGCCTTTTCCATAGGGCTTAAAATTGAAGGTTTTTTGAAAATTCGAATGATTACGAAATATTGCGACATCTGGCTATGGCTTTCGTGGGTATCATTTAGGGTAGCTTTAGGGGTGTTTGGTGGTGGCATAGACCGTGTCATTCCCCACCCCTCCCTGCCTCTTTCCCATCCGATGATTTACAGTCCCTTTATGTCCCTCCTCCCCTCATCCCCTCCCCTCCTTCAACAATCCTCATTTCCATTTCTCAGCTCCTTCTCCTCCTACGGCTGTCCAAAAATTGATCCTTAAACTGCGCTATGATACTATGAACTGCGCTATGATACTACTTATAGTGGTTCTTAGAGTTCAAAAAATTAAAAACTATGAAACTACATTTAAAGCTGTTTTTGCTCTCTTTCTCTTTCTCTCCGTCTCTCTATCTCTCTCGTTTAGTCTCACTCTCACTCGCTCACGCTCATTTTCTTTATCTCTCTGTCTCTCCCTCTCGCTCTCTCTCTCACTCTCTCTCTCTCTCTCTCTTTCTCTTCGGACTATCTGTCTCTCTCTCTCTCTCGCTCTCTCTCTCGCTCTCTCGCTCTCGCTCTCTCTCGCCGCGTCTTATCCCTATTTTTAGCATGCAAATAGGATGAGCTCTCGATTAACGATTCGACTATTGGATGGAAGCCAGATTGGTCTGGAGGTACAGGTAAGCAAATCGGTCATTTAAAGGGACTGAAAAGTGCGTGAATCGATTCCCAAAACCTTGGCAGATACGCGGCACACCAAATGACCTATAGCTTTGGGTGCTTCAATAGCTGTCGATACCCAGTCGACGAAAGGGGTCGATTCTGGCACTTCCCAGTCCCTTCAAAACGCTTTTTAGCCGTCAACAAGCGGCCAAGACGTCGTGAACCACGTTAATAAACTTTGCGGCGTTGTTGGAGATGAAGGGAAGCTGTATGGGATAGCGTCTGTGGATTCGAGGTATGATTGTTTTGGCGAGTTAAATCGTTGGCTCTCCTCGTTCCTTAAAGGGACAGGGAAGGCATATAGATTTTCTTGGATACGGTTTTTCATTTCGGTTTTTTTCATTTTCCACGCCGCGAAGCCAAACGCTTGGCCAAAATTACATGGCGTAATGGCACGGCCTCGGCGAAGCGGTGGGCAAGATTTTTTGGGGGAACATTCCTTTAAAATGCTTTTTCTTTCCAGTGGACACTTCATCTGGATCGGCGAGCGCGAAGACGAGGAACTAGATGAGATTCTAACACTAGAAGATGTAGCCTTTGAACATCGTGTCAGGTCTGATCATTAATGAGCGCTTTTTGATCATGAATTTTTCAGATTTTTCCCAGAAATCGATGGCCTGCTCTCGGCAACTGGCCGGACTTTCGAACTATTTTTCATGGAGATCCACGGCGAGATATTTGCATACAAGGTATGGATTCGTAATCCCGAAAATTAGTTTTTTTTTGGTAAAATTTACATTGAAAAGTTCGGAAAAGATACAGGACTCGATTGATTCCAATAGAATCATTAAGCAATCAACCGATAAATATCTGTTTGAAACCATCTTTCCCGGGGTATGCTAGCAAAGATTCTTGAGGAATTCAGGATCTCGGGCTAGATATTATATTTTTACGCTGTTTATGCTACCTTTAAAATTTAAAATACCATAGTGGCTTAAAAAACCGAATAAATAGCCAATTCACAAGCCAGCAGCAATCCTTTGAGAAATTCCTGGTCCTAGTTTTAATATTCATAATCGACGCCAAAGCCCGTAGAGCTGCCCCGGAAAAGTATCAAATTCCGGAGGGTGGAAGGGTCGTAGAAAGAGGCAGAAAAGGGCAATTCGGGGCAGTAGACGGGCTCGTGTTGTGTATTGGAACGGAATGTCAACAAACTGCACCACTGGACGATGCGACGAGGGGGTAGTGATGATAGTATGACTATCTCTGCCTCACTCTCTCTGTCTCCCCTCTCTTTCTCGCTCTCTCTCAATCACTCTCTCTCTCTCTCTCTCGGTATTTCTCTCTTTCTCTCTCTCGGTATTTCTCTCTCTCTCTCTTTCCCTCTCTCTCGCGCTCCCTCTGTTTGTATATACATTACTCCAAAAGTCGTATCACTCCGAAAGGATTCTGGAAATTCAGGGTCGAGATTCGTCATATTCCGGTATCCTATCGTCTTCTTACAAAAGCTAAAAAACCTAAAAAAAGCTATTTGTTTTCTTTTAAATTCTTCAAGGCTAGATTAGGCCTTTTTTTGAAAACTTAATACTACCAGCACCAAATTTTTCTTAAAAAAAATCTAATTTTGCAGAACATACCGGTTGAAATTCAGGATAAAAGTCTTCTTTTTCAGAAACACCATAATTTAAAAGTTTCTCTATACAAATTTCTACCGTATAAAACCGTATATCTCTGTTCTAGGGCCCTCCACGACCGCCAATCTTCTCGAAATCAGACCACATCCGGTTGGCCGCCTCTATCCTGCACGTCTACGCCGGGCCGTTCAGCGAGTACGTTACGATACCCGCGTTATGATACATTAAATCGTTATGAGCCGTTAATTGGACTATGAATCGCGTCGAGCGACCCCTTACGGTGACTAGGTATCGATAGCTACGCAACGCTGCAAATGACGCGTTCAATCCGCTTGGGAGCGAAAATTCGAACGAATTGTACCTTCCTTTTCCAGGTGTCTTTTGGAGCGTCGCGTAACTGTCGAAACTGTAGTAGAGGGATTGTTCTGTTCCCTTTAAAATAAATTTCTTCGCGTGATCTGTTACGCAAAACTATATAACTGAAGTATTCGTAGTTAAATAACCACTTTAACTTTCAGGGACCCACCTGCCCGTGAAGCGCTCCGATTTTTACTGCCGATTCCGTTTGGTTCCAGTGAAAGGAGGGAAGAGGTATTTAGACAAAAATTACAAAATCAAGGAGTAGTAAAAAATGTAAAAAAAACCATTGATTCTAGGAAACCGATGAGATGGAGGAGCTGATTTTAGAAGAATACAGACGGATGCGAAATGTCAAAAAGGGAGAGGCTATCGTCAGGTTCGTAATATATCAATTTCCTTTTTCGCTTCAGTTTAAAAACTTTTTCTAAACTTCGATTTATTATTTTTGGGGTTTTCTAAACCCTTGAAATCCTTCTCGTTGTTGCATTCTTGCATTCAACTTTTGTATTCGGTAGTCGATCGGCATTTTTCTATGTAGTAATTCTTTGATGTTTTTATTTCTTTTTAACGGAAGATAAATCGGGCTTGTTCTCGCTTTATTATTGCTTTTTCTCAGCCCGAAGTTGGAGTAGCCAGGAGCAGCTGCAAAATGCTCCTCTCCGCTCTACTCCTCTAGCCCCTCTCATATCCCATTGGTCGAAATGGGCACATTCCCACATCCCCCCAGCAAAACTCGCACTAGCCAGCAAGGGGCCGCACTTCTAGATTATATGCAGGTTCTCTGACTTTCTAGATACTTCGAATAGTTTCTTACCAATGGTAAGATTTTACCTTACGCTCCCCCCAGGTAGCCGAAGTTTCTCAAAGTTTTCGGTATTTTCGCTATTTTTGTCGGGATTTTTGCAAAGCCATTCGATAGAGCGTCGAAAAATCTACTAAGGGTTTTTAATTTGGGCCTACAATAATGTAAAAGAAAAAAGTTTTAGCCAAGACCTTCCGGCTGGGGAGGGGGGAAGTAAACAGTAGCCTTACCAACTTACTGTATAGCTAGTTTTGCGCTTGCTTTCAGCACAAAAAGTTCGGAATATTTGTTGAGCTTAAAGCTGGACGTTAAAAAACTTTCAAAGTTCCAAAAGAGCAATCCTTCAAGCAAAGGATTCCCTCCTGGAATGCGAGGGGCAATTCGTTGTTTTGTCTCTCCTCCTTCGTTTTGCTTGAATTCGACGGAATGTCGCGTAGTGCGAAGCAATCGAAACCTTTCCATGGGATTTTCCCAGCCCGGATGTCTCAAATTATGGATTTTTGCCTTGCGTCGATCGCTTCTGTTCCTTTTACTTTTTTCTGTGTAGTTTTTGCCTTAAATAATTAGTTTTTCGCGAGATAGAATGATCGGCGGCAATTATTGTAGCCAAAATACTGTTTTTCAATATTGAAAACGGCAACAAAAAAACTACAGCTACTTTGGTTAAAGTTCCATTTTTTTTCAGACTTCCCTGTACCTTTAAAAACTATTAACAGTCGTCCTACGCGGGTATTTTACCAGGATTTTCCCTAAAAACCCCCGCCAGCCACAAAAAGCGGGCCGTGACCGGGGACTTGGCCTTCCCACCACCCCCTTTTTAGCCGCAGGACTGTTTTTGGAGCAGCGTGTTTGTCTGGCTGTCTCTGTCTCTCTCTCTCTCCCTCTCTCTCCCTTTCTTTCCCTCTCTCTCTCCCTCTCTCTCCCTCTCTCTCTCCCTCTCTCTATCTCTCTCTCCCTCTCTCTGTCTCTCTCTCCCTCTCGCTCTCCCTCTCGCTCTCTCTCTCTCTCTCTCTCTCTCTCTCTCTCTCTCTCTCTCTTCCTCTCTCTTCGTCCGTGAAGAGTCCTCAATGGTCTCGGCTGGATCGACTCTCCACCATCTCGAACCCCATCCCTCCGTTGGTGGGCCCTCCAATATGATACGCACGGCGGGCCCTCCGGCGGTTTCGATTCCCGATTCGACCCGGAAATTGGGAGCCTATTCCGGAAACTGTGGCTTTAAGAGGCTACTTAAATTTTATAAAGCTAAACTCGGTTTTTCTTGATCTCTTTTGGACTAAATTTCGATGCACAATTGCCAGCCGGTCGATCCCAAAATGGTGGCTAGATAAATTACTATAGTTATTTATTTTAATAGCTACCAATTGGGGATTATCAAAATCAATCGATACACTTAAAATCACGATTCTTAAACGTTCAAATGTGAATTTTTTTGTAAATTTCTTGATTTTTTTATTAGATGTTTTTATCATTTTACATTACAGAAAGATGGACTCACAGAATCTATAAATTCATAGAACTATTTTTATTTGGAATTTTTGGTTAGATCGCCCTCTCTGGATTTTTGCCGCGATGAGCAACGCTTGCCCGGTTTGGCCGTCTGGAAGTGTGGTGATCGCTTACGCCACGAAAAAGCGTCAGCGGCACGTTCCATGACACGGAAAATTCTATGGTCGAGCCTTGCCGGTTCCTTTAAAGAATGTCAAAAAGATCAAAAATTTTGTTTTTTTTGGTTTTTTTTTTACATAAAAATCATCGAATTCGCCTTTTTAACATTAATTTGGGTTTTCTAAAGTTTTAGACTAGCGTAGTGAAACAAAAATAATAAATTAATGGCTATTGAATAATTTATAATTATTTATAGACGTGTAATAATACAGAAAATTTGAAAGCTGGCTATATATATATTTTCAAACCAGCTCGAGTTTAGCCCTTTCTGACTCTACCAATCCGCCCGTCCATCCATATGTTGTCCCCATTTTTTTGGTGCCTCTGTGGGTTCTCCCCAGATTCATGAGGGTATTTTGTCCGACCAGTGCTATAGCTGCCGGCCTAGTAATACCCAATTTTTTGGCAAATACTAATTGCTTCCCATCCCTCTACTCCGCCTAGTATTTTCCAGATGTCTGTGCCAATCGACATATGCAAATTTGGGTGTCTCTTGGCCACTTTGTCTTGCCCCTGCCTCTGAACGAGACGAATTACCAGGCGATTTGTTTTGGTTTTTATAGCTATTTTCTGGATGTTGGTGACTTTTTAAATTTATTTGGCGTATGCAAATTGGTATGATTTTGGAATAAGTAACCAGAATTTTAAGTAAAAATTTAGCCACTCGTAGCGATTTATGAATCTAAAACTTACACCTTTAAATTTTGATGATGATATATTTAATTTTTGTAAAATCTCAAATAGTTTACAAAATTTGGTCCAATTTCTAAAATTTTGCAAGCGATTATGCTAATATGGAACCTTCTCTCACGTTCTTGGCACCTGTCAAAAAAATTGCTTTCACAATTCCTTCAAAATCCAATTTTAAGTGATTAGAACCAATGAATTTCATAAAAAAAATTTTAAATACATTACAATAATGTGGAAGGCCTATAAAAAATAATTTCTTCGAATTTTGGCACCCAGCCAAAGCCAACAATTTGCCTTCAAGGGTCCTTTAAACAAATTTCCTGTCACTTCCAAGCCTGTCACTTTATTTCCCGCCCCTTTGACCGTACAGTCCGTCATTTCTCGTTTTTCTGACGTTGTTGGCACTTGGCCAACCGGCCCTTCTTGCCCCTGCTTGGGCTGCCATCCGGTATGCTGTAATTGAGCCTTTCCGTCTTTCCCTCCGATTCGGGTCCTTTCAAGGTACAGGGTGAGGGAGGGAGGGAGAGAGAGAGATACAGAGAGACAGAGAGAGAGGGACTGTCCATAGGACTGTGAGGGAATTGTTGAAAAGCGGTAAGGAGGGGAGTGAAGGACTGGTTTTGTCTGTCCGTCTCCACCACCTCGCCGAGGCCTTCTCTTCCAACAAGAAGCAACCCTTTCTATGCCTTCTCAGGCGGATTATGCCTTCTTTTTTTGGGCGCCTATACGCCCTATACGACGTCGATTATGCCTCGGTGGTTTTGGGGAATCTCGTGTTTGTAGCTTTACGGTATTTTTGGCATCTTGACCTTTTCTCGAGCCGGATTTCGGTCTTTCGGTTTTTTTGGAGTTTAAAATTCATTGTTGGATATTTAGCGTATTTTTTAGGCTAATTTGGGATTTTTTTTACTGTTATTTAAGCCACTATTCTATGCAGTCGGTCTAGCTTTTGATCTGGCCACCCCAGCAGCCTTTTTCGATGACTGGACACTACGGATATTTCCATATTTGGTGCCCCTGACCTCCGGGCGTGTAGCTCGCCGTTTTTCCTACGTTTTTTTCGAGATTCTGAGCCGTCAGCAACCAAGGATCTTTGCTAGCTTGCCCCTAAAAAATGGGCGCTTTAATTTCGCAGACAATTTTGTTGCCAACCTGCCCGCCCGGAATTACCATAGATCCCGCCAAAAGAATTCGGCAAAAAAGACCTGCTAGTATGCCCATATGTAAACGCGCAGATGCCTTTTAATTTTCAGCTCCCAGCTAGTCTCATTGATTTCATTTCCACAAATCATCTCTGCTAGTCTGCCCCACCATGAATTAGCTAGTTTCCCAAAAGATTGCGCAAAGAAACGCTGCTGGCTCACCTCCATGGATCATGGCAATGGATTTTCACCAAATTTCCTGGTTCAGCTTAGTCTTTCTAGGTTTTCTTCAAATTACCCCTGCTAGCCTGCCCCGCCCCGAATTAGCATTCATTCCGATTTCCCTACCCAACCACCAGCACACGTCGGCTTTTTCGCCCTCCTCTGATCTCCGCCGATTTCGATGACCCACTTTTTTTATCCCTCACCACCCTCACTGTCCGACCATACAAATGTTGGTTTGAGGGACCGGTGAGAGAGCGAGAGAGAGAGAGAGAGAGAGAGAGAGAGAGAGAGAGAGAGAAAGAGAGTGACCACTACCCCCTCGAAGTACCCAAATGCCCTTATCAACCATTTGGGAGGCTGGCACTACTCCGCCCCCTACCCACTAACCACCAAATTGGTAGCGCTTATCTGATTCTTGGAGGTTCCCTCAGGTCATTACATCCTTAAGAATCTCTGCTAGATCTCCTAAAGGCGCAAAAGATCCCTGCTGTTTTGCCCTTTTCTAATTGTGCAAAAGATCTCTGCAAGCCTGCCTTAAATTCCTCAAAGGTTTCTGCCTGGCTTCCCTGGTATCTCTGCTAGTCGATAGTCGATTAGTCTATTAGGAATCCGTGCTAACATGCCGGAGGATCCTCAACGAGGATCCTTCGCTACTCTCTCCCTCTCTCTCTCTCTCTCTCTCTCTCTCTCTCTCTCGCTCTCTCCCGCCTTTACGATGTCGTAAAAATCTACAGCAATTGCCTTCCATGCTCCTTTAGCCGATAGTTTTGAGCCCGTCGGACCACGATCCGGGAGCATGGATGATGATCTGGTAATTACATGGTATCTACCACCCTAACCCTGTGGCTGTCAGTATTATCTGGTGTATTTGATGACCCTCAACCCCAGCGGTGATCGAACCCCCCACATCCCATGGTCACGCATCGAACCCCTCGAATACCCGCATAGCTGGCTCGAGCTGCTAAAAATCTAAAGTCTTCTCTGGATAATACAGCTAAATGGATTTTTATAAATTTTACTGAATTTGGAAAATCGTTAATTTTTACAATTTTCTAGAAATGCATACCTGCTGGATTTATCTGGAAGCCCTGTACGATTTTTCCATTTATTTACCGTTTTTCCAGGGTGATGCAAATCGTGGAACGGCAAGCGACCTATGGCAGCCGATTCTACTGCGTTCGCGACGCGCTGACCCAAGAAAGTGTATGGATTTTCGTTAATAATCTGTCAGCAAATTATGCTTCAGGTCACACTAGCCGTAAACAGTCGCGGAATTTTCGTCTACACCGTTGGAGATTTATTGGAGCCGGTACAGGTTGGTGATCCATTTTTCAGTCGTTAGAATAATGCCTTAAATTTTTGGAGGGTTCAGACGCATTTATATATTTGAAATTCGACCCCCTTACAATATCTAGGTCTAGACAGTCAAAAAAATCAAAAATTAAAGAGAACAGTTAATGCTAAATTTTACGGATTTATTGGAAAACTGATATACTTATTTAAATGTATTTTAAAAATTTTACCGCCTAAAATCTATTCTTCATTTCTGAGATGTTCGAGTTACGGTAGCTTTTGCCTTCACAGTCCATTTAATTAGACCAATTCTCGAGAAAGTGCTAAAAAACAACAGTAACCCCACCCTTCAAATGGAAACATTTTCGACACGCGGCCTTCCGCTAGTCTTTTATCGTATTTTCCGGCGCGCTATACCCGCTCTATCGGCTGCCCTTTTCTGGGGCTCCCGGGGGAAGTCCCTCTATGAATCAACTGTCGCCGCCCCTTTAAAAACCCTAAAAACCTTCCCGCTTCTTCCAGAGCTTCGAATGGCGCCATTTGGACAACCTCTACTACAAGGAGCACGAGTTCTCGTTAGGGTTGAAAAGGTTGGGGACGGCTTTGAAAAATAAGTGAATTTTCTAGACAAAAACCCCAGCCGATGGAGACGGACGATGAGCTGCAAAAGGCGTGCTGTGATCCGACTACTAGGTGGGCAAGCTAGCGGAGATTTTTTGGGAATCTAGCAGGGATCACTAGGAACAACGAAAAATAGCCGCTTTGGGCCTGATGTTAAAGGCAGGCTAGCAGGAATCATTTGGGAAATTCAGCGATGTCCCGAGAGTTTTTTGGCAAGCTTGCATAGATTATTTGGGATCACAAAAAGCAGTCTGGCAGACTCCTTTGGGGAAACTATAGGACTGACCCGCGTCTTTTTGGGCAGGCTAGCAGAGAGCATTGGGGATAGAATGGCATCATGGACACGGCGAGCAGCAGGGATTATTTGGGCACGAAACGATATTACAAAGATTCTTGGAGAAAAAGCCGTGCGAGCTAGCAGAGATTCTTTGCGGAATCCGAGCAACTAGCAGCGATTTTTGAGGACAGTTCAGACAAAAATTTACTCGTTCAGCCTCAAGGAAAGCTAGCAGGGTTCATTTGGGAAGCAAAAACAAGCAGGTATTCTGCCTTAAGGTTCTCTGCTAGTTTGCAAAGTTCTTTAAACCGCATTATTTTGACGTTTTAGCGCTTAAATAAAGGCATTTTAACGTTCTAAGCAGAATTTAAAGGCCTGGTTTAGTCAGGATTTTCCCAAACTAAAATAATTCCATGATTAAATAAATAAGCAATTAATTAATCCCATCAATGAAAAATTAATTTAACTTTATTAACAATATCCGTAATAAAATATTGTACATGTCGAATCTTGCCTATTCATCCCCCCCCCCCCCGAAATGTCATCTATTCCCGACCCTTCGTCGTGTCCTTTGTCGGTCGGCTTCGAAAATCTTCCGCCAACATCCCCCCTCACCAGACCGTTCCCCCTTCCCCGCAAAACGCCCCGCTACGTGGTTGATTCATTTTTGATTCATCTCCCCCTCCCGTTTTCACAAGCCCGGCCCTGCTGCTGCCCCGAAAAAGTTATTCTCCCTTTTTTTGATGCCGGCGGCTGTTCGGGATTTTATGCTAAAGGATTTAAGGGATTGACCTAAAATCCCGACAGCCCAAAATCCCGACCCTAACCATTTCGAAAACCAGAAAGAATTGAAGAACTTTGGGGATTTTCTCTGACGGCCTGTCGATATTTCCGGATTTCGAAATTTTGCCCGGTCGAGTTTTGGTAGTCGGCATTTTAGGTTTCGCTGCTCTCGGGATATCGCCTGTCGAGTTTTTTAACTGTGGAGAGTTTCATTGTCGGTATTTTCTTCGTCGGCATTTAGGCTGTCGGCGTTTTGGCTGTCGGTTTTGGCTGTCGGGATTTTGCCCTTTCGGCATTTTGCCTATAGAGATTTTGGTTGTCGAGATTTTCTCTGTCGGTATTTTTGGTGGTTGGAGTTGTTTTGGCTGTCAGGATTATCACTGGAGCTTTTTTATTTGAAATTGCAAACTTCAAAATGAGCGATTTGTCCTCACGTGAAACCACGCGAAAAGTTACGAAAGCGCGCAGCCACGGGCCCGTTAGGGATAATTTATTCGGGTCTGGGGGGGGTGCTTCCAATCGCTCTAGGTGCAGACAGTTGCGCCCATGAAAGATACGGTCGGTTTCGAAACTCTTACGTCATTTTTTGCACTTTCTTGAGCACAGTTGTCAGGCTGCTACCGCGGATAATCTTAAAAAAAAGCTCTGCTATTTGATTCAGACCCTCGTTCCCCATCCTCAGTCCTTCCACAAGTTAGGCCATATTTTTTGAATTTAGGCTTTGTTTAAAACCAGAATCATTATAATTCAAAGGTTTTTGCGGAGCGATCATTTCTATCTTGTCGAGGCCGATGATGATCACCGCCCGTTTGCACTTTTGAATTTTGAACCCAACTCCCTCCTTTCACCTAGACGGCCCATCCCATTGACCGTTTGGGGCATTTTCGTTTATGCAAATTAGGGTGGCATCCAAGGCGGCCGTCTTGGGCTCATCGCAGGGCGTGGCCACGCGTTTTTCCTAGCGGCTGGTGGTACCAGGGGTATTTGGAAACCGGTTATCCACCGGTTATCTACGTTTTTTCCAGAGCGCGGCGTCGCTTACGGATCTTCGCTCATTTGAACCTCATTAAACACAACAAAATCGAATGCGCGAAAATAACGTTGTAATTTTTGTATAGTTTTTTCCCTCCCACCAGCCCAAAGTTCTGCGGCACCACAAAAAAACGAATGGTGTTCCCCGCTGATTTCTCTGCTTTCTGGTTGCTAGGCAGGTCTATGCCCTGAAGCGGGGAAATTCTGTTATTTATTAGGAACGCCGCTTTCGGAATTCTCATTTACTGGACTCGAGACAGGTGCTTTTCGCCCCAGACAGCCTGCAATTAGTGGGGTGGTTGAAAATTCTACATTTCATAATTTTACCTGAAAATACGTAATTTTTGATGTTTATCCATTGGAAAAATTATAATTTCAGGTTCAACACCGTGCAACGTAAGGGACGACCCCCGGTTTGCCCATCGACTCCGGCAAAATCCACGGTAAGTGCGACTTATGTGTCTCTTGAAAGTGCAAAAATATTTTTTATTGGATTAAATTAGGCATACCAGACTTCAAATTTTGCTATGATTGCGTTTCATCGAAAATTTGAAAATTAGCGTACTCGCGGCGACATTTCATACCTGTCGAGACCCAGTCGACCGAAAGCGTCGATTCTTGAGCTTCTCGGTTCCTTTAACAGATGCAATCTAACAAAAATAGGCGCGAGAAAACCTAATTTTGCAGGGAGAAGACGTGGACAACCAGTGCTTCATCTGCGACAGCCACCTTTTGTGCCGGGCTTTGTGGGCGGCGGCGGTGGCGCAGCACAAATTTTATCTGGCTAGGGTATGTTTTATACCTTAACCGCTCAATTTGGAAATTTTTTATGCCAATCTTTGCTTTTTTGGAAAGTCGAGGTCAGCTATTCTCGATTCTATAGTTTCTAAGCGCTCTCAATCTGTTTCTATGCTCCATTTTCATCCATGAATTTGAAAAATGCATCCATTTATTGTTCAAAAAACGTGTTTTTGGATTTTGATGTAATCTGCTTCCCACCTCGATTAACTTGACTAAACCTAATACCGCTAAAACAGGCATTTTCCCTTAAAATCCGGAACGCTCATTTGTACCGTGTGCTCTCTCTCTCGTTCTGTCTCTCTCTCTTTCACTCTCTTTCTATCTCTTTCTCTCTCACCTCCAACATACGTGGGCCGTGACTCGGCCCATAAATCCTTTTTGTGGCGCTCATTTCTGGTGCTCCAAAGCGCGACAGGGGAAAACGGGTGGGGGAGCACGACGACCTGTTCGGAATGTGTCTCTGCAAGCCCCTTACCCCTTCACCTACCTCGAAGGATTACAATCAGGGCTCGGATCTGTATGACGCAATCCTTAGTTTTCTTTAAATTTTTAGCCTTCTAAAGGGACCGGGAAGCCTGTGAATCCACCCTTTCGATTCACTAGGGTTAGACAGCAACGCAACACGCCAAAACGCCATTTGAATAGCGTTTTATGGCGTGATCTTGACCAAAAGCTCAAAAACGCTGCAAGCGTCTTTGGAGAATCAAATCGCTGTCTAGACCTAGGCGACGGAAGGGTCGAATGTCGAGTTCCTTAGTTGCTTTAAGGCTGAAAACTACGCCTGGCAGGCTAGCAGAGAACTTTTGAGGAAAATTTTTGTGGATTTGAGATCCCAAACGACCTCTGCTGGCATGCCTGAACGCTGTTTGCTAAGCAGCAGCGAAATTTGACTTCGTAGGCCCTTTAAAGGGACCAGCAAGGTTTTTTGGCTATGGAATTTTTTTCACCTAGGCCAAACGTCGCGTGTCGTTTTCTTAAAATCCTTAAAAATCTATAGCCAGAAAAATTCACAGCTTTGCCTTGCCGGTCCCTTTAAGCATGAAAAAGCCTCAGCTGGTGCTCATTTTCCGCACGAAAACATGCCATTTGTCTCCTCCGGATGGCTGACCATAATTCTATACCCCAAGTGTGTGTCTGTCCGTCTGTCTCTGCCAATGTCTATTTGTCCAAGTGTGCAATCTCAAACCTCCCAAATGGCCACAGCTCGTTCTCCTCTTCTCCCTCTCGTCCTCATCCGCATCGAAGTGACACCAGTTGTCGGCCATTTTTCTCATTCTCCCCCCACTGGTGTCGAACCAGCCGACTAGCTGGCCCCGGCCAAATGCCCCCCAGGCTATGGTCAGTGTTTTGTACACTCGCCGGGCCAGCCTTGTTTTTTTGTATGTTTTGGGGAATCTACAGTATCCGCTAAAGTTTAGAGGTGTAACTTTATCGCTAAATTCTCGTCCAAGCCCCTTAAAACGCGATATTTTCCGGAAACGTAATTTTCTTGATTTTCCGATTTTTTTGTAATTTGCATTTTTGGATAGGCCTTAAGTTTTATTTTTGGTACGGTAATCTATAGATTTTCGGAACTTTTTTCTTCATCACCAATATAGTGGTTCTTAAATTCGTCGATTTTACATAACCTCTTTTTTGCATTTTCGAAAATAGCAATTTCTGACATTAACTTTTTTTGTTCTGATTGTCATGTACTATCTCTCCAGATCCTAATCACTCAGATCTCCTTCACGCATTAATCTTGATTATTCGCGTGGCGCTTGGGGGAGGGGGGATCGAACATTTGGTGCTCAGGGATACGGTACCAAAATTGATGGATGGGCTAACCACAACGAGTGGAGTCGTGTCAATTAGTCAAGGAAATGATGGATGGCGTTTTCTCTCATCCTCTCTCTCTCTCTCTCTCTCTCTCTCTCTCTCCCTCTCTCCCTCTCTCCCTTTTTCTCTTTCTCCCAGTCCTCTCACGCCAATTAATATTCCAAAGACACCCCTGAACTGTCACGTCTATTAGGTCTCAAAAACCGCGGACGATCCCCGGGCCGGAGTCATTTTAATGGCACCGGCATGGTAAGCACTGTGGATTCCGGAACCGCGATACGCAACCCGCATGCCAGCCGATTCACACCGTAATGTTTTAAGTTGACGTCAGAGTCGAAAAGGCAAAATCCATAAGAAAGAAAAAGTTTACGAAGGTTTAAAGATACTAGGAAAGCAAATCGGCCCAAAAGCCATAGCCTTTTCTCCCTTCCTAATCCCTTTAAGTCCCAAATCCCCCTCAACAATGCATATATTCAAATGCGTGTCCTCACAGTGTTGGCCCCACTGTCCGGGGATTTACGTAATTAGCGCGAGTTTTGCGTTTCCTCTCTCTCTTTCTCCCTCTCTCCCTCTCTCCCTCTCTCTCTCTCTCTCTCACTCTTCTCGGCTGTAACTGTAGGGGGCAGCGGAGTGTTGCGTAGTGTATTGCGCGATCTGGGAGCCGCCGTGGGGCCACATTCCGTTTGAGGACTATGGCCACTTGAGAGGGCCCGAAATGGGCCATCACCCCCGGGGTATTATGCCCCGTGCCTAGGGCTTTTGATGGAAATGGCCTCTTGAGGTGTGGGGATAGTATTGGGACGGAATATGCGGGGGGTTACGGTCAGTTGCGTAATGCTTTGAGGACATCCGAGGGGGTACGTGAAGATACTCTTGACGCATATTTGTGAATCGCTGACGAATACTAATGGTTTTGTATGATTATTATGGACATCTGCTGGCGGGAATCGCTAAATACAGCGCTCTTTCTGTGAAAATACGGAATTATTGCGCATATTACGGTATTTTAAAGCTTGAATTTGGGCTATGAAGCTACCAGAGAGTGCCAAAATCGACTCCTCGACTTCCCTGGGTTTACCCACCTACTCGCGTCGCGTGTCGCGGGCACGGCAATATCCACAGGAATCCGTGGCCAAAAAGCCACATCAATGCCTTTCCGGTTCCTTTAAAGACCAAAATCGAAAAATTGACACTCAAAAATGAGTTTTTTTGCTTTAATTACTGTATCGTTGTTTGAATTTGACAGTTAGAAAATAGGTCGATTCTGTCAAATTCTTCGCGCTGACCAGAATTTTTTCAGCTCCAATTTTTCGTCTTTCGACTCCTATTTCGCGCTCCCGTTTGGCCATACCCGGTTGCCCGCATCCTCTGAATAGGCTCCGCCCCCATTGGGCCTTCGGGCCAAGCAGAGAGATCCACCACGTTGGCACCTGGCCATTCAAATAATTCCCTTCCCCTTAACTGCCTGTGCTCGTTGTCTCCACCCATCAGCACTACCGTACTCTCGTCAAGATGCTAATCGCCCATGCCCTCTGCAGTCTTCCCTATCAAGCCATTGTCGAGCTGGATACGGTATGCTAATTTGTATGGTTATGAACTTTAAAGGACCATTGAAGGCAAGAATCTCGCAATTTTCCGTCTAAACCTACTCTAAGAAAAATTCTATTTTTTGTGTTGTGCCTACCGTACATTCCGGGCATTTTTTCGCTGATTTTACCTCTTCGAGATTTTATACTTTTTTGAAATTTAAATAACTGGGCATTTTCACATTTTGCTCCCGTAATGCGATACAATTTTTGCTAGCGTAATCTGTTTCTCGCCGAATTTTAAAGGGCTATTGAAGGTGTGCTTTCTAGTTTTTACCGTGGTCTTCTAATTGTTTCAAAACCCCTGTTGTTTTTATCAAATAATGTAGCGTTTTCCAAATATTTAAATTTTTCGGTTTCTAATTGGTTTTTGGAATTCTAATTTATCATATCGTTCGAGTACAAAAAATCGTATTTTCCGAAACATTTTTCCATATTTTTTCGCAACGTTCCAACCTCCAGCCGTCTGTCGATAGTATCGCAACGTTCGCGCAGTATGTAGACAAACCGCTTATGCTTACAGTTCAAGGAGAGAGAGAGAGAGAGAGAGAAGAGAGAGAGAGAGAGAGAGAGAGAGAAAAGAGAGAGCGAGAGCGAGAGTGGGAGAGAGCCAGTGAGGGATTCGCGCAGTAGATTGATCCTTATTCCCAACATTGCGTGTCCAGAGCAGTCCATCCTTCTGTCCGTCTGTCTCTACCGTCTATTTGTCTGTCTTTCTGTCCATCTCTCTTCTTCTATTTGACCACTCGAAGGGGGACATCCACAGGTGTTTGGCCGTGTCCTCTTCCTCCTCTTCTTCTTCTTCTTGGTCGGGTGGAAGCACTTTGCTTCTCATTCTGCGGTGCTTTTCCTGGGTCTTTCCCGATTCCTCCCGAGGGCCCACGGATCGATTGGGGTATTCTGAACTTTCCGACGTGATTTCGAGCCTCTAAATTCTGATTCCGGAGTTGTACGCTGTTTGACGCCTTCTGATCCTGATTCTAAAGCTTTTGAAGTTGGCTTAGCTTGATAATAAGCTCTACGAAGCTTCTACGTCTCCAGCTTCTGATCCTGAAATTTCCGAAGCAGGCTTAGCTCGTCTTCAAGCTTTTATATAGCCTACTACGTTATTCTATTCTGATTCTGAAGCTGCTAAAGTAAGCTTAGCTAGGTCAAAGCCCTCCGCGGCTTTTACGACTGATTTCTACCCTGAAGCTTCCAAAGCGGGGTAGACTCGCCTAATATTCTGATTCTGCAGCTGCTAAAACTGGTTTAGAAGACCCGATTATAAGATTCTAATTTTCTACGGTAAAATTAATGCCCAACAAGCTGGAATTCTAGTTTCTGCTATTGCTCGATTTTGTGCTGATTCTGAAAAATCTACTTCTTTCCGGAAATTAGAATTCCGGAAAAACACACGTCTGTGAAAGATGCCGGAACATTACAAGAAATACCAAGTAAGTTTTTGTGAAATCGCGGCGTGCAAAAACCTCATTTTGATTCTGGTCTGTCTCCAACTTGATTCCCAAGGCCCTCTCTCCGGTCCCAAGCAAAAAAATTCGATTTCCAATACGATACCCCGGTCGGCTAGCCAAAACGATGTGAAACCCCCATCCTTTTCTCAAATTCTTTTTTATACCGGCTGATCGGGGCTAAGTACTAATATTTTCAATACCTAGCCAAAAATTTGTAAATCCACAAAATCATATAAAATCGATAGCCAAAAATCCGTAGTCAGACCTTCTGAGTCCCTTTAATAAGCGCATATTTACCGGAATGCCTAATCTGTCCATAGCCCGGATACGGCGTGACCTTGTCCATCTGTCTGTTCATCACCGTTTGTATCTCTCTCTCACTCTCTATCTCTCTCTCGTTCTCTCGCCTTCCGACAAAGGCGGGGTTAGATGGCTGGCCGGAATCACCGGCGGCGCGCATCGGTATGACCCTGAGATGTCGGGGGGTACCGTGTTTTCCACACGCGTCCATGGCTAGCGTTCTCTCCCTAACTCTCTCTCTCTCTCTCTCTCTCTCTCTCTCTTTCTCTCTCGCTCTCTCTCTCTCTCTCTCGCCTCTGCCCCTGACCCCTAATCTGCAGCGCGAACCGCGCCAAACTATCCCAGCCAGCCAGCCGGTCGACCTAGTCAAAGTTAAGCGCCTAACGCTAAACGCTGGACGGTTTGGAGGTAAGCCTCGTACTTGGAAAATTTTAGAGTTTTTCTCGCCAATTTTCCTTTTTTATGCTATTTTCAACGAGATTTCTGACGTCGTTTTCCTTTTTGCTTTTTCCCTTTTTTTATGCGTCCAAACCAATTTGTAGATTTTTTCGCCTACCGTACTCCCAGACCTTAATCATTCCGCACAGCAACACGCTACGATTGAAAAACTAAGCGAGCCGCCCTCCCGGCAGCTAGTGGCAGATTGTATGCCCGCGCGCTAAATTATCGCCTGCTCTCCAGCTATCCTTCGGCATTCCCAATCCCCTCCGCCCGCGGCTACGTGCCAATACTATCCACGTGGACTGTATAGTTTTTTGGAACGATTTTTGGCCGTTTTCTCCTTGTTGTAAACGCTAACTAGATGTCTAAGAATGAGCGACAAATACCGTAGATTCATCGAAGAATGGTATTTTGACGTTTTTATAGGTTTTTGGAAGCCAAATCGTCGCCGTAAATCTCAGGATGTCTGTAGCGTTAGGGGCAAAGACAGCAACATAAAAAAGTGGGATTTTAAAACGCCCGGAAAAGTTGTTTTTCGATTATTCGGCGTATTACTCAAGTTCTAAAGGAGGCTAATGAGGCCGAAAACCATCAGTATGCAAATTCATTTCGCTAAACGTTGATAGGCTTCGTAAACCCCAATAAAAATTCGACTTTTTGACATTTCGAAATCGGAACGGTACACGCCCATTTCGATCCACTTCTCTCTTGCTCGGACCACAAATAAAAGTGGGCAAATAGCGGTGGTCTTCTTCCGCTATCTTCTGGATCTCTGACCGTAATCCCGTTTTCTTTGCCTCCAGCCGGGGCGAAACGAAACTTTTCATCGTCTCGCTATCTGTTCGGCGGATCTTCAGTCGTGTGTGACCCCGTGCCAGCTATTCAAATTGCTGATACATCCCGTTTCCGGTTGGTTTTTCGAAAATTGGCGCTATTTTGAAACTTTCGGGTTTTTGCGTGTTTTTCGTAAAATTTGTCAAAAGTGACATGTCTTTATTATAGTGGAAATTGGAAATGAGGTCTCTGCTATCTCTCTCTCTCACTCTCTCGCTTTCAATCTCCCTCTCTCACTCTCTCGCCCTCTCCCAAACCATTTCTGACTCCATTCACCAAAACAAATTCCAAACATTCCGCGTGCCCCGTTTTTTGCTGGCCACTCCCCCGACCACACCGATTTGGCCGTCGAAATCGGCCTGAAAAGGGCTGCAAATCAAATTAGTTGCGGCTACGATGTGCACCTAGGCACGGATTTTATGCTTTTTGTCTGGACCTTATTTCTTCTTTTTCTAACTGATTCGTATCCTGAATTTTTTAATATTGGCTACTTGCCAAAATTCCCCCACCATCCGACCACCGGGATTTGAATGAAAGCCAGCTGGCAGCTGGCCAGGCTGGTTGGAATCTTGACCTGGCGAGAGAGACAGCGGGAGAGAGAGAGAGAGAGAGAGAGAGAGAGAGAGAGAGAGCGCGAAAAATCCGTTTTGTGAGGGGGGGGCAATGGAATCGGTGACAGATGGGAGGACATATTGCCCAAATTCCGCTTGAGAAATGGCCATCCACAGGCAATACAGAGATCCCATCATGGCGCCACACATGCACACTCACATTCTCATCCTCATTCACATTCAGGTGCCGCAAAAACGGCCCGTTTTCTAACTTTTGGGGATTTCTTAAAGTTCAGGGCTTTCCGACCATTTTTTCTGAATGTTTTGGGCTTCGCATTGCCGTTTGTTAAGTTCTCATTTCTTATTGGGCTGTTTCAATTATTAAAATAGCATTGTATTTTTTCTTTATGATTTGGCTTTACCACTTTTTAAGATACAAATTAAACCTTTGCGGCAGCTTCAATAAGCTCATTTTCCGAGTTTTGTTGTCTGGACATTGTTCTCGGGCTTTTCCGGTTTTCCCCCAGCTTTTCCCCCGCCTCGTTTAGACTTTTGACAAATGGGATGGGATCCGATATCTGGTGAAAGGCCTCTAAAAAGGTTTTAACGCCTTTTCCGCATTTTACTGGATATATAATTCCGCAAATCTATGAGTTCGCCGATATCTTGGTGCCTTTAAAAGCCCCAAAATGTCTCGTCTATTATAGCAAATAGAAATAAGCATTAAGTGGTAAAAATTTTGCGCGCGTTCGCTCACTATTACTCCCCCACATTTTCTCTCTCTCTCTCTGTCTCTCTTTCTCTCTTTCTCTCTGTCTCTCTCTCCTTCCTTAAAATAACAGCTGCTTTCAAATCCGCCTAAAGCCCCCCGATCCATTTATGTAAGGGATTGGGGGGGGGGGGGGTCTTTGGTTGGGTGGATGGTAATTGTTACCGGCTGTCAGCCATCCCACTCCCCTCCTCCTATTCGACTCATTCCGAGACATGTGGTGGTCAAACGGGAGAGGATGGATACTACTATTCTATGCCCACGGTCGGTTCCGCGATGAATAAAATATCCCCGGGGGGCTTTGAGCGAACCGATTGGTAGTACGGTTCAAAAACGAATTCTTTGATGCTTTGGCGCACCGCAAAACGGTCGGGATTTGATTTCAAGGGTTCAGGAAGCGCACAAAAATTGAGCCGTACAGGGACTAGGTCTAGACAGTTACGTAATGCGCCAAGTGACGCGAGGTCTTTGTGCGCATCTCATTAAAATTGTTGAATTTGCATTAAACTGGACGGCAAGTGCACGCCCGCAAAATCAAACCGAACGCAGCTTGGTGCGTTGCGTAATTGTCGAGACCTAGTGGCGCCCAAGGGGTCGATTTTCATGCTTCACCAAGCCTTAAAGGGCTCCTAAGGCA